TCTTTTCGACTTTCTCTTTATCAACTGCTCACTCCTCATTCTTCTCATCAACCATTATATAGTCTTCATCAATTTTGGCTTCTTCTTGGTTACCTACTTGCTTTCCACTTCTCAAGGTAACAACTTTACAATGCTCTCGAGGGTTGATATCTGGCTTGCTTGGTAACTGACCTTGCTCGCGAGTATTTGTTGATGTAGCCATTTGACTCACTTGCATCTCCAAGGCCCTATGAGCAGTAGTCAATTGGTCTAACCTTGATTCTATTCTGTTAGATCGTTCATTGTTTTCACTCAACAATTTCTCCATTCTCTCCAAACTTGCCTCCGTTCTTTGACTTAGGTGCAGATTGATATGACTTTGCTTGGAAACCAGGAGGGTTTTGAGGTCTTGTATTAAAGTCTTGAGCCCCTTGATTATTCCAAGAAAAGTTTGGATGATTTCGCCAACCAGGGTTGTAAGTATTGGAGTAAGGATTGTTCTGCTGCTGAGGCTTGTTGAAATTAGAGACATATTGTGCACTTGCCAGTTGCATACATTCAGAACTCAAATGAGGACCTCCACAAAGCTCACAGACGGTGGCATGGAAGACTGCATTAGCATTTACAAGATTACCCATCGCCTTGGTCAGTGCATCTATCTTTGCATTTATGGCACTTAGTTCATTGACTTCATACATTCCAAAGAGCTTCTTGGAAACACTTCTCGAGTTCGACCATTGATTCCTATTCTTTGCCATAATTTGAAACAAGTCATAGGCATCATCTATTGACTTATCCATTAATGAACCTCCAGCTGCAGCATCCACATTGTTTCTTGCAAAGTCCGTCAATCCTTGATAGAAAGTCTGAACTAGAGTACTTTTCTCAATACCATGGTGAGGATATTTTCTTTGCAATTCTTTGAATCTTGTCCATGCAGCATGAAATGTCTCATCATCTTCTTGAATAAACCCAAGAATTTGATTTCTCAATTTCGCTGCCTTATGTGGTGGGAAGAAATTGATCAGAATTCCTTGTAAAGCTCATCCCAAGTTGTGATGGAACCAGATCGCAAGTATTCAACCAATTCTTCGCTTCTCCCTCAATGAAAAGGGAAAAGTCTCGGTCGGATTGCATCCGACGTCACACCATTTATCTTAACAGATCACGCATCTCTAAAAAGTTGTCAATATGCGCATTTGGATCCTCATTGTTAAAACCGGAGAATTGATTCTGCTGCACCATCTGGATCAATGCTGGCTTGAGCTCAAAGGTATTCGCAGCAATGGTAGGCCTAGTAATACTTGACCTAGCAACATTCTCCGTAGGTGTAAAGTAATCCCTCAGTGTCCGAGTGTTGACTCTGTCGCCCATGGTTTCACTCTGATTCTGCTCTTTTCTTAGTTTTGCTTCCTTTCTGTTCGCACGAGCTGTTCTTTCTATCTCTGGATCAAATTGCACAATCTCAGAATTAGCACTTCGCATATAAAAACAAAAAAAATATTTAAAAGAAATCACTAAAATAGTAAGACAATAAAATAAATAAAATAAAAACAAATCTAAACTAATAAAAAAAAGTAATCTAAATTCGATATTAGCTGCCTTCCCCGGCAACGGCGCCAAATTTGACAAGCCGTCGTCACACTAGTCAAATATTAATTACCTACTTAATACAATTACTAGTAGTAAAGCGAAAGGTGGTCGATCCCACAGAGAAGGAATACTAATTACTAGGTATAAATTACTCCTATTATTATCTAGATAAATGATGATCTCAGATTTATAAAATTTAAACCTAAAATAAATAAATAAAATAAAAGCAAATAATATTAATTCAAATAATTAGACAAAGGAAACCTAGGACATTGGGTTCACCTACCGAATATTTGGGTTAGTTCAATTCATAACTATCTGACTTTTAACTTCCATTAATCTCACAACGATTCACCTAATTAAGAACTATACACTCGTGTTATAATTCTCTTACTTAGATTAACCCTATGACTACTCTCGTGACTATAGGGATTAACAAAAGCACATTAAGACCATTAAGAATCAAATATTGCAAAGGTTATAATCTTACTCTCGTAGCTTTATCACCTAAGTTTATTATTCCTACGAACTAATACTAATCTTCCACTCTCGCTACTTCAATTAGTATCTTCAGACATGCAAATAGTGGCCAATTACTTACACGAATTAAAACAAGAATAACAAATATTAATTAATGGAAAAATCAAATAAAAATAAACCAAATAAACCAAATAAATTCGGTGGCTACACCCAAGCCCTAGATTAAAAGAATTTAGCCACTAAACATTATTAAAATTAATTCAATAATATTTAGAGACATAATAAAAAAAAAAAATTAAATTAAATAAATTAAAACTTCAAAACCGAATTGACGCCAAAGACCCGCCGACGGTTGTTGCTCGCTTCGCCGGATTTGCTGCGTGGGAATGGAGGTGGTGGTGCTGCGCGGCAGTGAAGAGGAAGGCGGAGAAGAGGAAGAAGGTGATGATGGTGCTCGGCTGCTTCGGCGGTGGTGCGGCGTGACCAGGAAGTTGCTGGAGCTTCGCGGCTGCTGCTGTGTGTGCGAAGGCGAGGGACTGGTTTTGATGTGCAGGTGGAGATGATGGCTGAGTACGTGAAGAAGAAGAAGAAGGTGGAGCAGCAGTGGTGGTTATGGAAGCTGGTGGCGGTGATGGAGGTCAAGGTGGTGGCCGGCGGCGGTGAACAATGAAACGAGAAGGTGGATGACGGGGATTCGGTTTGCAGCCGTAAGGTTTTCGGCCAGTTTTCGGTCCAGTTCTGTTGTAAAAATAAATCCCTAATCCTCCTTTTATAGGCTTCCGGCTAAACCCTACTCCTTGAAGAACAAGAAAACTTGTTTCCCAATTAATATCGGGTTTAAAATTCTTATCCAATTCCAATCCCAAATCGGCCGCATAACCAACGTAACCTTCGGCCAATTTTCCAAAAATTAATTAACCAATCCAAAATTGCATCATTGGCCCTCCAATTCTCTAAACTCATTAATTTCCTCCCCATCAATTGCTTCAATCTTCAATTCTTTCCCATTGAGTTGCTTTTAATTCGATTTTAGCTCAAAACTTCAACAATTCTTCATTTGAGTACAATTCCTACAATTAAAGATAAAATCACATAAATAGCATATTTGTACTCAAAATATATTGCAAAAATCACAAATTAGGGATATAATAAATAGGTAAAATATAAGCATATCAAGAGGAGTTTTTCAATATTTTGCATTCTTAAATACACGAAATCAAGATTAATCGACTGCATTATATTCATGCACTCGTGCTGTATCCCTACTCAATTTGTATTTTAATTAGGTTCAGGCATTTTTGTAAGATCTGTTATATCCAGCTAACCCTTTCCGAACTAATTAAATGTGAACATGGCTTGTTTTGAATCTTGTCGTGTTTTGTGTTATTTGAATGACATGAGAATTACGGAAGAAGTTTACTTATTGAGTTAGGTTATACAATCTTTATTATGCGATATGTAATGAGTTTTGAGATTTACACTCAAAATCAACATAGATTATTTTCTTGTTAAGATGTGTGTTTGTCTCACATTGCCCGCATAAAGAAATGTGATTTAGTATATAAGTTTTAAAGATCACTTTACTCATTACCACTTGATTTTGAGATGGAAGATACTTATATGATTTGACATGGTATCAAAATGTTCTGGACACGTAGTGGTGTTCTGAGTCGTAAGTGGTCTGTGTTGATTATTAACCCACCGAAGCATTACTCGTGTAGTTTTGTCGATCGATCCAGCGATAAAATTAGATTATTGAAAAATTATGTTGTTATCCAAATCCATTGGGCTACAAACCCTATTGGATTTGAGGGAGGATGTTAGAATGTGTATTGTTTCATATCGTCCCGTGAAGAGAAATGACTCAGTATATAAGTTATTAAGATCATCCACTCATTTTCAATTGATATTTTTTGGGACACAAGGGAGACTTTATTTTGCACATGAGGAACTATACCAATGTATCCTAGGAATAGTTCAGTTATCATACCTTAGGAACATTAGTATACCTTGGAACAAATGAGTACTCATTCTATTTATTTTTTCAATTACAAATGATACATAAGTCGACCGTGTATATAAAACATGTGGATAGATGTTTTGATGATTACATGTATGTATCACAGCTAAAATGTAAGAAGAAGAATTGAGGAAAACAAGTTCACATTACTCATTATAATTAAGTCCTACTTGTGTTACATGGAATATATAAAATACAGTAGGGATGGAGGATTTTATTTTGGGTCAAATATACGGAACCTTAATAGCTGTCGTGTTGAATGTTGAAACTAAAGTGTAAGGGGCAATTACCAACAGCCAACTATAATAAGAATAATGATGTAGCAAAAATGTGTCAATGGTATCTCCTTATTTGTTGGGAAGTAAAGTCTACATTTATGATAATAAGTACCAAAAAATAGTATATTACGTGAATCTAATATTCTCTGAAAACTAGCAATTAAAAAGGGAAAGAAATAAAAAGGATTTCAACCAGTTGTCATCCGATGGGGTGGGGAAAAACTCCTCCGGGTTTCAATATGAGTTTGACTCTAACAAGATAAAATAATAAAATAGACATTCTGGATGAAAAATTTAATTGTAATAGTAGAAGGGAATTCAGTTTGTACGGAAAATTTGAACAAAAGTGCATGTGCCTTAGGATTCAAGCCAAATTCACCCCATATTCACGTTTTTTTGTATTTAAAAACTACAATTTCTCTCATTCCCCCGATTATAGTTATTGTTAGAAGATGTTATTACAGACCACATATTAAAAAAAAAAAAGGTCAAAAAAAGAAGAAAAAAAAAAGAAGAGAATTCTATATATAGTGAATCACACACGCAGGTCAGAAGCTTGTCCTCTGCCAAAAAACGCCTCTCGCTGGGGAAGTAAGAAGAGGAAGAAGAAGGGAGATAATTTGGTGTTATTTTTTCTTCTTTGTTTGGCCATGGCCGACGATCACAATGGAGTCCCTCCATTAGAGCTTGAGCAACAACAGAAAAAGCATCACACCAACCTTGAGATACCTGGTAAATTTAATTAAATTCATCTTCTTTGTATTTAAAATTTCATATATCGTTTTTATTCATTCATTCATTCATTTATAAAGTTATTATATATATATATATATATATATATATATCCACTCTGTGTATCTTTCTTTGTTTTAAAAGATTATTACTTCAACAAAACAACACTCTTGAGAGATGTTATGGTCGTGAAAATTAGTTCCACTTGAATACACCACCTTCTTTGTATGTTGCATGTATATTTTTTCTGTGTTAAAAAAGTTGTTGAACAGAAATTCTTGGATAAGTTAATGATGTACTATATATATTAATTTTTGGAGTAACTTGTTTATCACCAAAGGCGGTTTGGTTTGAGTTATACCATCTTTTTTTTTTTTTTCTGGGTGAAGAGCAAAGCCATATTCAGGTTAACAATGGCGATTCTGATCGGAATCTCAGATCTAGGATGGAGAAATTCTAACAACTGCGAGTTTTCGGATAAACTTCCATTTATTTAGTACATATATATGGACAACGAGGGAATCTCATAAGAGACAAATTTATTTCAATTGGCAATTTTTTAAATACATTTTAAAGGTGATTTATTTGACCATATACCAACAACTAACTAACATTATTATAAATTATTATTGACATGGTAGTATTGGTTGCTGTGCCCTTCCACAAGAGTACAGATAATTTTTTATGGGCATACTAATATTTTTTTTTAAAGCCCAAAATTCCAGTATTATGATTTCTCTCTCTTTTATATTTTCATTTTTTTCTTGGGTTGGAAAAATTATACATTACTGATTGCTGTAATCCAACTTGGAGCGAAAGTTTAATAAATCACCGTCACACACACACACACACATACAAACTCTTACAATAAGATAATTGACGTTAGCATCTATTCCAAAGTGCATATATATTGTAGTATTATTTTGTTACAAGAGAATATTAGGTTGTTAGTACTCACGTTGTACATTCACGTTACTTAATTAACTAACATTTTACATTGGCATCATACTTGGTCTATTGTACTTTCACATCAATGAATTATGTTTCAGAGATGAAGAGAACAGTTAAAAATATAAATTCGCAGTATATATACCTAAAACGTTGTGAATCGGAACTTGAATCAAGATGTCCCTTGTTATAATTTCTGATGATCATCATTATCATCGTGTTAATGCAGATGATGACGAGGAAAATGATTCCCCGATTGAACAAGTCCGGTTCACAGTCCCGCCAACCGACAACCCGAGTTTACCAGTGCTGACATGCCGGACATGGATTCTGGGAATCATATCATGCGCAACTCTGGCTTTTGTCAACACGTTTTTCGGGTACCGTCAGAACCCGCTGAGCATCGGGTCGGTGGCGGCCCAGATTGTGACTCTCCCACTTGGGAAGTTGATGGCCTCTGCATTGCCTGATAAACAGATTGGGTTTGGCAACTTCTCCTTCAATTTGAACCCTGGACCATTTAACATCAAAGAGCATGTTTTGATCACCATCTTTGCCAATTGTGGTGCAAATGGTGTCTATGCTCTTAATATTGTCACCAGTGTCAAGGCCTTTTACCACAGGGAGCTCAACTTCTGGGCTGCTTATCTTCTCTGCCAGACTACTATGGTATGTGGGAATCAGGGGATTTTGATTTTTTTTTTTTTTCAATTTGGGGATACATATGGAATACTAATCAAAAAGATGATTAATTTTTTCTGTTTTGATTCTGGATATGTGTAGTTGCTTGGATATGGTTGGGCTGGAATGCACCGGAATGTCCTTGTTGATTCTCCTTACATGTGGTGGCCAGAGAATCTTGTCCAGGTTTCACTGTTCAGGTATATATAGTTAACATTTACCCATCGATTTATACACCTCGAAGATCAATTTCTCATGCATTATTCTTGTGTTTGATAAATTGATGAACTTGAAGGACATTACATGAGAAGGAGAAGAGGAAGAAGGGGACTCTGACAAGGCTGCAGTTCTTCCTGATGTTTTTCGTCGCGAGTTTTGCATATTACCTTGTGCCAGGCTATTTCGCGCCGACGATTTCTTGCATTTCCATTGCCTGTTTGATCTGGAAGGATTCTGTGCTAGCCCATCAGCTTGGTTCAGGTTTGAAAGGTCTGGGGCTCGGCTCATTTGCGTTGGATTGGAACACTGCTGTTAGCTTCCTAGGAAATCCTATTTCCACACCAGCATTTGCCATTATCAACATTCTGGCTGGTTTCGGCATATTTGTCTATATCGTCATTCCAGCCGCATATTGGTCAAACATTTATAATGCGACGAGGTTCCCGCTCTACTCAACAAAGACGTTCGATGTAACCGGCCAAAAATTCAACATCTCCCGCGTCCTGAATGAAGAAACCTTTCAGTTTGATGATGCTGGGTACAGAAGTTACAGCAAGCTTTACTTGAGTATATTTTTCGCCTTCAGTTATGGCCTCAGCTTTGCTACTTTAACAGCTACCCTTTCGCATGTTGGACTATTTCATGCAAAGTAAGTGTTCGTAATTCGTTAATCAATCCAGTGAAATGACTTAGTGACTGATGCGGGATCAGTCAGTGAGCTATTACACTGTCTCTATCGTTACTCAACTTTCTAAACTCCGTGATCACATATAGCTAATGTGCACTCTCTATGCATACCCCTTTTAGGACAATATGGGAGCTGACATCAAAGACAACAAAAACGTTGAAAGGGAAAATGGGGGATGTGCACACCAGACTGATGAAGAAAAACTACAAGGCGGTTCCTGCCTGGTGGTTTCACGCCATGTTGGTACTGGTGTTCGGTCTTTCCCTCCTCTGTTGTGAAGGTTTTGGGAAACAGCTTCAACTTCCCTGGTGGGGGCTAATAATGGCATGTGGCATTGCCTGGTTTTTCACTTTACCAATTGGTCTTATTCAAGCCACTACAAACCAGGTAGGAACTGAATTCATGACATACTTTATAGTCAATGGACTTTAGAAAAAAAACAAAACATTTTGGAAACTGATTTATTCTTAACTCTGCCTGTTTCTCAATGTGCAGCAACCTGGATTGAATGTCATTACTGAATTGATCATTGGTTTCATCTATCCCGGCAGACCTTTAGCCAATGTGTCGTTCAAGACCTATGGCTATATTAGCATGACTCAGGCCTTAATGTTTTTGAGTGATTTTAAGGTTGGCCACTACATGAAGATCCCTCCCAGATCGATGTTCTTTGTTCAGGTAACCATTGAAAAAAATTTCACAAAAAACCCAAGTCTCTGGAATTTTCATAATGCTTATTATTTTATGACACTTTACTCACTAATTGTCCTAATGCTGCTGTTCATGATCAGTTGGTAGGAACACTGGTCTCATCTTCTATCCAGTTTTTAACTGGTTGGTGGCTGCTTACATCGATCAAAAACATTTGCGATCCTTCTTTACTCCCAGAGGGTAGCCCCTGGACCTGCCCCGGTGATGAAGTTTTCTACAATGCATCAATCATTTGGGGAGTTATCGGCCCGAACAAGATGTTCACAAAGCATGGAAACTACCCACAGCTCAACTATTTCTTCTTGATCGGCGCATTGCTGCCAGTGCCCGTCTGGCTGCTCTCGCGCAAATTCCCCGACAAGAAATGGATCCAGCTGATCAACATGCCCATTATCCTTGGAGCTACATCAACCATGCCGCCAGCAAGATCCGTCAATTTCATCACATGGGGAGCTATCGGCCTCGTGTTCAATGTTTACATTTACAGGAAGTACAAGGCCTGGTGGGCTAGACATGCTTATATCTTGGGAGCTGCTCTGAATGCTGGAATTGCGTTCATGGGGATCTTACTTTACTTCTCACTCAATGCATATGATATTTCGGGTCCTGTTTGGTGGGGTATGGAAACAACTGATTATTGCCCACTGGCAACTTGCCCTACAGAACCTGGAGTAAAAGTTGAAGGATGTCCAGTTTTCTGATATCGATCAGATTGAATTTCAGTAGGTTATATTTTGACATAAGTATTACAGAAAAATGAGGCAGATCTGGAGTAGGATGGTGTTGATTGGAGGGTTAATGGAAAAATTGTATAGTTTCCTTTATTTGTTAGAAGAACAAGAAGAAGAAAAAAGATAGGAACCTGAAGGTGTGGTAATTGATGATGATGGATGGAGAATGGTGGTGTTTCAAGTGTTTTTATTGTTTGTCTTTTGGATTTAGACCATAAATCTGTAAATAGATTTGTCAAAGTTAACTCGAGAATTAGTTTTGTTCATTGTTATTTTTATTTTTTATTTTTTATTCTCGATTTTTAAAATGAACGCATAAGACACAATCGTCACATTACTGGTTACGGTCAAAGAAACCTCAACGTGAAACTTCACTAACTAGATGAAATTGATTACTTATCATTTTTTTTTTCTAGAGACAACTGTATCATTGCATTTGCAAGTGATTATTCAAAAGAAAATCAGTCCACACGTACATTAAAGTGCACTAGTGAAGAAAATTAGAGAAATATAGCTGGAATAATGGCTCTAAATGCGCATTTAAAGGCGTTACATATTATGTCCGTGCTTCTTTCACGCCTTCTGTACGTTACTACTATCCTCTCTTTTCTCTAAGCCATAATAATGGCCTTCACTAAATTAGGAACCGTTTTTTTTTTTTTTTTTGAAAAGGTATTAGGAACGTTATCATGTTCATAACGGTTGAAACAAATAACCATTGTTTATTTTCTGTTTGATACTATATCATGCAGAAGGAAAAAATATTTGAAAAAGGAAATATTGCATTCAAGGGATTGTTATCAATATAAATCATCCATTAGCAATAACAATTTGGACATATTCCACTTATCTCTGTGCAAATCTGTTAAATGAAAAAGAAAGAAAATAAGGCATAAATGACATGATTTTGGCAAAGGATTCTACTTGCTAGAAAACAGAAGAGACACATTACAAAACAAAAATCCATGAAGCAGCAGCCATAATGATCAAGCTTGGAACTGTCCACAACGTTAAACCGGAAGAACTTGAGCTGTTTGAACCTGCAACAATCATCCCAACTTCTAATTAAACAAAATGAAATTAAAAAATTGAAGATTGATAAAAAAAAAAAAAAGAAGACAAAATTGCAATTAAAAGAAAATTAGTAGTACCAAGAATGCAGCCCAGAGGATTGATGCGCTCTCCGCATCTGGCCGGCAACTGTTGAGCATTAGTCAAGTTGATTCCAGCCCTTTCAGCCTGATTAGCTCCCCTGATGCTGATCATACTGCACAGGCACTCTGGCTCGGATTTGATCACGTATCGTAACGGGTCGCAACAGCTGTTTGGTGGATCCCTGTTTCCATCCAGATACTCCAAACAGGGCTGAAGTTGTTGCACACAATTGTTTGCTGCTGGTGATGATGAATATGATGGTTGCTGCCCCTGATTTTGGCCCTGCTGATTCTGCTGGTTCTGTTGTTGTTGTTGTTGGCCAAACTGAGCATTGATTTCTTCAGCTCTGAAAATGATGATGAATATTGTTAATGATATGAACAGGGTCATGATGGATTTGATCATCTCCATTTTCTCTTGTTGTTTTTTCTTGATTTTTGTGTTTCTGGATGTGGGGTGGGTTTGTTTAAATAAATGGGGAATTGTAGTGAAGGTTTGGTGATCAAACTTTGCAACTTACAAATAAGATTGTAAAGAATAAGTCGTGTTTTTGACTCTTTTTGATGTCATTTATACATAATCTTTGGGGTTTAGACAAAAGATGCAAGGCCATGGGGTGACAGTTAAAATAGGTTGAGCTACCATTTCTTTTTCTTTTTATTTTATTTTATTTATTTTTTTTGAATGGAAGGAAAAGCATGGTTACAAACAAAGGGATAATATAATTTAATCTAAATTGGTCAACTTTAGTCCCTGTTATTCCACAAAAGATTAATTATCTTCACACAATTAAACACACAATTATTGATACATTTTTAGTTTCCTACAAAAAACATCCATACTATTAAAATGTCGCTAAAGGACTAGCGATGTGAGTTTGTTGTAGCCGTGAAATCCTGTCTGCCAAAGTTGTGTGTGTGTGTGTGTGTGTGTGTGTGTGTGTGTTTTTTTTTTTTCTTTTTTTCTACTCCATTTCTATGCAGTTCAACTGTCCAACTACAAAATTACAGCAAGCCACTCATTTTGACTAGTAAAGCGCATTCGTTGACATTCTCTTCTTCTCTCAGTTTTGCGTAATTGATTGATTCGCATTTTGTACTACAGTTTGGTGTTTGGAGTTTGGACCTAAAAGTTGAAATGTTAAAATAAAAGGTGTTGGATTACCCTTTTTTCTAGTTTCTGTGAAATTCTTTTTCCCTTTTGTTTTTTTAGATGAATTACAGAGTGAATGATGATGATTAAATGAAAAATCATCATGGTTTTATGGCAAGTTGGAGTTCCCCTTACAGCAAGTACTGGGAGCTGTTGTGTGCAGTCATGGCAAAGTCATTTCTTAAACTAAAAAACGGTTTGTGTCGTTTCTATTTGCCCAACATTCAGGCTTTCATACAAGTTGAATGACTTCCGGTTCTATTTATAAGACACAAATAAACACTCCAATTTGAACCATGAATTAAGAAGCCAAATGAGTGTGTATATTTACAATAATCTATCAAGGTGCTTTTCCTGGACTTTGCGACAAGAAATCATAACAGATTCTGTTGGCCATGGCTGAAGTTTCAGAAATTTGTAAATGCACAATGGTGAGTACAAAGGGAGTGGATGTTGGAAGATTTTGTTCCTTGTCAGCCCTAGACCATGTCATGGAACACAACCATCTTCGTATTGTGTTGTATTATAGCACCCCTAAAGAAATCAAGCTTGGAGAACCAACCAAAATGTTGAAAGAATCGCTGTCTCAGGCGCTTTGCGCTTATCCAATCGTTACCGGGCGATTACTGAGGGATCCGGAAAAAGGGAACTGGATGATCAAGAGCAATGATGCTGGGGTAAGGATGGTGGAGATGAGGGCGCAAGGCAATGTTGAAAAATGGTTGCAGAATGTGGATAGCGAGAAGGAGCTCAAGCTTGTTTATTGGGAGCATATGTTTACCAAGCCTTATTTCTGGTCCCCCTTTTATATCCAGGTCACTTTCCTAACCAATGAATAAATAACTATGAATGTTTAGCTTTGAATATCATATCTAATCTAAAACGCAGTAGATTAATAATGTGCTTTTATTTGAAGCAAGCTTCCTGAGTTTCCTAATCCTCTCTATCTTTTTCGATGTAATATTTGAAGCAGATCACTGAATTTGAAGAAGGGGGACTTGCAATTGGCTTGAGCTGCACTCACCTCCTTTCTGATCCCATTTCTGCTGTCATGTTCATGAAATCATGGGCTCACATGACTGTGAAAGGCACAATGCCATCTCCTCTTCTATATCGCCCCATTAAAACGCTAAGAAAATCGGATCAAACCTCTCATGGTCATTGCCACGGCAATCTTTCCAATGGATTGATCGAGCACTATAAATCAACTCTGAGAAAACCAATTGCCGCAGGCATTAGCGAGAAGAAATTGACCACAGTTTCATTGGCATTCAGTGACCAAATGGTCAGGAGTTGCATATCTGCGGCTTCATCTGATGTTCTCCTGAGGCCGCCAACCCCATTTGAGGCGCTTGCAGGGCTGTTTTGGACATCCATAAGCAAGATCAAGGGAAGAAGAGAAAATGGCTTGATTGACATGTCCGTGTGTTTAGACATGAGAAAAGTGCTAGACTTAGATGAAAATTTCTTTGGAAATTGCATGGTTTACAGCAAGGCATCATCAGATGGTTTAGGAGGTACAAATGAATTGTCTGAAGCAGTCGCTGGAATAGAAAAGGTAGTCGATAAAATGGATGCAAAGACGACCATGGAATTGATAGAATGGTTAGAAGAAGCAACAGCAAAACATATATCACCACCCTTGATGAATGGACTTGATCTCATTTGTGCAAACCTGGAGGATGTGGATACATATTCAGCCATATTTTGCCCCAATTTCAAGCCAATTCTAGCTTCTTTCTACATTGAGCCAACAGCTGGAGAGGGCAGCATATTAGTTCTTCCAGCGCCACCTGATGCAGGTCCGTTCAGTCGCATAGTTATGATTACACTTGCAGAGGATGAAGCCATTGAACTTCTTAAAGATGAGTCAATCCAGCAATTTTCTCCAAAAGTATTGATGAAGATGGCAGAAAAGAAGTTATAGAACGTTGAGTCACCATTGTTGCGAGTTTAAGAACTCTTGTCTGTCTGAAGGATAATGTTTCTGCTACAGGCAAAACTCTTTATCTTGTGATGAATACATCAACATACAAGGAGGATGTCTTTCTTTTTCGCTTTTACTGATATATCAAGAGTACATGATAATGACATTATTAAGAACATACATCCTTTAGCAGCATATTAGACCATACTCCATTCACTAATCTTCAAAAAAAACTGATGCATTATGAAAATCCATGAAATACATTAACCTCGCTTTTCCAAAACGGAACACCCTAGAATTACAGAATCCAAAATCTCTATGTTTACTTTAGATTGAAATTCATACGCTTCAAACTAATAACATCTTAGAGTTTCACAGAGTTGAGCTAATCTTTGAAGAAACTATCGAGCTTCCCTTCTCAAATCGATGATAACACACGAGTAATATTTTATCAGTCAGATACACCTAGGCAAAAATAAATCAGTATTATCACAGTAAAAAAAAGAAAAATCGATCTTCATCACCATCATATCAGTTCTGTGGCCCGGAAATCAAAATTACGACAGGATCGATGCTGAAGACAAAAGTGTTACTTTGGTTTGATTACAAGATACTTGATGCAAAAAACCTTTCACTTGAATAGTTCTGGATTTAGCCAGTCCCTACAACCACAGAAGAAAAAGGAAGTCATCAAATAATTCGGGATAAACATTGTTTTGAGTACATAACTGGTGACTACGGGACAAAGGGTGCACAAATGGTAGGGGAACGGAAGTCTTACTTGCTAATGTCGTCAAGGTGGTCATCAAAATCGGTGATATCCTTCCACTTCTCCGATGCAATATAATCTACAAGGACAACATTTGCTGAAGGTTCCTTTATGACAAGCCGGGAGCCTCCATCTGATCCCACTTGTTTCCAACTCCTGGATGCGTCCTTAGTGTATAGCTGAGGGAAGAAAGAGTAATCAAGAGATAAAGTTGATGAATCATGGTAGCAAGCATGCTACAATATGAGAATTTCAAAAGCAATCCATCCACCAGCTTCTCATAGTGCAGCTTGTCATGAAGACTTTGCTGTGCTTCTAGACCACATTAAAAGTAGGCAACTTCTAAAGGAGAAGAGACATTAAACCATGCAATGCTGACAATCATAAGGCTGCTCGAGAGAAGCTACTGATGAAGTGCTTGTAGTTTCACACAGGAAGTACAAAGGGGGAAAGACAACATCTACAGGATATTACAGAAAGCTACATAAATCACGTACATAAATCATTTGCATGCCAAAGAATTCATGAAAGAAGAGCAAAAATAACAAGCATAGGCTCTATTTAAACATTACGCGAAAGGTTAAAGAAGATCTTGTAAATATGATCTCATTGAAGATCAGGTCCAGGTTCCCCTCTATGCGAACAATCCGAAATTTTAATGTGCTAACCAATATTAAGTCTCAAATGCTCTAACTCCACTGGAGCCATTCAATAACACAAGGAACAACTAGACATACAGAGAAGCTTCTTTCCCGTTCTCTCATTCATATTAAAAACCGTACCTAACGGGTTTGAATCTACAATCCGTAAAGGGGAAAAGTGAGATGTGCAACTGAACCTTTCTTATCATTAAGTTTGCATAAAGTAAAAGAATCCTCTCTAACCATTTATCAACAAATCCTACTGAATAAACTTGAGATCTCATTCACAACCAAATTCATATGATTTCAAATAACTCACCTGCATCACTGGACTCCTATCCTTCCCTTTTGATAAGGCTTCAAGCTTTTTGTTATCCAACTGCAATGAATGTATAAAAAATCATCCTCTTTAAAGCTTCCAAATTTTCCACATAATTCAACTAAATCAATAAGTATTGCAAAATTCAAAATTAAACTGTACGATTTACGAAACTAAAGAGAAGGGAAAGAAATTCGTACCAAGAGCAAAGCAGCTACAGGAAAATACTTGCTAATTTGATCACCAATATTCTTAGCCACAGTGCCCAGCTCAAAATCATCAAACCTTTCATTAGCGTGAAAATAACCCACAATGCTCAACCCTTTATCACTATAATACTCCTCTATCTGAAATCATTCCAATACAAAAGAAAAAATTTGTAATAACAGCCAACAAAACTGCAAAAGCATCCAAGATGGAGTTTCGATTCCAAGTGGAACTTACCATGATGAGTGCAATTTCGAGCGGAGGTAAGAGACCGATCTGGGAATGGAAAAGCGGGACGGATTCGACGATTTCGACGGTGTCATCGTTGCCGGCGGAGAGACGACCGAGGAGGACGCCGTTGACGGCAGATGTCTGGTGTTTTAAGGCGTGTAGGACCAGCTTAATATAAGCGTTTTGGTGTATCTCGTACTTCGCCTCGCCGCCCATAATACCTTTTGTGGTGAATCGGTTTCGGGTTCGGAGTGATTAAGGTTTTACAGTCGGAGACGCCGCTGGCGACGGCGGAAGAAGCTGTGTTTTTTTACGAGTAATTTACTTCTTCACTGTCTGTCTGTAGTGTGTGTCACATTGAAGATATTCGTGAATGATTTATGTTCTACCCCCGGAAGAAGGGAAGATGGCACTTTTCAACCCCAATACTTTAGATTTGGTAACACTTCTGGTCTTTATAATTTTCTTTGTTTCCAATGCTATCTTACATTTTTTTTTTTTTTATAAATTGTATTACAAACACCATAGACCTCACTTACAAAGCTGATTTAGTGAATGCATATTATAATTATTATTTTACCTTATTATTATTATTTTTTTTAAGAAGTAACAAAAATCATCTATTTAAAACACACGACTATAAAATTCCATGGTTGATGACCTCTTGCGTACTTTTTTTTTTGTTTGGTAAACATGTAAATATATTGATACTTCCAACAACCGGAGTGCATATTTACAAGGGGGGCGATTTTGCCAGAACAATTTCTAGCATCCAGAACAATTTTTTATCTTTTTTTCCACTTATGCCCATCACTAAGTCAAACCCCCCTTATCTTCCTCACCGGATATTTCTGCTCAATTAATCATTTTATTCCTTTCCTCCCTCTATCAAGGCTTTCTCACATATCCGGAGATCAATTTCCCTCCAAAATTATGAAGAGTGTCTCCCTCCAAAATTAGGTACTAACGCAATAATAGGGATTAGAATAAATAACCAGTGTGCTCATCGTCGGTGGAGATCTTCTATTTGTTTCAAACATCTTGGTCGAAGAAGAAGAAAAAAATTGAAGGTGGATTGGCCTCTATGTTCTTCATCTAATTATTCACCGATTTAATCAAGTAAGTTTCCTATGACCATTGCTTCTTGTATTCTTGTTGATCGAAATGTGATTGGTAAGTTAATGTATCCTAAGTGTTTGATTTTTAGTGAGAGTAATTTTCCGATAACCTAGCCGTCGTGAAACAAAAGAAAATACTTTTAGCCGAAGCATTCAGTTTTCCATTGTATTGTGTATGATGATGAAGATAATCATTGTTTTAAGTACGGATAGTGAAATTTTGCTTGAATGATCTATCGAATTTAGCTTTTTTTTGAGATATCTACTCCTAAGAACCTAGTCAAAGATGTTATAACATGTGAGTTTTTGTGTTTAAAGCATGATCCTTTCTCTTATAATTGATGGATTTTGTGGCTTTGCTTGTGCAACATTTTTTTTTGGGATCACGATCAAGATATTTATTGATAAGTATTTGATTAAAAATTTGCATCAGACACCTTTGATCTTTGGCTTCATTAGTTTGTGTTTTTTTAAAACCCATAGTCGTGCATTAATATATAAAACTTATATATCAAAAAAAGTTTCACCATAGCAATCGATTTTAGCTTTCGTCAGTAACTTGGTACCTAAACATAGATACACATCATACAAAGTAAGTTGTTTGACAATATCGCTGCAATTTATGTTTTCTTAAGGAAAAAATAATTGCAAATTTTATAACTTTTGTTCATATAGACTTGTTTATTAAAGTCTCCAGTTGAGCGCTCATGGAGGATTATGAAGTTGAAGGAAATGAGTTTGGCCAATGAATGTGACAAGCTGTGAATGGCTAAATTACTTGCTACGAGTATGAAACTCGTAATGATCTCATCAAGGTAGCGAAAGCATTTTACTTAACTCAAGGGTACATCTTATCAATTAAAGGTTCAAGAGTCAATAAGAATGTTACCATCGGATGTGATAGAGGAGGAGTATATCGAGATCGTGTAAATGTTCCCATTGAAGAGAGGCAAAAGAAAACAACAACTCGCCTCACAAACTGTCCTTTTCAAATATATGGAAAAAAGCACGATGAAGGTTTTTGGAAGATATCGATTAAAAATGATTCACATAATCATGAACCTTCCAAAGATGTGTCTGGACATCCATCAGAACGTGTATTCTCAGAAGAAGAGATCTTGATTATAAACAATATGAGCATGGCTGGAACCCCACCTCGCCAAATAGTTTCATTTATTCGGAAAAAAAATCAAGAGTCTCAAATCACTCCTCGAGATGTATACAATATGAAGCGGAAAATCACAAGAGAAAATCTCAAAGGGCGTACTGTCATTCAAGTTTTGTTTAAAGAGTTTTCGATCTTTGGATACCTGTTTGACTATAAAGATGACGAGGAAGGTCGTTTGACTCATATTTTCTTTGCACATCCTGAGTTGATTACGTTGAGTAGAAGTTATTCGACCGTTTTTGTCATGGACTGCACCTACAAGACCAACCGATATAAGATGCCATTACTTGAGATCATTGGTATGACCAGTTTAATACTTCATTTTATTCTTGTTTTGTTTTTTTGAAAAAAGAGACAGAGGAAGATTATAAATGGGCATTACGTAATTTTCGTGATATGCTTGGTGATGGAATTTGTCCGTCTGTTATTGCGACTGATCGAGAATTGGCATTGATGCATGCTATAAAAGAGGTCTTTCCAAATACTTTGAATGTATTATGTGTTTGGCATATTGAGAAAAATATTGTCTCTAAATGTAAATCATGCTTTGAGAATAAAGAAGTCTGGGAAGAGTTTTTGGCAATGTGGAACACGGTTGTGTACTCCTCTAGTGAGGAAGCATTTAGTCAAGCATGGCATGGCATGGAATCATTATACAAGGAAAAGACAGATATTCTTAATTATCTTCGAGACACGTGGCTTCAATACAAGCAGCATTTTGTTAGTGCCTGGACAGATAAAAAGTTGCATTTTGGGACACGTTCTTCATCTAGAGCAGAAGGTGCGCATTCGAAACTGAAAACTTATTTATCCGTCTCATCTGGTGATATACTGGTAGTCAAGCAGAAAGTATCTCTTCTCTTAGAAAATGATATTAAAGACATCAAAGTAAGGATTTCAAGGGAAAGGATTCATATTCCTCATAAGTGTAGACTTCCATTTTTCAGAGAGGTTGTTAATAAAGTTTCACTTTTTGCCTTGGATAAGTTAGAAAAACAGTTTGAGATGGTAAGAAATCATTCAATGAGTATAACATGTAGTGGTACTTTCCTGGCTACTATGGGATTGCCTTGTGCACATATGATGAATTTTTGGAAAGGAAAAGCTATGCCTCTTACAGCGATACATCCACAATGGTGCATTGACACAAGAGAATCTCTTTTTGATGTCGATAAGAGTAATAATGGTGATCCTATCTTCAAGGGATTGCTTGGTAAGTTGGAAGGAAAATATGACCAACTACCTCTCAATGAGAAGAAAGATATGCAAGACAAAGTGTATGAACTTGTCAGTAAAGAGTCTTCTTTAAACTTTGAGCCAAATGTGCAACGAACCAGAGGAAGACCATCAAGTAAAAATAAGAGAAAAGGCTCAAGTTCAACAAAAAGAGATCCATCCCAATTTGAGATTGTTGAAGCGAGATTGAGGCAAAAAACTCGGTCAGATGGAGAATGTGGTAGTCAAACAAGTGATATTGCAACAATTAACTCGAGTGAAGATCAAATCCCCACTCCTGTGGATGGTAATGATCCAATAAACTTTATTGGTTTGAATTGTATACCAAGTTCATGTGAAGAGATTCAGTGGAACTAAATTCGGATTTAAGGTATGTATTTTTGTTTATTTAAATTTGGTTTTATTATCATCTCGTCCTTATGATTCAATAAAACTTGAAATAAAGATCCCTTTTGCATTTGGTGGCTAATGGTTTTTCTCTTGACAGTCTCACATAATGTTTTTTTTTTCTTTTTTCTCTTTTTTGTGTTTCATATGTAGTCACTGGCAGTTGAATAAGTAGAGAGTTGTTGTGTTCTTCATCTTGTGCTATTGGATTCTTGTTTTTGGGTTGGTCTTTTCCTATAATAAAGTATGATTAGTGAAATAATTTGTACTCAGATCTGACTTCTACTAATTAAAGTTTCTTTACTTTAGCTAGTTTTCAAATCTATGCAAGTAATTTAATCATGTCCCACTCTCTCTTATGAAAGGTTGTTTTATGTTGATCTACAACTGGAATTTGGCCATTGATGACTTCCATCTCAGTGTTGTTACATGCAAGCTGCTACAGCTGGTTGCCATGTCATGATGAGATAAATGAAGGTGGTCTATTGAAATGCTCTTGGTGAATAATGAACTCTGAGATTGCAGTTGGAAAATAAACTCAAATTTCTGGTGTTTGATGGTAGAAAGTTACAACAGAATAGCTTGTTGTTTCTTAAGTTATGAGTTCATTTATTAATTTTTATGGATCATGTTCGTTCATCAAAGAATTTGAATGATTGTCTTGTGCTCTAAAATTCGTGTGATATAGTTTTTACTGCTTCACATATTGTTTCTCCGGATTATTATAATCTCATAGAGGGCCAAAATTTAGTTACACTGACAGTCTATGTTAATTTTCTGCAACTTGACTCTTTTTTTCCGCAATGAAATAAATTTCTTTTGTGCAACAAATACTTCGATAATGCTGCAATTCATCTACCAGTTGCAACTCATTTTGATTGCTTTCAATCATATGTACAATAAATTAAGTCAAGGATCAATTCCAAAAGAAACTTCAAAAGTACAGTGTATGCTACCAAGAGAGCTTTAACAACCCACAACTACTGAAATTACTAAATTTTTCTTCTATTCATCCTTCCAAACTACCTTCAAGAAACACCATAAATTTTATCACTAAATTGTTGATATAAGTTTCCACAAAAGCTTCTTAATGCCATAGCATCACTAAAATATCCAAGTTCATTCTTCAATTTCCACCCATCCATCGGAATTGATCAAATTGCCGTATAAGACTTACCTTATCAGATTCGAGCAAAAAAATTACGATCTCGATAATAGTCTGAATCTACTCTCCCGTAAAATTTCCAAAAAGTACTCTACAACCCAATCCCAATCCCTGCCCTCGACTAGATCGATGGATCTCTAAACACGACGAGATCATGCCCAACTTTGATTATTTACCCAACGTTGTCGCAGGTGCAAAAGTCGCACGGAGTGGTGAGGGCGGCTGGTGAGTCTCCCGAAAAAAGAACGATGTTTGGAGGGGGAAGGAGAGAGAATAAAATTTGATAAAGGAAATAAGATGAGAGATCTGCGGGAGGAAGATAAGGTGGGGTTTGACTTAGTGATGGGCAAATGTGGAAAAAAAATAAAAAATTGTTCTGGATGCTAGAAATTGTTTTGGCAAAATCGCCCCCTTATTTACAAATCAAAAAGCTCTATTATAAAAACACTATTCCCTTCAATTTTTTTAATATGTTTTCTAAAGAGTTCATCAAAACCAAGAAAATATTAATTAATATAGTTAAAATACAAAAATACTCTTATTTATTTTTTATACAATTCATCACTAACCAATAAAAATTCATTTTAAATATTGTTTCATTTCCAATGCAGAGTAACATTAGTAAAAAGTGGTCAAATGTGCCTCGATTTGTGAAAACGGCATATATTTAAAAAAATTTACCAAACCCTAAAACGACATATATTTCAAAATAGAGAGAGTATCTATTCTGCACAAAAGGAAAAACATACTTCTAATTCTCTAAACAGATTAGTTAAAATTGTTATGCCATTAGCTCTATTCCGGTTCCCCAACCAGCATGCCATTCTCCACTTTACCTCCGGTTTGATACTGTTTAGGATTACCTCTGTATCCTTTTGAACTTCTGTGAACACTCTAGCATTCCTTTCTTTCCAAATGTTATACTCTCTCTGTCCCATAATTATTGTCCAGTTTAAGTTTTCATTATTAGTTCAAATTGTACTAAAAGTGAAATCTCAAACAACAGTCCTCTTTTCAGTTTAATTCTTCTCCACCAACTCAGTACTTTCCTTCTCGATTCTTGCTGTCCAGTTAGAATCACTTGATGATCGGTGGGATAAACTGTTAAAACACTGTTGTCACCAAAACATTGAATTCAAGACGCAGAGGAGACCGAAAAGGTTATCAAATTTCCTCAAATCCACTCGAATGTTGATTTTGGGAGTTCGGGACAAACGCAAAAATGTTTATCAAATTGATCAAACCTTCAAACTTGTAGATCATCCATCATGGGAGTATTTAGTTATATCATTAAATTTTCCCGTATTTCATCCACTACATATATGATATGAAAATCTCCTTTATTTTCCGCTATTTGATAAGTGATCGTCCATTCTCTACATAATCTAAGCAACCCCTTGCGCATCAAGTAAAAACCCCAAATATAATCCCAAACACGGTACCGAAAATATAGGAACAAAAAAGAGCCATCTTGTATCAGACAGACAGCAATCTCTCGTTCTGTAGGTAGGTCTCCTAACCGTAGGATCGTCCCCCTGATACACTTCTACTACAGAGTTGGATGGATGGTTTTCATAGCCCCAAATTTTTCTATGATTAATTTTTAAGGAAAGTGAATAAATCGTTGATTCCTAATTCTAATACCATAGTCATTTCCTAATTACTTTTGGCTCAAGAAATTAATCAAGCTACCCACCCATTTCTTCTCAACCCGAAAACTCAGTCCAGCCTTTTCTTTCCCCATCCCGTCGATTGCTTTGCAATAGTTAAAGTAAGCAACAATTGAGGCTACTCGGAGCTGGTGAAAGCTTAATTAGTCACACTGTAATGCAATTGTGAAAGAATGTCAACTGAAAGGAATACCACATAATCAAGCAACTTTTAAGGTCAGCAGTAGCGATGCAAGTAGACATTTGAACACTGCGTACATTTCTAGCCTTCAAAACTTTGAGTTTTAATACTTACAAGACATGCAAATACACATTGAAAAGTTCAATTTCGTACTAAAGATCTTTTGGACTGCTAACATGGAGCATCCAAAAAGGAAAAGGTGAAAATACTATACTGTATCCACAACAGAACTTCCACAAAATACTGATATCAGTAATCAGGGATGGAAGCCCATCGATATCCTTGAGCACCCCTGCAGGAGTAATATGCAATCCGTGTCTCATAAAAACCTACAAGCACAGGTAGCAGTCAGTTGTTTCCAGAGACAAGAGTTGCTCAAGAAATACATTTATAGCACTGTGTGGATATAGTGAAGATGCAATCTGGAAGTTAGACAAGACCCACATCCCAGCTTATCATTTCTAGAGACGTCAGGCATTTTATTCGCACAAAACAACATCATATTGCCAGCGCTGACCAGAAGCTCCAGCAAAATGCCAAGCCTACTACGGGCTTCAGAAAGATGTAAATAGTGTACAACAAAATGAGGAAGGCTTTATTCTAAGTGAATGCACAATTAATTCTCCAACTCTCAAAAGGGCATAAACTACAGTTTGGTTATATACTTGTCATCATTCCATTTTACTAGGTCATTTTGCTCTCAATTAAAATTGACAGCGAATAGTGCCTTCTGAACACAAAGATTTCACCCACAATGCCTACAACAAGATCATAAAAACCAGAAAAAAGTGAAATATGGACAATAAACCATGTCAACTAACCTGGGAGAAAAGTAAGGAACCCGAGTCCTAGAAGACCATATGCTTGGGAACTTTCCCCTCCCATGTGACCGGTGAGGATGAAGAATGCTAGGAAAAGAAGGAGACACCCCAGAGAAAGCAAAAACAATGCTAATAAAATGGATTTCCAAGGGACTCTATCATAGGATTTCGGTGAATAATCAAATCGAGCATCGCGCTGCTTTTTCCCTATGCCGACATCATCTTCATAATCCTCATCTTCATATGTAGGAAGACGACTATACGGAATGTTCCTCCTGGAAGCCATTCAACTCCAATCCAAGTCTATACCAGATCAAATATGCTCAGCAACAGGACCTTCAAAATCAACACAGCGAAGCCATAAATTTTCAAAGGAGAAAAAATGTGGATGAGTGACAATAACTACACTAACAGATAAACTATCTTAACACTAATATCCCAAAAATACTGATAAATTATCTCCTAGAATATATTGACTAACTGGCTATGAGTGACCCAATAATGCATTATCGTCCTTAATAAGCAAAAAGTCAAAGCTTCCTAAGAAGAACTTTCGTTAGTCTTACTTGTCGGATCAGGTAAACAAACAGCAAGGTTTATTAAAGAAAAAGCTTCACCACCGGAGGCTGCAATGTTTGTTCAAAACCTTAAAAATTCCATCCAAAATAAAGGCAAAAACCCAAACTTTTATCAATTTCAAGCTGCAAACATTGTAATTTCTCGAATGTCCAGACATTTATTTAGCCACTACCCCAAAACCCAAGAAGATCTACTTCTTACCATCCAAATTGACGCAAACTATGGAAACAGAAATTGGTGAATTAAATGAATTTGAGCAGCGGTGATACTAACGAAGATGCTGGAGCCAATCCCTTCAAGAAATAAACAAAATGCAAAGGACGAATATGGAAGAAAAGAGAGCAATCACGGGAAACTTACGATGAAAGACTCTATTGAAGGACTAATTGACGATGAACCCAGATGTGGCAACGACTTTCAGATGCTAATTTGAGGCTGATTTGTGTAAGAATAATCAAAGACTTCGATTGAGAGTTGCTCAATCAAACGAAACCTTCAAAGTTGAAAAGTTCAATTTACGTGAGGCACTTCTGTTCCTCTGTACCTTCAGTGGGAAGTTGGAACAAAATCGGGCCGGCCTAAAATTGAAAGGAGAACGGGCCCTAACGAGCACAAAAAAAGTCTATGGGCCCAAGACAACAACTTTTTTTTATGCATGGACAAGCTTAAGTTTTTGTATTACTCTTGTAATTGTAACTTCATAAGCTACATAATGTTGTGATCTCTAATTTTTTTTTTTTTTTGGTTTGACAAAATTGTGATCTCATTATATGCTACAATTAATTATCATCGAGAGAGATACTCATATATGTACGATGAAATTTCGAATTTTTTTTTTTTAAAAAAAAAAAACGAAATGATCAAAAGTTTCATTTCCACGTAAAATGTGGGTCATTATATGAACATAAACATTTCTGTATGATTCATTATATTTTTTAAGTTTCACTTCTAGAATAGGATTGATGCTAGAGAAGGTAAATATACATAACTCATTTATTTTTTCCTTTTACACTAAATAGGGGGCGGTCGCTAGTTGAAGTCCTTAGGTAAAGGAAAAAAGAGAATCTAACTGATCATTTATTTCAAAAGAGAGCAACATAGACACAAAATATAATAACTCTTTTTTTATAATGAATGAGAAACGTTGACCCAAAATGTATATGAAAATCAAAACGTATTTCTGGAGTAGAATGATTTGTTTACAACAAGAGTAAAAATGGAACTTGCAAGTACATCATGTGCCTACTATTTCTTCGATCAACTAGGATTATTATTAGTCTACTATACATGCTCCAAAGGTTGGCCCTAGATGGACCTCTTAATACATGGCAGCATTTGCAGAAAATGTACTAGTTGCAGAAAACAAGGATACTCGCTGTCCACTGTCCACTGCACAAACAAGGATACCAAAGAAGAATTCAACCGTGCTAGTAATTCAGGAGCTGCGCTGATAGAGAAGAAATTTTGCAATCTCAAAAAAATTGTAGATTGGTCCCTAAATTTTTAAACTTTGTTAATTTTGACCCCTAAAGTTTCTAATTTTGTAGAACAATTCCTAGAGTTCAAAATCAGTCGAAAGGGGCAGAATATTCAATTAGTTCACTTAACTTTGAAGCAAGGGGCAATCTCTGATATTGAAGTTTTGAGAGATACATCTCCTCGAAGGGGCATGCATCCCTCGAACACCATACTACTACTCGAAGTGTTCAAGAATATGTAACTCGACTTTTGTCTACTCAACTCTACCTTCTCGGAATCAAGGTAACACCTTCTCGAATAATCAATTTATCTCAAGATCGAGATATATCTCAAACCTTGTCATTATTATATGTTTCTTGAACATAAATTCGTATATCATTGACATCATAATTCTTACCATAAAGATATTATTCATGTCATATGAAAATATCTTTTTGAGCACGATCAAAGGAGTTCTTCAAATTATTAACCCTCCCACGGTAAAACCGTATCACCCTTCAACGAGGAAAACGTACTCGGGGGCACAAACAAGGATATACCCTAGGGGCAAGGAACTTGAGGGATCATCCTAACATCCTCTGCTAGACTGATATTCTTCACGAGCATTTTACACTACATGTCATTATTATATAATATTGCATCTCGATGATCCAAACACTCGCGGTCCACCGCGCAAACAAGGAACTCTCTAACACAAAGACCTCCTCGAGGCATTCTATCTCTCTTTATCTTATATAGGTGACACCCGAGAACGAAAGAGTTCGAGAACTGGGGCAACACTACGAAACTCGAGGAAACATCAACACTCGTAGCAACCCATATTCCTCTCATCAAGTCTCGAGAATATGGCTTGCTAGGGGCACTTGACGAGTCATAAGTTAACCCTAGGCCTATTGGACCTAGGATTAGGTTACTTGGAGATTAAGTCACCGCCTAAACCTAATACGACTAGGTTTCAGGAAACAGGTAACACCACCTCTATATAAAGAGATGGTGCCTCTCCCATAATTCATATCTTTTACCTATCTTCTACACCTTCTACACACAATACACATCCATCTCTATATATTATCTCTATTCCCTTATTGGCTTAAGCATTGGAGAGTCTACCCTCGGGAGACACCCGATGCTCTGTCTTGCAGGTTTTAGGCCGTCCGCCGCCGCCTAGATCATCATCGCCGCCCGTCCTAAGTACCGTACAAATCCATGCTTCGTCAAGTGGCACGCCCAGTGGGACCGATTTGTTTGGTCTTCACAACCAAATAAATTTCTTAGCGAAGCACGGAATCTTTTGTATCTTTCACAGCCACGGTGTTAATTCGTTGCTCCAATTTTGCAACAAGAAGATCACGCAAAAAATTATCTTTGTTTGGCCAAGAAGACGTCAGCCGACAAGTAACACAAAGAGGCTTTCGATTGCACAAATAATCGAGGAGCTGCACTTGCTCCACAGCTGATCGAGAAGAACAATTAGCAAGGGGCAATCTCGAAGATTGGAGTTTCGAGACATACATCTCCTCGAAGGGGCAACAATCCCTCGACCACCATATTACTACATGAAGTATTCGAGAAGATACATCTCCTCGAAGCGGCAAGCATCCCTCGAGCACCTTACTACTACTCGAAGTGTTCGAGAAGACGTATCTCGACTGTCATCTACTCAAATAATATCTTCTCAGAATCGAGGTAACACCTTCTCGAGTTATCAATTTAACTCGAACCAAGGTACTTCTCAAACCTTTTTTTAATATATTTGTCGAATTTAAATCAATCTACTGATGATATCATTATCATATTACTACTATGTCACGTTATTATATTATTATCTTGTATTGCATCTCAATGATCTACACACTCGCGGTCCACCGCGCAAACAAGGAGCCGTTAAACGCGATATTGGGAATCATACTACTAGTATATTCGGGAATCATATTCCCCTTCGAGGCAAACCATATCAACTAATATGACTCTTGTTTGCGTACTTGACCTATCAGTCGCACTACGAAAACATGTCAACAATTAGATATTATTAGCACTCCTAAACCTATTATCAGTTGATTAGGTTATCAAGGTAGTGCCAGTTGATATCCTTGTTTTCCATATCCAAGCTTGATATTATCAACTGCGATACTCGAGACTTGATTATCCTTGAGTAGTTGATAATAAATAAATCAGTTTGTGAGGGTAGACCGATTATTTGTTAACAAGGTGCGATACTTGAGTATCTTTGTTTGTGCAAACAAATCAGTCTCATTGGGCATCAAATAATCCTAAGCACCTTGTTTGGATTATTAGATATTATTATACCTTGATATTATCAAAGTTGATTAGTTGGTTGTTTGATATCCTTGATAAACTAATAATATCCTTGTTTGCCAGTTGATTAGCGAGTGCCAGTTGATAATAACGTGACCATATTATAAGTCTTGCGAGTAGTTTTTCCTCATTAAATAATATCCTTGTTTGCGAGGGGTATATAATATGAGCAGAATTACGAAGATTGAGGGATACCGCGCAAATAACCTTCTATTGCTAGGTTCGAGAGTCATATTCTATTCATATGTTTTGTGTTGAGTAGACAAAAGTCGAGATACATCTTCTCGAACACTTCGAGTAGTAGTATGAACTCATTGAGTTTTTTTTTGTTTGTTTGCGCGGTGGGAAAAATAATATCAAAGTAAACAAAAAGTAGCTTTTAGCTAATCCATGTGTCCAAAGAAGTTTCTCAATTGAGTTCTGTTCTGTTGCAAGTTTCCTAATTCTGGTTATCGAATTAGTTCAAAAGTAGTTTTTTTTTTTATCTTTATCAATTTATGTACGGAATGATCACAAGTAGGATTGATGAATATTTGTTTAGTCATTGGTACAAAAAAGTTCTGTGCTCAAGCCGTTAGAAAAAAAAAAGTAGAAATTTCTGGGAAAAATATAAAATAAGATTATTATTATTACAAAACTATGAAAATTATATTATTATTATGAAAATTGAAAGTAGTATTGCCCTCATCTAACAAACAAAAAAAAAACGAAAAAGTGAGCATTAACAGGGACTTATTAAAAAAAAAAATTAAGAAAGTTTCGAAATGAGAATTCAAATGACGAACTTAAGGAACATATTTTAGTGACAAGAAAAGAATAATCATTTCAAAGAAAAGAATAATTCATGAGTTTATTTCTGGCTGATAATGAACATCTTACTGATAAGAAAAGATCATCTAGAAGTTTATCTATTACCAATACTAGTGATGTCTGGTCGCGCAATGCGCGACCCTGGCCCAATATATCTGTAGATTTTAAAAATAATTGTATATGAAAAAAAAACTATTTTGTATTTGGGCCGATATATTTTAGAAATGTTTGAAAAATTTAGAAATGTTTTATAAGTGTGATCATAGAAATGTTCGTATTTGGCATAAAAAGAAATTGTATTTGGCCCGGTACGTTTTAGAAATGTTTGAAGATTTTAAAAATGTTTTATAAGTGTTACTTCTTAAATATAAATAAACTTGATCAAATATGTCTTGAAGTAAATGCAAGGCAAAATATAAAAGCATCCTCATAAGTTTAAATTTTAGTAAGATATTTTGTTGATGTTCTCCATTGGAGATTTATAATAGCTTTGTAGTAAGCTTCTTCCAAAGGGTATACGCTTAATTGTTGAAACTATTTCTTCCAAAAGTTTATAGGTAGTAAAATTTAAAAAATATGATTTTGAAACTGGTTAATTGTTAAAACTGGTTGATTACAAATATGAGAATGAAAATAATGTAAATTTACATAGGTTTCAAGTTATAGCAAAAAACAATTCACCTCACATGGCAAATTTTTTTAAAAAAAGAGTAAAAGATAGCCCATTAAAAATTGAGAAATTTATTTTTCTGTAGGTGAAAATGATGTATAAAAACACAAATAAACGTAAAAAAATCATTCCTTCCCTCTCCACCTCAAATTCATAAAAAGCTTCCCCATAAATTAGTTAGAAGAAGTGACCTGAATTATTTATATGATGAGGAACTAAAAAAAGTCCAAAAACCAAATTCAGAAAAGTATATTCTTGAAAGACCGAACACAAAAAGCGTTTCATTTGTAAATAAAATAAAATAATAATAAAAATAATAATTGGTCAACTGGGAGTATGAAACAAAATCAAAAGCAATTAAACAAAGAAAAAAACACACTTCATAACTGACCATATACGAAAAAAACCTGAGACTCCATAATTAAAAAAAGAAAACCAGTCTAATTGAATGAAACATAAAAAAGAAATTTAAAAAATCACACTTTGTAACAAAAACTCAATTAATCAATTCAATACAAACAGAACTAAAATCATACAAAAATTCTAGGCTAACTAACCATATAAGAATCACATCATATTACCTGACAACGGCTAAGGTAGTTGTAACGGATGAACGCATAAAAATAATAGTAATAACACTATTCTTGAACGGGAAAAACAAAAAATAATAAAAGCCAGACAAATGATCTGCTGAAATAAAATAAATTAAATTTTAATACTTGTAATGGCACCGCCATAATGGCCGAAGCAAGATCAATGAGAATTTTTTTTTCCTTTGTTTTATATAGTGAGGTAAAGAGAATATTTTTTGAACTCGAAATTTTATCAGATTAGGATGTAGTTGATCATCACCAATGAAAAAATTTAACATGCTAATGGGAAAGAAGTATATTTCACCACATATTCTCAATTGATGATTGATGAGAAATTTTATTTATTTTTTTTTATTTGTGGAGAAGGGATTGATTAGGGAGTCGATTATCGTGGAGATGGGGATGAGGATTTCGGTTTTTTTATGAACACGTGGTTTTTTCTTTTAGCGAAAATAGGAGGTGAAAGTGCATTTGGACTGCATTTGCCTTTTAAGTCTAGGAGATGTGTAAATAAAAGTATAATGTAGAAATGCCACATGGCAAATGGTGGTGCTTTCTATAAAGTGTGGTTTTTGTTTCTAATATAATAAGATACTAGATGCTTGCCCCGGGCAAATGCCCGAGGGCGTCCTCCCATCTAATAAATTAATATGTAAATAATCAAAACTGATTAGGAATAAATTTAGTTTTTGATGAAAATAATTGATTGATCGAAAATTAATTTTTTCGAAAGTCCTAAATAAGTGGAGAAGGAAAATTCCATTCACTGTCAAATTCAAAATTTGAATGAACATGGCTATCTGATCTCTTCGTTAATATTGTAAATATATTTTTTGTTTTTAAAAGGGGGTGACACGTGGCAGAATGGTTTATGCAATATGGTGCATTTGGAGCCAAAACCTTTTAATAAGAAATTGCCACATCAGCATCCTGTTTTCTGCTTTAATAGGGTATATATAAAAGGGATAAATTTATCAATTATATTACCAAAAACACACACACACACACACACATATATAAATGGATAAACTTATTCATTTTTTTTTGAAAGAATAAACTTACTCATTGATTTTATTTACTTATATTATTATTATTATTATTATTATTATTATTATTATTATTTGATTTATCCCAAAAAATGGTTCAAATATTTTATTTTTATTTTTTTGTACAGGAAATTATACACAAATGCGTGTCTTATTTCCGTTTAAGTTCATGATTAATAGTTTATATAATACTCAATTGAACTGTATGTTACTATTTTTCATTTGATTCTTGAAACACAATAAAAAAGTAGGGGACAAATCACTCTAAAATAGGATAATTAAATCAAAATTAGTCATCAAATCTCTGTTTAAACAACCAAAATTTTATCTATATACTTATACTTAAATATACGTCTCTTAGACTAAGATATTAAGTGAACAATTGAGTCTCAATTGATATCTCATCCATTGGTGAGTTTGATCCAACGGTCCAATTTTATCCAAGAAACAGAGATTTAAGTGGGGTCATGATGGTAAATTCATACATTCTTTCTTCTCTTGAATTTATGTTTAGAAAAAAAAAAAAACCCCGGACCTCCAAAACGATGTTGTATACATATGATAAAAAAAATTCCATAGTTAAATCGAAATATAAAGTGAAATAAACCAGAGACTACATTCAATTATTAGCCAAACCGGAATAGTAAAGTTTTTTTATTATTAAATTAATATATAATATATTATATCACCGCACAACCTGCGGAAAGAATACTAGTATAAATAATTAAATTTAATTTCTTAATGAATTTAGTATTTATAATTTACTATTAAATATTTAGAACTAAGCAAGAATTTTTTCGAAAAGGACATGTGTTTTGGGCCCCCCTAATGGGCTTGCGAGATAACTGAATATCCAAATCATGAGATCCCCTACTATTAAATTTCCCCCCTGAGGCCCACATTGTATTCAGAGACAACAAATCCACATCATCACTCTCAAGTCCAATTTATGTTACAGAATTAATAATTTACATTTAATTTTTAAAAAATGATTGCCATTATTTCCACTTCTCTTCTTACTCGAGTCTTTTCACTTTCTTCCCCTCCACCCTCCCTATATAAATAACACCAAAACAAACCAAAATTCAACAGCTTAATTCAAAGTCTCTCCCCCAAAAATCCTTCCCCCATTGTTGAAGAAAGGAAAACATACAAGTAATTATCTAATCAATCATTTCAGCATAACACATATCAATCTCTTTGCAAAAGCTATAATTTTTTTTTTTTTGATTTGGATTTTCATTCAAGAATGTGCTGAAATTTTGTTTCTTTTTTTTTGGGATTTTTTTTTAACCTCCCCTGCATGCAGAATTTTGGGAGCTAGTTAATTCTCCGGCTGCTTAAATCGACCTTTTTCTTTGTTTGTGGAGAATGGCATTTCTGGAGGGGAACGGTAGAAGAATGAAGGACAACTGCGGGGGAAACGGGGGCGCCGGCGACGACGACTGGTGCTACGAAGACGAAAACGCCCTTCTGAATTATCCGGTGAAAGTTCGCACTACGCTCCGCTACATAAAGGAAATCTCCCAAAAACACAGTTACGAGGATATATATTCGATGCTGAGGGAATGTGGGATGGATCCCAATGAGACAGTTCAGAAGTTGCTGCTTGTTGGTATATATACTTTTTCTGGCCTTATTTATGTTATTTCTGAGTAGTTTGATTTTGCATGAGTCGGAATTCTTGTGTGTTCATCTGGAAATGATTTGTCCTTCTTGTGTTAGTTCTAAAAGGGTTGTTTTTGGTGAAAATGCTGTGGTCTATCAATTTTGTTGCGCTGGCAAAGGAAAATGTGATGTTTTAACTTATGCCAATAGGGTCGAATTCGAAAGATCGTGTTTTTACTGTTCTTTTTTTCCCCATTGTATAAAATCATTAGCTTTCCTCAGTTGTGTACAAATCTTTTTTTTTTCCCCCCTTGAGTGAATTGGGTCAATATTTATAGGATCATTGTTGTTTGCCACTTCTCATTGCCTAGATTCTTGCGGAAAATTGTAGTTCTGGTCCAACTGCCTAAAATGTTTGCTTTTTGCAATTTTAATGGTTTTACTTGCGACTAGTGAATTTGGCTTTGCATTTGGGTGTTGGAGTTTTCGGAGAGGCAAAGGTGTAAGAGATAAAAATGAGTTTTTTAAAATCTTTTGGCATTTCTATGGTAAATTAAAGGAGTCTGGTTTGCCGAATCAGTCCTTATTGCATTCATGATACATTTTAACAGCACCTACCATGTTTTTTGGTTGTTATGATGAGAACTTATGATTATTAGTTGTGTAATCAATGCGGTATTTGAATGCGTATTATTATCTTCTGAAGGTAAGTCAAGGAAAGCAGGCTGGCACCGCTTATATTTCAGTATTATCTTTTTCATTTTCTTTCTTTATTCGCCGAAGCGTTACATGATGTTTGTGGGGTACATTGTACATTGTTTGTCGCTTTTGCTCATACTGTGAAAGGTCAGTCTGGTGGGCCCTTGGGTAGGTGGGGTTTATGACCGAAGCTGTATCACAACGAAAAGCGGTCACACGCAATTGTGTGAATCTGCAAGGTGAAAGGAAGTTACAGTCAATGTGCTACGTGTTTGTTGCATGCAAAGTTAAGTGCAGAGTAAAGTTAATTGTTTTATGACAACGTGACTGCTAATTACTTGATGTTTTTCTTTGACATAATTGTTGGCTGAAAAATTTTTAGTGACTTCATTTGATTCACAGTTGCCTGTTTATATTTCTTATGTACTTTGCCAAGCGGTAATGAGTTTTGTAGTATACCCAATGTGTACTGTGAGACAGTTGGCCATCATCATGTAGAATTCGGTTCTTATCCATGCTGATCTTTTCTCATATTTGTCTTCAGTGTCAATTTGTCTTGTGGTTACATACTCTCTCCGTCAAAATGGTAGGTGGAGATAATAACGTCACCGAAGGATTTGGGAGGTGATTAGTGTAAAATCTTTTTTACATGTCGTTTTATTTCATTTGAAAGGTAAGTAAGGCAGTTAGATGGTAGGTGGCACAAGGAGAAATTACATGTTTTAATGTGGAGATTTCGGATGACATGGAATATTGAATTTCTATCACTGATTCAATATTAAATTGGCCAAGGGAAAAATTCTAATCATCGTACTCCTATATATTTGTTACTTTAATATTAAAATGAGACACTTGTGAATTGAAAATGGACCTTCCTCAATTCCTTAACTTCAACTCACATTGAAACATTTATGATTTGCGTACCACTTTGCGACTTGCTAGATGTGACTAATTTTAGCCATTTCTGACTTGTATTATCACGCAAAGATGTAAATGTCTTTACAGATGTTTACCTGGATTTTATACCTGAAGCTACATTGTCGGTAGATTGAAGAACTTGTGTTAGCGACTTTTTACACATATGCTTCAGTTGACTTTTTAATGACTCCTTCAACTTATAAATGTGTGTGTATGTCTCTCAGTGCTCATCCGTCAATGTTTTTCCATGGTGATTATTATCAGAGATTTTGAAATTGTGGAATCTTTTTTGGAAATTTGTTTATATTTGAAGCGATTTTTTACTGGGAAAGACCTGATATTCAAGTCTTCAGTGATTTGGGTTGCTTATCCTCTCATACATTGGTAAAACAGTCTATAGATGTTTCTATTTGTTTTATATTTATATTATTTATTTTTGTTTCAGATCTTCGTCAAGTTATTCTCAACTACTTATCTCTCCCTTTTTAGCAGTGTTCTTCTTTGGTTTTGTTTTGGTGTGGGAATTTTCCTTTTTGTTTACTGTGTTCATTCTCTGAATCCTGAGATGATAAGTTCACTACTTGTTTGTGCAGATCCATTTCGTGAGGTGAAACACAAGCATAGTAAGAGGAGATCAGTAAGTGTTGTTATCCCATTTATGCTCTGAATATCTATTTTCAAGCTTAGTCCTGAAAGTTAGATGGACCGAATTCTTGCTGATATATGGTCGAGAACTTGAAGATTCTAGAACTAAGTATTTTATGTTGCTAACTCAAGGAAGAATATCAATTAGGTACTGTAATTACATCAAACTTTAACCTTTCCAAGGACTATCTGATATAAGCCCACTAGATTGATCAGGAGTATTTTGTGGCTGCTGCAGAAAGTCTGCGTGACCTAATTAAAAAAGTGTTCTTTAGCGCTTTGTCACCATGTTTTTGTGTATCTTGTAGAGAGTTTGTCCATCTGCATGCCTAGTAAGCGTATTGTTCCTAAGTTAATCACCCGAGGACTTGATTCTTGTTAAATCTAAGAAGCCATCAGTTATAGTGAAAATTCGTAATAAAAATGGAATAGTGAATGATGAAATGACAAGATCGCCCCCTTAATAATTGCCCACATGACAAAGGGCAATTAGGTCTTTATACATTGCATCATTTCATCATTATATAATTTCGCAGGCTCTTTAATTTTCTTAATGTGCAATTAGGTTATCTAGCATTCACTGTTATAACACAGATTAGATTGTCTCATTCTGTAGGTTTATTGAATCTAATTAATCTGTTTGGTTTTAACTCAGAATGTAGACCCCGGCACCTCTGAAAGACGTAAATGGATGTCTGGTGTGCAGCAGCGAGAGGCTGGGGCTGGTAGAGGAAACAATTATTCTGCATACTCTCCCATTGGTGATTATTGTGGGTTGCATCCCCTTCTTCTCTTCTTCTTCTTCTTCTTCTTCTTCTTTTTTTTTTTTGGTCTAATTGAACTTATCTTATACCTTAGGATAGGTTTACTTGTGTGTTGGTTCATGGTAACTCCAAATACTTATAACATTATATTCTCTGCAATCATGCTTATGGGACAGATGATCTTCTTTCCTTCTTTTACTTTACCGGATTATGTGTTTGAACTTAAATCAAAATTTCTGCTTAGGGGATGACAAAAGCTCTCTCTCAGGTTTTACTGCTTCTTAATGCTTCACTTTGCCAGATGCTGAAATATCTGCCCTTAGGCGAATTTTTGATTGTCTTCCGATAGTGGACTTGTCTAATATGTGGTCTCACTATGGTGCCCCCCACTTGTGCCACCCCCTTTATATCTTTTTGATGGCTTTGACCTTGATTCCTCTATCTCCAATTTTGAAAGATATTGTGACCAGATTGTTAATTCAAGTTTGAAGCGTTTATGATTGTTTAGACTACAATGTTTTACATTATATTTAAATTTGTCTGTTATCAGATGGTGGTGGTCACAGGAGACAGGCTCCCGTGAGACCAGAAAATGGTGGCCCTTATCACAGAGAACCCAACCATGCTGTACCTCTTGCTAAGTAAGTTTTCAAACTCAGAAGTTCTTGCCTGCTAAGTTTATATATGGTGGTAGTGCTAAGCTAACTGTCAAACTGAAAATCATTTTCAGACCACCTTCAGTTGCAGCTTCAAATGGAAATTCTATTAATGAACCAAGTCAAGGAGCCTCCATTGCTGAGGTCAGGCAGTTAGGAAAAAGTCCAGCTCTACAAACTGTTGCTGTGAAGCAACTCGACAGTACAAGTCGCGGCCCCACTCCTGCCTCAACTCCAACAACTGCCTCCATTGTTTCATCTGGAACGAGATTTGTTGGAGAAATTTCTGAATCACAATCTACTGATTTACCAGCTTCCCTGAGCTCAGCTCCCGTATCAGGTGTCTATTCCTCTGCTTCGGATCCAGTGTTGCTTCCATCCCTCAATCTGCGCAATCTTGGAGCTGCGGGAACCATAAAACGTGAAAAGCAGAACCCTCAATGTGCTTCTGAGTTTAGTGGGCCGTCTTGTCAGATTGAGTTGAATGGTGGTCATGTCAGTACAAGTGGTAGTCAAGAAGGTGTTCGAACTGCCAATGGAACATCACAGAGAGTTGAAAAAAGTAAAACTTCCGAGCATTCCAGGGATTCATCTTTGTTAAGCCATGATAATCCATCTTCCGCTGCCATTGTGGAGCAGGATGATTGGTCACTTGAACAAGTTAGTGGTCCTTCACAAGGTAGATTTCTGAGCCCGACTGATTTTCTTATTTTTTTTTTAATCTTTGAAATGAGATATTTTGTTGCTTTTTCTGCTTGTGTTTTCCAGGTGTGTGGTTTATTCGTCATAATAAATAGTTAGATAACTCGTGAACTATTTTGTAAGGTATCATTAAGTTTAACTCTCCTTCCCGATGCTGGAAAATATCATAAACCATCAGCCAATTGGAATAGGAGAAAAACGGAGAAACAAATTTTGGTGGGGTAACATGATAGATATTTACAAGTGTGAATATATATTAAAATGACTATTAATCATTAAAGCTATGGGATGTGTATCTGTGTTAGTCCCCAGTTTACATGCTGCCCTATAACATTTTGTTTCTGGGTTTGCCATGTATGTTACGTTGCTTAGTTTTCGTGAATATGGAACTAAGATGAACAAGGAGCTCAAGTTGAAGACTTTTTTATTCCCCTTTTCCTAATTTTGCACCAGTGTTAGCTCAAGTTGGAAATGAGGCACAAGGAGCCAGTATGCAGTCCCATTCCAAGCTCAGTGACCCTGTTTTGGAGAAAGAAATATCACAACTCGATATGAAGTTAGAGGGACTGAAATTGTCCACCCATCAGCAAGTTATTTTTCCAGATCACATTCAGGTTCCTGAAGAAGTAAGAGTTGGATTGACTTTTGGTAGCTTGGATGGCGCTTCAGTACCAAGCAAAAATATGAACAAGGACTCCACGCGTGTGGCTCCCTCTGTGATGATTGGCCAGGATGCTGCTGGGGAGCCACCTTTATGGTAAATGAACATACTGTTTGAGGCTTTTGCATCTTGTTGTCTGCTCTCGTATTGCGGAAAAAGATTTGCATAATATTTGACCACAGACTATAGTTTGATTGGAAAATATGATTAGGCAGATTTTATACTCCAATATTTTTATCGCAGTAGATACGAAATGCTTCTTGCAGATCACTTGTTTTTCCCCTGCTTTTGTACATCCTTTTTAACTTACATTCTCATTTAGTTTGTATGATGTTTCTGGCCAGTGATCAACCTGCAGCCCCAGCTGTCGAAGGAGATGATTCTGCTTGTCATACGCAAACACAGCCTGAGGGAATGGAGAACTTATCACCCTTAGAAATGGATGCCTTATCTGCTGCTGTTCCTCCGAAGTCCAATCAGCTGAAGCCTGACATACTGCCCCATATTGGAGGATCGCAATACCCATTTTTGTCGGCTGCTCCAGTTAATGGTTTCAGTATCGTACCCCCGATCTTTGGGCATCACCTTCTGCAAGTTGAAGCAGCTGAGGTAAATCCTTGTTCTTCTTATTGCCAACATCTACTACTGGTTCTATATGAGGCTTCGCTCCTCTGGATCTTTTGGGCATTCAATTATGTCTGCATCGCGACATAATGATAAGACATGATGTTTTTGTTCCCTTTGAAGGTGGCCAGCTCAGTTCCATCAACATCGAGTTCATCACAACCTGCTCAGCCTGTAGGCACTGGACAGAATTCTGTTGCTGTTTCACCGCAGTTGTTTCCTTTCCTTAGGCACCCATTTCCGTCCAATTATGTCCCATACAATCCGTACTTCCCTCATCTCTATATGCCCCATGGTTCTCACCAGTTTATAGGTCATGGTGGATTCCCTCAGCTAGCTCCAACCGGTAACATGTATATGCCACCAGCTGCTGCTACAGGGGTCAAATACCCTGTTTCACCTGTATACAAGCCCGGTGCAAACACTGGAAATCCAGCGAACTTTGGTATTCCATCTGGATATGGCCCGTATGGCTCTTCTGCTGTTGGCTATGGTATTGGTGCTAGCATAACTCCAAGTGGTTCTTCTTGCAGTGAAGATCTTGCTGCTCCTGAGACGAAGGACAGGAACATTTACTCGGCACTAAATCAGGTTGGTCATCTTCTGGACATCAAAATACATCTCTAATTTTTATATTGACGTCTGATGTGTGTTTATTTATTCATTAAGAAGACATTGAGACATGCATTTGTAGGTTTTTATTAGCCAATTGGTTAAGTCAGTGTATGTTCTTGGATGTGGACAAATTTAATCACATAGTGCTAAGCTAACATCTTTCTGCTTACTGTATACATTATTTGATAGCTGTTGAACGAGAGTGCCCTACATGTTATTGAATAGAATGTTGCTTCCTTGAACTACTTTATGCATGGCAATAACTTGCATTTCGCTTTGCCACGCTGAAGTTTTTGCATTTTAATTGCTTCTGCTGTAATTGAAGGGTACTTTTCTCCTCATCTGCCTCCCTGTTGCTTGTGGTAGTAGGGCATATGGCCCTACTAACAGGGGCGGGATCCTGGGAATATGGCCCCCCATAAAAAAAAAAAAAACAGGGGAGGGATCCTGGGGACATGGCCCCCCATTTTAATTACTACCTCCATTCCTATTTATAAGAAGCAATTAGCTAACTTTACACATACAAATAAAACTATTTAGTTTTAGTTATTTGTCACAAATATGTTATGAATTTACTAAATTAACCTTATTACATTAATGTGTTAGTTGAAATGTATTCCGAGTGAGTTAGTTGAGAGGGTAAACCATAGAAAAAAAATATTTAATGCTTTTTTGAAAATGTAAAACTCATATAAAAAGGAACAAAAAACTCATGTCCGATGCCTCTAATAAAAAGGAATGGAGGTAGTAATAATTAAAATTACGGTACATGGCTGCTCATAATAGTTGCTTATTAGGATGGATACTGTGAGTGGTTTCCTGCTGATGGTTAGAGACAAACTCCTAATGTAAATGCTGTATTTGCAGAACGAGGAGCCCCAAATTTGGACCTCTGTACCAGCTCGAGACATGTCATCTTTGCCAGGAAATTTCTACTACAACTTTCCTCCTGGCCAACAGGTCGCTTTTCCTCCCTCACATTCTGGTCAGGGATCTATAGCTGAAATGTATCATCTAACTCAAACAGCTGATGCTGCTGCTTCAACCAGTGCTCAGTCACCTCCTGAACAACAATCCCAACCAATTGCTGGATCTGCTGAACCTGAGATTCCACCATCAGGCGGCACGTATCAACAAACTCATTCGCAGAACCATTGGAACACCAAATTACTTAACCGATAGAACATTTAATCTTTTTGGATGAAAAGACATTGTAGTAGCAATCTAGTTTGCCGTTATAAGGGGATAATTAGACAAAGGGTAACTTATATTGGCCTCCCAAAGTGTAAATAGCACAATCTGCTATGAAGGCTAAGATATATTAGAAGGATAATCAATAGAGGACAGGTCTCCTTCCCTATGGTAGGCCTCTTTTTGTTATGAAAACATTGTCCTTGTAAGATTAAAAATTATGGATAATTGCAGTAGCCTTTTTGGATATATATCTTTCTTGGGAATTCGTGGAATATGTTAGGCTTGAATTTGCAGGTGGGGTTTTGGTATTATCCTGTATCTCATGTTTCACCTCATCAAACTTAGGCAGCCAGCTGAATGAATTCAAAAACAGTTGAATGATACTCTGTTGTCTCTCTTGCAATTCCCGGAGTCTTTGAACTGAACAGAAACTTGAAGTCCCTTCTAGGAATGAACAGAAGGGAGGAGCAAGTCCAGGTGTTTGAGATTAATGATAGATTTTCAACAGCTATATTTCAAAATTTACCATTATTAGTAAGATTTGCGAGTTTTAGAATACTATTATCTAACCCTGTTTTGCAACATTAATCTTAGCTCAGGATGTTGCCCTCAGTCATCTCAGCTCTTTCCCTAAACCCTTGTTAAATATGAGTATTTGAAAAAGAAAAACAAAATGAAACCCTGAAAAGTTCTTTCTCTAGATGAAATGTAACCAGTTAAAAAAAGATCACATATCTCAAAAGAAATGATATTAACATGCTGATTTTCTTACCCCAAAAATCTGCTTACTAGGAATTATTCTGTTAAACAAAAGAGAAAGTTGCTGGTTCAAATTTTGTGAGTCTGTACAGGGTCCAAAGTCAATCCATCAATGAACTGCAATCCTTTTCTTCTTTTACTAGGCATACGGTGGTTGAATGCTCTACTTATGCAATTGGTGAGTTTTGAACTCCCAATCTCTGTAATACTCCGGTTGCACATAACATGTAACCAGCGCGTCAAGAAGTGACGCCAGACTCTACTTCGATTATGCATAGGAAAAACCACCAGTTTAGGCAGGGCTGGACGTGGAAGTATTCTCAACCACAACAGCCTCCTCCAAGAGTTCTTCCAGTTTCTTGTGATTTTGAGGAGGAAGTAGATTTTGCTTTGGTAGCAGGCTATGACTACTCTCTTTCTCGCGCGATTCTTTCAAATTGAGAGAGGTGTAAACGGTCATTCCACCAAAAGCAGCAAAAGCACCACAGATGCTCAATGTTCCTGGATCAGAACCAAATAGTATGTACCCTGCTAATATTAGGACACATGTTTTGAACTGTCCTAAAACCACATGTGAAGTTGCAGAAGTGGCACTGCAAAAGCAGAAAACCGAAACCACATAAGATAACTTCAAAGCCTTGTTGATCAAAGTTAAAGAAAAGACTGCAAGTGCACAATTATTAGTTCCTACCCAAGTGCCAGAGCTCCTGACCATTGCAAGAGAAAGCCAAGCAAAGCTGATGTGAGAATGGCAGTCACGTTTTGGACATCCCATTTGAAGGTTAAAACCCCTGGTGGATCCATCCAAGGCATGAGGGCAAGTAAGAAGAATATTGTTACCGGGGTTGTCTTCCACATTAACCTGCATTAAAACCATTGTTTTAACTGCTAGTTTGCTGCTTTCTCATCGAACATTGCACATTGGTATATGAGTAACTACTTACGCAAGGGCAGTCCAGTTACTTTGTTGCTGGAGATTAGACCAAAGGATTTTGTTTATTGCACTAGGAATAATCCAAGCTATTGCTGCACCAGCACCGAATAAATTGAATTCCAGGTCTGTTACAGTTGCAACTGCTACGCCTATGGACACGACGGCTAGAGCCAAAACCTGCAGGGTAATCAAGTCAACTTGTGAGGATGGATGGTGAAAAAACTGAAAAGAAACAATTTCAAAAGGCAAGAAAAAGCCTCTTTTTCAATTTGTTGAGAAAGTTAACAAAGAGTGATGAAATTCAATATGACCTTGTGGAATGATATGGTTTTTCTGAAAAGGATGAACTCAGCAATCACAATGGTTGGAGTGACAGCAATTTTAGCCATCTGGTAGAAACCAACACTGTGGATTGTATCAGCTGCAGCAGTCAGGTTAGATAAACAAAAAAACAAAAGGAAAAAATGTACATATACATTCTTGGTGGTTTGAAAGGTATAAAAACAACACAGAAGTAAGAAGCAGAGAATTAGGACCTGTTATGCTTAAGACTAGTGTTGGCAAGACCAGAAGCAAAAGCCATAACAGCACCCAATGAGAAAAGTGAAGAGAATGGAGTTGATTTCGAAGGAGGTGAGACTGGAAGCAATCCAAGTGCCTTGAATATAGCCAACAAAACCCAGGCAGTAGTGTAATGGATTAAAGTCAGGAATATTGGGTAATTGAACCCAACTCTCCCCATAACCTGTTAGCAAAAAATGAACCAGATTTCTGACTGATTTAGTTAGCCTATTCTCAATGCATAGTATGAAAAACTTGTAAAGATTGCAAAAGAACATGACAGATACTAAAATGAGGTAAAAGGTAGAAGGTTCAAAATCCGACCAATTTGTTTCCCAGAATTATTGAGACCGCAACCACGAAATTGAAGGTCATCGCCACTTGCGGTCCGCAGAATCGTTGTTGCTGCCGTTTGGCTCCCTCAGAAGTTCGCAGCTCATTATAGAGAGAGCCTCTAAGTTCTTCCAATGCACGGGCTGATAGGGCAGAAACCAAGCAAAACAGAGGAATTTCAGAAGAAAAGAATATCACATTAAGAATTCATCATCTTAAAGGGAATGATGAAATCCCTTTGAATCAATACCCTTAGGATGAATGGATTTTACAACATTGCATGATGAAAAGAATAAAGAACAGAACTGAAGAAGAATAAGGAAAAGGGATGATCACAAACCTGCTTCGCCTGCATCACTGTCTTTCCTTTTGATGGTGAATGATCTTTTTGCATCTTTTCCCAACCAAGAACTGAAGAAGCCCATATGCACATTCTAAAAATACATGTAATCAAGATCCAAAAACAGCCATCAAAACAACCGCTTCTTTGGAAAAATGCCCATCAAATTCACACACACACACACACACACACTCACAAGATTAACTGATGAGGTTCAAATGATGGGAAGATGATCAAGAACAGATTTTTTGGAGAATTGAGTAAATGGTAGGTAGTAAGCTGGACAACCTTCCTGAGAATTTCCCAATTCTGATCCCTAATGAGACACCTAATTGATGGCATTTCCGGTGGGTAATGCTAAAAGTGCAGTGACAGTATCTTTACTCCTAAGCATTGTTTGTTTCACAGTACAACACAACTAACTCTTTTCCTAGTACTATTTATCATTGATTTTGGTGATGAAAACTTTAATTTTTTTAAAAATCCAAGGAGATCCGTAGAAGATCATCAGCCTAAGAATGTTGAGATTATTTTTAAGGATTTTCTGTACATCCCAATGATGGATCTTAGCCAGGAAGAATCACACAGAATCAATCCTACCCCTTAAAAACAGCAAAGTAGCCAAAAGTGATTATTCTTTCAGCAAATTAAACAAAAACGTACTTTGATGCTACATAAATCAGATAAATATTGGTCACTAAGAAGCGGTCAAAACGACTAATTTTATGGCAGATCTTCTGAACATATGAGAAATTATACAGTAATTTACGTTAACCACCCCAACTACTTTAAGACTGTAAATTTGCATATTTCCTCCTAATGATATATACTTGATTTTGTATCCGTTGAGGCGGACAATTTGGTTATGAGGATATATTAATGCATATTGTAAATTGAAAGGAAAAGAGCATCTGGACTTTCATGTATTTTCAGTACTAACTTTAAATTTCAAGAATGAAGGGAAAAGGAAAAAGGGTATCATTAATCAATAATCATCAAGCTCTTTTGGAACGGTTGGGTCTTCCTTTTAGCTCTGTTCTTGAGAATTTGATGTGTTCAAAGATAAATGAACAGGGCTAAATCATCATTAAAGGGTCCATAATAAAAGGTGGACTAACCTTCATTTTCATTTTTTTTAATCTTTAGGACACATCAAATTACATCTTGGTGAAGAACTAGACTCTTGGAATAAATGCAAAGAGGAGACATGATGCCTCAAAATCATTTGGGAAAATGATATATTGATGCTGCACAGATGATTGAATACATATACTTATGTGCGATACCTGCCATTCATCAAGTTATTAGCAGGAATTAAAAGAATATAGATTGATATTTGCCTTTATTGTAGATCACTATCGAATTTCATTATGTATTTTTAGTGAGTATATAGCTATTATATTATATACCTTTTGGTAATGATGACATCAATTGACAACACAAAATTAAAATGTTCACCAGATATACACGATATATATATATATATATATATATATATTTTTTTTTTTCTTTTTATAATCTTAAACAATACATTGGGTTTTCCACATTTTCCTCAAAAAAAAAAAAAAAAAAAGAAAAGGACAAAAGTAAATAATAGCACTGTAATGGAATTCTTGTAACAAGAGTATCTTAATAAAAAATAACCACTGTATAAATACTTCAACTATTTGTCGAGTCGGATATGTACCTACGGACATGGAAATGAAAAGAACCCGAGATACAATCACCGGCGGCGGCGGCGGCGAGGATAGTGATGGTGCTATGTTGGAGTGGTTTTTATTTGAATTGTTACACAAAGTTCCGATTAAGGACTTGTTCAGGTTCAAGTGTGTATCAAAACAATGGTATGATTTTATCTCTAATCCCTCATTTCCCGATTCCTATATCTCTAGACTGCCTTCATCACAAAGACAATTCCCAATCATGTTTTTTCCGTCCTGGTTCCGACTCGCTGATCATGATCAAGATCAAGATCAAGATCGTACCTTTCTCACTAATTTGCCTTTTCCTCGTGTGAAAGAAGTAGGATCTGATTCATCAAATCCATCAGATTGGTTTTTCTGTACCCTAGCAGCCGACAAAGGGTTTCTTTTGCTAGGTTACACCGCCCGGCTAAAAATCAATGGTCCTTCTTCCGGAGATAGATTCACTAATGCTGAATTTTACATTTGGAGTGCTGTAACCCATCAGTGGTTTTGCCTGCCTTCACCTCCTTCTGGCACCGTCTTTAAGAGGGAAAATGTTGGTTTTATAACCCAAGTGAAATCTGGATCTTTGACCAGTTATAAAGTCGTCATAATCTCTTACAGGTTTGAACATTCCACTGATGTGAAGTTGTTTTCTTCAGAAACAGGGGAATGGAGGCGCATCCATTTGCACTCTGAAGTTCCAGTTTCAAGACTTCTCCCGGGTTGGAGACCCTTTGTTCTGAACAACACGCTTCATTGGCCTGATCCTATTCGTCGTAAAATCATCACATATGATCCTTACGCCAATCCTAATAGGTATGGTACAATTGACCTTCCGACAAAGGGATGGTTTTCCACATGTGGTGTTAGTCAAGGTCGCCTTAAGTGCATTGAAACAATTAGAGATTGTTGGGAAATTTGGGAACTCGGGGAGGACTCCCATTGGTGTTTTCAAACTGCAATCAAGATCAACGATTTTGAAATTGCTCCTCCTTTTCGTCATCCGGGTCCTGTAAAGTACTCTGGATTTGAGATATTCCATCCATCTGATCCGGATATAATATACTTGTATTTGGATTTGAAGGCGAACAAAAGAATATTGATCATGTCGGCGTGCAACATTAAGACCAAGAAGGTGGAACCACTTGGTCCATCAACCCCGTTATTCACGAGCTTGAATTCTTTCCTTGTGGAGTCTTCACCTTGGTTCTTCTCCGTCCAACCTGTTCTTGTGGAAATTCCAACTTGGCCCATCTCCATTCCAGCTGCTCTTGGTAACAATTGTAAGGGCTTTGATGATGAACAACATATATATAAGAGCACCAGCAAAGGTCAAGTTTGAGAGTTTAAGGCTTTAAATGTTTCTTCTCTTAATTTTTTTTTTTTTAAATAGTTGAATGGGACACTTGGTATATTCTATGATGAAATATGTATAAATTGAAAGAATGCATTTTCTTTTCTTTGCTTTGCTTTTTTGAGGGTAGATTGCTGAATTAGATATGAATCCTCAACTTTACATTTCAAGGGGAAAGAAAAAAGAGAATGGAATCAAATATTAGCATCAAAGGAGGACATTAACATCAAAGACCAGCAACTGAATAAACATCATCAAGCTCTTTTGGAACGGTTGGATCTCTTTTTGTTCTTGAGGGTTGGCGCCAGTTTGGATCTCTTCGACCCATTACATAGTCTTGGTAAAGAATCATAACACTATGATCTCATAATTAACTAACCTGGATAATCATTACGGAATAGAGGGAGTATGAAACATCATAGTCTTCCTGCCGCCGTGCGAAGTGCATACTCCAGGCGAGAGGAAGATCAGGGATGCGTTACTCTTCCTTTTAGTTCTTTTTTTAACTTTGAATGGGAAGATGAATGAATCGTATCGAATCGCAGGTAACATTATTGTTCTGTCTTAGATTTTTAATTTTTAAAGGTATTTTTTTTTTAAAAAAAATCCAAACTAAACAATTATTTTGAGACCGGTAATACAATACAATATTAGGTGTGAGTGGGCTCGGTCCGAATAACGTTCTTGCCGCTGTCCATATTTTTATACTCCTAATTGGAAACCCTAACAGAAACCCTAGCACTTGTAAGTTTCAGTCGTATTCCTCCTCCGTTCCAAATATGGAGAACCGACAAAAGACCACCTCCCAGGGCGGAGACAGGGGCGGTTTTCAGGGTTGCGATTTACCGGAATGGTTCTTGTTTGAATTGTTATGCAAACTTCCGGCTGAGGACGTGTTTAGGTTCAAGCGCGTATCGAAACAATGGTCGTTTTTCATATCTGATCCCCGTTATTCCGGTTCATTGTTATCTAGACTGTCCTTATCATCACGACGATTGATCTTCCTTCGGTCAAAGTACAATTTGGATGATGATGATGATGGTGGTGGTGATGAAAAAGGGAGACTAACATATCCAGAGCGACACTTTTTTAGCCTACCAACTCCTCCTCCCGGAGGAATAGATCCGACAAGGACAACAACAACCACCTTTAGAACAACCACAACATTTACTGAAAAAGTAACCACAAGATCATTGTATACCATAGCAGCCGACAAGGGGTTTGTTTTGATGGTTCTTCTATGGAAAACGAAGAGGTTGAACGGTTCAACCAAGTTTGACCTTTGTAACTTTTACGTATGCAGTGCTACAACGGATCAGTGGTTGAGCATACCGGTTCCTCCTTATACCCACGACAACTTCCAAGGTAAATACTTTTATGACTTGCGTCCCCGTATAGGTTTTGTAACCCGGATGCAGGTGGAGGAAGCTGGACCAGTTTTGTCTAGTTATAAGGTCGTAATACTAACTTGTTCTTCTTTTAGGCATGATGGTGAGGATTTCTTTGATATGGTGGAGGTGTTCTCCTCAGAAACAAGGAGATGGGAAAATTTTACTTTGTCTTATGGTGGCGGTGGAATTCCAACTTGGTTTTACTCCAAGACACCCATTGTTGTGAACAACAGTCTCTATTATTCGGCGCGGTGTAATGATGATGATGAGCCCTATCAAATCCTAGCTTATAACCCTTATTTCAGCCCTACTGAGTGTCGGATGATAAAAGTTCCACCTGGAGGTTCGTTTCACAGAATGGGTGTTTGTCAAGGTCGTCTTAGGTATTTTCAGCGGCAGCGGCAGTTCCCAAATCAAAATCAAAGGGATGAGGAATGTTTGGAAGTGTGGGAATTTGGGGAGGAGGAAGACTTATCTCAGTGGCGCCTTAAGAATACACTTACCCTTGCCAGAGATGTTGCTACGTTTTTCTATTTCCATCCATTTGATTCAAACGTGATAATATGTTGGGGTGAAGACGATTTTGTGGCCTTCAATATGTTGACCCACAAAATGGAAACATTTACTCCGTCCCCGAATAAGAGTAAAGGGTTTCTTTTGAAGCTTCCACCTCGGCCCGTCTCTATTCCGTCTTCTCTTATTAGGAGTAAGGAGGGAGAAATTTGAGGCTGCAGCATTGGTAAGTTAGAGCTTTCTTCATATCCGGTTTGAGTGTTATTAGGTTCGGTGAGTTTTCAATATCCTAAGGAAGTTAATTTTGTGTTTAGTTATCTGAGTTCCTCTAGATTTCATCCATTTGATCCATCCGTCCATCTTTATCAATTAATGTAAAACTGAAATAGATTCCAGTCATTTCATCCACTTGGTTTAATTTTTGCTTCTTGTGTGAGTTGGTTTGCTTCATATTCCAGTTGAGTGTTACTAGATTCAGTTGGTTCAATATATATACTATCTTCTTATACATACTACTAAGAAGATCAATTTATCAAGAACTTTTGTGTTCAGTTATCTGAGAATGCTCCATTCAAGTCATTTGCAAAATACATTTCCGTCTTTGTCAAAGTTAAAACTGAAATATCATAATCAGTGGTGAGAGAATTTCCAGCTAGTTTACAACTATTTTTTTGCAAAACAAAAGAGGTTGAATTAAGGGGAATTCATGATCACCCAAATGAAGTACTAAGTTACAGAGAATAAAATCTGTGACTCTAGTTTTCCCCTCGAGAATGTCATTTTCTGTTCTCATTGCATCAAGATCAGCTCGTAGCTTGTCAATGTCCAGGCTCCGGGAGCACATGGTTGCGAGTCTCGCCTCGTACTCAGCAATTTCCCGGCAACTTCTGTGTCGATGGAAAGAACCTTTAATTAGCCAAGCATTGGTAGATTTCTGTCAGCAGCCACTGGATCTTTTGTTGCTTCCCTGACAATTTATATTGTAGCGCTTTCATTTAGTAGTAGTTTGAGAACAGTGAAGAGTGGACATCCTTTTTCAGAAAAGAAAAAAGGAAAAAAGAGTGAACATCAAACTACACTGAACCACTAAAAAAATAAATTCATGGCTTCACTAAAAACAAAACGCGAGGCTATACGTACTTCAGGTTCAATAAATACTATATATATATATATATATATATATATATATATATATATGCTTGATTCAAGTCATTCCATCAATTTGATCCTTGCAATACATGTCCATTTTTGTCAAAGTAAAACCACTAAAATATAAAGGTCCAAGTTTACAACTATTTTTGCAAACCAAAGAAGGTCTATCAAGGAAATTCATGATCACCAAATCAAGTACTGGATACAGAGGACAAAATGTGCCACAAAACCTGGATTATACTCCCTCTGCAAGTCGGATTTAGTTTGTATAAAAACTAGCAATCAAAAAGATAAAGTCCTAGTAGCTATCACCATATATACACATCAAGTTGCAGATCAAACTATAAAAACAGGGATAATTCAGCATAGAGGTAATTAAAATCCACAATCGGCCCTAGGCTGTGTAAAGGACACAATTTGAGTAGACAAGTTCTTGGCTGAATGGAAGCAAAATTGAGCTCGAATAGAACCAGATTGCACAAAAAAGATCAAAAAATCCAAATAAGTAGTATAACACAGAAACTTATTCCGCCAAAAGCCAATTTGCTTCCTGTATTGAGCCGTTAATGGTTGTTGCGGAGTAAAAATTGCGGAGTCACCAAAATCTTAATTTGGAGCGCAAATTGATGAATTGCTGCAATAATTAAACCTACAGAGAGTTCAGAATTCATTGGTGATGCTGTTCGCCGGACAGAAGAAGTGATCGACGGTGTGTAGTTCACGATGACCACCAAGGAGATTGAATTAGGCAGCGGCAGTAGCTTCTAATGGCGGCGCGGCCGTGGAGGAAATCAAACGTGTGAGGAATTTCAATTCCGGTGATGTATATATGAACTTGATGATCGGAGATGACGGCCGGTGGCAGGAGATGATCGGCAGTGTTATCGTCGGTTACAAAACCAAGCACTAAAAGGGATGGCTCTCCAGTAACGGTGCCAACGTTTCGACGAGTTTGTCAGGTCCGTAAGCGTTAATATGAATTCCAATCATTCCAAAAAATTTATTTGTAGACACAGTAAAATCAGGTTGAATTCTAAAGTAACAATCTTTTAATTAATTCTTAATTTTATAGAAATAGTAAAATAGAGGGGTTATTCAAAGAATTAAAAATGAGAACTTAATCTATATATACTAATAAAAAATTATTTTTACATATGTGGCGTCCAATTAGAAACTCAGTCAAAATGTAGTAATAGAACCCCTCTGTATTAACAATTTTATAATTTTACTTTAGACTAAAAAAAATCTCAACTAAATGTAATAATCAGGTGAAACATAAGATAAGATTAGTTTTATAATATTTTGGTTCATTTTTTAAAACATTGGCGGTAGTTATATGGATTGTTTATATAGATTGTTTACAAATCAAGTGGTGCAGGTACATGGTTATATTGTAATGGTGCATATTCCTGTGATAGGTTTTTTAATTGACCAATGGTATGTTATTTTTTTAGATGCGTGGTTAATTACGAGTGCAATTTTTTTTAATTAATGTTTTACTTTTTCTTAGCTGTGATTTGCAATACATGATAATTTGGAGGAGAAAACTCAGCTTTGGTCCCCCAAAGTTTAAGAGGTAGTAAGACCGAGTCACCACAAATTTTCACTCAACAAAATCAGTCACCTAAAAAATTTTCTTCAATAATTTTAATTAATTTAACAGAATTTTTATAAACTTAGTAGCTGAAACCTTCTTCTCCGTTCAATATTTAATTGTTTACTATTTTCTACTGAATGTATTTTTTTTGGCACCTAACCATGCGGGTCAAAGATTTGGAAGTGAAAAATTGATATTTGTTTTGATTTGGTAAAACTCTTTATCACAAATCAGCTCAACCCAATTCTTCTAAAGATTCAAAAGCTCAAAAAAAAAAATTAAAAAAAACCCCATCTTTTACAATTCAAGTCCTTACTACAAAGCAATAATAAAATCCATCAATATTCTTCAAAATTTAAGTAAATTAACCCCTTAACATTATAATAAATGAATTTTATTATATCTATCAAGGATTTTCGTCACTAAAAAATTTATGAACAAGTCCCTAATAAAGTGATAAAACTTATATTTCTCGATCAATCAGGCACATTAAATAACATCTTGCCGAAGAATCAGACAATGTGTTACTTTCTTCTAGTTAGCAAAAACAAATTAATACTCTCTTTGCCTATAAACACTTCTAAAGAACTTGTTGTAGCAAATTTATTCATTAATTTCTAATTTTGCACTCGAGGTTATCACCATGGGCTTGTTTAGAGTAGTTTATGGCTCTAATGTGATTTACAGGCTATTGGAATGGGCAAGAGTTTGACCAACTCTAGTGAGGTTCCTGATGTTATCAAATTAAAAAAAATAAAAAATATAACTCTTAATACAATTGTCTTGTTTATTTTATCTATCTATTTAAAATAATATTCCACATAAACTTCAATTAAACTCAAAAGAGTAATAATACAAACAGTAAAATCTTATAGGAAAAAAAGAATAATTAATATAAACACAAACTCACTAACTCTAACTCTTAATAACTACCCATTAACAAAGGAAAATTTTTTACATATATACATATATATATGTGTGTGTGCGTGCACACCACATCTTCACTACGTCATTTTACTATTTATATTATTTTCTCATTCAAAGCAATTTTCTTTTTCTTGGAATAGAGGGAAACTATTCTTGGGTAAAAGAAGAAGCCATTAAAATCAGAAACCTATGTTTTTTTTTAGTTAGTTTTTTTAGAATTAAATAATAATAATTGTCACATCTCATCGTACTTTTTTATATTTCTAATACACTTTTTTACATTTCTAATGTCAAAAACACTTAAAAACACATACTAAAAAAACGAAACAAACATAACTGTTATAAGGTTTTAGTCGGATTCCCTTCTCCGTCCTCCCTTTCGAAAATGGAAAACAGAAGCAGCGAACGTAAGACCTCTGAGGATTGCGATTTACCAGAATGGTTCTTGTTAGAGTTGTTATTTAAACTTCCCTTTGAAGAGGTATTTGGGTTCAAGTGTGTATCGAAACAATGGTTGTCTTTTATCTCTCATCCTCGTTTTCCTGGTTTTTTTTTGTCTCTAGACAGCTCCTTTCATCACCAAGGTTAATCTATTTTCCGTAGAGTTCAAGTTTGACGAGGGTCATAAAGATGATGGAAAAATAAGTGCGAGCCTAAGATATCCAGAGCGGCACTTTTTTACACTACCAACCCCTCCTCCCGAAGGTTTAGATCCAACAAGGACAATAACAACAACTATTACAGAAAGAATAACAAGAAGATCATTTTTTACCCTAGCAACCGACAAGGGATTTCTTGTGCTGCGGGTTTGTCTATGGACAACCAAAGGGGGCAACGTTCGCTCCGGGTTGACCTTGGTAATTTTTACGTATGCAGTGCTACGACGGATGAGTGGTTTAGCCTACCCTTTTCATCACAACACAAGCCTGGTTAGGAGGCTTCAAGTCTGTTATAACCAGTTGGGTTGGCGAATAGGTTTCATAACCCAAGTGGAAGCTGGGATTTTGACTAGTTATAAGGTCGTAATACTTGGAGATTCCCATGATTTGGAGTTGTTCTCCTCAGAAACAAGGAGATGGCAAAAATTTTACTTTCCTCATGCTGGAGAAGATTTGTTTACCACACCGGTTCATCTGAACAACACTCTCTATTGGCTTCATCGTGAAAATTACGGTGACGACCATTCTCAAATCCTGGCTTACAATCCTACCGATATTCGCATCATAAAACTTCCCACAAATGTGGCTAGATTCTCGGATTACATAATTGGTGTTTGTGAAGGTCGTCTCAAGTATTGTGAGCAGTTTTCTCAGGACCCAAATCAAAGAGATTACAAATGTTTCAATGTGTGGGAACTTGGGGAGGAGGACTCCCGCTGGCAAATGTAATGTTTTTTGGGGGGACCTGCTTCCGTTTGGGACGGGTTGGGAATTTTGTTCCGGTGGCCTACAATATGCTTACCCACCAAGTGGAACCAGTTCGCCCATCGTCACCGTTATCGATCGACCCTGATGTGTTTGTTCTGGAGCTTCCACCTTGGCCCGTCTCCATTCCACCTTCTCTTCTTATTAAAGAGGGGATGTGAGACAGCAACATTGATAAGTTTAGTTTTCTTCATGTTCGATTTCAGTGCTTAAGACTTATTTAATTTGCTGCATAAGTTGTTTCTTCATATTCCTGTTGGGAGTTATTAGGTCCAGTTAGTTGAATATCCTAAGGAAGATCAGTTTAGCAACAACTTTGTGTTCAGTTATCTGAGTTGAGTTTCAGAGTTTGTTAGATTCCAGTCATTCCATCCATTTCATCCATGCAATACATCCATCCATCTTTATCAATCTAATTGGGTCCAATTCTACACCTACTTGTTGCAAAAAGAGAAGTTCAATCAGGAAATTTATGACCACCAAATGAAGTACAAAGTTACAGAGAACCAAAACTGTGACAAATCCTGCATTATACTGTCTGCAAGTCGGATTTATAATTAGGATTATCCATGTCCCAGTTGAATAACTTTGAAGCTTCAAAGTATAGCTACTGAATCATTACCTAGTTTCCTCTCGAGAATGTCATTTTCTTTCCTAAGGGCATCAAGATCGGCTTGTAGCTTGTCAATATCCAGGCTCCGGGAGGACATGGTTGCAAGTTTGGCCTCGTAATCAGCAAATTCCCGGCGAGTTCTGTCAATGGAAAGAACCTTTTCAGCGGTCTTATCAAAGCATTCGTGGATTTCTGTCAGCAACCGGTAAGCTTGACGGGCCACCGGATCTTTTCTTGCTTCCCTGACCAATGATAGAGATTTCATTTAGCATTTGTGCAGTGAATACAAACTACACCATTTAGGATCACAAAAGAATAAATTCATCGCTTCTTGTATGTAGTGACATAATAGACTACCTGAAAATAGTTTCATCAACTACAGCATATGTTCGATTAAGACGTTCTTGAATGAGGTTAGTCTCCAGTTGAAGCTCCCTTGTGTCTCTTAAAATCCGCTCTACATCAGCGTCTTGTTTCCTGCTATTCTTTGTAATCTCCTTGATCCGCAAAACGAAAGATTCTCGCGAGGCTACTTTAGGTTGATTTTCAAGTTCAGCTGAATATAACAAAAAATCCCCTTCCCTGTAAAGATGCAACCGCTAGATAAAGAAAGGCTGACTAATGATACCCTCTACTCTGGGATACCACACTTCAAACAGATGGACGAGACCTTGAGAATCCAGATTTTCTCTTATACACATACTAATGCATTGTACGTGAGGATCAGAAAATTACCTTCTCCTAATTTCTGCTGAAACAGACTCCATCTCCTTCAAAATATCCTTCTTTTGTTGAAGCTTTTCAAGGGCCGCTGGATCCATGGCACCAAGAGCCTCCTCAAGATTTCTCCTTTTCTCCTCCAAAGGCAATCTCAGAGCATAACTGAATTAATAAACCAGTATGACGTCAGACTTTATCAACTTTTCTACAGTTCCAATACATCTCAACAAGTTTGGTACCATTCATGAGAGTCAAGTTTCTCAAGCCGCTCCCTTCTTGTTTCCATTGAATCTTCGAGTGTTTGGATATAGAAGTCTAAGGAATTTCGGTCGTCAAATTCCAATGCAGCCTTCAGCTCATCAAGCAGATCTGATGACTTTGAAGTCTTTGCAATCAAATTCATAAGCAATTTTTTCTGGGAAAAAAATTCTTATATCACATTGCGAAAAAGAAAATAATGATGCTAATGAAGAATTTGATGTGGTGATAGGAAAACCAACCATGTCAGCAGAATTCACCCCATGTGAAATCCCTTGAAAAGAATTCGATTCATTTACATGCTTGGGGCACTTCAGGTCGATCACAAGAGCCAAAGTTTCATCCTTTCCGCCCACCATGCTTCCCACTACCTCAACAATATCCAATGAACCCGGACCAACTCTCCCAGTTTTCCGTCCTTCACCATTCAAGCTTCCGGTGTCTGTTTTGGTTTTGTCCTCAACATCCCGTCTATCTTTGGAGAATTCTCCTGAGGAAGCATTTGTAGAATCGGCTTTTGCTGATGCTGCTGCTTCAGTCTGCTGTTGCCTCACAAACTTAAACTCCGGTAGGACCTCTCTAGTCTGATCACCATCAATGGACGTGCGTGCTTGGGAGGATTGAGATGATTCAGGTCCAGAAACTGCTAGCCTGCCTACTAAGAATCTCACAAACTTATACAAGTCCTCCTCAGAAGGATACAGAAACTGCCTAACAAAAACCACACCATTTGCGAAAATTACAAACACACAACAACAATCAAAGTATCAAAACCCTAACGGAATTACCAAACGAGATTCCAATTAACTTTTGACGAACCTAATCTGTTTTTAACTGCCCCACATTCATTTTTTTCATAACAAAAGAAGAAAAAATACTAAATAAAGATTCCAATACGGAACATAAAAATATCCCCACAAGAAAACAAAAATCAAAAGGATCAACAGATAGTAACCGAATTGAACATTATGCTACGCCTTAGGTTCACAGAAATGTAAAATTAGGAAATCCGGCGGTACTCTACTGAGTCATATTAAATGAACTGAAGATTGTAAAATAGACTACCTTGTGAAAGCTTATGTCACCGACGAAACCGAGACGCTTGAAGGCGGAAGCCAGGTCAGTGCAGAGCTTGAATCGATCTGCCACGGAGTCTTCCGGCAACGAGGCCGGAAACGACAGCGTACTGTCAATTATGCAGAGCGATTGGGAGCATACATAGAACAGCGATGCCGGAGTGAGGTCTTGGATCGCCGCCACGGACGGCGGGACCGGAACCCCTGAGTTACGGAGCGAGTTGAGAAGAATCTCATGAGAATCGTCCATCTCACCGTGCTCTCCGGAGCTCGCCGCTTTTTTACTTTTCAGTTTTTATGTGGCTGATTAAAAGTCGCTATTATTTAAGCCAGAGAGATTCGCGCCTTTTCGTGTTTGCACTCAAAAGACGGAATCTAGTTCACACGCCTTTTGACTTTCACCTTCAAAGTTTGCAGTGTCTTCCTAAAATAGATGAAATTACATTTGATTGATCGATTCATATCAGTATATGAAGTATTCGAGCAGAAATGTTAAAGCAATCTTACTATTTTAAAAAAAATTTCAACCGGAGAATATGTAAGACCACTACTGGTTTTTGAAACACAAAGTAATATTCCAAATATGCTGCTCCTTCCGTCCCATAATTATTGTCCAATTTCGTCAAATTACATAATTTTATTTTTAGTCAAACTCAACTAAATTTTTGAATAACCTTCCCAATATACCCCTGCATATATACATAAACTGGTTTAATAGATGAAGGGGAAGAATTTCTTTTACTTCTTCACTTTAGCTCCCCGATTTAAAAATTAATCTCAAAACCCCATAATAACACCTTCAATTACTCTTCGGTGAGACATATAGATATAATAGAACCAAACTTTCAGATGGAGAATATAATTTCAAGTTTCAATCTTCTAAGATTCAATTTGATGTTTATGAAGATAATCCTTTTATTTCACCGAAAAATTTTTCGCCGTCATAGATCGGTGAGAGTTCTTCATCTGTGAACTCATCGCTTGTGCTAAATAGAATCAAATTTTCAGAAGAATTCTTTTTAATTTAGAGAAAGTTCTTAATGTAAACTTTCATTTGATACTCATCCGTATGATTATTATTTCGTCGGGATGCTCTTTCGAATCGATCGATTACAGTTTCAACTCCGACTTTGCCAGAATTTCTTCTCTATCTTTCCTTTCCGACAACTACCCGGCACCTCATTGTCATCACCGCCTCATCGCTTCGAGATGTTGGAGTATAGTCTGTTATCTGTGTTGTTCTCTTTTCTAGTGTTTGTTGTTTTAGGAATACTGGTTTTCTAGTGAATTTGTTGTTTTTACTGAAGGGTATATGTGTAACTTACATAATAAAAAGTCAAATCGGACAATAATTTTGGGACAAAATTTTTTTGATAAAATAGACAATAATTTTGGGACGGAGGGAGTATCACAAATCAAAATATTCAAAAACATAGCTCATTTTTAAGATTGATATATCCGGAATACAAAATTTTTGTTGTTACATGTTAGTAGATGTGGCAAATCACAGAAAGGACATTATCCTTCTTCTCTTTTAGCCGGGGAGAAAAGAAAATGCTTGGGAGTTGTAAATTTCTAGTTTATAGTAACTAACTTGGATCAATGTATTATGAAATCTCAATTCTTATGATTAATATAACAAAGGGCGTGTAATAACTGAAAGAAGGTTGAAAACTGAAACCAATCATCTATCTAGATTTTCTTTCTAGTTAGCCATCAGAAGCATGTGTTTCTCCTAACAATGCAATATCTTTTGTTTCTGCCTAATGAAGTACTTCCTCTGTTGCTATATAGGCTGAATCATGTACCATTTTGGTTGTTTCAAGTTCCAGTCACTTAACAAGTGAATGATCGTCCTCATTTTGGCTTTGGAAAGCTTTGGAGATGGAGGGAAGAGGCAGAAGAGAGGAGGATCGAGATGAGATCGTAGACTTGTCGGCTCCAACAACTTTAAGTTCATTGCAAATTGATGAAAGCAATGGCAACATTGGTCTCACCATTGAAATCATGTCACAAGCTCATCTCCGAAACAGGAGCTCCCAGATTGATATTGTGGATGCTGTTTCAACTCTAAATAAAGAGACCCCTTTGCCTATTTACCTCAAGGTATGTATGTGTTACGAGTGACAGAATTAGATGGCGACATATGGTTCATATAGCACATTCGACAGAATTAGTTGCCGTTGTTATATTGAAATGTAGTATGTGTATGCGCCTCTTCAGTTTTATCTTACAAATCTGTGTGGAATATGAAATTATGTTATTCTTCAATGTAGTTTGCTGATGTGGAGTACAAGGTGAAACTTAGCAGGGCTTCTTCCAACATAAATCCAGTCAAGACAGTAGTGTCAAAAGTAGTGTCTCAACTGAATTTGGATCAAGCTAATTACAAGCAGATACTTAAGGGCATCACAGGAAGTGTTGGCCCTGGTGAGATACTGGCCTTAATGGGGCCTTCCGGAAGTGGAAAGACAACGCTGTTAAAGGTGATTGGCGGAAGATTGCACGAAAATGTTAAAGGATCTGTCACTTACAATGATATTCAATTTAGTCCAGCCCTTAAGAAGAGGTATTCAATATATAATCCACTCTTTCACTGCCTCAAACATATAATGTAATGGCAGACTTATATGATGTTCCTGTGTTTTGAGAGTCTGATATGATGGCAGGATTGGTTTTGTGACGCAAGATGATGTGCTTTTCCCACAACTAACTGTGGAGGAAACCTTAGTTTTTTCTGCTTTCTTAAGGCTTCCAAGCAGCATGACCAAGAATCAGAAGCACGAAAGAGTGTCTATGATCATTAAGGAATTAGGACTTGAAAGGTTTGTTTTCTGAACTACGTCAACCTTTCTTTTTTCGCTTTTCTTTTAATGAGCTAGGAAACTACGACATGATCATTTGAGGAGTAATCGATCAAAAACAGGTGTCGCCACACACGAATAGGCGGAGGCTTTGTAAAGGGCATATCAGGAGGAGAAAGAAAAAGAACCAGCATAGGCTATGAAATACTTGTTGATCCCTCGCTTTTGTTGCTTGATGAACCTACATCTGGACTCGATTCCACCTCGGCCAACAGGATCCTTCAGATTCTTCAAGAACTTGCAAAGGTAACAAGATTTAATCTTACTAGCTATAATTTTTCAATCTATTAGGCCTCACTGAATGTAACTGTAGCAGCTTTAGCTGTCATAAAATCCTCAGCTCAAGCTCAAAAATCAAACTTTACTTACTTGTACTAACAAAGGGAATCTATGCATAAATGACATTTTTTAAAAGGTTAATTTTTGACTGATTGGTTCACATTTAGGGAGGGAGAACAATTATTACAACCATCCACCAGCCTTCAAGCAGGATATTTCACATGTTTGATAAGGTTCTATTAATAGCAGAAGGATTTCCCATCTACTACGGGAAAGCTCAAGAATCCTCGCAGTATTTTTCATCCTTGAGATTCTTCCCCGAGATGGCGATGAATCCTGCTGAGTTCTTGCTTGAGTTGGCAGCTGGACAAGTTAATGATATCAGCATTCCTGCAGAGTTATCTGCATTACGAGGAACAGCTGACTATGAAAGGACTGTTGTCATGGTGAGAGTACACGTCTCATGTTACATATGTCTTGAGGTTTCTTATGTTTCCAGGAATCGCTTTCTAAGTAGTTTTAGTTTTTGCCTTAAATGTAGTTTTTACACCAGAAATTCAAACTTGAACTGGAACCTAAAGAGAAGAAAGAGAACCATCAGATATCAAGGACACCTGAGGCTCTTAAAGCAGCCATTCAGATTAGGAAGGAGTGGACAATGACATGGTGGGATCAATTCATGATCCTGCTTAAGAGAACATACAGAGAAAGATGCAGAGATTACTTCGATTCAATACGATTAATTCAATCACTTCTGATTGCAATCTTGCTAGGACTTCTATGGTGGAAATCCAACTATAGCACAGAAGCACACCTCCGGGATCAGGCAATAACATCACCAATCTTCTTAGCTATGATATTGGATCAGTGCTACTAACAAAAAAGGATTAACATTTTTTCTTTAACTTGCAGATTGGATTGTTGTACTACATCTGTATCTTCTGGACCTCCTCATCCTTATTTGGAGCTGTGTACGTGTTTCCATTTGAGAAAATCTTCTTGGTGAAGGAGAGGAAAGCAGATATGTACAGATTAAGTGTGTACTACGTCTGCAGCACATTATGCGACATGGTGGCGCATGTGTTATATCCCTTATTCTTCATGGCCATTCTGTACTTCATGGCCGGATTCAAGCGGACAATTGAATGCTTCTTCACAACTGTTTCAGCGATACTCCTAGTAGCTCTGACCAGCCAAGTAAGTTTCACAAGTTCTATCCAAGCTCAAAAATTCACCTGTTGTCCATGTAAACTAGAAGAGATGTGTTTTAATTGAGCATCATGACGACATATAGTCCATACATAGTCGCTTGTCATTGTTGCTGGATGTGGAAGTCAAAATTCATCTTAATGTTTCTTGTTTTGAGGGAGCTGGAGAGCTTTTTGGAGCTGCAGTTATGAGTATGAAAAGGGCAGGCATGGTTGCTTCTTTGCTATTCATGTTGTTTCTCCTAACTGGTGGTTACTACATTCAGGTATCTGAACTCCAGTAAAAAAAAAAAAAAAAAAAAAGACTAGTAACACATTTGTTAACACTGTGTATGAAGTCATTACAGTTTCAATTTGTTAGACAATTATATATCCATGCAGCTTAAGGCTTGTTAAGAACTTGCAAAAGAACATGTAAATTGCATCGATAATCAGTTCGTTATACTGCAGTTTCTAATGTGATCTACCGATTTTTTTGATTCGCTGCAGCATATACCGAAATTCATGAGATGGTTGAAGTACATGTCTTTCATGTACCATGGATTTAGGCTTCTGATGAAAGCTCAATACTCAGGAGATGAAGTGTATGAGTGTGGAAGCCAAAGTGGATGCAGATCACTGCAGAGTTCTCCCTCATTTGACACAGTAAATTTGGGTGGTGGCCTATCAGAAGTTTGGGTTCTGCTGGCAATGGCCTTGGGTTACAGAATCTGTGCTTATTTTTGCCTTTTGAGGAAAATTAATGCTGCCAATTTATGAATAAAGATCAACCAGTGTTTCTGTTATGGAAGGACAAAATGATCCAACATAAAAAAAAAAAAAAAAAAAACCTACTGAGTTTTTTCTTTCTTCTCATTATTTGAATTGAGATAAAAAAAAATTTTACTGCCTTTTCTTTTTGAAGTGATGATTTTGAACTCTCATTTATGAATTCATCAGGGAAGAAATGTTCTCCATTTATCCCGTTTCTAATCAAATTTGTCTGATCAATGAAAGCAATTTCATTGAGGTCCTTAACAATGCATTATTTAACATATTCTCAAGGGTTGCTATAAAGGTATATATCGAACCTTAACCGACAAAATTAAAGGCTCTCTCATACCCAATCCAAGTCAAACTTCGTGGCTTGCATCAAACCTTTCCACAATTAATGGCAGCAAACAGGGTAAAGATGTCATGTTTTGTAATTCACTAATTTGAGGAATTATCAAATAATCTTTCCTGGGTTATTATTAAACTCGAATCATTTTGGAGTATTTTGATCATACGGGTTTCATAAAGCAAGGGCAATAAATAGTTAAATACAGACTCTTCATTTTTATTTTTTTTCCCACATGGTGTTTAAAAAGGTTGCAATCATTGGATGATTTTCACTTTCTAACACAGAACAGAAGTGACAGCAAGAAAAAACATCTGAACATGGCTCAGTCAAAAAATAACTCAGAAAAAGCCATCTGAAACCTGAGAGTGGAGGTGGTCCTTCACCTGAGCCATTTATGACATGGACAAGTTCATATACCATAAACTTCTGAACCACAGAATCTAGTAATATTACCATACCCAGAGAATATTTCCATCATGTTTTGACTGCCCAGGAAAAAGAGTTCCTTAATTAGCATCTACCCAGTGTTCATCCCCAGTCATCCGACAAAAAATCTTCCAAAACCCGTCACTTTTCTAATTTTTTGTTCAAAAATTTGGTAAAGTTGAGAGCTTTGCCTCTCTTCCTTAATCTTTCGGAGAAGAAAGATTGGATTTTGATGGAGCTGGTACCTTACTCTGACCCAAAATCAGAATCCAGTTCCTCGAATCCACCCTGGCAAGAGATGTTTAGATCAGCTTCAATCCGGAAACCAGACCCATCACCCCAGAATCAGAACCACCTGCCTTCCTCCTCAGCTTCTACTGCCACAGAAAATCCCGATCCAAATGGTAATGGTAATACCAATTCCTCTTCTTTATCAGGGGACCCACAGGTACGGTTAGCACTGTATATAGCCATGGCTCATGCTGGGTTGGCCTTGGGAATTTTCGTTCTTTATGCTGTTTGTAAATTGCTTGAGCAGTATTTAAGGCCTATTCTATGGGCTGTGCTTTGTTCAATCCCTTTAAGAGGAATTCAGCAGACCCTTGTTGGATTTTGGTCTGAACCCCTCAAATTAGGCCTCACTGAGACTGTTTTGGCTGTCCCAGTGGCCATTTTCAGGGTTTTTGTTGGAACCCTTGTGGAGATTAAAGATTTAATTTTGAGGGTTGTTTTTAGAAGGAAGAAAGCTAATGTTGTGAGGAGGGATAGGAGTGGGTTTTATAAGTTATTGAGAGGGTTAGTTTCATTTTGGGTGTTTATAATGGCTTATGAGCAAATTGGTGGTTTTGGATCAATAGCTTTACTTGCAATAGGTTTTATGTTTAGTGCTACTAGCGTAGAGTCTACTATGAATGCAGTGACATCCTTTAGGACTCATAGCTTCCGCCGAAGCCCAGTAACTGCATTTTTCACTCGGGGAATATTGAGCAGATTGAAAACCATCGTGGCTGTTGGTTTGATTGTGGGGATGGGTGTAGGTTCTTTGGCGGGCATGATTTTTTTCTCTTATAAAGTGGGTGTAGAGGGGAAAGACGCTGTTATTGCCTTAAAATCGCACGTGGAAGAGAGCAATTATGCTGAGAAGCTCGGTGTTAAACAATGGATGGAAGAAAATGATGTGCCAGGAATGGTGGATACATATAGTACTAAGTTTTATGAAACTGTGTCTGATCAAATTGATGGATTGGCAATGCAGTATAATATGACTCAGTTTGTTGATGAATTGAAGCATTATTTGATAAATCAACCTGTGAACTCTTCTGAGAGATCCACTGCCTTGACTAGCCCTTCTCCGTATACTGAGAAAATCTTGAGTTTGAAAAAGCGGGTTAAAGACCGTGAATGGGGATTAATATACACAGAGTTGGATGTAATCTTTAGAGAAGTGCTGATTAGCAGAGAAGATTTAGTTGAGAAGGCAAAGGGGTTTGCCCTACAAGGCCTTGATGTTATGCAGCAGGTATTGATTAGTAGTAGATCCGTCATTGGTGGCAGTGCTAAGCTAATGTTCACGATTGGGAATTCCATCGTCTCTGGAGCTGCTGGTCTGTTGTATTTTATATCTCAGTCCATGGTTTTCTTTTGGGTTTTATACTATCTCATCACATCAGAGTCGGGTGGTGTGACAGAACAAGTAATGTGCATGATTCCCATGCCACAGTCCGCACGAACTCGAAGTGTGGAGGTTCTTGATAAAGCTATTTCAGGGGTCTTACTAGCAACTGCTGAAATTGCTTTCTTTCAAGGATGCCTAACTTGGCTATTATTCAGATTCTTTTCTATACATTTCTTGTACATGTCGACTGTCCTGGCCTTTTTCAGCCCTTTGTTCCCAATTTTTCCATCGTGGCTTTCAACAATTCCTGCAGCTGTTCAATTGTTGCTGGAAGGGAAATATATAATGGCTATCACTATCTCCATTATTCATCTGGTTCTCATGGAGTACGGTGCATCTGAGATTCTAGAGGATATCCCTGGCCACAGTGCTTATCTTACTGGACTTAGCATCATCGGTGGAATGACACTGTTTCCATCTGCTATTGAGGTAACTTTTGTCATTTATGCTTGGTGATTTTTTATATTAACTGCATTAGGATTACTAAGTAACCTTCAAACTTAAGCAAACTTGGAATTGTGTTCATAAAGGATTATAAAATAACTGCAAAATCCTACTACTGCTATACATACCTAGGAGTTAGACTCTTTGCGAAGCATGTCATGTTGCTCAATCTTGGAGTTGGAACTAGTACAAGGTGCTATGTTTTATTAAATACAAAAAATGCACACTAACAAGCAAACTCACAGAAATCTACACACACAAACCCACACATGCGTGTGCACGCAGAAAAACCATAGGACCAAAAAAAGGCGGCATTCATGATTGAACATCATCTAAAAAACATAATTTGGTATTCCAAAGCAAAGAGAAAACATGCATGTTATATGACCTATGACAAACTCATATGCAGACGTCTATGCGCCTGACAAACTCATAATGTGCCTGAAGTCAGAAGTTAAGAAACAGCACCAGTTGATTGTCCAATAAGTTCTTTTATAATTTTATTCCTTTTTTCAGGTTACTTTTTATACGTTTTAATCTTCAGGGAAACGGAATAATTGACAACATATCTTAAAGATAGTTGAAGATATTGAAAAGAGATTTCTTTTCCATTATGCAGGGTGCAATCATGGGGCCACTGATAACGACGGTGGTTATTGCTCTTAAAGATTTGTATGTAGAATTTGTCCTTGATGAACCAAAGGAGATTTGATAAGAACCAAGTAGAAGGGTCTCCTTCAAGCTCGTACCAGCATTGTTCATCATGGATTGTAAAGATTTTGGTGAAGAAACCTGAGTGCAAATGTTTCCATTGCAATGTCCGCATAACGTCTAGTATTGATTGATGTTATCGTTCTATCGCCTGTTTTTTGCTCCAGTTCCATCGATTTTGGTGAGCATTGTGTAAAATTATTGGTCAAGCTTGTGAATTTATCAGTCATTTTGAAGAAAATGTACATAAGTAATTCATACACTTGTTCATTCTTGAAATGGATATTTGAGATATTATTCACCTTTCTCTTTCTCAATTGGAGGAATGCGAAGCATAAACAATTCCAATCACAGTGAATATAGAAAACCAGAGACAAATTAAAAAAATAAAATGAAAATGAAAATACAAATACAAACTCAAAATGTACCAAATTACACCAGAACAAAAATCCCAGATAAACAAAGCTACAGCAAGATAAATTGAGATAATGAGAACAAGAAACCAGATAAACATTCATTCAGATTTAGCAAGATACATGGAGATAGTTACAACATACGGCATCGATGTTTCCAAAATCACATATCAAAAAGTTGCACATTCATTACAGAAGAGTTGGAGCTTTCAAAGCAGTAGCACGCAGAGAAGAGCCCAATTGAGAACTCATTTAATTTCTTAAAAATAATAAAGATATTACACAATTCTCTACCCCAGAATCCTTGCAGAGAGGTCACTTCATATACTTTTGTAGGAATTTTCTATGGAAGTCATTCCTGATTGTGTCATTAATAAACCGCTTGGGCGCCTTAGCCTCACCTCGAGCCTGGTTCTTGAAGACGACATCATCATCCCACCTCCTCTTAACATTGAAGGATGTAGGATTATTGAGAAGAGGATTTCCCTTCAACAACTCAGCTTCTTTGGCTTTAAGTTCTTCCTCTTGCATTTGTCGTTCCTGCCAGGTGCGGAGTTAACAAAGACCAAGGTCAGCAGTAGATACAAAATTAGGTCCATATTTTAAGAACACATATAACATTCTCCAACAGATGGGCTTTAAATGTGCCAGAGAATGAGATGCATCAGCTCTATTGGTTTCACCCACAGCAAAATGGACTCAGGATGTGAAATGGGCAAATGCAGGCATGGCAACATGTACAATCCATATTAACATGCCTTATGGAGGAGAAACAGGAAAAAAGAGGGGAAAAAGAAAAATAATTTGTACAGCAGGTCAAATCTGGTGCAGGAGCTTACTTTTCGCAGTTTCTCCTCTGCTTTTTCCTTTCTGATCTGTTCGAGCGCTGCTAAAAGAGCTTCATCATCATCGTCGTCGTCATCATCCTCACTAGCAAAGAACATAGAGTAAGTAAGCAAGCCTGACAAGAGAAAGGAAGCTCATGGAAGTTTGAAATAAAAAACTATGCTGGTTCAAATACAAGCTTTGTAACATTATGATAAATGAAAAGCATCTTCGAGCACTCAAAAAACTGACTAGGCCAAAGATAGGAAGATGGAGTAGGCGAAGCATAATGATTGACAGAACAAAGAAAGCACAATTAGATATGTGAAGAACAGGCAAGAAATTGTTGAACAGCATGAGATACAGCAGGTTCAGGACATTCAAAAAGCTTCCCTATAGTCCTGTTGGCAATAAAAATTCCTGCCACTAATACCAACCTTTCATCACTGCTTTTGGGATCCAAATCATCGTCGTCGTCGTCATTGCGAGTAATACGTTCTTCATTTGGTCTCCTAGGCCCTATAAGCAGTAACCAAAAGGAAAAAAGAATGATTCAATACACCATCAATTTTAGTAAAAGCATACTCATCGACTAAAAAACTAGCACTAACCATCTAAAAGAAGATGATGACTCCCCTTCCGACGATCTTTATCATCTGCAAATAAAAAGAGACATTAGGTTTTAATAGTTGTCGAAACTTGTAACTAGTCCATACAGCGACAGAACAAAGATCAGAGCTAAAAAAGGGGGGTGCGCTTCTAATAATACAGTACTCCACGACTCACATGTTACCTTTTGATGAGAAGTGCCTGCGCTCGCGGACCTCTAACTCATCCCGTAGATTCCTTTTCTGAATTTCATCCTGAGTGTCTTGTCCCTCCCTCCTGAAACAGCAGATGCCAACGAATGTGAGAAATAGCAAATTAACATCAAAATGATATTTTGAATGATCAGTGACTCCGGATAATGAAAGATTATTCAACGAGTGACTGATGGGAAAATCATAAAAGGCGTAACAGAGGCAAGTGAAGACTCCCTACAGCTGAACTCAAATCCTCCAGCTGCCCAAAAAGGGGCACTGACAACAACTACCAACATATTATGGGAATTTCTAGCAAGATCATAAAAAAGCTGAATGAAACAGAAACTTGGCAAACCCAAAACCTTCACGAGTTAGTTCCAAATGCATTATTAGAACCAACTACCAGAAAATTTGGATGACAATCCTCATTCCAGTACGTACAATCGTATAAAAAAACGTCATACAAACATTCTGCAGATTCTAACACAAAAGCAGTCATTCAAACAAACCTCAAACGCGACACATTTACAACTGGCTAATATAATGGAAAATTGACCCGAGTATTCTTTCCGTGAAAACTCAAGGACGGTCAATGAAAATAAAGAGATTCAATTGGGAACGAAAGTAAAAGAAACAGAATAAGGACCTGGGTTTTAAGGTAGTATGAGCGGCGATGTCCCTGGAAGAATACTTCTGAGAGGGGCCAAAGATTCGAGTGCCACCTTGCTCGTTTCCTCCTTTAGCCGGCGCCCATGTGGGTCTTGCCGCCGTCGTCATCTTTGATTATTTTCCCTCAAACGAAGATGAATTGAGCAAACTCCCTTTCAAACAATCAGAGCCAAGATTCACAACTCGGATCGTGATGCAAGGAATCTGAAGACTAAAACAACGATATTGATATCTAAGGTAATGATAACCACAAATTGGAGCTGAATGAAAGAAAATAGTTAGGGTTCGTACCTGGAGAATGTTTTGGGAGTTCTGGAAATCGTTTGGATGGGTCGAGTTTTCTTTTTTAGTTAAATAATAAATAAATCCTTTTGTACATCGGAAAGGAAATTATTTATGGCTGTTATTGGGTTTTTTATATATATATATACAGATTGCGTTTGGTCGGCTTCTCTGTGGGCTAACCCAATATGCCTATTGAGCTTTTAGAATTTTTCTTTATTGGGTGATACGGTCTTGGGTTGGCTCAAATATTTGTCGATATGGGCTACATATTTTATTGACGTTTCCGTCTACAGTTAAGGAGAATCTAGATAGATTAACATCATCCGAACTACGTGGGCATGTTTTTGTAACCCAAGCCTATGGCTTCCACTCGTAATCAGAAAAAAAAAAAAAATCATTTTATTATACTCAATCATAGAGTACTATTGGTTTTAGAAGCAAAAGTAGCAGGAGCATTTCCATCTTCTTTAAAGGTATCTTTTCGCATTTATCGTATGTTCTCTTAAATATTATATAAAATAATTTTAAAATTCTTTTTCAATTAAAAAAATATTGAATTTTAAAATAAATCAAAATGTATTATAATATACTCAATCCGTCTTATAATTATTGTTCAGTTTGAATTTTTATTTCTTGTTCAAATTGTACTAAAAATGAAATCTTAAAGTGGACAATAATTTTAAGACAGAGGGAGTAGATCGGAAGAAATATTTATTTAAAAAAATATATGCTTAGAAAAATGAGAGTTAGAAACTTCTACCTTGCGAGTATACGTGTAAATTCAGAAAGAAGATCGGGATTAAATTTGCTGGAGTTTTCCGTTGGGATTACTTTCCAGGTAAGGAATAAGGAACAATAGGATGTTGTTTATTCAAAGCTTGGAAAAAATATGTGTTTTACTCCATATATACACTAAATGTGTAGATTAAGGTTGAAATTTCCTTTCTTAATTCTCCATTTATATTTGAACATTTGGCATTCCCTTCTTTTGCCGCCGAATAAAAAAAAAAAGCCTATAAATGGAGCAATTACTTTAATTACCATATATATATTTGCCTCAAAAAAAAAAATCACCGGGCGAAAGAACGAATTTAATTGAACAAAGATCTTTTTGTGCTTCCATTTTTTACTCTTTTTGCAATAACGGTTACAACGAATTTGGTCCGTGCTTAAAACAGCATGAAAAATGGCCATACTTACGGAGGAGAGGAAGTGAAAACGTGCTAAAATGCAGCTGTTATTTATAGGGGTTTTTTTTCTTCTTTTTTCCTTTTTTTGCCAAACATGGAGAACATGGTATGAGTGGCATTCTCCTTTTTTGGGCAATTTACGTATGTACTTATTATTAATAACTGGATTCTCATTTTTTTTATAATATGGTTTCACTTATAATTATAATAAGAATACTCTATATGTCCTATATAAATAGTAGACATAATGCTTTAAAATTTGTACTCAAATGTGTACATGAAATTTGGCAAATGTTCAAACTATATATATCATTAAACAGACACACATCAGCATGACTACGAATAATGTAAAGCATAAACAAAATCATGTAGAAATGGATAACTAGTGTAGTCTACATCAAATGGATGAACTAAGTTATGTGGCCGTGTCATTTGTAATTCCTTGATGAACTTGGCTAACTCAAGAACCTCTAAAAGCCCGTCGTCATTCCATTTGTAGGCCCTCCTCCCCCTCTTATCTAAACCGCCATCACCAACGTCCAGAAACATATTAAAAGCAAAATTGCATAATAATAAACAAATGATTAGTTACGATAGTAAAAAAAAATAAAATAAAATAAAATCACTCATAACGATATATACTAATCGATCGACTAGTTAAACTGATAATTATGAGAAATGGTTTAAAGAGATTATTAGAAACAAAAAAAAGTAACGATAATCTTTTGCCTAATGTTAGTTGAGTCTTCTATCCAGATCTTCTTCAAACCTTCAAAGAGGTCGGTATAATTTTACCCTTTCTTTAACCCCTGAATATTTGGACTGGGGTGCTAGCCATTGAAATGGAAACACTTGTTATTTATCCCAAACGAATCCAATTGGGAAAGAAAGCCCCGAAACAGAAGAAGAAGCCGCAGTCAATAGGGCCACCAATATTGCTACTATAACATCATCATCTTCACACGATCTTTCTGGTTGAAATTAGGTGTTCAATTTGGCCAACCAATTAGATCTTCACCAATTCAAGTATTCAGCCCCTGTACCCGCCACAATTCAAACTGCTTACTCAAAACTGGAATTCCTCATTCTTTTAATGCAAAAAAAAAAAAAAAAAAAAATCAAATCAGATGTTAACGTCATCGTTTCTTTTCTTTTCTTTTTTGTTTTAAAAAAAAATCATCTTAAATACTAGTACTAATTACCAAATGGTTATTACTTATTATTGAATTGCAGGAAAAGGAAAGTACTTGAACGTTTGTATAATTGTGATTTGTTGGGGAAGGAGTGAACCCAATATGGCAACATCTCTTTCATCAGCAGGCTTTCAGCTGGTTTTTGCTTAAGGAATAAACAATAGTCTCGCAGCAAGTTCAGTTTGGCCAACAACGGTTATGGTTGCAACGCTCGATTCACTTGGAATCTAAGCAAGTTTTGATTCTTGGTCACCATCTCTAACCCAACTCCTTCCTTCTTCTACCCTCTGTTCTTGTTGTTCCGTCCCTTTATGTTAAAGCCCATCAAAATTTTCCCTTGAAGAAAAAGTACTCAAAGATTGGATTTTTACGTTTTGGGAATTCTTCAAAGTTGTGGGAATTTTTCATTTTCTAGCCAAAGACGTTCCATCAACCTAAAAAAGGATGGCCTTTTATGGTTTTCCGCTACTGAATTAGTTTCGATTTTTTTAAAACAAGAGTTTTTTTGAGGAAGGGTTTTTGAATTTTGACTGGAGGATGAATACTAGATATTTGTTCACGCCAGAGCTTGTGTGTAACTCTGGATTTGCGGTTGCGATTTCGTCGATTTCGCCAATTGGAGAAGATCATCACCATCATCATCATCATCATCATACTACTCATCATAATAACAGAGTGTCTGGAAATGGACTATCCAGAACCCGAGTTCCGTCTTCCCGGGTTCCTTCATCTTTCTTGATCAGGATGGCTATAAAGATATCAAGGTCGAGATTGTTTGGGTTCCTGAGGAGGGTTTTTCATTACCAGAATGGACCGAGGTCGGATTTAGGTTCCAACCCGTTTAATTCTGGGACTTGGATAGTGACCGAGTTTGTGGTTCTGGCTGTTCAAATAGTTATGATCATGTATACTCTGGCGATTTCCAAAGAGGAAAAGCCGGTTTGGCCCATGAGGATTTGGGTTTCCGGGTACGGTTTGGGATGTATACTTAGTTTGATGCAACTTTGCTGGAGGTATCATTTGGTTTGTTTGTCCCAAAATCATGGAGGAGAAGCTTTAAATTTAAACAGTGTTTCGGATGTTGAACAGCAGAGGAGCCACGATGATTCCAGGTACTGTAGATTTAGTCCCTTTATTTTTGTTTCTGTTTCTAATCGAAAATTCAAAAAACAACAGACAAAATTTATTCATACGGACTTAATTTCTGCCGTTTTTCAGTACGTAAACTTGGGAAACAACTGAATTATCCTAAGTTTGTTGAGTTCAAAGAGTGTGTTGTGTTGTAGAGTATCAAAAAAAGAGTGTGTTGTTTTTCTATCTAATTTTGACCATTCGTATAAGCCAAATTGCATGAGTAATTTATATGTTTCAAATTTTGTTATGCATTTGGTATCATGGTTGTTGGATTATGTCCCACAAATATATCATATAATCCCTGAGTTATTTACATTTCTGTGAGTTGACTTCAGCAATATGCCTGATTTTCGCTTTAATTGTTTAATTATTATTTGTATCTTTCCCGTATTCAGATACTTGCAGTCCATGAACAAATACAGGACGTACCTTGAACTCTTCTTTGCAATCTGGTTCGTGATGGGTAACGTTTGGGTATTCGATTCTCGATTCGGGTCGTTTCGCCGATCCCCTAAGCTCCATATCCTCTGCATTTCTCTGCTGGCTTGGAATGCAATTAGTTACTCTTTCCCCTTCATCCTGTTCGTGTTACTATGTTGTTGTGTCCCATTGATCAGTACCATGCTCGGTTACAACATGACCATGGGATCTAACGATCGAGGGGCGTCCGACGAGCAACTGTCGAAGCTAGCTAGCTGGAAATACAAGGAAGTTGGTAATGATTTGGAGGCTGGAAAAACAGTCCAGAACAAAGAAAATCCAGTAAGTAGTAAAATCAGTCTTTTACGTACCACTAAAATAACATCGCAGTTTTCTTACAGTGACTAATGCGACAGTCGATATGGAATAGTGACTAATGTAATTTTTCATCGTTGTTGTGCTAATGAGATGAAATGGAACTTTGAACAGGAATGCTGCATTTGTTTAGCCAAATACAAAGAGAAAGAAGAGATAAGGCAACTACCATGTTCTCACATCTTTCATCTCAAGTGTGTGGATCAATGGCTGAGGATGATTTCTTGCTGTCCGTTGTGTAAGCAAGAACTAGAGAGATAGATAAGCCAAAAATACTTACAAATACACATAGTACAAAAGAGAAAGAACAAACAAAAAGGGTTCTTAAATACTTCAAATTTTTTGTTGTTCATAACTTGAAGTACATTTTTATGGCCGCCATTTCTACATGATATCAAGAATTTGTCAGTGTAGATAATAGGTGATTGTGTCGTTGGGGCTCATACTTTCTACCAAGAAGAGGAACTACTGTTTTTTTTTCTCCTTTGAAATATACATTCACCGACTATTTTGATTGTTTCTTTTGTTGAATTGTTTTATTACATCAATGTGGGATATATAAATATATTGGAGGTGGTGGAATTGATGAGAAAAGGGTTGATTCATTAGGATTTCTTTCGATTGCCACCAATCTTTTACAGTCTTACTTGGAGGAAAAAGGTGAAAAGGAACCATTTTGCTGGGGAACAAATTGGAAGCTTGCTCCTTGAGTCCCAATACACTTGTATTTTCTTCTCTTTTAGCTTCATCACTGATGTAACATTTTAGATTTTGCTTCCAGAATGTAAAACCAATAAGGTAAAGTTCTATCCATACAAATTTGTGTAATGTGCTCTTGATATTATATCTCTCTTGTCAAAAACACACACTCTCAGTAGTGTAATTAGTTTATTTACATCTAATAATAATATGTTATTTTTCTGTCTAATAACTTATCTTGATGACATTGGACGATCTCGTTCTTGTTATTTCGTTCAGACACATTTCCTATGAGATGTGACATTTGTAGGTTATAGTTTAATGACTTTAATCTCAAACTAATTATTCAACTTACAACTAAAAATAGTCATCTTCTGAAAATTTGAACCCCAAAAGAACACAAGCTAATAAAATTTACATTTAGCATACTTTTTGGGGACTTAATTATCAAAACTTGAAAATGAGTGATGCGAAAATAGAGTAGAGCTTACAAGGACAAACCAATTTCTCACCCGACCCAACCCTTTTCCATCTATTATGCTCCTTCGGCACTGTCTCATTCAACGAACCAACCAACGAACCAATAACATCCTCCTCCTCCTCAGGCGATTTACGCACACGCCCAGTCACACTCACACGCACTCACACAGTGAGGAGAGAACCGAAAGAATTTTGAAGAAAGGAGATATGAGCGAGATCAGAGATAAGTTTTTGCAAGTTTACTCGGTCTTAAAATCAGAGTTGCTCAACGACCCTGCTTTCGAGTTCACCGATGACTCCCGCCAATGGCTTGATCGGGTTGGTTTTCCCAATTTTATGTTATAATCTCTTGACCCCTTTGGTTCCTGTATCAAAATTCAATCTTTATTGATAGTATTTGAATTTCGGCTTTGTTGTGAATTGTCCATGTTTTTTGTGTTAGCAGAGAAACCATAATTCTGTATGTTTGCACGTATGTTTTCGCTCGACTGAACTGGGCCGTTTAGAACTGAATGATTCTGATTTTCCTGGTTATTCCATGTGAATGAATTTTTATTCTTTCTGACTATTTGGCGTTCCGTGTTCAAGAGGGAGTTTGAAGGCTTGTATAGATAGCGTTTAAGTTTGTGTTTACATTCATTTTGTACCTTGGTTATATCGGAAAATCCCAAAAAAGAAAACCCATTGAAATGTATGAAGTTGTCTTGCTAATTACCAATGTGCATTGAAAATTTTAGAAATATCTTTGTGAAACGATGAATAGAAGGCTGGTCATGGGGGTCCATTTTTTGTTTCTTTCTTTGTTCTTGGTGGAAAAGTTAGCTGGTTTCCATTTGGACTAAATCCTGTTGAGTGTAAACGTACTACGAATCTTTAGAATAATGGAAAAGTAGTAAATTTAATTTTTTTCCCATTGGTTGGCCTTATCGAAAATCAAGTTTTAAGATGCCAGTTGGGATCCTTTGGTTTGATAAGTTGGGATTCTAAAACATTAATCCTCCTCATGTTCACTTGTTGTTGGCTAATTGATATTCAATGGCTCAGTATGTAGCTTGTATGTCCATTGCTTACCATTTCTAACTTTCTGTTTTGTGTTTTCTGCCATTGCCAGATGCTCGACTACAATGTTCCTGGAGGTGAAGTTTTAAATAGTTAAACCTGTGTCATTTTGAAGTTTACTGTATTTTCAGGTTGTTTTCAGTTATCTGAGTTTCTTTCTTCTTCATTTTTTCATTTTCTAGGAAAGCTCAATAGAGGGCTCTCTGTTGTTGATAGCTACCAGTTGCTGAAAGAAGGAAAAGAATTAACGAGCGAGGAAATATTTCTTGCATGTGCACTTGGCTGGTGTATCGAATGGGTATTGCATGATCTCTCTCCTTTAATATTTCTGGGTAGCATTCCTCAGTATTTACATTGCTGCATCTTATTTTGCAGCTTCAAGCTTATTTTCTTGTTCTGGATGACATCATGGATGGTTCTCATACGCGCCGTGGTCAGCCTTGTTGGTTTAGATTACCAAAGGTATTGTTGCCCAAATGCGTTGATTTCTTATTTTGCCGCTCTTTTACTTTTTGATTTGGTCTATTGAGTACCAACTCATAATGCTGGATCCCTCTTAACTCAGACTGATAGGGTTTTGTTCCATTTTTTTCTTAGGTTGGTATGATTGCTGCAAATGATGGCATTATCCTTCGCAACCAGATCCCGAGAATTCTTAAGAAGCACTTCAGGGACAAGCCTTTTTATGTGGATCTGGTTGATTTATTTAATGAGGTAGGGTTACACCTAACTATAAGGTCATTGATAATTCTGTCCCAGTGCTGATAAATTTTTTTGCCGGTCTCAATCGTCAGGTAGAATTTCAGACTGCCTCCGGACAGATGATTGATTTAATCACAACATTAGTGGGAGAGAAAGATCTGTCCAAATACTCGTTGTCTCTGTAAGTGGGGCTCTTGATTGTTCTTGTTGTATGTTTTTTGTTCTACATAACTCCGTATAAACATGTTCTCTTTGCATTACTGATGTACACTTATTTCTGTTTTTGTTCATGCAGCCACCGTCGCATCGTTCAGTATAAAACTGCCTATTATTCTTTTTATCTTCCTGTGAGTAAATAATACCATCTAATCACACATCCTTTCTGTTTACTTTGCGGTTATTTTTCTCTATATTCTTTAGATTTAAATGAAGTTCTTGACCTGATGCATTTTTTTAATGTTATTGCTTCTTTGCTCTTAACATGCTTTCTTTTTTACTTCTTCTTGACTTGGTGGTATTGTTTTCTTGCACATCTTCTGGCTATAATTTAGGTAGCTTGTGCTCTTCTGATGTTTGGAGAAAACTTGGACAATCATAATGATGTGAAAGATATACTTATTGAAATGGGAGTCTACTTCCAGGTGCAGGTGAGCATCATTACAGCAGGAAAATCGGATATTTGAGTTTTGCTGGATGGTGTTGTGCATTTCAAAGGGTTCTCTTTTGGTTTCCTGAATGCCCAGAACTTTGTTTACGTTTTTATTTCATCTTCATGGCTTTTGTTTTGAAATTAAAATTCTATTTTTTATTACGTTTTGTGAGACAAATGGGTGGGCTTCTCAATTATTTTTTATTCCCTCCATAGGATGACTATCTAGATTGTTTTGGTGATCCTGAGGTTATTGGCAAGGTAAGCCTTTCAAAGAGATTCTCTTCTTTTCTGCGTTTGGTTGAAGAGCTAGAAAGTGTTGAGGTAAAATTCTTAAACATTCAGGTTGGGACAGACATCGAAGACTTCAAATGCTCCTGGGTGGTAGTAAAAGCCCTGGAACTCAGCAACGAGGAGCAAAAGATGCTACTATATGTGAGTTTGATAATCGACGTGTTTGCATTAACTGCTATGATTTGTATGATTCGATAATATGACAACCTACATCACCAGGACAACTATGGAAAAGAGGATCCAGCTTGCGTGGCTAAAGTGAAAGAGCTGTACAATACTCTCAAGATTCAGGTCTGTTAGCTTACTTCACTCTCCCAAATTCTAAGTTCAATAATGTGTTAACCCAGGTTTGTTAGCTTACTTTACTCGCCCAAATTCCAAGTTCAGTAATGCCTTAACCCTGAAAGTTGATGTTTGTGGGAAAATAGTACCCAATTTCTTGTTTCAAGTCTTTTTCATGCATTTAGCGGAATTTTAAAGATGATGACGGGGACTCTTCTTTTGATTTAAGGATGAATTCTTGGAGTACGAGAAAAAGAGTTATGAGAAGCTAAATAAGGCGATTGAAGCTCATCCAAGTAAAGCCGTCCAAGCAGTGCTGAAGTCGTTCCTGGCAAAGATATACAAGAGGCTGAAGTAACCTCCAATTTAGTAAACAGTAGCCCCTGTATGGATTTTATCTTTTGTACTTGATTTTGAGAATGTGAAATTCAAAATGATTGGTCTGAATTCGATTTGAAATTTGATTCAAAATGGCATCATTACAGTTTTGCAATAGCCAAGACATCACGCAATAGGGTACAGAAGAAGAAACAGGCTCAATATATTTTCCATGTAAATGACATCACAAAGCATAACCGCGCAAGAGAGTTGGCATCACATTCATGGAAGGCCTAATACACTGTTGGGTCGCTCATCTTCTTTTACAAAATTTATCGCTTAAAAATGCTGTAAAAAGAGAAAACATCTACACAACTTTGATGTCTAAGATAATAAAGTTGTCAATCTGTTGGTCTAATCCAGGATGTTTCCGAGGTGGATGCATTTCCATAATACACTTGTTTTGAGGAATCATCCCAGAAAGCCTGAAACCAGGAGGAAAAAGACATCAGAATATACAAATTTTGGAGGACTAAACCTTTATAATTCGGCCCAATTTACTTTAGTCCTAGATGAGAAACACTGGCTAATTTATTCAACTTTAATGGTTATTTGTAATAAGAAGAATCCTTATGTAACTGCTAGAATACCTGCCACCCTTGTGGAAGACCTCTTGAAAGTTCACCAAGATCAGGCTGGGAATTGTTCACTTCGGAAACACCATCCGAAGGGCTCTGGGATTCCTGGGCTAGTTTAGCACGCTTACGCTTTACACGTTCCCGCCTGCACAGCACACATCGCAACAGTTTAGAGCATGCACAGAACACGCTTTACTCATATAACTAACTACTAGTAACTTCTAAGTATTACAAAGTAAATTACCAATCACCACCAAGGGGCTGAAAGTTAGCATTATCTTTCGCTTCACCACTCGCGATTTGTTGCTTGCGCCATTCCTAGGGATCACGGGTAGTCCTCATCATCAATGAGTTATAAAACAGCAAATTTTTATTTTATTTTTTAAAAAAAAAATAATAAAAAAAAAAGAAGAAGAAAATGTACCTCTATTTCTCGTTGTCTTTTCCTCTCTAGAATCTCCAAAGCATTTTCAGGTTCTTTTTCCTGTTCTTGCAGTTCCTCCTTTGCAGCTTTCCACTATAAGAAGAAACATAGGAACACCAAAAGTAAGGATATGAATACTCGTAGCAAACTCATCAAGGGTTATGGTGAAACAAATCAGCACCTTATCAACCAAGCTGGAGACTTTCTTGTTAGACCTCAGTGAGGAAACCACAGCCACCGTCCGCTTTTTGTTGCGTGTAACTGCAAGGAATAAGATACATCATGAATATGTGAAAAAAATTCCGCAAACATTGGAAGAGAATATATTCCAACAACAAATTACGCCGAGATGCTTTATGTTCAGCGTTTTTACATCCTTACCCTTAGACTGGGCTTTCGGAGCTGTTGTGGAGGCAGAAATAGTTGCAGTGGAGGTAGCAATTGATGAGAGAGAAGCACTCTCAGTTAGCAAAGTAGTGGATGATGACTGCAATGGAGCTTCAGCGGACGAATTCTCCAAAGATGCTTTTACAGGATTCCCATCATCTTTCGGCAATAAAGTACTGCCTAGACCACCATGGGTATCTACGATTCCATGTGAATTGGAACTCGAGTTTAGGACCAACGGTTGTGTTATTGAACCTTGATAGCCATAGTATAAACCAGTATCGGCAGGGGCCACTCCCAATGTAGCAGTGTTATAAGTGGCCGGTACTGTTCCATAAAATAACGGGAGCTGGGAAACTGCTGGTTGACATCCTTCGGTTGGGGAATATAGATTAGCGCTTGCGACATCAGAGCTTATCTGAGCAGCATACTGAAAGTGGGAGCTAGGATATACGTTATATTGTTCCATATAAGGAAAAGATGGTACAGTAACCACATCTGATGGTTGTGAATATGGAATTTCAGGGGGCTCATCAGGTGGTGGTGGCGGAGGAAATGGTTCATCATCAGGAGGAGGTGGAGGAATCCAATCTTCATCTGGTGGTGGAGGAACACTGTAAACTTTCCCCAGGACAGAAATCCCTGAGTCCGCTACTGTTGAAGTAGGAAGAGAAAGTTGCTCAGTTGTAACTGAAATATCTAAATAGGTTGAAGGAGTAGCTTCTTCAACTTCCATGTCAACATCCATATCTTCTTCAGACGCTCCTGAAACAGCATATCCAGTCAAGTGTCTTTCTGATGGAACATTTTCATCACCTGTAGGTTGGTGATTTTGAGTTTCATGATTATTATGGGAATCAGCTATTCCAGTAGGCCCGGGAGTATGAAAGCTACCCAATGCAGAAACAAACTTCTCTTCGCTAGAGTTTGCATCAACCTCCCGGCAACTGTTTGCAGGAAGTAAGTCAGCTGAGGCAACTTCATTCTCCTTTTCAGATTTTAACTGCCGCAAGACATCAGTGATCTTAACTTCAAGCTGCTGAAGCCTGTTTTCAGAGAGTTGCCAAAAGGGAAGCAGCGAGGACTTGTAGCAGGCTAAGGACTTCATATCAGCAAGTCTCATCTCAACTTCAACTGTCAATGTATGCAATTCAACATGTCCATGCAGAAGGTATTGCGACCTGGAAATGTTTAAAAAAATATATAAATCCAGATTGCTTGGAGAAACCAAATAATTGAAAAAGCGAAAGAGACTGTAACAGTAAAAGAGAAAAAGAAAAATACCCCTTCACACTATTCAATTGTTCCAATAAATCTTCGCATTGTTTGATCAGACAAGAAGCAAGATTCCTGCTCTCATTGCTTTCACCATCTCCCAGCTTTGGAGAATCGAAGGACTTTGCACTTTCACCTTCACCAATATGTACACCATCTGAATTTCCAGGAGAACCAACATGATCCTGCACAGTCGCTAAAGGGGAACTTTCCAGATGATTTTGTTGAGCATCAGGATCAAATTTATGGTCTTTGGAAGAATCTGCACCCCACGTTTCAGCCCTCATTTTGCATTCACCGGCTTCAGTCATTTCAATGTTTGGGTAGGTGGCATCTGCGACATTAATTGCTTTCTCATTTTCTCCAGTATTAGCAGTCTCACTCCCACCTCCTGCCTGTAACACTTCTGGAACGGTCCATGAAGTCTCGCCAGTAGAAATATTCCAGTAGTAGTACTGATTACTTTCTTCATGCCATACGATCTTCCAACCTGAACTCATATCCCCAGCTTCTGTATCAGATGTTGAAGCAGCAGGAGTTTTCCCAGTAAAACGATTATCATCCAGCACATCTGCTGCAGTTCCAACTGCTTCCGGACTTAACGTGGCATCCAATAAGAGAGGCCCCTTCTCTGTTTCAATAGCACCATTACTTCCTTCATTAAAACGTTCTTCATTACCTTGTTTACCAGCAACCTTTCCCTATTAAATGAGAAACTATAGGGTTCAGCGCATGAATGAAAACAAGCAATCAGGTTCTGACTTTACCAAACTCATTTACCCTCTTAATTCTTCATTATTTTCTTCCCTTCTTTCTTAATCCTTCCAAATTTTAGGATCACGACAGACATTTACCATCTACTGGACCACAACAATCTATAGTATGATTGTAAGGAACCCACTCAGCAAGGTATCGTATCATAAAATTACTATCTGACTAAGAGAAGAGACAAAAAAATCAGTGCATTCCAAGGTTCAAACAAAGAAATAGATGTCCAATACCAAATATGCAAGGTAGAAAGGAAAAACAATTGACAAGAACAGTTAGTACTCCATAAAAGCAATGGCTGCAACTACTATACAGAACAACTTCATTTGACAGCCAAGTTTCCTATTTATCCATGAAAGTTGGTTCGATGAACTATGAAGGAAATCACTTGGCAAACAGAACAGGAAAAAAGAGTCCGCCAAAAGTGGCAAGATGCAAAGGTGCAAGGAAATCACCTGGCTATCATCAGGCAAAACAAGGGAATCTTCAGGTATCACCCGTTTCTCTTCTCCACTTGATCCGTCATCCAGCTCATCATCACTGTATTGGCCCAGCAAAACTAAAGGATTCTCGGGTTGTTTACCTGCAGATACAACAGTAAAATGTCAGACCCAAAAAGAGGACTCGGATATCTGCCAACAAACCAACAAGTTTTGAACAAAGTACCATTCAGATGATTAGCAAACTTATACACAAGTCAATTTACAGATAAAATATAATAAGAAATAGCAAAAAAAAAAGGAGAAACTTTGTTCCGAAATTCTGTATATTTGTCATCGTTCGTCACCTGTACAAACATAGGAAACTTGTCAGCTGGGAATAAAGTGCAAAAGCCAGAGTCATACGAACCGAGGGAGGTAATATATCCTTGTGGAACTTCTTCAGTTGCCAAGATGCCACCAGAAACGGACATAAAAGGTCAAAAACTCGAAAGAATATTCAATAATTCAGGGTGGCAGGGGAGGGCCTGACGTAATCGGATGACCAAATGAATGTCCCAATACCACAGCCATTCTACAGTCTGAGAACAAAAATCTTTCGAGGTACAAACAATAGTCTTGCACTTTGAAAATTTATTAATAAATTTCCACCAAAATAATGCGGTCAACATCATTCCTTCTCTACAAAGATCAGTCCTTTTGAGGAAAACTGACGGAACCCACCTGAAGATGATGGTGAACTGGGTAACCCGGCTTGATTTTGTGCATCAACAGCCCCTCCAACGTCCTCTTTGGTAGAGGAGCTACCCACATCTCCTACAAGTAACATTCAAACCACCTTAGTAATGGCAACAAAAATGCCGCAACGAAGCATTTGCAACTTAAATTTTTGCCACGGTAATGGACTAATAGAATTCAAATTATTTGCATGAATGCAAAGAAATTGTCATTGACACAGTAGCATGCCCTTCCAAATTGCAAACTGCCAGAGTTTACGTTGTGCGGGATATAACAGGTGCTTGAGCTATTTGAAACTCTTTGTTTCTTTCATTAATTTCATAAATGTAAATCGTGAGTTAAACAAAATCAAGCAACGTGACTGAGAATGCGAACGGGGTAGAGCAAGGATTTTCTCCGGCTTAACAAAGCTATAGCCCGAACTAAATTGAATCAATTCATTCAAAACAAAAACGACTCAAACTCTTCAATTTCATACTCCACCTTTTAGATTTTTCTTTTTCATCAAAAACCGAAAAATAAAGTAAAAATCAGAAAAAATCAATCGAAAGTAAATTGAATACCAGAGGGTTCCGCAAAAAGATCGAGCTTTACTCTCCGACCGGCGGCGATAGCCGCGATCCTACGCTCTTTCCTTCTCCCCATTAGGAGAAATTGAACTTCAGGATAATAGAATTCGTTAAGCTAATAGCTAAAATTTTCGATTATTCAAACTCAATTGAATTTCAAATTTCCACTACAGAAACCCTAACAAACGGAGACGATGGCTGTACAACACCGTAAAGGCGCAAACGGTGTTATAAGCTCTTGATTGGCGCGGCGGGTACAAATAAATTTGATTATAACAAAAAACCGGGCGGTTTATATTTGGGTCAGCCCAAAATAAAGGATTTGAGAGGCCCAATTAACTTTATTATTATATGTTTGCAGGCCCAAAATGGTATTCAAGTACAAAGTGAAATTTTTCTCCGGAGGAAACAAAATTTTAATCAGAGTGAAAACTGAGTACAACCGACTGTAACGAAACCCCACCAGAGTCAACCATCGGCGGCGACTGAAATGGCGAAATCGTCAACGGCGAAGGATGCTCTGGCACTTATCCGCTCTCTCCGATCTGCTTATGCAGCTACTCCAACCAACCTAAAGGTTTTTCACTACTTGCTTCTAACTCGTTCTTATTCTCTATACTCGCCGGGAATTTGATTCATTTTGTTTGGCATTGTTTGCTGATGGAAGTTTTTGTTGTTTTCCGTCTCAGATCATCGATCTGTACATCGTTTTTGCTGTCGCGACGGCCCTAATTCAGGTATTTCCTAAAATTCTTACTATCACTCGTGTTGCTCCGACTGAACGAATATAAATTGGGGGTTTTTTGTGTTTATTCATCGATTTGACATGTGAATTTATTGGATGAGGTTCCATTAGTTTTAGGACCTTGAATTTTGCCTTGATTTGAAATTCTGGTGCAAGAATGTGTTTTAAGTGAATACTGTTGGCTCTACTGATTTGGTTATCTTACAAATTAGCAACGCAAGTTGCGGCCTCTGCCTCTTAACCTGTTGGGTTTTCTTCCAGCTTTGGCTGCCTGCATTTTCCAAGTTTTAATGCCTTTTTATTGAATTAACTTGGGGGGTAAGAAATTAAAGTTATTTCTTTAGTCTTTCGCTTGTATTCTTTACCTACAATGACATTGTTTCTAGGGGTAAGTGTACATTGACCTTGCCCATTATTTTGTGAGAATAATCTGCTTGAAACATAAAATTTGAGGATTTTGACGAGGTTTAGATTGTCATGCCTTCTTTAAACCTGTGTTTTTCTACCTTTTAAGGAGATTTGGGTTTCTATTGAGATGTGTTCTCTAAAGCCTGAACTTGTGTTTTTCTAGCCTTTTAAGGAGATGTCGTAGAAAACGCTTATAGAATGGCGAAGGCGGCACTAGTGTTGGCCATAAATTTGTAATCCTCTCTTTGGTTATGCATTTATAAATTACAATTTCAAAAGAAGAAAAATGAGATTTGGGTTTTGGTTGTTGTGGAATATAATCTAAAGGTGTCTTGTTATAACACTGCTATTACATTTCCAATCAATAACAACAAACTCAATCCATTGGTTATGCTTGGACATTGGAATCACCTTAGAGGCAGAATTACCATGTTTTACAAAATAAATCTCTTACAGTCATCCATTTGGGTTCACCTGACGGGGTTGGCTCTATTTGGGTTTATGCTGGATGTAAGGATGGGAAATAGTCGACTATCTCTGGTTATTTTTAGTAGTTGTGAATTAAAATTCATTTTTTCAAAATCTGATCATTGATTATATTTCTGAAACCTCTATGGTGCTTCCTGTCTTCTTGTGATCAGGTTGTATACATGGCCCTTGTTGGTTCATTCCCCTTCAACTCTTTTCTCTCTGGAGTTCTTTCCTGTGTTGGAACTGCAGTTCTTGCCGGTAAGCAATTTGAGGTTTGAGTTTCTTGTGTCTGTTTGTGTTATCTTTATGAATGAGATCACCAGTGTAATGTTAATATGCTGGATTCTTTATGATTTGGCAGTTTGTCTCCGGATTCAAGTAAACAAAGAAAACAAGGAATTCAAGGTATGGTGTTCTATGATTATAATGTGATGTTGCTTTAGTTTTTGAATCAATTCCTTTTAGTAAAAGAACTTGTACGATATCTATCTCAAACCTTTGGGTGGAAACAATTACCGAAAGATATCTTGATTTGCATGAATGAATTCGTTAATTTTCCTCCTTTGTGTTGTTGACTTTTGGCTTAAAGAATGTGATACTTTGAGATGTGCTTATTTTGTAATAGATAGTGAACTCAACCATGTTACTGCTTGATCAGGATAAGTCAGTAAGTATTTGTAAGCTTTAATTGGCATTTGACATGTTTGTATTGCATTGCAGGATTTACCACCAGAACGGGCTTTTGCCGATTTTGTTCTCTGTAACCTGGTACTCCATTTGGTGATCATGAACTTCCTTGGTTAAGCGGATTCCCTCTGCATCAGAGAAGGCATAGGACCTATTTCAGAATTACTTTGATATAAATTATGTGTTTTTTTTTTTTTTTTGGAAATGGGATATAGATGATATGTTGAGACGTGTTTGTTTGTTTCTCGATACCTCTTGGGCTGGAAATCGTTGGAGTTGTTAGTAGTGCTAGCCTGATTTTGTAGGAGTTGAAAGAAAGCACAATGGATGTCGGAGGTTGATACTTTTACCATTCAAATGGAAACTGCAGTCAACAATGTTTAGTCGGCCAACTGTTATATTCAAGAGAATGTTCATGATAAAGTCTTCAATATAGTTGAACCTAGATGCAAATACAAAATGCCTCTCCGGAAACTAATAAATATCATAGTGATACTGAGTTGAAAACCGTGTAACAGTGTGAATGATGGCACACAAATTATTTACTCCACAACACAAAACATATCACAGAACAAAAGCGGAGACCATTTTTGTCTAGTAGAAACGTAGTCCAAACAAAAATTGTAAATGCCAGAGACTATCTAACCCTCGTCGCCCTACTTATTGTCATCGTACATCGATCATTATTCATGAAGTCTCGCACTCATGCATGAGAGAAGGCGTAACGGGAAGGGGCCAAGTCTGGACAACAGATGGAGACTTCATCAGGTTTGAGGATGGACCAATTGGCTCAAACTGTTTGGTCAGACCATATTTCCCAAATCTAAATACAATTACATTTGAATCGAAAAGATGACATGATATAAGGCGTGTGATACTGATGCGAGAGTGAAGACAACCATATTTTCAAACTCGTGCAGTATACATTACCTTGCTCGCTAATTTCTGTTTTGAGATACTTGAGGCGTCGACCTTTTAACAAACACCACAGACGGAATCAAACTCCCGCAATTGTGCAGATCCCCTTGCAGGATTATCACCGTCATTGGGATGTTGAATAAGGCGAAATTAAATGATGGTTAGGAACTTCATAGGCTAAGAAATTCCAGTTTCAAGATAGTTGGGATAATGAATGTATACGCTGTTCCCACTTTCCAACAAAGAGTAGTGTTGTTTAAAAAGGACAGGCCTTTGGCGGCGGACTCCAGAAGCTGGAAATTCAAACTGCGACCTAATATACATCAGTGTATTCCAAACATTCATTATGGGAATTCTTTCCGCGGCCGATATATTCAGTACGAAGCCTAAAAGAAACCCTTTGTCAATCGCTAGAATGCAAATAAATGGGTAGTTCTAAGCCTCCATTCTGAAAATCCAATTTAAGTTTCTCATTATTGAACTTCCACCTCAAGTACTTTGAAACGATATGATTGTAGACTATCTAACAAGGGATTTTAGAGAGGGAAAAACACGAATTGCTAGGGCATTCTTGATGAGTACAAATGGCAAAAAGAGGGATCGGAGATAAGAGCAAGCCATTGTTTCGAGACGCAACTGAATCTAAACACATCCTTACTTCCAAGTCTGCTTAACAATTCAGTTATAAACCAATCGGGTAAATCACCAACCTGGATCCCGCCGCCGGCAGCCCCGCGGGAGGCTTTACGTCGTCGGCCGGTTCTCTCATTTTCCATTGGAAGCTGGCGAAAGACCTAAAGCATTTTTTTTTTTCTTTTTTTTCCCTTTCTGTCATCAAAGAGTTTAGGGTTTCATTATCATGCAGGTTGTTGCAGATTGTATGGCTTTGACCGTGGACGTGAATTTCACAAGTTTTGGGTTTTGTAAAATTAGCCCAATTTCATTTGGACTGGTTTTCTAACTTTCGTGAACTGGTTCTAACCTAAATCATGGAAATTGCTTCCTCCGCATTTAAAAAAAAAAAATCATGGAAAAAAATTTTTTATCACATCCGGTGTCCGAAGTCATTGCTTGCTCCGACTACCAAAATCATTGCTCTTGATTAATTCGAATTTAAGTCGGATAGGTACCTTTGGAGAGGGGACAAAGCTCTCCCAACAAATAACACATGATGCATTTGTAGGTCATTAATCCTCTTTAAGTACTCCGACATTAATTTACAAACAACAAAACACAACCGCTATATCATAGCAATGTAGGCTAGATAAATGATTTTTCACTTAGTCTTATTTAATTTTGTTTTTGTAACATCTGTGATTTATAGGATTGATCAGAGAAAGCGGTTTCTGCTTGATGAACCCAATACTCATTCCCAACATCATCTCTTTTATAGGTGAATCGATGAGAAGAAGAGCAGGAGATCAAATAAGATAACATATTATTACAATACTTAGAGTTAGTACTGATCATTAAAGGAAAAGGGAGGAAACTTAAATGAACCCTTTTTCTAAACTTTAAGAAAACTTGTGGCGGAGCTGGGCTGGCCAAATCAGACAATGGCAGTGGTGGATTGGCATTTCTGACGAAAGTGGTGGCCAAATCAGATAATGGCTGCCGCCAACTCAGAGTGTGTTTCTCGTTGGTTTCTCACTTCATACAAACAACTGCCTCCCTAGCCATATTGGTACGGTATTCATGACAAGAGAAAGAAATCTTGAGGAGAAAAATGCAAAAGCAATCCTGAGCTGAAAACTGAAGCAAATAAAGGGAGGCACAGTACTCCATCATGAGTATATACAACACAATCATTTTAGAACAAAACAAGTACTCTTAACTCGATTTTTTTTAGAACAGAGGGAGTATTGTATATCCAAACTAGAATGTACGGAATATTATATATCCAAAATAGAGCATGAAAGAAATATTGTTAGTATTGAATATCCACATAATGTTTTAATTTAAGTCGGCTCTTATTTCTTTGCGCAAAAAATGTTACTATTTTACAAGAAAATGGGTCTCAATTTTCTTTGGTATTTGACGTGAAAAAAATTAATAAGCTACGAGATATACATTGGTCGCATAGCCAATTTTCAAGTCAAGTAGTAACATTTACCAGTCACCTATATAAGTATTTGGAGTCTACTAATAGTTTGTTGTTTGGGAGGCATATTCAATTTGCATTGGACCTATCTTGATTAGTCTTCTTTTATTCTAAACAGCTTTTAAACCGAAAATAGTATCCTGCTATGTGTCTTCTTGATCTACATTTGATCGAGTTCTTTTATTTAATTTTTCTCTATACTTAGAAAGAATAATACAATGTGCCTATCATCAAGACGTAAAAATCTTTAGCAGCTAGTCGAATTTCTTGGGATAATTTTTTTGATTAATCATGGTACAAGAGAAATCAAAATGATGCATAAGGCCGTGTTATACAACGAAAAAGAAAGGTTGATTCAATGAGATCATCAACATTTTTTTTTTCTAGTAGTACTCCAATCAAAAAACAAAATTTGATTACCTTCGTTCAGTATTAAGAATTTACTTTTGGGCGAATGAGATGTTAGTTCAGTGGTAAAACCACCTTTACTCTCAAGAGGAGATCATGAGTTTAAACTCTCACTCTAACAAGAGGGGAAATGACTCTAATTTTGCCAATTGACTCTTCTAGAAGGCTTGTTATAGCAAACTCACTCATAAACTTCCGAATTCGCACTTGAACTTGTCACCTCAGACTTGTCTATGGTGGTTTACCTCTCACTGTGATTTACAGGCTATTGCAGCAGGCATGAGTTTACCCATCTCTGGTGGGATTCCGATGTCACCTAAAAAAAAAATTACTTTTGTTGTTACGAAAAAAAAAAGAAGAAGAAGAAAAGAATTCACTTTTATATTGTGTGTTCTACAGTTACATATGATGTTGGGCTTCGACGGTGGACTAGGGGATGGCCTGTACCCATATTCGTTTTGGATTTGGATTGGAAATTTGATTTCCCTTGCACCTTACAGCCTGGAAAACAGGAAAAGCGTAATGGAGAAAAGAAAAATCAATGAATTTATTACCAAGAAAAAAAAAATTATTATTTCGAACGAGTTACGATAAATTCTTGAATTTATTACTGTATTATTTTTTCATACTCCCTCCATCTCATAATTATTATCTAATTTAGATTTTCATTTTTAATACAAATTGAACTACAAATGAAAATTCAAAGTGATCAATAATTTTGGGACAGAGGGAGTATCATCTTATAATCGTTAAATTTCATAGAATAATATAAACTTATTTAAATAACCAAAAAAACAAAAAGGAAAAAAAATATATAAATCACAAACCAGTCACCCCAATCACCCTCATCATGTTGCCAACTGTCAAATTTAACAGCTTCATCCCAGACAAACAATATTACTGTGCTAATATATTCTTCTACAAAAAAAAAAAAAAAAGAAATACTACTACTAGTATTATTTTATATATTTTTCAAAGAAAGAGTATTTAAATAGTAGTTAAATTAATACAGACACAAAAAACACATCACTGGGTTCTCTCTCTCAGTTACATTATTACAGAGCTGCAATCATCAGCAACTGCAGCCCCATCAAATTCACCAACCAGTCCGCCAAAGCTTTCAACAACTCAATTCAAGTTGTGGGATTCTGTTGATTTCTTGTACAAGGTAAGCCAGCCCAACATACACATCTTTTTTTAACGATGATGATATGCATCTGCATACACGTTTGGGGGTATTTTGATTTTGTATGTTTTGTTTCAAAATATCAATAATTTTGGTCAATTTTGATGGCCTTCGATCTGCGTCACTTCGTTTTTTTATGAACTGTTAGAATCCCAGAATTTCACATAAAGATATGGTTTTTATTGTTTTCTGATGTTTTTGGTTGGTGCACATACTCTGATCTGCGTAATTTGATATGTTCCACTTGAACGGAATCTTGAGTTTTCTTTTTAAGTGTTTGGTGATTTTTAGTGGGAATAGTTACGGGGGGGCTTACTTAAAATTCGTTGTTTTTGTGCTTAGTTTATGAATTGGGATTGGTTTTTAAGGTTGTAAATGTGTGCATGAACTTGATATGACATTGTGAAGTACTTGAGGGTGAACTGGTGATGAGAGATGCACACCAATTGGTGGTTTACTGTTAACTTCACTAGTAGCACTTTAAATGTCTAGTTCTCTGGATTCAATCTCAAAACATGGATTATTTAGGTAAAGAAAGGTGATACGCTACTTGGGTTTGTTCATATAGGTGTACCCTAACAATGAAAACCAATGTGGATGTAAACCTGAAAGAGGATGACTCTGATTCTTCTTAACTTATTTTGTGAAACAGGTTTTTCCGTCAAGCACAAACAAAGGCTTTAACATTTGTGTTGAGTTTAGAAGAAGCAGAGAATGGTCAAAAGGTTCTTATTTTCTGCCCGCCTTTCTGTTGAGTGTGCAACTGTGTGTGTGAGTGTGCGTGTGCGCGCACATGTTTGAGTTTATCTCTATCTTTAATTTGTGTAGTCTAGGCGAGTTGTCATTTGTAATCATTTACGTCTTATTTGCAGGTATGGAGCATTTTGATGTGCGGAAAGTACCATGTTGCGGTGCTTAGAGGGGATCCAGCATTTAGGTGCTTCCCTGCTGCAATGTTGTGATCTCGACTTCAATAGGCAATCACGGGGCCTAGAAGATCCTGAAATTCTTGCTAGAGAGACTGTGTGTATGCTTCAGCCTATCCTTGTCACTTAAGTTGCCCGTGGTTATGATATAGATTACAGAATATGGAATAATTGATGAGAATATGTGAATTTTCCTTGCGTGCTTGATATGATTTCATTTTAGTTCTATTTCTTGTTTTGCCTGCCTAAACCAAAATCCTTTTGTGTTAGCTGCTTTCAAGTTTTAGTCATACTCTAGCTTATATTCGTATCGTATTCCTAGACTTAAACTTATTTCGGATAAATAGAGAGACTACAATGTTTGGGTCTCCCATTTGAGATCTAATAACATAGAATTACCAATTCTTGAATGGCCTTGAATATGCTATTTCTCTATGTACATCAATATAATTCCATACAATAGTCAATTGATTCTGCACCTGCGATGGACAAAATTATGAATCCTCTTTTATACGTTTTTTTTCCCCTTCTTTTGTACGTAGTCAGTGTTAGTGAAATCGAAGCACTTTATGAGCTGTTCAAGAAAATAAGCAGTGCTGTGATTGATGATGGACTGATTAACAAGGTATGTAAAGCCCTTCTGTTGAAACTTTTGTATCTTAGCTCTTTAATTATCAATACCTTTGATTTCATGGTCTTGGAACTTTTAACCAATACTTCCTTTTCTAATTTTTTTATTCCATTCCATTACATTCGTTTGCAGGAAGAGTTTCAGTTGGCATTATTCAAGACAAACAAAAAAGAAAGCCTCTTTGCTGATAGGGTATCTCTCATATAACAGATTTAAACTTGTTGGCCTTTCTGTGTGTTTGATTTATGTGGAAGATAGTTGCAGTGTCATTTACTCTTTATGATGACAGGTTTGCTTTATTTGTATGACAGTCATTGAAAATCAGGCGTGCAATTTTTTATTCCCTGTTTTATTGCAGGTCTTCGACTTATTTGATACTAAGCATAATGGAATACTTGGATTTGAGGAATTTGCTCGTGCCTTGTCTGTTTTTCACCCCAATGCCCCGATTGATGACAAAATTGAGTGTATGTTACCACTTCATAGACTTCTTAGCACTACAAATTTGTATTTCACTCTTCATCAGGTATTTTAAAGGCCTAACACCCCCTGATGTTCCTTCTTGCAGTTTCTTTTCAACTGTATGATCTTAAACAACAAGGTTTCATAGAGAGACAAGAGGTAATGGGAATCTCATTTTAATTACGCCAATCCCTTCAAAATCTACTATAAGTGATTTATAGTTATGTTGGCGGATGATATCTGGCATCGCTTGTTTCATGAAAGGACATTCAGAGGCCCTTTAGATATGTTGTTAGGGAACAAGAGCAGTATATGGAACGTTCCAAATGCCATGGTCTTTTAATTAAGTTCTAAATATATAGGTGAAGCAAATGGTTGTCGCCACCCTTGCTGAATCTGGTATGAATCTTTCAGATGATGTTATTGAAAGCATTATCGACAAGGTGCTCCTCTAATTTCTCTCTATGCTGTTCCTTTTTTCTCTATCTTTTGGGCATTGGATCTGAAACCATCAATACAATTCCCCCCTCACCCTGTTTATCTTATTCATTGTAGACCTTTGAGGAAGCTGATACAAAGCATGATGGGAGGATCGATAAGGAAGAATGGAGAAGTCTTGTTTTGCGACATCCTTCACTTCTGAAGAACATGACCCTTCAGTATCTTAAGTAAGTGCCTGCATTAAAATCTGCATTATTTTCATACTGAATGGTTGCTATGCCTATATAAATATCCGGATCCATAGTTTACAAAATATCATGGTGATGCTAAAAGAAATTTCTCCCTAGATTTAATATAGGAGGAGTTTGTCTGCTTTACACCAAATTACTGAATTGTAGATTGCTAATTAAATTATTGGACGGCAAACTTGACTGCAAATGAAATTGTTGAATGACAAACTTGTCAGCTTGTCATAAATTAGTTTTTCACTCCCTGTTGTACTTACGAGTGGATAGGTGTTGATCGCTTTAGTAGAATGAAAAAACTATGTATTCAGAGTGATTGTCTCAGATATTAGATTGTATCGCACAATTCTGGTGAAAGGCTGAAAGCATGATCTGCACAGAACGAAGGATTTCGATTGCTTAATGGTCTGTGCATATATATGCGCGTCTCAGACTCTCAGATATTAGATTGTGTCTGATGGTCGCTTTATATTTATGTTTTCTAAATGTTGATTCATACTGTATATATTTCTTTTTGAACAGGGACATCACAACCACTTTCCCCAGCTTTGTATTTCATTCCAGAGTCGAAGATGCTTGATTGGCATTATGCTTTTCTACCTTCCTTCTTCAAGTGCTGTTGTAAAGATGTCTGGCTTCTTATCTGCCCAGCAATTTCTTCTGTCATCTACTGTCCTTACTTTGTACCGTGCAGATTACTACATTTTTGTGTATTATTTGCGGGTTTCATTATTTTTTCTTCCATAAATTGAATGGGTTTTGTGACATTCGGTAAGGTAGAACTTAGAGGTGGGGCTGTTTTGCTGCAATATCTTCTTTCTTCTGGACTGAATAATGTACTTATTTTTTTTTAGTTACTGAATAATGTTTTATTAGCCGTGATGTGCATCGTGTCAAAGTTTGGATATGAATTTACGTGACACCATACAAATTACAAGTGACTAATGGTTCTTATCTCTTCAGCTAATTGTAAAGGATCCTAACCATTCCTTTTCTTTTTCTTAAGTCACATTTAGGACTTCACGGCTCATGGTTCCTAACCATTCTTTTACTCTTCATTTAAAAGTTTCTGGGCAGTCGAGATTTAGGACTTTCGCTCCTCCTGCAAATATGTACTTGAGGTGCGCACCCTGTAGAGTGGAACTTACTAATATCTAATGGAAAATTGCGGCACACAGCCAAGACTTGAAAAACTGGTACAACTTGCAGAGAGAGAAATATGTGTGGAACTGAGAATGTAAGGCTCGTTTTTTCTCAGGGACAAGGACAAATATTTGAATTAATATAGAAATTTTAAAATGAAAATTTAAACATACAGAAGGGAAAATTATTCCCATGCCTGCAGAAAGAAATAACTTGTTTTCGTTCTCTGAAGTCTCAACCGGAACCTTGTAAGTTCACTGCCAACCAAACCCAAAAGTCCCCAAACAGTTAAAGAAATACACAGCTACTTACCACCAGAAGAAAAAAACACAGAATGCCAAAAGAGACGGTGCAAATTAATCTGTAACTTCATAATAAAGCAGCGGTAACCACCACTCATCCGCCAAAAAGATGCTACTATCAAGTCAAGTAGCACCATTAAGATACTACTATTAACCAGAATTCAAAAACAAGACAAAACAGTAATAAACCCTACCTTCAACGTTCCATCCCATTTAGTACTTAAAAGCTATAAAAAGAACAAAAAGAAACAACAGAGACTTAGTCGACTTCCTCCATCTTGCTCTCAGCATCACCTTCACCTTCTTCCAGAGCAGGCATGTCTTCATCGACGTCATCACCCTCCCCTTCAATGCTCAACCCAAGTTTCAGCATCCTGTGAATCCTGTTGCCAAAAGTGTTTGGGTCTTCAAGGCTGAAACCAGAGGTCAAAAGAGCAGTCTCAAAGAGCAGCAGCACCAAATCCTTGACAGATTTGTCATTCTTGTCAGCATCAGCACGCTTCCTCAGCTCCTCCATGATGGGATTCTCAGGGTTTATTTCCATGGTCTTCTTGCTGGACATGTATCCAGCCATGCTTGAATCCCTCAGAGCTTGTGCCTTCATGATCCTCTCCATGTTAGCAGTCCAGCCATATTCACCAGTTACCAAACAGCAAGGAGAGTCCACAACACGGTCTGAGACAATGACCTTCTCAACCTTGTCACCCAGAACATCCTTGATCACCTTGCAAAGGCCATCAAACTTTTCTTTCAAAGCTTCTTTCTTCTTAGCCTCATCTTCACTCTCATCGAGCTTCAGACCTTCCTTGGTAGCAGAAACAAGCTTCTTTCCCTCAAACTCCTTAAGCTGACCAACAGCATACTCATCAATGGCATCAACCATGTAAAGAACCTCATATCCCTTCTTCTTCAATTTTTCAAGGAAAGGAGAGTTCTCAACAGCCTTCTTGCTTTCACCAGTGATGTAGTAGATGTCATTCTGGCCTTCCTTCATCCTAGTCACATAGTCCTTCAAGCTAGTCAGCTCATCACCAGACTTGGTAGAGTGGTACCTGAGAAGCTCAGCAAGCTTGGTTTTGTTGGTAGAGTCCTCATGGATACCAAGCTTCAGGTTCTTAGAGAATGCCTCGTAGAATTTGTTGTAATCTTCTTTGTTCTCAGCAATCTCAAAGAAAAGCTCAATGCACTTCTTCACCAAATTCTTACGGATGACCTTCAAAATCTTGTTCTGCTGCAACATCTCACGGGAAATGTTCAAAGGAAGATCCTCAGAATCAACAATACCCTTCACAAAGCTCAAGTATTCAGGGATCAATTCTTCACAGTTGTCCATGATGAACACACGGCGAACATAAAGCTTGATGTTGTTAGGCTTCTTCCTGGTGTCAAACAGATCAAAAGGAGCCCTCTTAGGAACAAAGAGGATAGCCTTAAACTCAAGCTGTCCCTCAACTGAAAAATGCTTAACAGCCAGGTGTTCTTCCCAGTCATTGGTAAGACTTTTGTAGAAAGCAGCATATTCTTCCTTGGTGATCTCCTCTGGCTTCCTCATCCAAATTGGCTTCTGCTTGTTCACCAAAGACCATTCATGAGAAACTTCCTTGATTTTCTTCTTTTTCTTTTCATCCTTTTCTTTCTCTTCATCTACTTCCTCTACCTTTCCTTCCTCGTCTTTCTTGTCTTCCTCATCCTCATCATCAGAAATTTCCTTCTCAATTGTCTTCTCAACCCACAAAGAAATAGGGTAGCTGATGAACTCAGAGTGCTTCTTGACTAAGTCCTTGAGGCGCCTCTCTTCAAGATACTCTAGCTGATCCTCCTTAAGGTAAAGAGTGATCTTAGTTCCTCTTCCAAGAACCTCGCCAGAGGTGTCCCTGGTTACAGTGAAAGAGCCACCAGCCTGGGACTCCCAAACATATTGCTCATCATCATTGTGCTTGGTTGTGACAATGACTTTCTCTGCAACTAAGTATGCTGAGTAGAAACCGACACCAAACTGCCCAATCATGCTAACATCAGCACCAGCAGCAAGAGCTTCCATGAACTCTTTGGTCCCTGACCTTGCAATAGTTCCCAGATTGTTTACCAAATCTGAAGAGCACAGTTAAACATCAGTAAACCAGTTGACAATTAACAAACTTATAATAAGGGCATTATAAACTTCAGCTTTATACTAACCAGCCTTAGTCATTCCAATTCCACTGTCAACAATAGACAAGGTGTTGTTGGTCTTGTCTGGGATAAGGTGGATGAACAGCTCGGGCTGGGCATCTAGTTTGCTCTTGTCAGTCAAACTTTCAAATCGGATCTTGTCCAATGCCTGATCACAAAGATTCAAACACACCTCATTATCATCCATAGCAATTTAAAAGTTCCAACTTCACAACTTTACCATAACATATGCAACAAAAAGTAGTAGAAGCACATATCATATCATGTCATCAGCCAGAGCAACTTGACAACCTAAATAGTAGAAGCACACATCATATCATATCATGTCATCATCCAGGGCAAATCATATCATGTCATCATCCAGGGCAAATCATATATGTCATCATCCAGGGCAAATTGATGACCTAAATTACACAATAACTTACTGCAGGGAGACAAAGACGTACAACAAGAATATACAACACAAGCCGGACACCGTACATGACATCATGTATCTAATCTGTACATCAACATTGACGCTAAAAGGCTACAACAGTGAATAACACAAGGCAGGAATAAAATAGATTCAAAGAACACAAACATGTACATCATAGCAGAGTACCAAAGCTTGGCCACTTAACATCCTAAATACACCTTTCCGAAGAATTGGCTCAAAAGAGAACTTCTAATCGGGTAAAAAAATCATCCATATAATTTCAAAATCGCTTCATACAATAATACGAAAAGTAGCCGAATAAAATTTACACCGTACATGAAAAATATGCAAAAATCATAATCTAGGCCACAAATCAATGGATCAGATGCATCAAAACGACAATATCCGGTTCAAATAAAAGAATTAATAACATAAACTGAACGGAAAAGTGGATTTGAGACTTACATCGGAAGCGTTGCTGATAAGCTCACGAAGAAAGATCTCTTTGTTGCTGTAGAAGGTGTTGATGATAAGACTCAGCAACTGGTTAATCTCGGCCTGGAAAGCAAACGTCTCTGTTTCCGCCATTACTGCAGATCTCTACTAAAACGCAACGAATTAAATTGAAATCGCAGAAACGAATGAAGAACTAGGGTTTTAAGAGCGATTGAAAGAGAGCAGGGGAGGCAGAGACTGAAGACTGTGATTGGAGGTTCTTTTATAGCGAGGTTTCTTTAGGGTTTCTAGATCCTTCTATCAGGGAGTAAATAATAATTTCCTAACGTGTAGTTTCTACTTTTTTCAATTTATGTTTTCCCTACTCACACCCCGAAAAACAAACTTCGCTGAATTGCAAATCACTCCTGGAATTGTTTATTTAATGTAATATTCCCGTTAGCTTTTCTATTATAAAGAATTCATCCCTCTAAAGTCTAAACTTGTAAGTTGTGAAAATACATTTTTTTTCTTTTCTTTTTTTTTTAAGAGGATTAATAGTCAATAGTGGTTTTCCACTTAGCCCCAGTGTGTCTCGAACCCGTGACCTATTGGTCAAAGATGAGACGTCTTACCACTAGACTGCACTTCATTGTCAGTTGTGAAAATACATAGTACAATAGAAAATTTTTCTTCTAAATTTTAATTTAATATCTATATTATTATAAAGTTACGTAAACCATAAATGAAATGAAGTTATCAAGTAAGAAGAACAGTTTCTTACTCAATGTATTTTACCTTTGAACTAAACTTTAATTGAATATTTACTTTTAATTTTAATTGAGGGAATATTATAATTATTTAATTTACAAAATAAAAGTCAAATACAACTAATCTACTAAATAACTTTACCCAAGATGAGATATTAGTCGGCTTATGTATTATGTAAAAGATAATCTATTAATGTTGTAAATATGCACAAATACACGTTAAAAAAGATATATATACCGGTCGACAGTGTTCTGCCAGTGGTCCGGCTTTTGACCGTCGTTGACTCGCATGGCCCGGTGGTGTTATATGGTGGCGCTGCCCATTAAAGCCGTCGATTCACGCCAACCTAGGCGGCAGGTCAAGGTGAAAAATTCAAATTTTTTTGAATTTTGAATTTGTCGCTTCTATTTTTTTGCGGCAAGCACGTGTGAGTCACTTGCGGGGGATGTGTTGTTTATTTTTTTGATTTGCCGATTATATCCTTGGTCAACTCAATCGTCCACCGCCGCTAACCACCACCCTTTTCCTCGGAAAACCAACGGAGAAGCGGAGAAAAATAAAAACTCACTATTTCGTACCAAAGTGTAAGATTTTTTCTTTTTATTTCTGAGTGAATATGATTGGCATCTTTTTAGTACTTTTGGAGTAATTAATTCATATATATATGAGCTTCGCAATTGTAGCAGACATTTACAGATACGATCTATTATTATAACTCGTGTATCGTATGTCATGAGAATTTCCAAAGAGACTCAGATTCTGAAATTGTTCTCTCTTTTATATCTTTTGGTTATGAACTGCATATAGAGTATGTAACTTTATCATGCTTAACCAGGGCTGTAAACGAATCGAGCTGCTCGCGAGTTCGGTCAATACTCGGCTTGAGTTTGGTCAAATCGATCTCGAGTCGAGCTCGAGTTGGCTTGTCAATATAACGAGTCGATCCCAAGCCCATCAGATACTTGCTCGTTAGCTCGTCGAGCGGCTCGTCAAATCTTATATTTTTTATTATATTAAATATTATATATAAGTGTATTAAACTTTTACTCATTTTTCATTCATTCCCTTTATTTTAATCTCTCTCCTCTCCGACTCCGTCTCTCTCTACCATCTGTTCTCTCACCATTCGAACAACGGCATCATCATAACTCCTTCTTTTCTTCTGCCAAAAACAAGCCCCACGAGCCAAATTCACCTCCTTTCTAATTTATTCTAATTTTCAAATGGATGTGGGGTTACTTTCAAAGCGAAAAAAGAATTTGGTTGGATCTAGCAAGTTGTTGTTTCTTAAACCAAAGATTTGGGGTTGGATCTAACGTGATTCCCTTCAATATTCCTTAAACTTCTTCAGATCGAAAGTATTGTCAAAATCTTGGGGAAAACTAAAAGATTTGAGATTTATTGCTACCAAATCTAAGAAAATTTCTGTTTTTGATCCAAGAGTTGTTTTTTATTTTTTATTTTTCTAATCTTACCTCTTATTAATTAACTGAATGCATTCGGTTCTCTTGTTTAGTTGATCCTTTTTTGCTTTCTGGACTAGAAGATGGTGTAAATAATGGTTTGGTGAAAAAAATTTCGTGGGACACTTCTTTGTTTGGAAGAACAAAAAACTCTCATAAGGGTTTCGAGCTTGTTCGAGTCGAGCTCGAGCCAAGTAAAAGTTGATCGAGGCGAGTTCGAGTTTAAATATTTCTGACTCGATCGAGTTCGAGTCGAACTCAACTTTTGTACTAAGGAGTCGAGTTTGAGTCCGAGTAGGGGTAAACACGGGCTCGGCTCGGCTCGTTTACAGCGCTATGCTTGATTGCATGCCAACTTCTTCGTACGACGTTTGTAGAGTTTTTCTGAATTGCTTATGAATATTTTAAAATTTGATGAGTTTTCTCTGTTGTTTACTCTATATGGTATATGTTTTTTTTGGTCTTTGCACTTGTCTGGATCTATTTCAATGGAACACCATTCTTTGGAAATAGTTCTTTTTCTTTCTTCATTTTTAAAAAATTTTTAATTTGCATAGTTGAACCTGCATTTGTATATGTGAAGTTTGAGTTTCGTTGAATAAAATCTATAGCTAACTACTTGATTTCTATTTAGATTATTGTGTCCCGTATAAGAGGCTATTTACTTTAATAGACTTTATACCTTTCAAGCCTTATCATACTTTTAAGTATTACATAAATGGCTGAAATTGCATCATTGCTCGAATTGTATCATTCTGCACACTTCAAATACTTCACAACAACACATATAGTCTCAATATAGTAATTTTGAAACAAAGTTAGTTCATTTTATTGTTTAACCAGTCATTGCTTACAGAACTTACAACTTGTATGCGCAGGTTAGGATTTGAACTGCAGTTGGCTGATGGTATTGGAAACCTTTGTACTACCATAGAAGAAAAAGAAGCTGAAATACTTTTAGAAATGTCAACAACATGTATTATTCAACTTGAACAAAAGGTATTTTTGTGAGAACAATACTTTAGTTTTCCATTTACTTCATCTACAATAAACTAACCACAAATGTTTACATTAACCTAATGCTTGATGACAGGAAAACAAGCTCGACATTGCCGACCTAAATAAAAAATTCCGAAATGGCACGCGATTCTTCCATCTCTGAAGCAGCGAGAAAACAAATAAATCCACCTATATCCGATATAATATCATTACCCCCTTACTGAAATCTCAGTCAGCTTTCGATGCACCACATTCTGAAAAAGGAAGTACCATATCCAATGCAGACAACACAGTACCAACAGATACACCAATGTCTGAAGAGGAAGAAGCAACCACATCAAAGCAAACAGAAGCAAAAACTACTCCAACCAAAAGAACACTCTAACCGACTCCTAAGCCATCAGGCACAAAACATCTGAAGTAAGACTAAGTGACCCGCGTATCTAATCTGGTTAGTGATAGTGTGTGCAAAATTCTCTACGTTTCGTACTCTAAATTTTTGTTGTACGTAGCCTTTGGCTAATAATACATATGCATTTTGTTTAGCGATAGCATGTGTACAGTCATACGCACTTCTAAGACTTCAATCTGTTGTCAAACATATCAAAACATCACAAACAAATAGATAATATTGATGCTTGCAAACTCGTGTTTGCGTAAATATATGTACTTTCCTCTATGCAAAATGACTTGTATTTGTGTGGACACAAACATCTTTAATTTGTTGTATCGAAATTGGATTGGCTTACTGTTGTAATTTGGATAAATATGCGTATGCAAAATTTCACTCAGTTTATTCTGTCTTTTGATTTTTTTGGACAACCAATGTGCTGCTTGAACAACTTCTATTATCCTTTCAACTCGATGCAACCGTTCTCCACTCCTTAATACTTCTTGCAAAACTTCATTCCACTCACGTCTAGAAACAAAACGAACAAGCAATTCATACATTTCATGTTCTATTGGCGTACGAAATTCGTCAATTCTTCGCATCTCTCTGTTCTCGATCGTAACACATGTATCGATGTAACATATTTATCCCCGTATTACATGCTCTTTCAACTAACACTGGAAATTCATTCTCCCCGTTTTCACCTGGAACTTCATTACGATCTATCAATAAACAATAGCAAACTAAACTCTGTTCGAAAAAAGGCTTCCAAAAATTTTTTTGTAGTTCAGACTAAATACCAGGCCTCTAAAGAGGAAAAAAACGAAATGGAAAAGCAAAACCTTTTTAGTTAACAGAAATTCTCTACAAATTTGAACTATATAGCCAAATTTAAACCAATATACACCAACCAAGCACATGAAAGTGTCACTATGCATGTCAAAGAGTTTTCAGTATAACATTCGCATACAAACAATAAGACATTTGTCTACCTTTTAGTTCCTCCTTTCAACTACGTGACATAATTTCTATTCGCCAGCAAATCTTTTGGTTTTTTCCTACCTTTACTTGCCAACAAATTTTTTCCTTTCAACCGCGTAAATTATTTTTTTCCTTTGGATACATTTTTTTTCCTACATCTTTTTCTCTTCCCTTTAAATTGTAGGTTAGCTTTCAAGTTTTCATTCGCTTTCAAAACATCTCTTTGAAAATTTGCTGCTTTCTTCCTTACACTCTAAAAACTTAAATCCTTCTTTAGTCTTCCAACATCAACAGAAAATAAATAGACAGTTCCAACTCTTGTACCTGTATTCACTGTGGCAAATGTATGTATAATTCGATGTTCGAAAGAGAAGTAAATGAACTACTAAAAAGACTTCTATCTTATCGTGTATGGAAATATGTTCTCAAAGCAACACTTAACATGGAGTGGAATCTTTTTTCTTTTACTCGAACGCATCGGTACATCGAAGTTGAACTACAAATTTAAACACTTAGCTTTTCTGTACAATTATGTAAAACATTGTACAAATATTTGTACTGTTATATAATAAAACCTTTTGATTTCAAATGATCCTTTCCTTACAACAAAATCACGACAGGTCTCCACGCTGTGCGGTCTCCCTACCCCTAGTATATATATAAGTATATGCCAAATAATCTAGTTTGTTTATTCATTGTTGGCTACTAGAACTTTTTTTCCACACATGAAGCACTTTTTGCCAAATTTTTTAAAAATAAAAATTTCATCCCTTGCTATTATTAATAAAGAGAAAAGTGATACTAATACATTGTTTATTTACGGATTATTAAAATGGAATTTAAAAGTGGATGGCACATATAAGTAAAGTAGGAATACTTCAGGGATCATTATGCAAATTAACTTATTTCTTTTCGGCACCGAATTGGAGCGTATTGGAGCGTGCCCGCGTGAATCAAAAGTCGCGCGTGTCGCATGTGGGTTTTGAGATGCAATTACACATACTAACAGGGGTGTTTACTCGTCATTTCACCTTAATTTCAAGCAAAATTTGGTAATAACGGTCAACGGCTTTTGCGGACCCATCGTTAAAGTCGCTTCAAGCTCTTCGAGAGCCTTCGCGATTCTTCTTTCAGCTGTATTTTTTTTCTTCTTTCAGCTATACAATTTGCATAAATATTCTTTTCTTCATGTTGTTTTTTTTGGAAACTGTTAGTACTTAGATTACTGTTTAAAATAAAATAAGAGGAAACTATTTAAAAACTATAGCCATGTCTTTTTGTACAGATTCAAAATAATATTACTCTTGTTCAAAAAAAAAAAAAAATGTTTGCATATTTCCGCCATATAAATTTGGAATAAAATAAAATAAAAAATAGAAATGAAAAATCGTTGCTAATAATGAAAAAATAAGAGTACTACTGTACTAAATCATCATCAGAAACTACCGGATCCAGCTGTTCTTATCCTTCCTCAAGTGCCACCTGTCAGGCTGACGCCGGCGACCATGACTACCGGCCTCTCTTCTTCCTCCATTGGACCCTTCATTCACGTTGAAAAGTCTGCCATGGCGGCTCCAGCTTCTCAGACCCATATCCATTCCCCTCTTATCTCTGCTTCTCGTTGGTAAACTCAATTCCTTTGAATTCCGGTTAGTTACCTCCGTTTTCCGATTGTTATTCGTATGCAGATTTTCTTTTCTGTTTCTTTGAAATCATCGTTTTTTTTTTTTTTTCTATTTATGGGATTCACGCAATCACTTCCCAGTCACTCCAAGACAAGTAGAAAGCAATTGAACAAATCAATAAACTTATCCATTCTCAATGAGCCAATCATAGTATAAGGAAACCAAAGTTGACTTCCGATGTTGGTAGATGCCAATGAATCGGGAGGCTAAGAACAGACCATTTCTGTTTATCTCCTCTTGAAGGTAAAATAAAATAAAAATAGAACATTCATCATATTAGCCAAATATGCAATGCAGTACAAACAAGAATAGCTTTTTGCCCACAGTAGATATTGTTTAGCATCAAAGATTAATCATATGATACCATATACATCAGGGTCTAGATGGGGATTCTTAACTAAGTTAATTTATTTGATCAATGCGGTAGGGATGTTGCTGATCAATGCCGAGTCGTTATGGCAAAGAAATTCGAGCAAAAAGGTGCTTGTCTGACAAATGAAAAGGTTCGGAGAAGGTCAATCTTGCAGAGCATTGTGTTTGCTCCCATATTTGCAAATGCTGATCTGATTCTAGCTGCTCCAAATCAGGATATGAAAGAGCCTGATGTTATAAGGTAAATGCTGCTCGTGCTTTCGTTCCGAAATATTCAGTTAAGCGTAAATGAGGGATAGGATCCCCTCTTATGTGAATTTTGTTATGAAAACTTGTTCCTTAAAGTGACTGTTATTTGTGTATTTGAAGCATTCAGGACATTGAAGCTTGCCAGTGGAGTTAGGATACAGGGTAAGTTTTTTTTAACTTTATTGTCGAGATGTTGGATCTTGATTGACTCTGTTTATTAGAGACATTGCAATCATGCCAATGGAATGGGATTCATTCTCCCTTTTTTATGGGCATTTATGATTTTTACTGGTAATTTTATTGACCAGAAATTGTTGAAGGAAATGGACCAGAAGTTCATGGGGGCGATGTTGTGGAAGTAAATTATGTATGCCGAAGGTCGAATGGATATTTTGTGCATAGGTAAGGTTTGATATTCTTTTCTTGCATCAGATACTTTCTTATGAATTGTTTTTCTGTCCTGCTTTTCTGGATGCTTATTATGTGCCGTAAACTCAACATGAAAACAGTACTGTGGATCAATTTAGTGGAGAAAGTGCTCCTGTTATACTTGCTCTGGATGACAAGCAGGTTATTTCTTCTTACTTTGTCTCCAACATGTTATTTAAAGGGAATTGGGAATCATGTACTTGAAGAGTTCAGACTGCAATAGTTGCTTTTTGTTAGCTTCCTTCATAAATTTGTTCCTACTTATCAAGCATTTTGTACTAGCCGGCCCCACTGATATATGGTAGGATAAAGCTTGGATCGTTTCATTGTATCTGTTTTTGTTATCCATTATTAGAAGTTCTTCTGTATTCAGCATTTTCACCACGATGCCAAATACCATGTCTAAAATTGAGGAGGTTGTTTTACGGCAATTACAGATTGTTTTCCTTACAACAATTGGTATGTAACATGTAGCTCTTGCCAGATTTACACATAACAAATGTTTACTGTCTTGCTGAATATTGTTGCAGGTTATTGAAGGCCTCAAAGAGGTTTTGATTGGCATGAAGGCTGGAGGTTTGCTATGTTTCCCTTTATTTAAATGAAATTAACCATTGAGTTTAGGGGGATTATCAAAGGGAAAGATTCCTTTTTATCATTCACTCATAATTGACTTATTAAAGCATCTATACTTGGAACTTAGAAGTGAACTTTCCCTCCTTCAGGAAAGAGGAGGGCGTTGATTCCTCCTTCAGTGGGCTACATCAGTGAAAACTTGGTGCCAATCCCTGTAGAGGTATTCAATTCGAAATCCTGCAGTTTTACATTTTCAGACTCCTAATCCCTTACTGCATATAAACTTTCTGATGTTCTTGGATGCAGTTTGGACCCCGACGGAGCCTCTTGTCTCACGCTAAAGAGCCTCTGATTTTTGAAGTGCAGCTCCTGAAGATTTTATGACTTGTAAGGACTTAAACTTTGTATAGTTCCCTCCCTACTTCTCTGCATGTTGAGATGACTGAATGTTAATCAGTTTGATCTTTCACCTCTTTGATGAAGTAAATTTACTTCTTTTTTTATAAATGTAGATCTCCGCGCATCAGAGTGGACAGATAGACGCTTCAATTGATTGGAGTCTTGTAAGGAATTCAGGAAATACTTGTTGAATTGACTGAAATTTATGGCACGATGTGTTAGGCGGACAAAGTTTATGTGATAAGTTATCAATCAATGAAGTTGAGGGTGAAGTTTATCAACCTTTTAAAGCGTGTCAATGCAGTGTTATGGAACACAAAAGTTGGGTGATCCCTAACATAATCGCCATATAGGAACTCCAATTTGGGACTAATTGTAGGTAGCTTTCTCTGTTATCTGGTTTGACATGATTAATGCAGACACATATTAGAATCTTTTCAGATTCTTAATCATTTACTTATATGAAATGACCTCATTAAAACAGGGCAGATATAAGAAACAAGAAATACCAAAAAATCTCAACGAAATCAAAGCTAAAGGTCTTTGAACATGCTGGTCCAAGAAAGATGGACACGAAAGCTAGCGGATCAGCAAATTGGATTAGATACCTCACAAGTCTTGATCACATATACTATATGGCTCAATTCGCCCGTCAAGTGGACAGGCCAATATTCTTTTAACCTAAAAATTAAGTCTAGATTTTTTTTTTTTTCCATTTATCGAAGCAGCTCAAAAGCACTACTCAAATTTGTAAAGTATTGACGCCCAACTATATTTGGTCTCTTTTTCAAAAACTATATTTGGTCAGTAAGTTCATTGTTTTCCTTTTGTTATTTTGCATCCATGCCTGCAACTGCAACTATATTTGACGTGTCCGTTGCAATTATTGACAATTACAGTCTCTTCGTGTAATTACAAGTGTATGTCTGCGTACAACTGGCCTCCCAGACTCTAACAATTAAAAAAAAAAAAATCTTAATAAAAAAGATACATTAGGACAGGACAATTTGGTAATAAAAAAATTCTGAAAAAAAAAAGAATGGGAAATCGAGATAATTATAGGTGGAGAGTGAAATTTTTCTCTAATTATGATAAGTACAAATGTACAATGTAACGCGGATTATTTTTCACTAATTAGGAGCACTTCTACTAGGTTTCACTTGATTCATCAACAAAACAACTTATTTATCCAACCGGTGATCAATTCTCATAAAAAAAAAAAAATCTCTTCAGAATATTGTCATATATTTCTTATGAAAAATTTAGAGATGAAACCTAACTCAAGGATTGATGTCCTGACCGACGGCCGTCCAAAAAGGATAACCGGGTCTACTAATACAGAGCTGGCGGCAACAAAGAACAACGCGGCGGCGACGGCGGCGACAGCGATCAGGATAGGAGTCATATAACTGATTTGATTTTGTCCGACTTGTTGTGTAGACTTCCCAGTTAGGATGTTTTCAGATTTAAGTCCGTTTGTAAACGATGGCTTTCTTTCATATCCGATCCTTCCTTTTGCAGTTTGTATTTTTCCCGTCAGCCATCTGGTCAACCTTCCCCCTTCGTGATTTTTGACTCTCAAATTGGATTGGTTCACAGTGAAGAAAGAAAAGATCCTAAATCCTTCATCAACAAAACCAGAACCGGGAATTTCCCACAGTTTCGTAAGGTTAATTTACCAAGTCTTAGTGAAAGAAACAATTAAAACACGAGTTAGGGTTTCGTGTCGTAGCAGCTGATAAAGGGTTTCTTTTGCTTGAGAAGCAGAAGCGGGTTCCAAATCATAATGGTGATGCAGAATATTATATCTGCAATGCTGTAACCAAGCTATGGTTCACCCTTCCTGCAGTTAGGGTTTTGAGCAGCTCAATCAAAGTAGGGTTTGTGGCACAAATTGAAGGTGGTGTAGCTCTCACTGGTTATAGGGTAGTGATACTTGATTCCAAAATCAAACCCTCCAACCTAAGGTTCTTTGACGCTCAAATGTTTTCTTCAGACACTGGGATATGGGTGGGTTTGAAAGTGGAGCGTCCATTTGCGATATCCTACTTTGATGTGAAAGCCGCCAGACCCGTGGTTGCAAACACCACCATTTACTGGTTTGCATGCGTGGGGGGAAATCTTAGCCTATGATCCTTTCGCGAATCCCACCAAGTTACGCGTTATCGGGAATCCGAGTGCCGGCTTTGGGCATTCCGGGTTGTTTCCTTCCGAATGGGCGGCTCAAATATGTGGAGTATAGTAATGGATTAAAAATAGGGGAACTATGTGACAACGACCAATGGGGGATCCGACATTCAATTAGGATTGAAGATATGATATTTAAGAAGAATATTTCTCCCGATGACATCATCATACTTATATCTATTCATCCCTTTGATCCAGATGTTGTGTTTTTGTGTTGGAGGGGGTGCAGGAATTTGGTTGCGTACAACGTGAAAACCAAGGTGACGGAATCACTTAATGAATATTGGCCTTGTGAAGGTTACGACTACCCCTTGTTAGGTTTCTTCCAAGTGCTTCCGCTTTGGCCCGTTTCATTTCATCCCTTCTTATGTTTTGGAACTGATGACTGGTTCATCGCTGAATGATTTTGCCTTCTTAAGGTAATATTGATGCATTAATGTTTGAGATCATCTTGCATCACATCAACACTTCGTGTTTCTGTAGAATGCATTAATTTTACCTTTGAAATTTTGTTTGATATTTTTTCCAAGGGATTTTGGTTCAAAGATTTTTATATAGTTTGAAGTATTACTATAGTTTAATTAATGTTGGTTTGAACCGTTTAAGTTGTTCATTTTATCGGTTTATATAGATGGAACCAGCGGTGAAACATGAGTAGCCTCAACAGATGCAAAGAATGTGGGAACTACAACAAGACGAAGATAAATGGCACCTCCAACTCCTGCTTATCCTCAACAGATGCAAAAATAATCCCAATTTTTAAATGGGTTAGGTCCATATCCATGTTTCCTAGCGAGCCTTTCTCTCTATGTTTACAGGGTAGGAGGAGTGATCTTATTGAGTTAGCTATCAGACTGAGTTTTGAAAGGGCGTGATTTTTGGTAACTTAAGGAACAGTTTTATTTATTTAACAATATGATTTTTTTATAATCCGGTTGCTGCTATTCTTTTTTTTTTTTGGGCGCTCATTGTTCGAGAAATTATTGTCCGAATAATCCAAATTCAAATCTGAGTAAGTTTTTTTCGAGAGGTAAAACTCTCCCATCAAGTATTGATATTATTTATTTTTATCTTTTTATTACAACAAAAAAAGTTAACCGCCTAAGGAATTAAGTTAAAAGATTTCATGAGTAAGTGACTCACCAAGTCCTGGGTAATTAAAAGACTGCTATTATTCTTTCATATATTTGGTTTGTGTTAGTTTTGACTTTTGACTAATTATAGTTTTCTGGAAATTGACCGTTGATTATTTATCCACGAGTTTTATTTAATTACAAAGACGTCCAAACTTATTAAAAATTATTTTTATTCCCCTATTGTTTCTCTTTCATTATGATTGTGCTTAATTGAGAAGGTATCAGCTTCCTGAACTTGGTTGGTTGTCGGACGGAATTCTTACGAATTGGTTCGAATACTGCTCCCGGCTGGAGAATCCGTTGATCAAGATGCAGAAGTGGTTTACATCGGCCGCAGCCGCAGCCGGCGGAGATGTTAGTACTAATCAGCCAGCAACAACGTCGTCGACCTCTTCATCTCCTTCTTTACTTTCAGATTGGAACTCCTACGCAGCTTCTAGATCCTCCGAAACCACCACCAGCTCCCTCCTCCCTGGATTCGACATCGAGTCCGCGGTTCGGTCTGCCAACGACTCCGTCTCCGGCACTTTCAGCTCGTGAGAGATCTTGCTTCCCATTTGACTACTATTACTGTTTTCAAGTTGTAGAAATTTATTTATTTTTCTTTATGGAATTCACCAATATGATCCTTGCAAATGTGAGTAGTTCTGTTTCCAAAAGACAGTTTTGTTTCTTCTGATACGATGTTTAGTTGCAAATTGAATTACAAATGAGCTTCTGTGGAAATTCTATCGACAAAATTGAGGTTAAATCTCTCATTCGTTGATACTAAGTCAATAATTTGTGAACCGAAGTATAATCAGCTGTTGGTAGAATTATATGGTAGAACTGAGGTCATACGGGTCTTTCTGAGGATTGTTGGCTTACATTTGTATGTTAATGTTCAGACATCCGTGAGAATTGAGAGAGATCTTGTGATGTTCAGACATTCGTGAGAATTGAGAGAGATCTTGTGATCTTGTAGTAGATTGCTGTAAGCTTGCTCCATAGTTGTGATGTTGTTGGAGACTTGTGGTATTCTATGATCCCAATTTTCGGTAGTCTGCCTGTGACCAACGAAGCTGCCTTGTAAATGTGTAATTGTATAGTTCTTTGTAATTATGTTCCATCATTTGCAGGAATATTAATGCAAGTGAAGCGTTCTTTTCTAGCCAATAGGTCTGCATTTTGAAATCCTGTTCGATATTCCAGACTTTCCAATCATGATTTGACCATGTTTTGGTGAAGAATCCTGAACTCCAGATTAGCCTCATTACGTATCTGCTTTTCGAACGATTATCTGTTATTTTGCATCTGGAGCTTCTCATAGAGTTCCCAGAAAATATTCACTTCATGTTTTGTCTTGTGAAGTTACCATGAGTTATGGAGAATGTGAAAGTTGTAGAAAGAAATTGCTTAAGGTCTAGTTCGAACTAGATGCTCACTTGGACCTCTCTGAAGTGTCTTATTTCGAACTTTGATTGTCCTCTCTCGTTCAGAGCTCCCATAGGTCATTATGTGAAGTGGAGATGTGTATCCCTCTTATCAGAGAAATTACTCTACTAGATTATGACAATAATTTTAGTTTTAAAAAAGTTGGAACGAATTTATCCTAAATGCATGTTTTTTCCAGCTCAATGGCCTACCTCTAGTTCCTTTGTGCTGTGACAATGTCAGGATACCATATTCATTGACATTTTATGTGTCTTTTCTGTATAATAATGTTTCTTCTAACCTGTTAATCCGCATTTCTGATGCATTGATGACCTAATTTCTCAAATTTGTGTAGATGTTAAAAACTATCAACTATCTATGAGTGCGTTGGAGTCTGTTTTATTTGATCTTTTTAGCTGCCTGTTATGCTAAGAGAGTTCCTTTTCTGAGGTCTGAAAGTTTATCCCTTATCATTGCTCAGTGTCACTAAAGGGGTCAGAGAATTGCCTGGAAGTTTTCAGTCAGCAACTAGTAATATACCGTCAGGAAAATCTCTGATGTATTTTGGTTTGTTTCTGGCCGCTGGAGTATTCTTCATATTCATGGCGTTTGCGTTGTTCCTCCCAGTCATTGTCCTGCTACCTCAGAAATTTGCCTTATGTTTTACCGTTGGATGTGGTTTTATAATTGGATCATTTTTTGCACTTAGAGGTCCAAAGAACCAGTTCTCTCACATGTCATCGAAAGAGGTAGTTTTGTGATTTTGAATAAGCATCTTGCACCTTGATTATCCTATCTCTCTCCTGTTTCTCATGGCCGTTTTCCCTTATTTTTGACCAGCGACTACCTTTCACGTTGGGATTCATTGGCAGCATGATGGGTACAATATATGTTTCCATGGTCCTTCACAGCTATATCCTCTCTGTTCTCTTTTCTGGGTTACAGGTATAAATTGTGTCAAGTTCTATTTTTATGGGGCATCCTGTTTTATAGTGATGTTGGGTTAATACAAGAAATAATAGGAAAACCTCCTGTAGCTTAAAGTTGATTGCAATGGTTTAGTTTGTGAAGACCATTTTAGAAGATGTAACAGAGGTTTGGTTTTCGGTTCATGTCCTAGCAGGTTTTGGCTCTAGCATATTATGCTATCTCGTACTTTCCCGGAGGATCTACTGGACTGAAGTTCATAACGTCTTCCTTGACCTCTTCAGTATTGAAATGCTTCGGTAGATAATCATGACTCCTGAGTCCTGACTCCTGGTATTTTCCGGCCTTTCTCCACACACATTTTTTTTGTTAAAACTGGATGACTGATAGATACTAAAAGAGTACAAGTTGTATCAACAGAGTTGAAGCTGGCTTGTTGTAGTATCTGAGGTACATAGTTAAAAAATTACACGCGCTAATCGTTTGAGCTGCCAGCTCAATTGTAATCCTTATTGTGTGAAATATTATGCATTTTGATTGCAATTTTATTACCAAGCAATCTTATCGATTTCTTTCACAGCATTTCACTATCTTTAAGCTTCCGAACTTTTGCTACTGTCAATTGTGTCATTACTCATTTCCGAAAAATACACATGCATGTGGTGGACACTCAACAAAGGCGTTTGTTAGGGCATCTCTTGGGGTGTCTGGTCCTGTGATTCATTTTTCCAACTTAAAAACGTGGTTGCCTCAGCATGTTCACGAGCTTGATGTTTTTGGCTGTTTCCCTGAAGATGTGCAACAATTCAAAACACTTTAACACAGCACTTTCCAAAAATTTTCCAGATATCAGGGAGCGAAAGATAGAAGAAGCATTAATGCAACTGAATTCCCCATTTGAAAAAAAAAAAAAAAGACATTAAATTTGAAGGCCCAAAAGTTAAAAGTAAAAAGAAGTAACAAGGAATCGTTGTTCAATGTTCACGCTACAGATAGAAACGTACTGAATCGTTTATGGTGCTCAATAAACTCCATATGAAATTTGAATCGAACAAGTTGATTCATCAAGAAGAAAACCGATTGTCTGATTATTTGGAAGAGGGGAAGTACTATTTTGGAACTGTCAGGTAAAACTTGACCTCATTACAAAAGGATCGAGTGGATCTTGAATCTTAACTACAGTTAGTTTAACCAAGTTTAAACAAAGTAAATCAGTTCAACAAATACGATTTCTTCATATCTCCTTATACTTTTCAATAAATACGACTCTTATTTTGAATCGATCAAGTTGTATGTGTTCTTTGTTCCCCTTTATACTCAAGACTGCATTACCAACTACGGTGTGTAATTTGATAGAATTAAGGAGATCAATTAATAGAAGTGAGATATGAATGATATAAAAATATGGGCTACGAACCAAAGTCCAGTACAAAGTACAAACTACAAAGTACCAAGGGTTAAATAGTTCACAAAAGTGACTAAAATATCAACCGTCCTAGAGCGGTCCAACAGCAGCAGTGTTAAATAGTTCTCAAAATCGTCCTTTGTAACACTATACAGTCTGTCTCCGCCGCGACCCACCCCCACAAACACAATAAAACAAAATATTTCCTCTTTATCTTCACAAAAAAAAAGAAGAAAAGAATTTTTCGTTTTGCTTTGATAAAATGTAGGTATGTGAGCATTCAGTCCACATTTACAAGAGGAGAAGTTTTCTATTTAATCATGGTTTAGAATATTAGTATTGTTGGTATATATATGTATATATAAAATATGAAGCCAGAGGGTCCAAGACAAAATACAATTTGCCGAGTTCATGTCATTTTCAAGACACAAAGTTATACTCATCATTTTGTAGCGTCAAATGCTTCAACAGCAACCCCTAAATGCCGCAAAGAGGTTGTGATGTAAATGTGATCATAACACAAACAAGAGATCATTCATTTAGTCATTAGCTTTTCTTGCTTTCCCAAAGGGTACTTATATAATTTCTTACGCTCCTAAACTGCGTTCTAATCCCAAAATTTATTTATTTGATTAATTACCCACTAAGATAAAGTAAATAAAAAAGCCTTATATAGCATACTAATTTGACTAGCAAGATCAAAAGCGTTGCGCTGAAAGTTGTACTTTGAGAAAAGATCAAGTTAATACATATAATGTATATGCAATTATAAAATTGAAAGCTTTAGAGAGAAAAAAAAAAGAGAAGGGAATTCCACTAATTAACACACTTTTACAATAAGCATTATTTTCTTCTCATAATGAGTAAAAAATCCTGAAATTAGGGAAAGATGGTCAAGACTAATATTGGAGTTAGGGGACAATGATTTCTACCACCCAAAGTATAAAATTGTATAAAAGGGGAGTTGGGGGGAAAGAAGGATTATAATTAATTAGGGGACAATGATTTGACATTTAATATAGACATTAGACCAGATTAGTCACTGGACTTTTGTTTTTGTGAAGGGAAAGAAATAATCATATAGCGGAAAGCGAAAAGTGAGTACTTCTTCTTCTTTTAGTGATGAGAAAAAAAACAAGTACAAACTACCGAGTTAATTTATGAACTAATGCCATGCAAAACCCATCTCAACAACAAATAACCAAATCAAATCATCACTTTGGTCAACATTTGCTTTTCTTCTTCTTCTTCTTCTTCTTTATCTTTCCTTCTGTTTTTATATTTTGTGGGTTTGGGTTTGGATGAAGGAGCGTTTTGCATCGTTCTCCCATGTCAAGTTTGTTAATCAGTAGGAATTTTTTCTTTTCCATGTACACTTCCGTGTTCTAAGCATTTACTGTCTAAAGTTAATGTATTTTATGTTTTATTTCACGATATAAATTGCAGAGTGTTCACCGTCGACAACAGTGATTAATCCACCGTTCATAATAAGTATCTTGATGGGTGAGAACACTAGCCATATTATTTTTATTCCCCCCCTCCCCCCTTCAAAATTTAGATCAAATTAGCACAAAAATGATGTAGATTTCAATGATCTGGCATTGAAGGTATGATGTCATATCTACTTCTAAATGTTGTTGGTTTATAGTGAAAACCGATAAATAAGACAATTACTACAAACCTAAATGTACGGATGCATGCATGTAATCACAACTCCAGCAGCCCTAGCTACCTATTAATTTTGGGAACTAAATAATCCAAGCAAAGATGAAATTAACGCATATTATGATACTATACTATAATAATTGAATAATCAAATCATGCTTTTTAATCGAATTATTGTCATAGCCTCTACCTAATATACTGGAGTGGTAGGCCAAAATCACGATAAAGTCAATAATTAAGGTCGACTATCAAACTAAAATCTAAGCTATATAAGAGGGGGGGAAAAAAAAGACATAATAAAGTTAGTAAAGATTAATTATTATATGAATGCTCACACCACTTGCACGCACGAGTGGGTGATTTAACACTTTAGACCTTGAAAGCCGCTAAAATAACATGCAAAATCTATTGACTGTTTTCGCTCATCCCTTCCCTTTTTGTGTTTATTGTGTAGATCTCATCTTGAAATCCTTCAAATAAAAAAAAGGGGGGTTGTGCTGAATTTTTAAAAAAGGGGAAAAAAGTTATTTTTTTAAAATATATATATATATTTTTAAAAAATTCCATTTCTCATGTCTCCATAATGTCACGTTATTCAGAGAACTCTCAATCTCAAAAACATTAACCACTATAATAATATGACGTTTCTTTTGGAGACAAGCAAATATAAAGATTTGAGAAATATCAATGGCTAGCTATTTCTAGGTAGGATTAATGGAGAAGTATTTATCCATACTAAATGGAGAAATATAGATTGTTAGTAATTATTTTAACTATTTTGTAATTGGATAGATACACCTACTCACTCATCAAGATCTCATTCAATAATTCAGACAACTTTGTACACGATTTAAGAAAGAAAACCCTTTTTCTCATACAAAAAAAAAATAAAAATTACCCTTAATGAATAAGGAGTGAATCTCTAGCTTCTCTCTCTGGTGATCTCTCTCATTCATGATCATTATTTTCTCATACATATTTTTTTCCCCCAAAATTGGAGAGCAGTACAACGTAACATGGCACGTTCTTTAACGATTTTTTTTTCCTCCTTAGCTAATTCAACAACAAACATCAATTGTTTTATCTATCAATCTTTTTATCAACAACTTTCGATACGTAGAGACAATAGTAAATCTATGTATAATAATACTATATATGTTGATACATATTGCAAAACTCCATCCAAATCATGTTATCATGTGACATTTTAGTCTTCTTTTTTTCTTGCCCCGGTTAGTGTCCAAAATCCAAAAATTTCATGAGATCATGTGAGCAGCAAAATGGTACGTACTCACCTCTCTAACCATATGGTTAAACATGCATGTGATGAGATCTTCATTTTGTCTAAAATTAATTATGTGCCTTTCCACTCCCATACATCCGATCCACAAGATCAAAAAGATCCATCGAATCGTTCGATCCACATTTAAATAAAATTGATTGGAATTGTTCATGAGCATGCACACAACATAATTGATTGGTAAAATAGGACAAAGAACGAAAAACAAGGTGTAGTAATTGTCAATACACTGTTGCATTTCAATTCCTTCTTGATCATGAATAGTTCCTGGAAAACTATACCGTAGTAGAACAAAAAGAAATCTAATATTTTTTAACCCAAAAATAATTATTTTATCTGTTGTACTGAAATAATATTACAACAAATAAGATAATTATTGTGGAACAGAAGAAATAAAAGTAATGGTTGGATTTGGATAGGGAAATTCTAGTGTGATCAGTGATGTTCTTGGCTCAACAGTACTCATTTGGTGGGTGTCTTTTCTTTTGAAGTTTTTCTTGTCTGTTATATTTTTTGGATTTATTTTTCTTGAGGCCAAGAAATTACGGGGAAAATGTATGCAATTTTGCATATTTTATTTGTTGGCACACTCTTTTCTTCTTTTTCTTTTAAAAAAATATAAATTATATAATTGTTTGGCGGATTGGGAAAAAGGTATAAGGTCAAGTATCTATCAAACTGGGCATGTATAACAAGCCAAGAAAATAACAGACTCCAAGCTATTTCCCTTCTTCCCTATGGGTGGTTGCATGCATATATTTCCAGATATCATGTAGTACATAAAAAGAAAGATAATTGTTTTTCGCATATACTTATTAATTTTTGAAAATTATCTTATGTAGACATGAAGTTAGAATTTTCGAAAAATGGTCTTTTGCTATTTGAAATTGACTCCGTAATATTCTTTACGTTCCGAAATAATTATCCAATTTATATTTTCATTTTTAGTTCAAATAATACTAAAAGTAAAAAATTCAAACTTGATAATCATTTTGAAACAGAGAGAAGTAATATTTTTATTACGCCCTTACCATAAGATTTCATCTCACTTTCTCGCTCATATGACATGGATATTATGTACTCTCTTCATTTTGAAATATATATCGTTTTAAATTTTGGTGAATTTTTTTTAAATATATGTCGTTTTCACAAGTCGAGACACATTTGACCACTTTTTACCCTTGCATTGAAAATGAAACAATACTTATAATGAATTTCTGTTGGTTTGTGATGAGTTGTATAGAAAATACATAAGGGTTTTTTTTGTATTTTAACTACATTAACTAATGTTTTTTTTTTTTTGATTTTGATGAATTCTTTCGAAAGACATATAAAAAAACGGAGGGAGTATAAATATTACTTTACTAATAACTAATTAGTTCCTAAATGATTATTGAACGGTAATATTCTTTCAGTTCTGAAAAATTTAAATTTGTATTTTACGAATAAGATAAAAAGAATACATTTAGTTAAGCGTTGTGTTGGTTCGATAACCAAATACTGCTAGTATAGTGTGTTTTGAAATTCTCGCCGTATATAATTCATAATTTATGGTTTACCACGAGGACCAATGAAATGAAGAAGGAGAACATTTGTTTCTTCCATCATCGTTATTCATGCCTTGTTTTTTACACTGAAAATGCAGTTAATACTCCTCCATTAATACTATTATTACTTTAAAAAAAAAAAAAGAGGAAGAAGAAAAAAACATCTGTTTCGTGAATGATAAACAATGAATAGAATGGTCAGAATTCAGAAGCAAAGCATAATTGCGTTGGCACCCTTGGCAGAGCAGGTTTCTTAGAAACATCAACCAGAACAATTGTGATCCCCTTTTATTAATTCTTAATCTAAAATTTTTTGCAGTAATAATAATCTGTTTTTAAGTGGGATGGCACGCAGATCGATCTATCTTTGCCATTATTTTATTTTTAGTACCATTACATTTGTCAATTAGCCATGTTACATTGTTGTTTGATTTGTTTGAATTTAGGTGACTTCCATTAAAACTCTTCTTCTTCATTACCTTTAATTTAATATTTTTAACCTAATCTACATCTAATCCTTTTGCTAATTGTTTATTTCTTTTTGGAGAACTTTAAGGAAAGGTCACCCGACAGCATGTTCCGATGTGCAGGTATTAGAAAATGCTAATAATTTAATTAAGGTTGTAATTAGGTTTGAGTTACATGCATGTGCACTTGCACTCACTCACTACTACACTTCATCAGATTCCCTTCCCACTCATTTTTGTGGACTAATCACCCTATTTTTAAAAACACAATTGATGGTTTACATCCAAATGATGTGTTACTCCTTTTCTTTGAGTAAAAGTACTGTTTCATTCATACGTGTTTAAAATCGTCCAACTGTATTTAACATATATGATAATGAAACGAGCTATCAATGCAACTATTATCATATTTTACACTAATATGATAATGAGCAAAGCTATTTTCTTTCTCTCTCTCTGTTTTTTTTTAATAAAAAAAGGATCTGTTATTAGATTAGAGAACCTAATCTATTACAACGCACTCTGTGATAAACTATATTATGCATGTCCAAAAGATCATGTTAATGTTACCCATGAATTTTTCTTTTTTCACAAAGAAGGAACAACGTAAAGTGGCTATTTACTCTGTGCTAATTTTTCATGTCTCATGCTCGATAAGGTCAATAATATAGTACTCTCTCCGGTCCTTAATATAAGATATTTTGATTTGTTCTAGGTTTCACCTAGTATGTATTTTTAATAGACGAAAAACTTTAAAAATATATTTTTATATTCGTTGTGTTCTCTTAATTCTTAGAATATATTTTTAAGATTTTTCGTCAATTAAAAATATATTTTAGGTGAAACCTAAAACAAATAGCTAAGGAGTACTACCAATTAATTACTGCACTGCCAAAAAGGATGCAGCAAACAGTCATTCTTATTTCCCCTGTTGGGGTCATGGGAGACCTTGTTGCTGGTCAGTGATAAATGTCAAGTTCCCTAGATGAACAATGATACATTGTTTTCTTCTTAAATAATTTTTTTTAAAAAAACTTCTAATAATAATTTTCCCTTAACCTCAATATTCATATTTTGAGACAGAATGAGTATGAATTATGAATGTTATGAAAAATTTTATGCCTTACTAGTAACTTATTATTATTCAAACATTCACAAATCTTGTCAGAAAATGAAACTACACAGTTCGTTTTCTACCAAATTGGATTTAGCTTCTTACTCCTTTTCTTCTTAGACCATTATAACCAAAACAAAAAAGAAAAAAGAAAAGAAAATGTGGGTCACAACTCAAAACTTGTTCCAAGAGGCCAGAAAGGCACTTAATTTGCTTTTAAATCGGCATTGGTGAAAACTGATTTCAACTGGCAAACCCTGCAGTTTTTGGGTACAGATCAGAAGACCTTAATATGGCAACATGTTTGGTGAAAAATCGCCAGCAGACTTTTTACCTCTTCCCAAAAGTGCACTGACTCCATTGCCATTCTAATTCCTTCCTCATGCCCAACATGTGGCACCTTGAGCTGACTCTCCCAAAAAAAAAAAAAAAAAAAAACCAGTTTGCCAGTTCATAAACCCTGGACCACTACATTCCATTCCTTCCTCTGCGGTCTCTATATTATGCTGCTCTTAAATTAGTGTAATTTAAATGAAATATCAACATCAATATCAAAGATACATATTCGTGTAATTTAGAGATAGAGGGGTGGTGAAACGCTTCATAAATGCGGTTAGTTATCAGCGAGTACTCTCTTCATTTTAAAATGTAGGTTGTTTTAGGATTTTAAGGTAAATTATTAGTTAACTTTCTAACATTACCCTCAATAAATGATACTACTAACTACGTCTTGATTAAATTTCCAAAACAATTAATGATGTGTAAATTAGATATTTGACACAGAAATTAATTATTAAATAATTATTTTCTTAGTTTACGTACAAAGTTTAAAGTGACCTACATTTTAAAATAGAAATAGTATTGATTAGTGTAATATCAATAACACCTTATGAATCCAAGGAAGACTAATTCGATTAGATTCGTGTCCACCAGATTTGGTTTGATTGCTTAACCACTATATAGTAGGAGTAGCTTATCAAGACGAATTGTAATGTAATACTCCCTCCGTCCTATAATTATTGTCCACTTTGCCCAAAAAATTTTGTCCCAAAATTATTGTCCAATTTGACTTTTTATGGATCAAGTTACACATTTGTCCTTAGTAAAAAATATTATCCATAAAATCTTAGTGGTTAAACAATTACTTATGTATGGGTATATCCGATTACTTAAAGTAAAATATAATTAAACTTGACCAAAAATAAAATTTTTTATTTTAGTAAAACTGGACAATAATTATAGGACGGAAGGAGTACTAACTAGACTTTGCCCTTCGAGCAAATTTTTTTTTTTTAAAAAAAAACACCTTGCAAATTTATCAAGAGATGGAGAACCTAATTAACGTTTTCTTTTGGGCAACATGGAAGAAAAAGCTTGGATTTCAAAAGATCAGAGTGTACTATGATTTTTTGTCGCACCCTTTTTTGCTACAACGAATAAAAGTTTTGACAATATTAATGAACTGCTTTCTACTGCAGTGATAAAGATTGCATAAATGGCTCAGAAATGGACAACTGACCCGAAATGTATAAACAACACTATAAATATTCTAAAGTGAGAATGAAATGGGATGGAAGATTGATTTCCCCTATCCCTTTTCACATTTTCAGGAGATAAATTTACCAAGCGTAAACTTACGGAAACTAACATGCTTATGGTAAATGACACGAGTTTTGTAAATCTCAAATACATATGTACTGACTATCAAGTGCTTCTCCTGATAATGTTGAGGTTCAGTTAAAAGAAAATTACCGTACTCTTCAAATGTTTGTTTCGTTTTTTTTTAGTGTGTTTTTATGTGTTTTTTGTATTGGGAATGTAAAAAGGTGTATTGAAAACGTAAAAAAGTATACTGGAATGAGACAGTTATTATTATTTAATTCTGAAAAAACCAACTAAAAAAAAAAAAACAAAAGTTTGCGGACTGATTAGGAAAGTTGCCCTTGAGAGAGGAAAAATCCAAGAACTAGAGTTGTGCATCATCGGAACAAATTGCCAACAGAAAAGAACCAAAAAGGCAAGAAACACTACTACTGTAATTCCTTCATATCTGTCTTAAAATATATATAACAAATAATAAAAACCAAAAGAACCCCATCTGCATCTCACTCACATCTCTTTCTCTCTTAAAGATTAACAGCAAACTTCTGCAGATCCAGATCTTAATAAAACACTAAATAAAATTAAAAAAAAATAATATTATAGTACTAAATTAAATCAAATTAAAGTTTCTCTTGGATCCAGATCTTCTGGCCTTTTCCTCTATAAACAAAACATGCCTCAACAATCCCAAAGGAAAACTGATCATTTCATTCATTCATTCATCTCTGTTCATATGCTCTCTCTTTCTCTTGGGGTCTCAACCCAACCCAGAAACAAACCATTATGCCTCCTGCAGCAATGCCTGCACCCTTAAGAAATCCCTTCCCACTTTTTTCTTTCTTCTTGTTAATAAACTATCTTTTCCTTTTCTTCTTTTCTCCTTTCTGCTACTCCATTGATGTACAGGGCCAAGCTCTTTTGACATGGAAAAACAGTTTAAACAACTCCAAAGACATATTGAATTCATGGAATGGTTTGGACCAGAATCCCTGCAAATGGGGTGGGATACAGTGCAATTCAAAAGCCCAAGTTGTGCAGATAAGCTTGAGATCATTAGACTTGCAGGGTCCATTGCCTTCAAATTTGCAGCCACTCACCGCATTGAACACACTCATCATTTCATCATCCAATGTAACAGGAACAATCCCAAGGGAATTTGGAGATTATCTTGAGCTCACTGTCATGGATATCAGTGACAATTCCATCTCAGGTGTGATCCCAGTGGAAATCTGCAACCTAAAAAAGCTTCAAACTTTGAATCTCAACACCAATTACCTTGAAGGCAGCATTCCTGATGACATTGGGAACTTGTCAGCTCTCAAAGTTCTTACTCTCTTTGACAATCAGCTCAGTGGTGAAATCCCAAAGAGTATAGGAAAATTGAGCAACCTTGAAGTTTTCAGAGCTGGTGGCAACCAAAATCTCAAAGGCAGTTTGCCTTCTGAGATTGGAAGCTGCAGCAATTTGGTTACGTTAGGCCTTGCTGAAACTGGGATTTCTGGCACTTTGCCATCTTCCATTGGGATGCTGCAAAAAGTTCAAACAATTGCCATTTATACATCTCAGTTATCAGGGCCCATCCCAGAAGAGATTGGTAACTGTTCTGAGCTGCAGAATCTGTATTTGTATCAGAATTCCTTGTCTGGCTCTATACCCCAGCAAATAGGGAATTTGAAAAAGCTTCAGAATCTTTTACTGTGGCAGAACAGTCTGGTGGGTTCAATCCCATTTGAGCTTGGAAACTGCAAGGATCTCAAAGTGATTGATTTATCAGAAAATCTTTTAACAGGGAGGATTCCTTCAAGCTTGGGAGGTCTTTCCAAGCTGGACGGCTTGCAGTTGAGTGTCAATCAGTTAACAGGTACTATACCTCCTGAAATCTCAAACTGTACAGCTTTGACTCATTTGGAAATAGACAACAATCTCATCTCAGGGGAGATTCCAATCCAAATAGGCCAATTAAAGAGCTTGAATCTTTTTTTTGCATGGCAGAATAATCTGACTGGCATTATTCCAGAGTCCTTATCTGAATGTGAGAGTTTACAAGCTCTTGATCTTTCTTACAACCTTCTTTCAGGTCCAATTCCTAAAAAGATCTTTGCTTTGCAAAACCTAACAAAACTTTTGCTTCTTTCCAATGAATTATCAGGCACTTTACCGTCTGATATTGGGAATTGTACTAACTTGTATAGGTTTAGAGTGAGTAATAACAGGCTAGGGGGGACTATTCCTTCTGAAATTGGAAATCTGAGAAATTTGAATTTTGTTGATATGAGCGGTAACCATTTTTTAGGGGAAATCCCACCCTCAATATCTGGTTGTCAAAACCTTGAGTTTCTTGATCTCCATTCAAATGCAATATCTGGTTCTTTGCCAGATACTATGCCTAAAAGCCTGCAGTTTTTAGACATCTCTGATAATGCCCTTACAGGTTCTTTAAGTCATTCCATTGGGTCATTAACAGAGTTGACTAAACTCATTCTGGCTAAAAACCAACTTTCTGGTAAAATTCCCTCTGAAATCCTGTCCTGCAGTAAGCTGCAATTGCTTGATCTGGGGAACAATGGTTTCTCTGGTGACATACCCAAAGAATTAGGCCAAATTTCATCACTTGAAATCTCCTTAAATCTCAGCTGCAACCAGTTTACAGGCAAAATTCCAAAAGAATTTTCAGGTCTTGACAGACTAGCCATCCTTGATGTCTCCCACAACCAGCTTTCAGGGAAATTGGACATTCTTGCCAACCTTCAGAACCTTGTTTCTCTCAACATCTCATATAACTCCTTCTCAGGAGAATTGCCTGACACCCCGTTTTTCCGTAAACTTCCCCTGAATGATCTCACTGGAAACCAGGCTCTGTACATAGCTGGAGGTGTGATAAATCCAGCATCTGCTGGACATGCAAAATCAACTATGAAACTAGCAATGCCAATTCTCGTCAGCGCTAGCGCAGTCCTAGTACTACTTGCAGTTTACATGCTAGTCAGAACTCGAATTGCCAGCAGAAAGCAGATGGAAGTTGACACTTGGGAAATGACCTTATATCAAAAGATGGAGTTTTCAATGGATGACATAGTCCGGAATCTAACATCTGCTAATGTCATTGGGACTGGAAGCTCTGGTGTAGTGTACCGGGTAACTATCCCAAATGGCGAAAAGACATTAGCAATCAAGAAAATGTGGTCATCAGATGAATCACATTCAGGAGCCTTTGCGTCAGAGATTAAGACATTGGGTTCAATCCGGCACAAGAATATAGTTCGCCTCCTAGGATGGGGTTCAAATCAGACAATGAAGCTGCTTTTCTATGACTATTATTCAAATGGCAGTTTGAGTTCACTCTTGCATGGTGCTGGAAAGGGGGCAGCAGAATGGGAGACAAGATATGAGATAATTCTTGGCATTGCTCATGCACTTGCGTATTTACACCATGATTGTGTGCCTCCGATCATGCATGGAGATGTGAAGGCCATGAATGTTCTTTTAGGCCCTCAAAGGGAGCCATATCTTGCTGATTTTGGGTTGGCAAGACAAGTTATCAATGTCCAACAGAGTGATTGCCACAGTTCCAAGCAGCAGAACAGCCTGAGCAGGCCTCAACTTGCTGGTTCATATGGATATATGGCTCCAGGTAATTGATCCATCAATAATTAAAAAAAAAAAAAAAAAAAAACTAGATTCACTAAATTGGTCTGAAATTGCTGTTAACTAACTATGTTTTGGTGTTATTATTTTGTTAATCAGAGCATGCATCGATGCAACGCATCACAGAAAAGAGTGATGTTTACAGCTTTGGAGTGGTCCTCTTAGAAGTTTTAACAGGGAGACATCCATTAGATCCAACTCTGCCCGGGGGTGCTCATTTAGTACAATGGGTTCGTGACCACTTACACAGCAAGAAAGAAGCTGCTGATATTCTTGATCCAAAGCTCAGAGGCAGAGCTGATCCTCAGATGCATGAAATGCTGCAAACATTGGCGGTTTCTTTCCTCTGTGTAAGTCCGCGAGCTGATGATCGCCCGATCATGAAAGATGTCGTGGCGATGCTCAAGGAAATCCGGCCTAGTGTGGATCCTCGGTCATCGGATCATGATTTGCTCAAGGGGGGTCTAAAGGCAGCTTCGCCTAAATTATCTTCGCCTTCGCCTGCCAGGGCCCCGCCCCGTCTTGTGGTTTCACAAGGGTCGTCTAACTGCTCTTTTGCATTCTCAGATGATTCAGTTTAAGGATTGGAAGGAAATGAAATTGAGTGTGATCATTGTGAATATTATTGCATAGGAGACAGAGTGAGGAAAAAGCATTGGTTGATGTCATTAGTAATTTAGTACTCCTTCCGTCCCAAAATTATTGTCCAGTTTGAGTTTTCATTTTTAGTTTAAATTGTACTAAAAGTGAAATCTCAAACTGGACAATAATTTGGGACAGAAGGAGTATCATAATTTTCTCAAAGAATCAGTGTAATTTTTTTGTGAGTAGCTATTATAGGTAATTGTAACTTAGAGTTGAATAACTAGTTTTATCAGCATAACAGTGTTTGATGCACAAGTTAGTAAAAGCCTCCATTTCCAACTGAGGAGATGTTAGCAAATTCGAAGCAACAAGAATTCGCTTTTTGTACAAGTACTTCTTGGCTATTCTGATGTTTTTGGTTTTGATGATAGTCAAAAGCTAAAGGTAATAATAGAGGAGAAGAGATCACTTCTGTTTTTCTTCTATAATCTTTGTCCCAAGAATATAATCCACATTGAGGTTATAATTTTGTACTGAAATTAATACAAATTTCAAAAGTCAAACGCGAATTACTTTGTTGGGATAGAGCGAGTAGTACATATTTTTACATTTTATCATAGGGAGAGGTTGGATGAGAAGGAATAATCGTATTGAGAGGAGGCCATGCGCATTCTTGATCAGGATTCAAATCATGTCACTATTAGTGAAGGAGTTAACAGTTCAAACAGTTCGACTCACTATTTTTGGTTGTGGAGCAGAAATCATTGGATATCTTGGATGAGAGTCCTGCATTCCAAAGTCCAAACAGATTCAATATTGCCAACTGAAGTTCACATGGTCCAGCTAGCACACATCTCACACACATGCTCATGTGATGTCAGGAAAGAACTTTCAAGACAAAAAAAACTTCTTAAATAAACCCTTTTTTTAACTGAGAGAGACTTTGTTGAAAGAAAAGAAGGAAACCAATTATGCTTTGCCCAAAAGTCACTTCTCACTTCCTTTAATCCCAATCGCAAACCCCAAAAATACTACTCCCTCCATCCCATAATTATTGTCCAGTTTGAGTTTTCATTTCTAGTTCAAATTGTACTAAAAATAAAATCTCAAATTAAAATTTTGGGACAGAGAGAATACTATCTATTTAATCGGTCGCTTCTATTGTTGATTTAGAGTTACTTTTCCAATATGAGCCCCATTAAGCAATGTTTAGCTACCAATAATAAACAAAATAAGAGTATTAACGGAAATCTATTTAATCATTCATGATATTCATAAAATGTGACATACCTATCAACAAGGAGGATTCAGTGAATAAACTAAACTTCATTAAAAATAAATAAATTAATTAACTGGGACTATACTTTAAGACAGTCCCAAAAGAAATGTATCCCTATTGATTCAAGACCAAGGTGATAACTTATAATACAACCTCAAGTTCGATTTACTAATGCACTTCAAGCTGTCTTTGACGACTTACATCAACTCATTGCCAATCATGCAATCAGTGGACAAAATTTACATACTATTAAAATGATCAAACGTGCAAATCGCCAATGCTATGCGTTACTGTAATAATGGAACATTGCATGACAATATAACAAAGCCAATGAAATCAAAACCGTATTGGATATTTGGAAAATGGATAAATTTTTAAGAAAATGAAGATATATATACTGTACATATCAACTTTTGCAAGTGTCCCTAAAACTATTACACAGAAACGTTACCTAAGATTTCTGGGACTTTCTAGGTAGGATATTTGGACTCTAGTTTCTTCATGATCATGCTGATTACACTCCAACTGAAGCCACGGTATTGTAGCCACCTGATAACCCTTAATTTTCTTTTCTCTATACATACATCAGAACTTCGCATCCATTGCTTGGTGGCCTGAGCAAACAAATGATCCATTGAAAGCTTTGACATACCAAGCCTTGATGAACTTTCTTCTACATCGGCTGAAGCATCATCACTGAAAACTAATTTGACGGCCTTCTCAGCATCCTCACTGCTCACTCCCTTACTGTAGAGAGCCTGACATGTGAAGGAGAAAAGATACCAAAATGAGGAAAAGGAGTTGTTTGTTAAGAGAATGAATGCTAAGACAATTTGGTTAATGCCTCCATATAATTAGACACTAAAAGGAAAGAAGAAGATTGGTTGAATGACAGAAACGGTTCAGTACAACAACAATTAAGTAATGCTTCCTGGAGATATATCATGCTTAATCGTTCCAAAATACCTCCAATTTACCTGCTTTATTCGACTTGGACCCCAAGTAGAAGATGCCCACCTAGAGCGGGAAAATGTCTCCGCATATAAGTCATCATTGATCAGACCCCTGCAGTAAGATGCCACACAGGTTGAAGAATTTGAAACCGCAAATATAAAGGGGAGGCGGGTTTAACAATCTGCTGACAAAAATGTCAACAAGAACATGTATTGAAACGTTTATTGGACAATTCACAACATTCACCATACTGATCGATAAAAGATTCACAAAGTAATCATAGATAAAAATTCTGACTCACTTCAAACAAAACTGTGGTAATTTACCTGGATTTGAAGTCCCTTATAACTGCATCAACAATATGAAGTGGACAATTCTTGCCCTGCAGCTTCTTCCTAAGCTCCATAGCTGTAAGGGCTCTAAATGATGAAAAAGCACTATTAGAAACAGAATGTGAAATAAATTAAGGACAACCTGTCATTGATCAAATTAATGCCCTGTTATGACCAACCAACCAAAAAGTTAATGCCCTGTTATGACCAACCAACCAAAAAGGATATCACCTCCATGACTTGTGCTACTGAAAAGAGCAAAACAACAAAGACAGACCACCACCACCACCACAAGAACAACATAAGACCTTTATCCCACTGCAAATTCTTTTTTGTCAGGGAGAAAGAAACAATGGTAATTAATAACAAATACGGTTACTCACATCGACCTCTCCTAATGTTTGTAGAAACTACCTATTGGCCTCCAAGATTTGGATAATTACCTAAATGGTAGGAAAAATGAAGTTTTCTCTGTGGATGGATGTTACACCCCTCAGCTTTACGCAAAAGAGTTAAAAGATTGTTGAGAGAAGGGAGGTAAATGCACTAGTGTCTTGTTTATTTCAGATCAAGGAAATGTTGGCAGGGGGAAGAAAGCTCCAAAGAATTAACAAGGCATGAGAATAATATTCAGACAGGAAAGGAGTGTAGCTACAAGAGAATTCTAACCTCATAGCTAGTAATTCAACAGCCAATTTCTGCACATCTTCTTTTACTTTAACTCCTTTAGATCTACGATTGCCTTTACTATTCTCTTCCAAGAAATCATCAAATTCCTCCACAAACTTGTCGTCCTCAAAACGCATGTCTCCATCAAATTCTTCTCCAACCCCTACAAATCCAAAAATGCAAGCAGCTAAATTAAAAGGATATGAGTGATAAATATACCAACAGCAGAATCACTATATCCGTAGACATACCTAGTCCTTCAGTGTTCAGAACAAAGCTCCTCCTACCGGCTGAAGTCTGCCCACTACTTGCACTTTCAACTTTCTGTATGCTAGATTGAAAAACTCTATTTTTACCCAATCTCACATCATGCTTTGATTTTTCAACTGGCTCTTTATTGTAATTCAGCTCAGTGCCTGCAACAAAGGTCCTAGAACTACATAAAGGGGGCACTCCTTCAGATATAACACTACTATCTGTACCTGATTCTTTCTCATATCTTGCATTATCGACAGATGTTTCAGTTAGATTTTGAAACTGAGGTTCAACAGCAATGTTCCTACTACTGGATGATGTTTGGGAACTTCCGCAAAAGTCAATTCTTTCTACATCTGGTTGAACCATTTGACTTGAACCCCGAGTGTTATCATTCTTTATGTTGCTTGTCTTTTCACTTTGATTTTTAAAATCAGTATCTGCAAAATAGCTCCATCTACTGGCTGAAGCCTGGACAGTAGGTTGATGTCTCTGCACATTAGGTGGAACAACACTACCTGTTCCGGATCCAATATTATCGCCAGTATTGCTAAGTGGCTTCCCATATTCAATTTCACATTCATTATTTACATCTAAGGTGCCGCCCATTCTTGAACTTTCAGAGCTTCCAGAAAGTTGAAACCTCTCCCCATTTGACTGAGCAAGCCTCTTCGTACTATATTCCTCATTGTAATTTATCTTGCTAAAAGGATGTTGATGTTGCTTCCGAGACATAGCATCAACTACACTCAAGATATTCTGCTTACTTCTAGAAAGTTCAACTCTTTTTCCATTAGATTCAACACTATCACGCTGCTTCACATCATTCAATTGAGACGACGAAACTTCAGAATCTTTAATGCCTGACGACCTTTTTGGTATGTACCTCATTGGACCTGACTTGCTACTATAATCCCTCCCTTTTGAACAGCTAATAACCGTACTATCCAAATTCATCATCTTTCGCGCCCTAAAAAAATTCGAGCCAGTACATTAAAAATCACAACTCCAATATTATTTATGGTCAGTTTCCCCATAAATACCCAAAAATAATAAGAACAACAATAAAACAACTGTGCCCACATCATTTTTGTCCTAAAAGTTCGATTGTTTATATAAGAATCATATTTGCGCAGAGGGAAAAATGGAGCCCAGGTACTTCGGTTACATTAGAAAACAAAAGTTCACAATGGATATCAATACTTGTATGGAGTAAAAATATGAATTTCCCTAAGCAAGGTCGATATTATTCAGCAAAAGAACAAGGAGAAAACCCCACAAATCAATACCCTTACCAGGGAATCACAAAGACATGGTTCTGTAGCTGATTAGCAGTGGTGGAGATGAAATTCCCGGATAGGATTGCCATTATGGATCTGGAGCTGGATGATGATAGAATCATAAAAGAAACTGGGAGGTGAAATTGTTCTTACTTTTAGTTCTTCTGTATCAAAATTTGAAGGGGGTTAGCCCTAAGCGCCTTTTATGCATAAAAGTTTAAAACAAAAAAGAAGAAGACGACTTCAAAGAAGGGGCCGTTCCGATGGTGATTTTTTCACTGCGAAAATTAATTTACTGTCCCGTTATATTTATCTTTCACGGTAATAAAGTGCCAAAAAATGACTTGGACTTTGTTTCTTTTCTTCTTCTTTTTTTTTTTTTTTTTTTTTCATTTTCTATGACAAGAATGCATATTATCACGTGTAGCACCCCATCCGTCCCGAAATTATTGTCTCGATTGAAATTTTCATTTTTAGTATAAATTGAACTGAAGCTCTAAAAATAGAAAATCAAACTGTGAAATCTCATTCAGGACAAAGAAGAGGAAGAATAATAAATAAATATATGCAAGAACGTATGTTGAAAAATTTACGGTCCCATAAATTGAACTGTAATGACTTGGAAAAACATGAGAAAATTATTGAGAAACATACGAGCTGGAGCCTTTGAAGCAAAGGTTAACCGATACAAAAATGATGAGGATTATTGGCAAGGCTCCCTGATTTGATCTCTTTGTAGACAGAGGGCCAAAACTGGAGGTGTGCTAGAAGAATGGGCCTTTTATAGTGAAACTGGCATTGACTCGGGAGAAACAGTTGCATTGAAATGAAGCCATTCTTTGACTATAGCATTATGAATACGATACTAATCTTATTTTCATCAGAACTGGTAACAAAATCTGATTACTATGATGAGGACTGGTTTTCTATTACTGATCTTATTTTCATCAGAACAGTTGGTAAAGTAATCCCTCTGAAGTTCAGTAAGCTTCTGATAATGTTTCCAATTTTTCGACTAACTTAACTCCCTAAGCCTAAAAAAACGATGTTTACCAGGAGAAATGCAAAATCAAGGACGACGAAATGGTTATGAAAGAAAGCAATTGTTTCGAGACACACAACCTCAACATATGAAAGAAAGCCACAGTCTCGAGACCCGCAACCTCAACAAGAAGTCTGCATATACAACAACAAGAAGTCTTTTTCCCACTATATGGGAGATCGCTATATAGATTCTATATCGCTATTGTGCTCGATCAAAAGTCTATATATACAGCAATCAAACGGAACATCCCCCAATAATATAGTGGATATCCTCTTTCTGAACACTGAAATCACTGCTAATAGGCAGGGCATGTTTTCAAACATGGCAGGGTAAAATAAGACGACAGGTTGTTTAGGCACAAGTCAGTTGACTCCAGAGTCCAGATGCATATTAAGAAACAGAAACTACAGAACTATATGAAGAAATGAAAGAATAGTCATTCAAGCACCACTGAGATGTGAATCAATGATGAAAATGCACATTCTCAAAGAGGGCCGGGTAAAGCAAGTGCAGGAGGTGCTGAAGTAGTCGAATCATGATGCTTCAAAGGGAAGGAAGTAGGCCAAGGTGGAAGCATTTGAAAGAAACCCGAAGTAGGACTATTAAGCTGGTCACTACAACTCGAAGGCGGCCAATAACTCTTGAGATGAAGGGATTCCATCCTTTTAGACTCTATGTTGTAGGACATCAATTCTCCAGGTACTTTCCAATACAAAAACACTATATTCGGATCAGATGGATGAAACGATAAGAAAACCACAGTTATACCATACCGGTGGCTAGTATAAGGATCACCATCAGGGAATAAGATATCTGTAAAACTTATATCACGTTCAAGCCGCCATTCATAGTTGTCCTGGAGCTCCCATACTCTTAAAAATGGAGATGGGTGACCATTCCAATAGCTTTTCACGATGTGTTGGAAAAATTTGAGGCGGTCTTGAGAAACACCACATCCGAAAGAACCCTTCCAATCATTAGCCCCATCATCAACACCAAAAGGATACTTTATAATCCGAAACTTACTGGGATTGGCAAAGGGATCCAATATTCCTCCGATGACCACATCACCGATCATCGTAGCCATACAGTGAAGAGCATTGTTCACAACGATGGGTCTCTGGAAGCTAGAGATTCTAACCCGATGTTCAGAAGACACTATTAAATCCACCCATCTCCCTGTTTCTGAAGAAAAATTATGCATCCTAATGGTTTGTTTGGCATTGTATGGACAATTAATTACAGCAACAGTATAATTAATCAACACCCCTGTTTCTACCTGAGCAATGAAACCCACATTGATTGGATTCAAGGGAAGATTAGGGAGCCTAGGGAGAGAGAAACGATGCTTGGTCACAGGATTACAGATAGAATATTCAAGACTTCTTAATACCTCCCTTTCAAGAAGAAGAATACCTTTATCAGCTGCTCTGATCTTGAATTGGGATGTACCTTCTGATGATCTTTCAGCAATTCCGGGTAAGGTAAGCTTACGAAGCTGTAGAAATTTGTTAGCTTCGAATGGGATGGAGACCGTTTCAGCCGGATGTTCTTCATCAACCGATTGAACAATTGAGGAGAAGAGGACGAACGGGCAAGCCTCCGGCGAGGAGGACCGTCGGGAGATATATAAAGCCCGGAACGAAGGATCTGAGATTAGAGAAAGCCAATGTTTGGAGACGCATTTAAACCTAATCACATCAGCGGCTGGAAGTCTGCACCACAGTTCCAACAAAAACCACTCCGGTAAATAACCGTCTTCATCGCCGACGTTGGCGTCATTGGTTCCGGCCGGCTCTTTGAGAGATTCTATCATTAGTTTCGGGACGGTGGAACCCTAATTTTGCACTTTACTCTAGTACTGATGATTGAAAAGGGGACAGAATTGAAAGCCTCTGGTGAATTTATGTTTGTTTGGTTTTCGATTTTGTGAATTGAGAGAGAAAATTTGAGATCAACCAATTTCTTCTGTCCAAAAAAATCAGTAATATTTGCAATTATTATTTTTTTTAACCTTCAAAATTGATGAGGAGATTTTTATGAATGATTTTTTTTTAAGTATATAAAATTGGAGAAACGTACTAATAATTAGCCTTTTAAATTTTCGCTGTATTGGTTTTTTGAGTGTTAATTGCAAACCTTGTTGCTTTTAAGTCCATCGACATTGATATAAAAATAACAAAATGTTTTTTTTTTTAAGAAAATAAACGTCGTTCATCTTCATACAAAAACTAATACTACCTCCGTCCAAAAAAAAAAAAAAGTCTATATTAAGTTTTCAAATTTGTACTAAAATCAGTACAAAACTTAAAACTCAATGTGGATTATTTTTGTGGGACGGAGGTAGTAAAAAGGAACGACAAATACTACAATGGTGAAATCCAGATTTTTACCAATGTTATGACTTATGATAATGTATGATTAAGTAATTAATCAATTTTACATGAGGTAAAAATTATGAAGTTTGTTTTACATAAATCATACTATCATAGTAATTTCAAATTTCCATAAGAAAAATTAAAATTGTAAATGATGAAGTGAAATCCAAATCCAAACAATGGTAGGCTCGTCCTCGTACTTGAATCTAGGTTGCACTTTTTAAAACTATCATTTCTTGATCTCCTCATCCAGCACCTCTGGAAGAGTATTCTTCCAGTTCGATTTGTAAGAGTACAATCCGTCGACATTCATTGTTAAAACATGTCATTCATTTACTTCTTCTGTTTCAGAGATTGACCTTTTATTTTTTTGAAACGGAGATAATAATATTTGATTGTCATATTATGACGGTGATTGACATAAACTCATTTAATTATTACGAAAAGTTATAGCGGCATAAATCATCGTCTCACAATTTTATTAGAGGCTTCCAGATGAATGAAAGTTTACTAAAAGAACTGAGAAAATTGATGCTACTATTTTACAAATATGGTAACAATTTACAGGGGAAAAAAAAAAAAAAGAGAGATACGAAAATGTCAAAGACTGTCCCATTTTCATTCATTCGGTCTTCCATGCATAAAGGAAATGACAGAACTCTGCTGTTATAACCTGATAATCAAAATCAACTCCATCACAATTAGGATTACTTCTTCTCCTTCTTCCAACACTATAGTCCTCATCTACTTCTTCATCTCTGTTAATGTTACCTTGCATGAAAATGAATGTCCCCGGACCTGATACAGATTCATCATCATTGTTGTACAGCCAATCATGCACATCCCAGAAAATCTGTACTGGAATTCCATCCACTACCAGAGTCTCATTTCCCCTGAATCTCCAATGCAAGTTGGAAACTCGAACCGACTCGATTCCATCGACGCTAATCCACATTTCAGGATCATCATAAGGCCCTGGATTAATAGAAGACTCAATGATGATGTGGTGTTCCCTTTTGCCTTCTCCTAACATAGTTCTTGTACAGAAACACTTCTTAGCAAACACATTTTCCTTCTTGTGGACTAATGCAGCATCCATTGATGAGGGTCTGCACTTGGTTCTTGAATATGCTTCTTTTTTCTGATCCCCAAGGAATAAAATTAGCTCTTTATCAGAAACCAAAGCAACATAATAACCAGAACTTGGTTCAGGGCTGCAGGTGGAGAATTTTGCTGATCTTAAATCCCAATACACATCCACCCGTTTCTCGTCGACTTTGAATGATTTCAGACCCTTTTTCCCCCAAAACTGCCAGGTTTTGAGATCTATCTTGCATGTAGATTGAGTTCCTTCACAAGGATTCTCTTCTACCATGATGATTAGGGAGTGACCAATTAATGTCTTTGACCAAGTTACCATAATATCACGGAAATTACCTGCAAGTTTGGCCCTGTGGATGCAAGTCACAAAATTTTCTGTTGTGTTTTGTCCCACGGATTCCTCTAGTTTTCTCTGCTCAATCTGTTCAGGATTCCAGGTGGATGAAGCTTCCATATTCATCAAAACCTCAAATTAGCCATGAAAATGACCAATCCACCTTGGATGGTTCCTATCCGATAATCATTATTTGAAAATGGTGGTAGCCCTGATGGAATTTTAATTCCAATCGTCTAAATGCTTTATCAATCTGTTTATGTATATGGCTGCATTGCCCAAAAAACGATTTTTCGATAGACCCTGCAAGCAAAAAAGAAGAACATATATGCACCAGAAAATTGGGAATGTTTTAGGGAAAATTTTCTTGATGCCTGCAGGAAGGATTCTGATCAAACGAGCTAGGAAGTTTTATTTTTCTTCCTTGTCCCGGATGAAAGACTCAATATGATTTCATTATCATTTCTTGAGCGAATGCAACACCAAAACCAAGAGATTTAGATCAACCTGTGTAACAATTGGGTACAGAAAGATGGGTTTTTTGTCCTTTTCACAATATTTCTCTTGGATTATGGGAATTTATGGCTGCAAATAATTGGGCATCTAATATCCAAAACTCAGTTTTTATTTATCAAACTTGTAATATTAGACAAATTATATAATGCCAAGTGGATACATTCAGCAGTTTTATTAATTTACAACTGTTTTCTAGGATACTATACCTTTAGTAAAAAACTAAGTAAAAGTTGCTCCTTTAACCAGGATGAAAGTATCAAAATGTCACTTAAAAACTTCTGCAAAAATGCTAAAGCCTCTCACTTGTCTTTTGAATTTAACCTCTGAAAGATTGATGCCTAAAAGGCAATCAGGATCGATAAATGATGAGTACAATATTTAGCATGAAAAATTCTCCACTGTCCCACATTGAGAAAATATATCTGTGTACGAAGTTTATAAAGTTTGATTAGATGGACCATCTGAAGTCCATTAACTCAATACAGTTCTGGGAGGCCGGTACAACACTTACCTAAAAATGGCCAATCACCGATAAATGCAACTTTTTATGTTTGCTAAGAACAACTCAGATACTAGACATAAAGATTAAAATAATTAAAAAAAAAAGGCTGGCTGTACAAGAGATTCAAGGAAAAATCATAAACTTTCCTCGGGGCGTAGATCGGCTCCTTCTTAATTCTGCAAATGATGATGATGATGATGAGTTGCTTGCTTCCTTGACATTGTGAAATGTCACATTGGAAGCTTTGCTTTCTTGTCTTCCCATGAATGTGGATTCAGTCGCTCGTGCCAGTTCCCTGCCGCATCATAGTTTAGTAAACAGGACAATTTCTAAAAGCTGGCGAGTGTATTTCTTAGAATTTTATTCACGTGAAAGGAAATTATGTTCATGCAAAAATCATACCTTGGTTCAACATTTTGAGAATTCCTTGAGAAGTTGCTTTGAAATTTCTTCAACCTTGTGGCAGCATAACCATAAACTGGTGAGACCACATGCTCATTTTCTGCTTGAGAAAAATCATTTTTTTGTGCTTCTTCTGTTGTTTTTTCGCTTTTATCCATTTCCCTCAGCAATGTCATACCAATGTCAGACTTGTTAGTACTTTTAGCCATCATCTGTTGTTGATTCTTTGTCTTAACTACCTTACTCTCAGCTTTAGTTTTCCGAATACCTCCTTGTCTGACATTTAGCGCTTGTTTAAACTGCTCCTCATCGTGTTCTTGGTGATGATCTTTTCTGCTGGTGATCCTTTGCAAGCTGTACAAGGTTTCAGAGATGTTATTCATCTTAAGGGGCTCCTGAGAAGAAGCCTGTGATGCTCGTGTATTGTTATTATCAGTTGAGGTAACAGCAGCTGATGATGGTATAGCTGCCATGGATTTATTGGTGGGGATTCTTGCTGCTGGAAAGGGCATTCTCGTCATGGCTGGCGGATTATTATCAAGCGTTGTCTCGGGCTTAATCCTACTTCTGGCGAGGGCACCTCTGTCGGTCGATATTGATCTTCTAACTGGAGGTGACGGTGATCTTGCCTTGTAAGGTCCTCTCTCTTCATTTAGGAAAGGAATTTTTGGCATTGTATCCTTGTTATCACTAAACTTAGCTGGTAATCGCGACCTTCTCTGCTTGCCTGAAGAACAGCTTCGGACCTGAAAATTTTATCCATGAAGAGAGATATGAAACTTCATAATGTGCAATTTTCATTATATTCAGTTTTATATTCATAGCTAGTTCCCAGTACATAATTTGATGGAAGGTAACTCGAAATACGCGTACCTCTGAGATTTGAACCTCATCAGTCGTCCGCTGGTTGGTTTCAGTCTTCAAGCTGGCATTGTTATTATTCGATTTTGGAAAACGAAAAGGTGACACTGCATTTCTTGTATTAGCTCCGCTACTTTTCAACTGTAGCAGTTCACTATCTTTTTTCTCAAGTGCCAATTTCAGATTTGATATCTTAACCAAACAAAGGAAAAAAGAGATCAGGTTAATGACTTTCATAGTTTATAATGTCATTCTCTCAAGCGAAATGCAGATCAACTTGTTGAAACCATAAACTGATACCTCATCTTTGAATTCTATGATTTCCTTGCTTTCCTTATTGCTTCGTGCTGCTCCGAGATTTATAGACGCTACTCTCTCAGCAAATTTCAGAGTGCTAATTGTCTCTCCCAAAGCATTAACAGCTGGATTTATATGCACAAACATCAGTGTCTTTGCGTGACCCCCTACACAAATAAGAAAACAACAATGAGTTCAACAGTCATAATCATAATTAGGTAACGGGTTCAAGTCACGCCGGGGGTAAGTGGGGAACCACTATTGATCCCTTTAAAAAAAAAGGGTAACCGGATATGTCAGAAATTTGGCATGTAGCTGAGAATATTACCTAAAGAATCCTGTAACACTTGAGTCAGCTTGCTATTTCTGTAAGGAATATGGGTACTCTTTTGAGCAAGAGCAGAAATAACATCTCCAAGTGCCGAGAGCGATCTGTTGATGTTTTGAGCTTCCTTTAGTCTTTCCCCAACTGCTTCAGATTTATCCACTCTTTCGCTTCCAGCTAAATCAACTAAGTGAAGGCAACCCTTCAATGTGGACCCGGAAACCAAATCTTTTCCTCGAACATGAACTGTTAATATGCTGAGTAACAAGACCAAAAACAAAATCAGTTGACAACATCATTTGAAAGAAATACAAGATAGAACTACTTGAACAGAATAGAAGCTCACCTGTGTGATCTGCTACTACGTTCATTCAGAGCAGTAGCACCTACAGCACGATTCTTTTGTCCGATTTTCATCAGATCAAGAACATCTTGAGTACATTTGACTGGAACCAAGCTTGCATCGGGCACATTTAGACCGTTGAGTTGAGAGTTATTTCTTATATCTAACGTGCACAAAGTCAAGATTAACATGAAGAGATCCGATTGAGCTAGAGTGTTAAAGTTTGATGCTCTAAGTTATGTTAGCTGTGTGCTTTTGTACAAAATAGGAAGAAAGAAAACTAATTGAAAAGGATATCTCCTATTTGTTCCATCGATGACCAACAGATCTCTTACTTGTTCATTGTATATCTCAATCATTTGGACTCCAACTTCATACTCAATCATTTCTGTTCTTTCTTTTGAGATCTGAAATAGGTCTCGCAGAGCACGATAATTTACACCCCATGTCTCCTCTGTTATCAAGTCAGGGCCACTCTGTCAACAAAATTATAACACAAGAATTAAACATTACTGCAAAGTTAGATGTTACACGATCCATCTAAATTTGCACTTTTTATCAATTCATGTACTTAAAAAATCTTTTAAGGTTGATGGAGAAGCTGAGAAATGTCTCTCCAGAGCACACCCATGATTATTCTTAATTATCACATTTTTTTTGGAAATGCATTCTTAATATCACTTGACACAAAATTTTAAAATACAGTAATGGAAATGGATAAATTTTAAGTTTGAACGTGTGTAACTGTTAGTAATAAATCCATTTGATTACCATTGTGTATGTCTTTCCTGAGCCAGTTTGTCCATAGGCGAAAATACAGACATTATAACCATCAAGGACAGATCTGACAAGTGGTTGTGTGTCCATGTATATTTGTCCTGCAAAGTAAATTTTCAATATAATATCATAATCATAAACAGACATACCAGGAAAAGGATTTCTTTCCAACAATTATCATACCTTGCGAGGCATTTGTGTTGAACACTTTGTTAAAAGTGAAAATCCTTCTTGCATCTTTACCCTGTTTATAAGGATTGGCTATCATGATATCTCCATTTTCTCCAACATAATCAACCGTGGAGCGTTCATCTGATTGTCCAGGTAGAAAAGGTCTGACTCTGCAATAAACTCTAATTGTCCCTGGCAAAGAAGACGACAAGGGAAGAATATAATGTAAGATACCAGTTTTTATAAAATGAACTAGCTAAGAATTTTTTCTTCCCCTTCATCTCTAGAAATTCACCTTTTAGATCTTGTACTTGATTGTAAAGTGCACGATTCTCTTCCACGACCTTATGATAGGATGAAGCAGCCACTTCAAGGCCCTTAATGTAATACTCTGATAAAGGAAAATCCAGTCAGATGAAGTGGGAAAAGTAGCCTTCTACCCTTAATGTACAACATTTTGTCAGTGTCTCTCACCAAGCCTTTTGAATTCCGCTTCACATCCTTCCCGAAACTGCTGAAACTCTTGTTTAGTTTTTGTGGAAAAGACTTTGAGCTCCTGAACAGAAATCATGCAGGCAGTTATGTTTTTTAGTATAATAGCTGAGTGGAAAATCACCCATGATTCACACTTATATTAATGTAGTTTTGTCGACTGTTGAACAGTTTCTGCAACAGGAAGGGTAGCACTAGAATGCCAGCTTTCTTGACAAAGTGTAAACAACATCTGGAACATCTTGTTCGTCATCTTAATTAAACTAGCTTTTTTGGCTCTGCTATCTAACTTGCCACTACTCAATGAATTCATCAGATATACCAAGGTAAAGAAAGAGAACTTGATGTAGGAACATGTAATTTTACCTCCAGTTCTCTTTGTTGCGCATCAAGAGCTTCTACATCACCAATGGAGGAAACATTCCTTTGAGGAAAACCTTCTAGTTTACCACCACAAATGCAAGATTTTGAGAGATCCCTTGACGCCACGTTACTCCTTTGAACTAGGTATCTAATAATGATTTCTATGAGTTCGGATTTGGATTGCGGAATGCAGTCACTGCTCAAAATATTCTTGAGAACAAGTCCAAGCTGTGTATGTGGCAAAAGGAGACATTATTTTGTAGCAGTCATTGGTAGTATTAGCTCTATACTTGCAATAGTTATCATTCTAGAAATAAAGATAAAAGATATGAAATGCTCTCTAAACATGCCGTGGTTTCCTACCTGATTGCTTTGAGATACCAGCAAAGAGGAGAAATCCTTCACCAACTTCCTCATCAGAAAATCAATAACCTACGAAAAGGGCATAAATCCTAAAAGTCATGAACTGCCCAACATTCCAAACCACAAAAATGCTAATCAAAATTATATCTGGAATAATATGGCCATAGCAGACACAGAAAAATGGCCTTTCCTCTGAGCATGTGTTGGAAGAATGAGCCCCAACTCCCATTAACATTACAGAAGGTTGAACAAAAAGGTTATATCTAGTTAACAACCTGTCTAAGTCAACCTGCTATCTTGAATGTAGTTGAGAGAAGTCATGAATGTATTCATGAATCATTCTTAAGCAGGACGATCTTACCTACCATTGAATTCAAAGGCAACTCATCTGCTGCGGCAAGTTCAGTAAGGTAAGCCTGCAGAAGGCTAAGACCAACGCGATCAAACAGTAAGGTAAGAGCATTTGCAGCATTGGATTCCTCGAGTGAGACCTCATTTGACAAATTCAAATACTCAAGTAACTGTTCATATTGTGATGATTCAGATTCATCCACTGAATCATCTGTCAATTCACTGCATCCAAAAGAAGAAGGCGGTGATGATCCCTTTGGAAAAGATACAATTCTAACTGTTCCACCATATCTCCAAACTCCAACTCCACCGGCTTGTTTCCACTCGTAATAACCTTTCAAACACAGAATGCAATCTACAACCTTCCCTGATGAACCTCCCTGTTAAAATTACAAAACAAAAACAAAGAAAGGCCTCAAATACCATCCATACATCAGTTTCTTCATATTTCTAAACACTATCCCTCACTTCATGCTAATATTAACCCTTAAAATCTAAAGCAAAATGCCAAATGGAGAACCTTTTCAAGATCAGAGGCTTCAAAGGTTAACAGTTTCATGTCTCCAACAGCCACAAGGAAGTTCCTGGTGTTCTCAAAATACTGAATAGCAGACTGAGCTGCTCCCTCTGTGAATTCCTCATCGATCACCCGGGTTTCAACTACCTAATTCAATCATTCAATACAAAAATTTTAACTTTCATCACCTACCTATAACATCAGTACATGATAATCCCACATCAAAAAAAGAAAAAAGAGGGCCACTTTGGTATCTAAAAACAGCAATTTTCTTTGCTTTATTCAACCAACAATAATATTATAAAGGTAATACCTTGTGAACAGCGCCAGGATTGACTTTGTTAAGGACATTGCAGAGAATAAGGCCATTGCGGAGTGCCAGACAAAATTCTGCTTCTGTGGGTTCTTTTGGCAGTACTTCGGATGCACCTTGGTCCATTTTCCTTAGCCATGCTGATGCCTCGTATCTCCTGGCAGCTGTAAATCAATTCCATTCACCCAAAATTACAAAAGCCCAAGAATCATCATCAACAAAGTTCAAAACTTTCTTGCGTATTTTGGCCAATATGAGAAGATTCCATGCCCTAGTTATAAAGACCGATTCAATTTGGCATTTCATTCTATCATATTTGTAATCCAAGCCACCAACTTTTCTAAATAAAATTATTTGTATTTTGAAATTGCAAAATTATGTCACCTAAAATTCATGAATTCTAACTCCATTTTTTATCCTCTCACTCGAGTCCAACTGCTAAGTCCTGCTTCAGGGAAACCCAGGGTGACCCGCCACATCAGCATTGAATATCCTTGAATCTTGTGGTGGGGCCCTGTGATTCAGCTTAGCTAGCAAAGTTGGGTTGATTCTTGATCGAAATTAAAGAAAGATCAAATCTTTGATGAATGGTAGTACTATAAGTCTAAACTAGTAAAAAAATGCAATTGAAGAGAAGACCAGCATTGCATTAAATGGTGTTTTTTTAGAGCGGTTTGATTTCGAAATTTGAAACTGAGGTTTGGTGGAGAAATAGGGAGTGAACTGTGAAGGACTGAAGGGCCATATTATTTCCTGAAAACTGCAACTGTCATTGTCGCCATGTGAGTATCTGAATCAGTTTCAGATCAAACATCAAATTTAAGGTTCATTAACTTCCATTTTACCAGGAGTGTTCAAAACTACTACTACTACCACTGACCACTTTACACTAATGTTCCTTTCTCTTTTAAGTTGACCCTGTGATTAGTTGGACAACTTTCAAGTGACTTAACATTTAGGATTATGACAATTATTTTGGGACGAAAGAATACATCACTCGAGTAGCCACTGAATTAAAAAAAAAAAAAATCGGGGACAGAAGTCAGAAACTCTTTAATCAAATCAAAGTGTAAAACGTACGATATAAAGTATTTTCGTTTTGGCCGGCTGGCATAAGTTTTGAGCTCTTGCATAATTAGGTTAGACCCACCACTAAAACAGGCTCTTCTACTCAATTTGTGGTCCAAAGTTAATTCTGGTTCACTAATGACTACTTAAAATGAGGTACCATTATCATCATGTTGCTCGGTCTGAGGTCCATTGATATATTTAGAGCTGAATTGAGTACAACAATTCTCCTGCCTACTTTCCAACTACAAAAACATCATCATGAAACCGCACATTTTTTTTAAATGTTGTTCTTTTTTTTTTTTTTTTCAAAGAACCCTCCTCAAGTTTTCATACCTCTTAATGACCCCAATTTTTGTTTAGGGAAATGTCGATGAAGAACACAAAAATCCATGCAGGGAAGGAGAAGATCATGGGCATTGATTTGAGATCATCACACAACACAAAATAAAAGTAAAATGATGATTACACTGTCTACACAGGCTACATTTGAATTTTTAAGGGAGTATTTCGTAAAAAGAAGGAAATCAAGGGAGGTTGTTTGTAATAAAATCTTTTATTAAAAAACTCCACCTTTTTGGAAGAATTTCCTTTCCTTTTGTGGGTACAACGGCATAAACCACTACTTTTGGGACCCTCCCTTAGATTAGAGTATTCAAACATTCAACTTTGTTGTTTCTTTTGTGTTTCTTTAAATTTTGTTTTATTTCACTAAACCGTCCCATAATGTTTAGGCGGCAATTATAATATCTAAATGCTTAATGAATTAAGAGTGATTTAGATTAGATTAGGTGGTACCTGCTTCTCCGGCTTTTCTCTGGGCCAATTCGCGATCACTGATGATTTCCTCTGCATAAACTGCATCATCATTACTGTTGTTGCTGTTGTAGACCAACCCTTTTAATCCTCTCAAGTTCTTGTTTGGTGAGAACAATGTGGAATGATTACTCTCAGAATTGCTGCTTTCTTGGGGCATCTTCCTTTTTGTTGCTTGCTTTACACCTGTTTTTCTTCTCCTGGTTATATTATACAAATCAAATTTACTAATCAAAAAGTTTAAGGCCTGTTCTTTATGAATGAATGATCTTCAATTGAAACTGCAGAACTTGACCAAAATACTCGAAGACGAATACTAAAAATTCTAAATTTAGTGATCAAAACCAGCTGTAAACTTTATAGCCTCATTTAAAAGAGGAAACTAAAACAGAGATTGATTGATCACTAAAATGGATCAGTTTTTAATTAGACAGAGTGGGAAATACTGCAACTTTCTGATCTTGAAATCTGTAGCAAATAGAACCCAAAAGAGGAAAACAGATAAAAAAGGGGGGAATTCTTGAGCCAAATGTAAATTCCAGCTGACAAAGCAATGTGAAAAATGAGAAAAGAAATCACCAGAGCCGTCAACATTGATTAATACTCTAATGTTGCAATTACCATATGGGGAATATGGGAATCACTGTTATTACTGATGTTAGTTCTTAATGTTACCTCTTAGAGGAGGAAGACTCTGCCGCCGCCCACCGGACCGGCTATCTGGAAGATTCTTGAATATTTCCGGCAATGCAGAAGGAACAGAGTGCTGAAATTGGAACAACGGAATTGAAAATTGAAAAGGGCGTACGTTGGCGTTGGATCCGATGAACTAAGTAAACAAATTGGAAAAAAAAATGAAATGGGGACGAGATTCTCGTGTTCTGTGAAGAAAAGAAAACAATCAAATATCGGAGAAGAAGAGGAGGTGACTTTAATGCAGAGCAAATAAGAAAGAAGTGATTTTTTCAATTCCTCTGTTCTGGGAGGGAAGAAGGTAGAAGAATGAGGGGGTTTTAGAAAAAATGATGGAGAGATGATGTGGGCTTTTGTGTTGGCCTCTTTAATTTTCACAACAAATAAATCAAAAGTTTTCACGCCAATTAAAGTTCAAAACCCACTGGAGGCCATTTGTACAAATCATACTACTCTGTCTTTGTTTACACAAAAGATACTAATAACAAGAAAAAAATATATATATATATAGGTACATATATATAAATGAAAAAAAGTGTAAGTTATACGACTTTTTTTTTTTAATTTGTGAAATTAATTATTTCTTTTATGATAGAGGAAAAAGTTTATTCTCTCCTTTGATAGGGAAAAAAATATTGAAGTATACAAAGGGATCCCAAGGTTTTCAGAGTTATGATAAGGCTATGTACTCGAGAGAGACTAAAAAGAGACTAAAAAGTGTGAGAACCCTGAGTAAAATTATGAATGAATAGACTGATTAATGCGAAATCACTTATGATAAGTTCTATCTCACTTGTTATGTCTTAATACACTACAACAAAAACGAGTAGTTTAGACATTTTTTTGTGTCTCAATAAGTGATGTAATAGGACACATGTGATTCACATTGCGTGGGACACTACTAAATAGTGTCTCCTATAATCGAGTCACAATAAGTCATAAAACATTTGAAAGTGTATTATTAGATTGTCACTTATTAAGACACTTTAAAGTGACCCATTAAGTAGGGGTAATAGTTCACAAGCAACCCCACATAGTACACTTATGATAGTGGTTCATAATATGCATACACTTTTTCATTTTTAATAAGACATTTTTTAGCAAATGTCCTAATACACATATAATGAGATACATTTTAGAAAAAGTGTCCTACTATAAAGGTATTATTAATAGCCCATTTTTGTTGTAGTGATAGTTAAAGATAATTTTCAAGAGTTTGAGTATGTAGATATCAATCCTAGTTTAGTAATGATTTCTATTAAATAGTTGATAGATTAGACTTTCTTATCTCTTATCAAGAGAGGTGCTTATCTTTTTTTAGTGTAGACAACTTATGAATATGAAATTCAACCAGTCACGACGTAGTCTCCAAAAAGTATTCTTCGTTCAGTTTTTTTATTTATTTTCTTTAAATTTTAGTTTTCTACTTTAATTGTATGTGAAATGAAATGATGTAAATGTAACTAGATGAAAATGAAACAATTTTCAGTCGGATTAAGTATAATTTATTGCATTACATGTATATGTCATCAAAAATTTAACTATTTATGTGAATGAAATTGTGTTTCGTAATAGGAGACACTGAATTTAAAATTTTTGAAAGAATAACATTCGACATATATAAGAATAATGGGTCGTGAAAGTGAAATAATACAATGAAATAGTAAAAAAAAAAAAAAAAAATTGTGATTCGTGAGATAAAAGATAAAATCTCATATTTTGGCATGTCGTAGTGGACGGCCAAAGAATGATGGCAATCCATTTCATATTTTGCATGCTTCCTACTTTCTACCTATGGTCCTCAATCCGAAAAGCAAATGAAAATTAATAAATGTTGTACATTAATTTTGAGAATTAGTAGCATTTTGGTTACTTCCTTTCTTATCAAATTATATTTACCTCTCGTTAATAGGCTCATTTCTTATGTTTGTTGGTAGGGGAGGATTGTTTTTCTATTAATTTGATCTTATGAGACATTTCCCTACACTATTTTAACTCTTACCTCAGTTTCTAGATTTGTTAGTGACTGGACTGAATCATGTCAGCTTGCTGACATTAATCATGACCTTAATTAAGGAACAATATTGCATACTATTTCAATTCGCAAGTCCCAAAAGATATGCTTGTTTGGACCTCAGCTTACATTTTATTTTGTCACTTAAAAGTGGAAAGTGTCTCAAGTTAAAAACTAAATGGATAATAAAAATGTTGTTTGGATGGTATTTTGAGCAAAAAGTTGTTTGGATGTTGGTTTTGAAAAAAATATTTTGAACTACATTTTAAAAATATCAAGTACGAGTCATAATTAAACAACTGTCAATTATAGTCACTGTAAAAAAGAACTTTTCCAGAAACAATCACTCAACAACGGAATCCTGCCAAATTTGTCACTGAACTATTTGTAGTTCTAAAATAGTCATTACACTAATAAAAAATGTTTCAAGTTAGAATTTAAAATGTAAATCAAACTGTTGTTTAGATGATGTTTTCTTTTCCATTGGATTTTGTGTTTAAGAAGTAAAATGAGATAAAATGCAAAATGAAAGGTTGGCCAAACAAACTCTAAAACAAATCCAGGAAATTGTGGACTTGTTTTTAAATAGTGGGTTTTAAGACTTTTTTTTTTTTTTGCTTTTACAACAATTTACCAACGTTGGGATTTGGGAAGGATAAAAATTACCCTAACAACAGTGATCAACAAACTTTTCACGGCGAAATCGAAAACGAAAAGGGAATAAATCTCGTTTAGTAGCCACACACACAATTAATGTGTACGTTAGAGGTTTGAAATGAAGAAAGAGCCAAATTTTATTCAAAAACACTTCCCCTGTTCTCCCATTCCACTTAAAAGGTCAAATTCCTAACGTTGGATGATCCTATCTGCCTCCTTTTTTTTTTTTTTTTTTTTTTGGTTATTTGCCTCCCTTTCAAATGACTTGCGAGCTTAGTAGACTTCCATTGCTTACATTTTCCTGCATTCCTATCAAGGTTACACATATCTTGCGAGATTCACGAGATGTTATTAAAAATTAATACTTTTGTTTCAATTTGAACTAAAATTAAAAATCAAAATAAGACAATAATTTCGAAAGGGAAGAAATAAAACAAGTGTTTTAATGCTGCCGCTGTTACATTCCTTTTACAAACTCAAGTATCCAGCTGCATGCTACAAGCCTAGCTACAATTAATCATGGTGAGGCACAATGACAATTCACACTTTCCTCACAAGTTGTAGTATTTTGTAAGTGCTTGATTAATTGATTGTGCCATGGTTTAACAAATTAATGGACACCCAGGATTGTGTTCCTTGTGTTGTCGCTTCTCTTTACTTTGTTTGAGATAAACTATCTTAAAAGCTTTTTCTTTTTACAGACAAAATAACCACCCCCAAAAAAAAAAATAACATTATCGTATTCACTTATCATTTTAATTGTATCACATAATACCATTGGTAAACAAAAACACATAAAATAAATAAATAAATAAAAGCAGTAATAGCATAACGTATAAAGAGGAATGAAATAATTATTATTATCGTCGATGACAATAATAATAATATAGTCTAAGATCTTGATTATTTAAAAACTCGTTATGAAAATTGTCTAAAATATGCTACAATGGCTGACCAAGGCTTTGATGGAGGAGGAAATGGCCCGAGATTGTTGGCTTTCTTCTCTCTTTTGCTTTATGCACTCGTTTTGCATTTTTATAGTTCGGGACGACTAAACGGAATAAAATCATCTCCTGTTCCTGGCTTTGATTAGGTGGGGAAAAGCTTAAGAGAAGAAAACGCATTATCACTAGCTAAGTACCCAATAGTATGCTATTCTTTTCTTCTTCTTTTTTTTGTGTGTGTTTTTTCTTTTAATTTCATGAATTGAACTCTAGTTTTTTGCTTTAGCTTTTTATTTGACAACAAAATTGTATCCTTTATGCATGTCGGAAATTATGACTTGGGAAGTAGCTAGCTAGGGACCATGAATGACTTCAACTTAGAAATAAGAGAATGGAATGTTCTCTTCATTTATATTCATATTTCCGGCACTCTTAATGTTCATAAATTATAGTCATAAATGAAATAATTACTGATCCCCGGTGCAAATCAATGTAACATTTCTTTTAAAGGTTACAAAAATACTGGAAGTTCCGTACGTCTTAAAAAATGTAAAAGCAAAAAAGTTGTGAGAAACATCCTCAAAAGAGAGAAATTGATGTTGGATCAAAACACTTGGTGCATATCAACGCAATGTATTTTGGAGGACAATCACACCTCAAAGTTGGAACAAAAACTCAATTGATCCAAATTTGGAGAACAATCGTGATGGTTTCTGGTTTTCTTTCTTTTTTTTTGAAAAAATACTACTAAAATGGAAAACTTTTCAGTGCAAGGCCTTGCTTAATCGGCCCAAATATAGGCTTACAAAGTACAAAACTCAGGTCATGTCACAGTCCATGCAAGTTAACAATGAAATCCAAATCAATCTAGAGATAAACTAATTATTTTCACCGTCTCAAAATATTATTCAGTTTATTTTAAAAATAAAAATTTAATTAAACTGAACAATCAGTTAAGTACAATTTTAAATCCGATGTTATTTGATAAAAGGTTTTCTGGGAATGCATTTAATCGGAAATTCTGTGATACAAAATTCTCTATATATTTGAAATGTATGATAGGTAGTGTACGGTCGGTGGCTCGAGGCTTTGTACGTAAGTTAGTTTAGACTTTAGACTTTTCGTGAAAAATTTGGGATTTGACTTGTCCACAGGACCACCACCATATATATATATATATATATATATAGATACATCATCATCATCCACTAGAGATCAGATGGTGGGAATTCTCAGTAATTTTATTATTCACTTGCATCGTTTTCTTTTTTTTTTTTTTAAAGGAAAAATATTCCCCTAGATATATAATCCTCTTATAATTTCTAACACTAGTAGTCTTTATCATTAACAAAAATATCTTAATTATACCATGTTAAATACTAGTATCGAAGAATCGGCCAAAGCAATATACATATATTCTCCCTCTGTCCCGAAATTATTGTCCAATTTAGATTTTCATTTTTAATTCAAATTGTACTAAAACTGAAAATGCAAACTGGACAATAATCTTGGGACGGAGGGAGTATTATTCATCATTTCACATATAAGAATCAACAATTGTCCGAGCGATTTGATGTTTATATAAGCACACATGTTTCGATCGGGGAAATGGCAGAACTAATACAATGTTGAAAAAACTGATCATGGCTAAATATGAACCTCAACTTCATACATAGGGACCCTTTAATTTATTGAATTGTATGTGATTTACGTATTTACATGGCGGCTGGCGGGATTGGTTTGACATTGAAAACCCGTGTGGGCTTGTTGGTACGAGTAGGAAATAAAAAAATACTACTATTAAGGTGACGATCGAAGTTGAACATGATGATGATGACCCAGGAAGGAAGAAGGACGATTAATCTTACGTTTGAACTTTGAAGATGCCAAAACCATGCATTTGGACTTTGCTTTTTTTTTTTTTTTTTTTTGCTTTTATCCGGTCAACCTAAAGATTCATATCTTCATTCTCCCTTACTGGTTTGCCCTGTCCCTTAAAAAGAATACTTTAAAAAAAAAAATGTTAACAGCAGCAGCCTTTCAAGATCAAAAGGGTCTTTGAATTTTAATCTTGTATTTCTGGAATCGATCGAATTCTGGAGTTTTGGAACAAATACACCGAATTCAGCTTCATTGATATTGTGATATATCTTTGCTTCTTTTGAATTCACTTGGTGGTTATGTTGCTGATCATGAGCTACTTGTTGTTGGCTTTCATAAGCTGCTTTTCAAGAGTTGCTGTTTTAGCCCAGACCTCTAGTCCTCCAACCAATGCTTCTGTTGATCCTTTAGATGGTACTAAACTCAAGTTCTCTTTGCTGTTTTCATACAAACAAAAAAATCGTTCTTTCACAATCCATCAAATTAATTAGGCCACCCTAAAAAATAATCTCCAAAGCTGTATATGATCTGCGTTTTGTGTATCTCATTTTACATTTTGATTATGCTGGGAATGCAAAATGGTCCGCGGGGAAACACGTTTTTGTATAATGAAAAATGGAATGCTTGTAATCATTGGCTGTTTCTGAACATAAAAATTGCAACTTTATTCCAAACTTTTCCACAATGATGACTAAATGATGGGTTCTGTATTGCAAAATGCAAAGTGTCTTTTTATTTCTACATTTTGAAGGTTTTTTAGCCTTGTTTTTTTTGGGTGGGTTGCAGAAAGACTGGTAAATTCCATCTTTCAGAAATTGAAGCCGCCGCCACCAAATGGATGGAACATAAGTGGTGAACTATGCAGTGGGATGGCCATTGATTCCACTGATATTGAAAGTTTCAATCCGGCCATCAAATGTGATTGCTCTTACAACAATCGAACTCTTTGTCACGTTACTGCACTGTAAGCCACAATGTTCTGTTTCAAAAGATGCAATCTTCCTTCTGATATTCTGCGGTGTTTATTTATACAAAGACACCAATATATTTTATTGCAGGAGATTATATGCAATGGACCTTGTGGGAACTCTCCCTGATGAGCTCTGGAATCTCACTTACCTCACAAATTTGTGAGTTTACCTTTCCATGTTTTCAAACTCTGTTTAACTGTCATCCAAAAAAAAAAATGCAAATCAAAGTCTTGCTTTTGTGTTGTTGCAGAGATTTGAGACAAAATTACTTCACGGGTCCATTGCCTGCAGCTGTTTCCCGGTTAACTAGAATGCAGTATTTGTGAGTGGTTTTTTGGCTTTTTGCCTTCCTAATTTCAAAGACCATGCAGACTTATTAGGAAAGTTATAAGTGCTGATTTTTGGAATGGTTTTGTTTTCATTTCCTCAGTAGTTTGGGCATAAATGCATTATCAGGAGAACTGCCCAAGGAACTCGGAATGCTGTCAGACTTGAGAGTATTGTAAGACATTTCTCTATATAATTCCACTTATATACCAAAAATAGATGATCATTTAGAAAATCCAGTCCTTTTGGGCAGTAAGAATGGAAAATTGGTTATATCATTATATGGTGATAAATTGTTTAAACTTTTCAGGTCAATTGGCACAAACAACTTCAATGGTTCATTCCCATCCGAGCTTGGGAATTTATCAAGGCTGGAACAAATGTAAGCTTCAAACACTCAAATCCTACTTGAATGCATATGTGGCTGGCAAGTCGGTTCGCCCTGACTGTTGCAAACAAGGTGTTTGATCAATGTCCCAAAAGTACTGTGTTTCACTCCCAAAGATGTAGCCAAAAATGCTTTCTGGCCATGCAAATAACTGCATAGCTTCATAAATCTTGGCATGGACTTTGCCTGCACATTGGTTTCTCACCTAGATTTTGATCTCTGCACCTTAGACTTGTTGAAAAATAATTGTTGAATCGACCTAGATGATTTCCTTTGTTTTCTCATTCTTTTGGTGGCATGACAAGAAAACCATACCTTGTGCAGTTATTTTGATAGCTCTGGGATAAGTGGAATCATACCACCAAGTTTTGCAGGTTTACAAAGTCTCCAAAATGTGTAAGAGCTCTGCTCCTTTACCAATTGTCAATTGTCTCAAAGTCCTGTGATATCCATTTATGATCACACTCACGTCAGAAGATTGTTTCTTCCAGGTGGGGTTCTGATACTCGACTCACAGGCCAGATACCAGACTTCATTGGGAATTGGTCACAGCTCAGTGTCCTGTGAGACATAATTTTAAGTTCTTTTTGATATATTTGGCCCTTCAGGCTTTAGTTTACGCAATCCTCTTATGCTCATTCATCTGAGGATGATGACATTACTTTTTATAATTGTTATAATTATCATATATGTGCAGAAGGTTAGAGGGAAACTCTTTTCAGGGTACAATTCCATCTTCATTTTCAAATTTGACATCCTTAACTGACTTGTAAGTTTTATACTTCTGTTTTATCCTCCTCAAAATCGTTAAAACTCATTCTTCATTTCTCTACAGTTTTTCCAGGTTGTCGTTTTCTAAAACCTGTGCTGGAAATCATTGTTTTCAGTTGAATATTGTGTGCAGGAGGATAAGCGGTATATCCAATGCGAGTTACTCTTTAGAGTTTATAAGGAACATGAAGTCTCTAGGCACCTTGTAAGAACTTAGGGAACTAGAAAAAAGCCTGCTGAATTTATACAGATGCAGTTTCCCCTAAATTTGCAGACTTTTGAGGTTCTTATGTCCAATTTTATTATGTAGGGTTTTGCGGAACAACAATGTTTCTGGTTCTATTCCTTCCTTTATTGGAGAGCTTCAGAATCTACAACGTCTGTAAGTCGTTCTATACCTGAATAGAACAAAGATACACTGTCAACTCAAAGCAGCTCACTTTAATGTGATATGCATGGTTTCAAGTCATGAAGATCACTTGCAATGTCGACGAACTTTGACGCGCTACTTGGTGGCTGGCCTTTTGCAGGGATTTAAGCTTCAACAATTTCAGTGGACGCATACCAGACTCAATTTTCAATATTTCTGCTCTCACGCACTTGTAAATATACTCTCATATACTAATTTTTGAAGCCCCTCTACTTAGTAACACTCCTTAATATAGCATCTTGGTTCATTTTCAGGTTTCTTGGTAACAACAAATTTACCGGCTCTCTACCCCAACAAAAGAGTCCAGGTCTCAGGAATATGTAAGTCACTCCTCATTCAGTCAAGATGTTAGTTATAAGCCAATTCGATCATGCAGTTCCATAAGCTATAATTCATTGATCTATATGTCTGCAAGAAACCTCAGATTTTGTCAGCAGAATAGCTATATATAATCCTAATTTATGCAACCTAATATTTTGATGCAGAGACCTGTCATATAATGAATTATCTGGGAACTCTCCTTCTTGGGTGAATGAACCGAACTTACAACTGTAAGTATGTTCCTTATTTGATAGGCTATACTATTTCTTTACTTCTGAATATGTACTAAAATCAATTAAATGTTGTTTATTCAGCAATTTGGTGGCCAACAACTTCACTTTGTCAGATTCTAATAGCAGGTGAAATGCTGGAAATGCGAAAGAAACCCACTATATTTCATCTTTATCTCTAACATACAACCCCTCTAATTATGTTATTTTCCCTTTTTTTTTACTTTCAGTAGCCTGCCATCAGGATTGAACTGTCTACAAAGGAATTTTCCGTGCAATCGTGGATCTCCAATCTGTAAGTGATCTATAACGAATGTGTTAGTGCAGAAACAAGAACCTAATGCGTTTATATGAACTTAAGAAATTCATTATTTGGCTTTGTTGCTTGCAGATTCCAGCTTCGCAATCAAGTGTGGTGGCCCTGCACTGAGGACTAATGATGGGACTCAATATGAAGCAGATAATCAAACCTTTGGTCCAGCAACTTACTATACCACAAGTTCAAGAAGATGGGCTGTTAGCAATGCTGGTTTACCTTCAGATGGCCCCAACCCCAAATATAACTTCTCCTTAACATCTCAGTTCACAAATACTCTGGATTCAGAGCTATTCCAAACAGCGCGTGTTTCGGCTGGATCACTGAGATACTATGGCTTGGGGCTAGAAAATGGTAACTATACAGTAGCTCTTCAATTTGCTGAATCAGAAATCCTAGATACTGTTACATGGAGAAGTCTTGGGAGACGGGTATTCAATATATATGTTCAGGTGCATCTCTGAGTTTCTTTTTTGGGTTTAAAGTTTCATATACTAGATTTCTGTTCTATAAGAACTATATTTTTGAATTTTCTTCACACAACTATCCCTATGATCCTGTGAACAGTCTTCCAGATTCCACATGCTCGTCGAGTGATTACCTGGCCTTATTATTTGTCTAATGGATCAATGAGTCTTTTCTGATACTTGCCAAAAATCTGGCAACACCTTTTCTTTAACTGAATATAATCCTGTTCTCCTTCCATTTGAGTTCTGCGGTGGATTTGTTTGATAACTTACAACGTGAGAATTTTACAGGGAAATCTTGTGGAGCAAGATTTTGACATTAAGAAAGCAGCAAATGGACGTTCTTTGGCTGCTGTTCAGCGGAGATATACAGTTAATGTGTCTGAAAACTACCTTGATATCCATCTATTTTGGGCTGGCAAAGGAACTTGCTGTGTGCCGAACCAAGGTTCATATGGACCTTTTATTTCTGCTATCAGTGCCACGCCAAGTATGTGTGAATTCATTCCTCATAATCAATATCAAGTTACCCCTGTTCCTCACCACTGTTTATAATTAAGCCTGTTTTTTTCAACAGATTTTGTTCCCACAGTTTCCAATATTCCTCCCAAAACTGGAAAGAAGGATCAAACGGGTCTGATTGTGGGGATTGTTGTTCCTATTGTACTTGTAAGCCTTTTGACTGTGTTTGCTGTGCTTTTTTTCATCCGGAGAAGAAAAAGACAACAATTGCCAGAAGGTAAGAACACAGACAATTTGATAAAAGAACTTAATATTACAGAATGGGATTGAACAGCAAACGCTTTCAAGTTTTTGGAGTATTATTTTTCCCGTTCCAACAATTATCATCAATGTAGCTTGGCAAATGTTTGCGTTTGAACATTAACATAAAGAACCACAAGTGCATACTTGTTTTTCTGTCCAAAGCAAAATACTCATTTCTTTTCTGTTAAACTTTCAGAATTCTTGGGGATGGATGCCAGACCATTCACCTTCAGTTATGCAGAACTTAGGGCCGCAACAAATGACTTCAGTCCGGCTAATAAACTTGGACAAGGTGGATTTGGTACTGTTTTCAAGGTACATTTCTGATTCTAAAAAGACCAACAAAATGCATAGTAATGACTAAGAACTCCAAATGGGTGAAATAAGTTTTACTTTGATTTAGCTCGATGAAATGAGGGAAAATGGTGAAGCTATTCTCAGTTCTTAACATGAGGTGGAAGACTGAAATGCTGTTCTTCCTTATATCTCACTGAACTTTGATGATCAAAGATCAGTCGATTGAATCAATCGCTTAGTGTGAAGTTATTCATTGGTTTGAGTTCAGTAAGGTGTCACTATTGTGAAGGCGTAAATCAATTTCTTTTGGCAAAATCTCATATCATTTGGTTATTTGGTCATCTAACAGGGAACACTTTACGACAAAAGAGATGTTGCAGTCAAACAACTATCTGTAACATCCCATCAAGGGAAGAGTCAGTTTGTGGCAGAGATTGCTACAATTTCAGCTGTGCAGCATCGTAATCTCGTGAAATTGTATGGTTGTTGCGTTGAGGGAGAAAACAGGTTGCTAGTTTATGAGTATCTTGAGAACAAGAGTCTTGATCAAGCATTGTTTGGTATGTCAATAAGAGGCCTTAAGCACCTGTTCCTTCTATATACTATGTTATAGTTCTAATCACAACTAACTTTTTTGCCTCAATGAAGCAGGAAATCGTCTACACCTTGATTGGCCTACCCGGTTTGATATCTGTCTTGGAGTTGCAAGGGGTCTGGCTTACCTTCATGAAGAATCTCGGCTCCGTATAGTGCACAGGGATATGAAATCCAGCAATATTCTACTTGACAGCGATCTCAACCCGAAGATTTCTGACTTCGGCCTAGCCAAACTTTATGATGAAAAAATGACACATATAAGCACTCGGGTTGCCGGAACAATGTGAGTTCCTGCTGATGTTTCAAAATTTCAATATTTGAGATTATAAGAGCATAGTACTTGATCATAAAATGAATTGAATTCTTCGTCTGATTGGATTTTGTAGAGGCTATCTGGCACCGGAGTATGCCTTACTAGGACACCTAACAGAGAAGGCTGATGTATTCGGATTTGGAGTCGTAGCTCTGGAGGTTGTGAGTGGAAGGCCAAACACCAGCTCAGTTCAGGAATCAGATAAGATGTATCTTCTAGAATGGGTACTGATCCTTTATCTAATAAGTAAACCAATGCTCAAATAATCATTGGAGAGTTCTTGCAGCATTCATAGGTTTCTCCTCTCTGTCAGCACTTCAATTAATGCTGATTCTTTTTTTTTCTTTTTTTTTCCTTTTTCCAAATTCTTGTGTTATTTTGTTAGGCATGGACCTTACATGAGAATGAGAATGACATTGAGCTGGTGGATCCAAGAATAGCTGAATTAGACGCGGATGAAGCGAAAAGGGTGATAAAAGTGGCTCTGCTATGCACACAAACCAACCCATCATTAAGGCCTTCCATGTCCCGAGTGGTTGCAATGTTGTCTGGTGATACTGAGGTGCCTGGAGTAGCTTCAAAGCCTGGTTACCTGACTGATCTGAAGTTTACGGATACAACATCGTCGAGCTCTATGATTGGCAGCAATGATGCAGCCTCAAAAAATAACGGTCGCTATGATTCATCATCAACCAGGATTGCTACTGCAAATTTTTCCCCTGCAAATGATGCAGACCCTATTCTTGAAGAGATACTCGGAGAAGGTAGATAATTTTATGTTATGAATGGTATCTGCACAATTTTGGACCAGTTTGTAGTTAATTTGCATAGTAAGGAAGAGAGGTTTGCTGCATTTTTGTTGTTGATGAGATTCAAAGTCTCGATCGACTTATATAAGATGAATGGATAAGACACATAATCCGTTTGTAAATATAAGTATTTCGTAGATTTGTTGTTGCATGGTGTATTATTTGTATTGCAACCGAAATTTCTTCATTATAATAACCTTTTGGATCTCCCTAATATTCATTCATTCATTCAGCTTCCTTTGGTTGTTATGCATATTTTTTTTGTCTTTCACTTAATGTTTGGGGCGGCAATTAATATCCCTGTGCTTGAATAATGATGTTAATCAGGCATAGGAACGACTAACTGCGCCTCTTATTATTTAATTGTGTCGTATTCTGTGGCTACGGCACGATGTTGTTGGGGTTTTATATTTCCGCAATGTAGTTGTGTGATCTTTTGAGCTTGAAGCCTCTTTTCACATCCAAAAAAAAAAAAAATGAAAAGAGAAAATCTTAAGTAAGAACACAGTATGACTTTATGTAGTGAAACATCAAAGATAGTGATAGGACTATGATAACTCATTCTTGAATGAGGATTGGGTTAATATATTAGTGTCAAATCTCGGAAATTTATAGCCTAATCTCAACATCACTTTAACGCACATACGACAACATTAACAAATGTAACAGGCTAGCTTAGGTACTTTACAAAGGAAGAAAAAAAAAAAAAGAAAAAGAAAACACAGTATTACTTTGATTCAGCTACTCAATGGCCAAATATCATTAACGAAGTTTCGTACAATATCGGATGATATGCCACTTGAACAACGCTGGGACATGCATAACAAAGAAATGATGGTGATTGGTGTCCTGAATTAATGATGATGATGGTACTGTGTGTATTCGAAATTATCATTTCCGACTAATTTATTTATATATAGATACATAGTCGAGTCGTGTAAGTCATTTTTGCAGATAAAATCTCTATTAATAAGCATTACTCAAACTCTTATCAACTGTCCAACAACATTAATGTTACTATGTCCTTATTATAAAATATTTTAATGTGTTTTAACTCTAAGTTTCATGTCTTTTCGATTGAAAAAAATATATAAATTTAAGAATACATTTTATATTTATGATGTGATCCTAACTATTAGGAAATATTTTTAACTTTTTTTTTTCAATTGGAAAAATATATTAGGTGAAACGTACATAAATCAAAATATCTTGTAATAAGTACAGCAAAGAGTCTTTATTATGGTGGAACAAGGCAAAACATGCATGGACGGATGAAACATGCATCTTGACTTGGTGATGATGATCTTTTGGTCAACCAATCAGTTTGATTCCCCCCACTAGCTAGCTTGCTTGTCTCACTAAAGACTGCTATTAAGATTTGATAGTTGAGAAATTGCTGGAATTGAATCATTTTGGAATTTGGAAAACAGAGAAACCAGTTCATTGTTATCATCTTTACTGCATTCAGTTTCATATGTTGCTCATGAGGTGTTTGTTTTTGTTACTAGCTTTTATAAGCTCCTTTTCAGAAGTTGCTGTTTTAGCGCAGACTTCCAATTCAAGCAATGCTTCTGTTGATCCTGTTGATGGTAACTCTACTCAACTTTCTGTTTCATTTTTTTCCTTTTTTTTTTTTTTTGGTGCTCATCTTCTTGCCCAAGCCATCATACCTTCTTCAATTAGGTCTCCCTGAAAATCTTGCCTTCTTTTCCCGAAATAAAGACTGCAACTTTATTCCAAATTCTTAAACAATGATGAACAAATCATGTGCATTGTAATATTGCAGTTAAAGGGTCATGTTATAGATGTGGATTTCGGTGGTTTATGTTTTTGGTTGCAGGAAGACTTGTGAACGCCATCTTTGAGAGATTAAAACCTCCTGTTCGACCAAATGGATGGAATATAAGCGGTGAATTATGCAGTGGATTGGCCATTGATGCCACTGATATAAATAACTTCAACCCAGCTATCAAATGTGACTGCAAATACAACAACCAAACCCTTTGCCATGTTACTGCGTTGTAAGCAAAAGGGGAAGGAAAAAAAAGTAGTTTTGATTTGTTCCTGGTGTGAAATTCCGGTTGTTTTAGGATAGTTGTCGATTCGATTATTGTCATTAATTTAATAGCTCAAGATCATGTGCAGGAGACTTTATGCAATGGACCTTAGGGGACCTCTCCCAGATGAGCTCTGGAATTTGACGTTCCTCACAAATATGTGAGTGTTTTTTACTTTTTGTTTTTTTTTTTTAATTTTTTCCCCGTATGGATCAATAATCATCCCAAGTACGTAAATTAAAGTTTTCCTCGTGTGCAGAGATTTGAGACAAAATTACTTTACGGGTCCATTGCCTGCAGCCGTGTCGCAGTTAACTGGAATGCAATACTTGTGAGTGTTTTTTGCTTTCCTAATTTTAAAGACCATGCAGACTTATAATTAGGGAAGTTATGAGTGCTGATTTTTGGAATGGTTTTGTTTTCATTTCCTCAGTAGTTTGGGCATAAATGCATTGTCAGGAGAACTTCCTAAGGAACTCGGGATGCTATCAGACTTGAGAGTATTGTAAGACATTATCTGCATTGTTCCCCTTATGAATAAGTAGATGCTCAAATCGAAAATTTAGTCCGTTTTGAAAGGAACACTGGAAAACGTTTATATGATTATCTACAGAAGCCGGTGGGAGGAATGAATTGTCTAAACTCTTTGCAGGTCAATTAGCACGAATAACTTCAGTGGTTCTTTCCCACATGAGCTTGGGAATTTAATTCGGCTCGAAGAAATGTAAGTTTCATTTAGTTGAAATCCCATTGTGGCCACCAGATAGGCTTTCCAGACTGTTGCATAAGGTATTTTGATCATTGTCTCCAAGTACAGTCTCTGGGAAACATGTAGCCGAATTCTTTTAGGGCATGCAAATAACTGGCTTTGGCCACTGGCTTCTTGCATCAGAAATAGAATCCTGTGGATGGTGATCTATACTTTCCATGAAATAATTGTACAGCCTAGATAGATGATTCCCTCTTATTAAATTAATTTGCTGGTGACATTATGGAAGAAATCTATGCCTTTTGTGCAGTTATTTTGATAGCTCTGGGATTAGTGGCATCATACCACCAACTTTTGCAAGGTTACAAAGCCTCAAGAAGGTGTAAGAGTTCTTTTTAGCATTGTAGACTCTTTCAAAGTAAATGCCATATATCCATTTATGATCGAATTCGTGTTCAGGTGATCATTCCTTCGTTTCCTTTATTTTTGGGTTTCTTTCAGGTGGGGTTCTGATACGCGACTCACTGGCCAGATACCAGACTTCATTGGGAATTGGTCACAGCTTAGTGTACTGTAAGACATAATTTTAAGTATTTATGCTATATTTGGCCCCTCGTGCTTTAGTTTCCAGAATCCACTTGTTCTCATTTACCTTGAGGATGACTGGAAGATGACACAGCTGTTTATACTTGTTGAAATTGTCATGTATATGCAGAAGGTTAGAGGGAAACTCTTTTCAGGGCACAATTCCATCTTCATTCTCAAATTTGACATCCTTAGCAGACCTGTGAGTTTTGTGCTTTTGTTATATCCTCCTCAAAATTGTAACAACTCATTCTTCGTTTCTCGCTAGTCTTTTCAAGTAGTCTTTTTTTCTAAAACCTGTGCTGGAAATCATTGTTTTCATTTGAATATTGCATGCAGGAGGATAAGCGGTATATCCAATGCGAGTTACTCTTTAGGGTTTATAAGGAATATGAAGTCTCTAAGCACCTTGTAAGAACTTAGGAAACAAGAACAAACCTGCTGAAGTTATTCAGTTAACAGTTTCTCCCTTACTTCACTTTCTATTTTGCGAACTTTTGAAGTTACGTCCCTTTCGATATGTAGAGTTTTGCGAAACAATAATGTTTCTGGTTCTATCCCTTCCTTTATTGGAGAGCTTCAGAATCTACAACGTCTGTAAGTCGTTCTATACCTGAATAGAACAACGATACACTGTCAACTCAAAGAAGCTCACTTTAATGTGATATACATGGTTTCAAGTCATGAAGATCATTTGCAATGTCGACGAACTTTGACGCGCTACTTGGTGGCTGGCCTTTTGCAGGGATTTAAGCTTCAACAATTTCAGTGGACGATTACCAGACTCAATTTTCAATCTTTCTGCTCTCACGCACTTGTAAGTATACTCTCACATTCTAATTTTTGAAGCCCCTCTACTTAGAAACACTTCTTAAGATCACACCTCGGTTCATTTTCAGGTTTCTTGGTAACAACAAAGTTACTGGCTCTTTGCCCCAACAAAAGAGACCAGGCCTCAGGAATATGTAAGTCACTCTTCAATAAGATATGATTGATTGATCAACATGTTTGGAAGCAACCTCATATTTTTCAACAGAAGAAACATATAACAATCCTATTTACACAACTTTATATTTTGATGCAGAGACTTGTCATACAATGAATTATCCGGGAACTTTCCTTCTTGGGTGAATGAACAAAACTTACAACTGTAAGTATGTTGTTCCTCAGTATATAAATCGTGATTTATTTCTGAAAATGGCACTAACGTCAAGTGTTGGTTGTTATTCAGCAATTTGGTGGCCAACAACTTCACTTTGTCAGATTCTAATATCAGGTGAAATGCTTGAAAATCAGAAAACTACTGATTTACATCTTATCTTTAACATACAACCCCTCTTATTATGTTCTTCTTTTTCCCTTCACTCTTTCAGCAGTCTGCCATCAGGATTGAACTGTTTACAAAGGAGTTTTCCATGCTATCGTGGATCTCCAGTCTGTAAGTGTGATCATAACAAGTTGCGTGATATTGCTAAAGTAAAAGGCTAAATGCAATTAGATGAATTATAAAAATCCACTCCTTGGCTTTGTTGCTTGCAGATTACAACTTCTCAATCAGGTGTGGTGGCCCGGCTATAAGAACAAATGACGGGATCCAGTATGAAGCAGATAATCAAACTCTTGGTCCAGCAACATACTATACCACAAGTTCAAGAAGATGGGCTGTCAGTAATGCTGCTCTTCCCTCTGATGGCCCCAATCCTAAATATAACTTCTCCGCGACATCTCAGTTTACAAATACTCCGGATCCAGAGATATACCAATCTGCACGCGTTTCAGCTGGATCACTGAGATACTATGGCTTGGGGCTTGAAAATGGTAACTATACTGTGAATCTCAAGTTTGCTGAATCCGAAATTCTAGATACTGTTGCTTGGAGAAGTCTTGGCAGACGCGTGATCAACATATATGTTCAGGTGCATTTCTATGTTCTTGAAGTCTTAAAGTTTCAGAAACTATATTTGTCTTATAGATACAAACTTCACGATTGATGGCGCACAATGGAAACATATGACTGTAATACCTCCAAGGCTTCTTGTTGTATACAAACTTCGCGACGATTCTTCCTTCTCTTACTTGTTATGGGAAATTTTTTTGTTTTCTGTTTTCCTTCCATTTGAGAACTGTGGTTGATTTGTTGTACATTGTTACAGTATAACCTAAATTTGTCAGCAAAATTCCAGGGGAAGCTAGTGGAGCAAGATTTTGACATTAAGAAAGCAGCAAATGGACGTTCTTTTGCAGCTGTTCAGAGGAATTATAAAACTAATGTGACTGAAAACTACCTTGAAATTCATCTGTTTTGGGCAGGCAAGGGAACTTGTTGTGTACCTAACCAAGGTTCATATGGTCCTTTTATTTCTGCTGTTAGTGCCATAGCAGGTAGATATGAATTCATTCCCCATAATCCATGTTAACTAACCTTTGTTTCTTATCTTGTGACAACTGAGCAAATATATTTTCACAGATTTTAAGCCCACTGTCTCCAATATTCCTCCCACACCTGGAAAGAAGAAGGATCAGACCGGTTTGATTGTGGGGATTGTTGTTCCTATCGCATCCCTAAGCCTTTTGTCTATTTTCGTGGTGTATTTTATCATTCGACGAAGAAAACAACAGATTCCAGAGGAAGAAGGTAAGAGAAGAAACCATCTGAGTACTCCCTCCACCCCGAAATTATTGTCCAGTTTTGTTTTCATTTTTGGTTCAATAATTTTGGGTCAGAGGGAGAACTACTTAATGTTACAAAATGTGATTGAACATCAAAACATACACTAATTCAAAGATTTTCAAGGATTTCTTTCCTTTTGCGGTCCATATTTCCAGCAACTTTTATCAGCAAATATGACTAGGTTCGCAGTCAAATGAATTTCTAGCTGCAACGTGAAGGACTACAAATAATACAACACATCTTGAAACAAGATTTTTCTTTGAAAAGAAAAACACTCATTTTCTCTGTTAACCTTTCAGATTTCATTGGGATGGATGCCAGACCATACACATTCAGTTATGCAGAACTGAGAGCTGCAACAAATGACTTTGATCCGGCTAATAAACTGGGACAAGGTGGATTTGGTCCTGTTTTTAAGGTACAATAAGCCTCTGATTGTTAAAACACAAAAACTTGGTAGTGGTGAAGAAGTTCAAATTTCATGAAATTGGGAAATATGGTGAAAAAACTTCTGCTTTATATATGTACATTTTGGGTTGTTCTGACATGTTGAATAGTTGTATGTTACAGGTCTTAAAAGCAGGTGAAAGGCTAAAATGCAATTATGCCTTCTCTCTGAACTGGGATTATTATAGGCTTATAGTAGTGTTGATTCAAACAATCTTTATTTAGTACTGAGTTATAGGGTGATTCTGAATATAGTAAATATCAATGTGAATGCTTAAACCAATTTCTTATTGCGCATTCTCATACCATTATCCGGTTATCTGGTGATTCAACAGGGGACACTTTATGATAAGCGAGTTGTTGCAGTCAAACAACTATCTGTAACATCCCATCAAGGAAAGAGTCAGTTTGTGGCAGAAATTGCTACCATTTCAGCTGTGCAGCACCGTAATCTTGTGAAATTGTATGGTTGTTGCACTGAGGGAGATAAAAGGTTGCTTGTGTATGAGTATCTTGAGAACAAGAGTCTTGATCAAGCATTATTTGGTGAGCAATGAAAACCAAAGATCTATCGTAATGCAACTTGTTCTTCTTATACATATGTTTTACTGTTCAGACAGACTTGGTTAAATAACACATCTATCTTTTTGGTTCAATGGAGCAGAAACCAGTAGCCTGCACCTTAACTGGCCTACACGCTTCGAGATATGCCTTGGAGTTGCAAGGGGTCTGGCTTACCTTCATGAAGAATCTCGCCTTCGTATAGTTCACAGGGATGTGAAATCTAGTAACATTCTGCTAGACAGCGATCTCAACCCCAAGATTTCTGACTTTGGCTTAGCCAAATTATACGATGACAAGATGACACATATAAGCACTCGGGTTGCCGGAACAATGTGAGTTATTTATGTCTGGTGCAAGGCAAGTTTGAAATGGTTCCATATTTCAGCTTGATCCTCACAACATAAAGTACTTCTTCTGCTTTTTTCTTTCGACATGATAGTATTATTATTGCAGAGGATATCTTGCTCCAGAATATGCCTTGCGAGGTCACCTAACTGAGAAGGCTGATGTGTTTGGATTTGGAGTGGTAGCCCTGGAGATTGTGAGTGGGAGGCCAAATACCTGCAGCTCAACTGAGGAAGAAGACAAGACTTATCTCTTAGAATGGGTACTGATCCTTTTTTAATTCATCTAGTAATCTCAACTTACTAATCAAAAGAATATCATGGTACTAAGCCTCAATGGTTTTTTCAAAATTTTTCTTTGATCTCGTTTAGGCATGGACATTACATGAGAATGAGAATGACATTGAGCTGGTGGATCCAAGTTTAACTGAATTCGACGCGAACGAGGTGACACGGGTTATAAATGTGGCAATGTTATGCACGCAGACCTCCCCTGCATTAAGGCCTTCCATGTCCCGGGTGGTGGCAATGTTGTGTGGAGACACTGAGGTGCCTTGTGTGGTTTCAAGGCCTGGTTACCTCACTGATTGGAAGTTCAAAGACGGGACGACGAGCTTCCGATCAGAGGACGCCATTCGCTATGATTCTTCATCAACCACCACAGGAGCAGCAGTTACTGCAAATCTTTCCCCTGCAAATGATGAGGAACCTATTCTTCTTGGAGAGATTCTTGGAGATGGTAGATAAAATAAAAAAAAAGAAAAAAGAAAAATGGTATTCTTTTCGAACCAATCTGTGGTTATATTTCCAAAGGCTGAAGATTGCGACATTTCTTTGGTTACTATGAAATGAATGCAGAAGGCACGCCTATTTTACTGGTTCCTGCCCATCTTTTTAAGGAGAGATTTTGCATTTGTACATAGTTTGTGAATGTTGTTGATACCGCATTGCATCCAACATTACCATAATGGCTTTTCGAGGATAATTTACAGCTTTTGTATGTGTATATTCTTGGGATTTACAGCTTTGTTTCTTTGCCTCCAAATGTTGTTTTGATATCACTATCAAGCGACAGTGAAATGTTTTGATCTATCAAATGTTTTTTTTACTACTTTTACCTTTGTATACCCAAAAAAAAAAAAAAAGTTAGATATTGAATGTTAATATTTTGTGCTAGAAATAATAAAAGCTTTAATCCGAAATAGACTATTTGTACTAGTAGAATTTTAATGGCAGACTTCACAGCTTTATTATGTTACTAAAAAAAAAAAATGTGTTTTGTTAATTAGACTCATTCCTCACTTATGAAGAGTAATTTCTTTCTGTTTTTTTTTTCTCTTTATACGTCTAATAATTTTCTTTATGCTCGCTCATGTGATATTTGCGTGTTTTTCCTTTAATTTCTAATATTGTAAAAAGAATTACAATTACAAATTTAGTTTCTTACAGGTAAATTTAGTACGAAGTTTACAAGGACAAAAGCCATGTTTTGACCAATAAAATTGATCCTGGTTCCTTTGATGTTGACATTTTGAATCAATGAGTACATTTATTTTTTGAATTTGAAATTTGTCTAGAGCCGATGTCCACATGTTATTTCAAATTTGTAAAATTTTGTCACATTTCTCAACATGTATAAGACGAAACGTGTCAAAAAAAAAAAAAAAACCAAGAAATGTTGTAACCAAGCCGAAGAGTAAAGACCAAAAATGTCATTTTCCCATTTTGCCAAAAGCAGAGGAACTAAGAAGAGATCCCACTGACTATACACCGCAGGTGATTGCAATCTAATTCCCCTTTTTGTCATCAACTCTTTCACTAAAAAAACAGAAAAAAAAAAAGAAGAAGAAGAGAGAGACCACAAAATTCCTTTTAATTCAAGTTTTTTGGTTCTTCAGTTAGGTCTTCAAAATTTAAATGAAATCTGAGATGCCTTCAAAAGAAATGCAGAACCTTTGAACATTTGAATAAATGCAGAAAGGGCAACATTCTAAACTCAAGTTATAAGCTACTAGATAGCAAATGTAATGGAGTTCTCTAGTAACAACTGGTTATGACTTATATGATTATAATTTGGGTTAATTTACTTGATACGTGGATCACACGAAAATCATTCCAAACACATTACACCGTTAAAATTTGAGTAATTAAATTGTGAATGATGTTAAAACTCAAACGATATGCCCCGTATGAAATAGGAATGAGTAACCATGCTCATAAGGTATGGTTTTTAAAAGAATATTGAGCAAAGCCTTTCTGAATCCTAACACAAGTTTGAAAAATAAAAAACTGCAAAAAGTGAAAGCTTCTAAATTTAGAGGGTGGGTAAAGTGAGCTAACTGCATTTGCTCCTTACCTATTTTAGGGAAAAATAATACTATCACACAAATCACACAAATTGAGCGAAGGAAGAAGGGTCTAGCTATCATTACCATATATGTATGTACCTAACCGCACTAAATCTCTCTCTCCAAAGAGTCCCGTTTTACTCATACAGGACCCAACATCCAAGTAGGCGCCAAGCTGTTAACTCCATCTAATTTATAAGATTAGACTTTTGTTAGGGATGTGACTTTTAAACTTATATTAAAAAAAAAAAGAAGAACAAAAAAGAATTTTAAGAAAATTATGCATTATTATCAACCATTATTATTATCTACCGTTTACTCACCCGACTTCCCTAAGGTGGTTTACTTAAAAAAAAAAAAAAAAACAAACGTATATATATACATACACTTAGAAAATGAAGATAAAAAGAAAGTTTCCCGATTTTCCCAATGAACATTCCATATATGGAAAACAAATTACCGGGGTCCTGACGGAATTTAATGAAAATCTTGAGGCCACTAAAATAATAATATTCGAAACAGACTTTTCTGCAAAAGAAGAAAAAAAGAGTAAAAGATCCGGTGTGTCTCTCTCCTTCAGTAAGCTTCCCTGCTCCTTATATAAAATGAACACGCACACACTCTTCTTTCTTTTCTTCTTCTTCTTTTGTGAGTAGCCGGTATTGCTCCAATCCAGCCTCACTGTGTGACTGGGTGCGTGACAGTTCCTCCGTCTTCTTCCTCCGACAAGCTTTATAATTTTTGATTTCTCTGCTCCGACGAACACCATTATCCATTTTACGAAATTTACAAATCGAGCCCCACTTTTATTGGTTTATTCGAATCTTGGGACGATATTTTTGCTGATTAATCTCAAATCCAAGTTTTTGAGGTATCTTCATCAATCTACATTGATCGATTTCCTTACCGATGTAGCTGCACTTAGTTCAAGTTCTCGGTACATATTTTTTGCTTGTTTTTTTTGGAACATCAATTCCTGTTTGTTTGCCATTGATCGTTGCTGAAACATCAAGTGCGGCTTGTTCTTGTTCATTTTGTTTTGGTTATTATGTGCTTTCTGATTCGTTAAGCAGTTAGGCACGTCATATACAGATTTTATTTTGCTGTTCATAATAGTTATAATCATCCTAGGATCCGTTCAGCTGGCTGTTGTAAAATGCTCGAGTTGATTATATACACACATTAGCATTGTTGAATGTTGATCGTTGGATTTAACTTTAGTATAAGCAAAATAACAAACCTTAAAACTTTTGGTAAAAAAATCCAATCTTGTCAGATGCTGCAGAAATGTAAATTATGAGTGTCCACTGGATACAATGGCGGCATACCATACCTATACATGTTGTGGGATAACTGCTTGTTGTTGTTGTTGTTGTTAGATGCAGCTGTTGTTGTTTCGTTCTCTGTTAAATCATCATTTGATTTGTGTAGAGTAAAATGTCCAATTTGGCATTATATATTGGTTGAAAATACCTTAAATAAGTTGGAAAGAGATGCGTATTGTGTGCTTTTTAAGGACTCTGAGGTAGGAGGGATGAATGCCTTAGCATTTAGCTATGGTGCAAGTAGTTTGACAGCTTATTTCACCATGTATATACTTTGCAAAGGCTGAAGATCGTATCTTTCTCATGGTTGCTTGATGCAGGATCACGGAATAATGGGTTCAAAACCTGTTGAAGATTTGATAGAGGCTTCTTCTGGTGTTCATTTTTCTGGATTCCACATGGATGGATTAGCTCAAATTATTTCGGAAGTTGATCGACCAACAACCTCTGCGGGTGATGATTTGCATAACCAACCCTTTGTAATTGGTGCGTTTCTCTATCTGAAGATTGTAAGATATCATTGATTCCTTCCAGTATTTTAAAATTAAATTGTTTTTTACCTGAGATTTTCATATCTCTAAGGTGTGCATTTGCCTTGTCCTTCTGTCAAAATATGTTATTTCCATTACTACCATTTGCGGAATTAAAATGCTTTTTGAATGATGCGGAATGGTGGATAGAGCTTTTCTCATTTAATGAACATTCTAAACTCCTCTTGTACAGGAGTTGCTGGAGGTGCAGCATCAGGAAAGACTACGGTTTGTGATTTGATTATTGAGCAGCTTCATGATCAACGAGTTGTACTTGTAAATCAGGTAACCTTTTTTGCATTACAGTAGAGAGCTGAATTTCTACTCTTTATTTCATCTTTAGTGAGATAACAAAAATTTAAGCACTCCATTGTTTTCATATTAACAACAATGTTCTCACTCTACGAACAGATTGTTTGTGTTTCTTCAATTTGAAATCAGTAGTGATGCTTATTGTGGATTGACAGGATTCGTTTTATTACAATTTGACGCCGGAGGAGCTTGCAAGAGTGCATGAATACAATTTTGACCATCCTGGTAATTTTTTATCTCCAAAAGTGCTGATATTTCTGGGCGCGCATCTAAAACTGAGGATGACTGGAAGTTTTACCATGTGCTTCTCTACCAAAAACAATGCAATTTCCAGAAGATTAATGGTGCAAAAGGGTTACCGCGTGCTTCGTTTGTTGTATATTTCCTGTACTAGTTTTAACTACTCTTTTTTCCAGATGCGTTTGATACCGATCAATTACTTTCTGTTATGGAGAACTTGAAGCATGGCCAAGCAGTGGACATTCCTAAATACGACTTCAAAAGCTACAAAAATGATGTTTTCCCCCGTAGAAGGGTAAATTAGTTTACTCTCTCCATGCTTTCCTGTGTCTTTAAAGTTTTACAATGTGATCAGGTCATTGTCACGTCTCTCCTCACAGATCCATTCCCAGATTTGTCCCTGTGAATATTTTCCTAATTTCTTTCTCACTTATTATCCTGAAATACTTTTGGACCAATATTCTTAAAGTATAAGCTGGCTACCAAAGTTTCTGGGTCTATCTTCCGATTACTTATTTTCCCATTGATTTGATATATTAATACATCTCCTGTGATGGAATTTTTGGCAGGTAAATCCTTCAGATGTCATTATTTTGGAGGGCATTCTTATTTTTCACGATCCTCGTGTTAGAGAGCTGATGAATATGAAGATATTTGTTGATACAGGTTAAATACTTTCTGGTGCTGTTTATTTGTGTCAACCTTACTTCATATGTTCAAGTAACTATGTACATGTGTGTGTCAAGTTGAGCATTTAAATCGCTCACAGGAATGTGTATAAAAGGTAGGATATATGTTTAAGCAGATAGATTATCTCTTAATCCTCGTAATTTGCAGTTAGGTCTGTCTGGACCATTTATTTAGGTTCGCAGAAGATTCTAATCATATATGGTTCTCCTTGCGTTGTTGTTTTACTCTTATGATGTTCGCTATAAAAAATTTTCAGTGCAGATGCTGATGTACGCTTGGCAAGGAGAATAAGACGTGACACTGTTGAAAAGGGTAGAGATATTGCTACAGTTCTAGACCAGGTTAGAGATTTCTCTGTTCACTCTTAGAGTAAAACTCATCCTGTAATTTTGCATATTTCGATCATAAAAGTTCCACTTTTTAAATTCTGCAAACTGTTCATTACTTGTTAAAGTATTAGTCTGTTGCATATAGGCTATTTTTGTCCAAATTTTAGATGATTTTGAAAGGAAATTTTAAGCCAAAACATAGATCTTGTGGTTCACCATGCTGGAATTTTTGTATCATTTCAAAACCTTCTACTTTCTAGCCATTTGCTTATGCTTGAAGTTATTAACTTTCCATTAACTTTTTCATCTTAATCTGCTTACAGTACTCAAAGTTTGTGAAGCCTGCTTTTGATGATTTCATACTCCCAACAAAGAAGTATGCAGATATAATCATCCCCCGCGGTGGAGACAATCATGTTGCCATTGATTTGATTGTTCAACATATTCGCACGAAACTTGGGCAACATGATCTTTGTAAAATATATCCTAATTTATATGTCATCCACTCAACCTTTCAGGTATGCTTTTCATCTTGGCCTATTTCATGAACTTCTGTTCCGTTTATTCGAGATTCCCAACAATGTCATTCAATCTTTCACTTTTTATTTTTCTCTGTGATTTTTGTTTTCTTATCCAGATTCGTGGTATGCATACCTTAATACGTGATTCGCAGACAACAAAACATGACTTCGTTTTTTATGCTGATAGATTGATACGTCTGGTCAGGACTTTTTTGCTTATTTTGGTGAATATAAACTTCAAATGTTTGGAAAGACAAGATCCCATTTTTACATACCTGTTAAATATACTCTGTGCAGGTTGTTGAACATGGTCTAGGACACCTTCCCTTCACAGAAAAGCAGGTGATTACTCCTACTGGTAAGCCTTCTGTTTCAATTGGATCTGAACCTGATTCGAACTCAAGCATTTGTTCCAAGCCCTATTAGATTGCTCCTGTTAAACAGTCCGTAAATTCCTGATATTTTGCAAAAGGATATATCAGCATTTCTTAAGTATGGATTTCCTTTGTGCTTCTCATGTGTTTCGAGACTAACTTTTTGATTATTCTTCCAAAAACTGCAGGAGCTGTCTACACCGGAGTGGACTTCTGTAAGAGATTATGTGGTGTCTCTGTGATTAGAAGGTGCAAAATCTCATTCAGTCTCAACACTAAAATTCAGTATTCCTTTTCATTCTCTCCGGCATACTAGATTGACATTCCACATATACTTAGCATAGAGGCTAGTTTGTCCAATTTGCTACTCATCTTAGTTTGCTGCTTGGATAGAAATGTAGTCCTTTTATGTCATTCTTGTAGTCCTTTAATGTCATTCTCCGTCTTCAACCTCATTCCCATTGTTTACTGCCTTCATGGAAGGCTAAAGTTTTAACTTTGTTGAACCGTTTTAACTCTATTTTTGATCTTCTTTACTTGCAGTGGTGAGAGTATGGAGAACGCCTTGCGAGCTTGTTGTAAAGGTATTAAGATCGGGAAGATTCTAATTCATAGGGAAGGTGACAATGGTCAGCAGGTTGGGTTGCTTTTCTTCTCCACTTTTCTTATTGGCTCTTTCTTTCCTTTTTTGGTCTTTTCATGCATTGACAATTTGTTGCAATTCTTACTGGCAGTTGATCTATGAGAAATTGCCACAAGATATATCAGATAGGCATGTCTTGTTGTTGGATCCAATCCTTGGCACAGGTCCGTTCCTCTTGAACCGGGATTTTAATTATTAGCATTTGATATTTAATTCATAACACCAACCAAATGATCAAAATCTTCTACCTTAAAATTGCTGAACTTTTTGTAAACGGTGTTTTTTTTTTTTTGGAAAATTTGTAGAACGGTGTTATTTCTTGATGGTATGCAAAGTACCCTGATTGAATTTTTTTTTCCCAGGAAATTCGGCCGTCCAAGCTATTTCTCTGCTTTTAAAGAAGGGTGTACCGGAATCCAACATCATATTTCTTAATCTCATTTCTGTAAGCTTTTGTCTACGCTTCTGCTTTATTTCTTACTGCCTTGCTTGTCATTGATACGTGCTGAATTCAGAATCTTTTTCTTTCTGTTTCCTGTAAATCCAGGCACCCCAAGGAGTACATGTCGTTTGTAAACGCTTCCCCAGAATAAAAATCGTAACGTCTGAGATTGAAATCGGATTGAATGACGACTTCCGTGTCATCCCCGGAATGGGAGAGTTTGGTGACCGATATTTTGGCACAGATGATGAATAAGTTAAACTCCCTCAGAGTGCGGATGAACATTTGATTAAAAACAGCAATGCAACAAGTGCTGGGAGTTATAACTGATAGTGCCTTTTCAAGAAAAGGGTCCTATATCATTTTTGTTTCCTTTTTCGTGGTTGGCTGAAGCATAAGGAACAACATACAACATTTGGGGTAGAAATCATTCAATGCTGGTCTTGAGAACATAAAAATCATTTTTTGCACGTTGTTCATCTGGCATTGCATTATAAAGCTAACATTTTACAGGACACTGTAATTTCCGAAACTTGCTACCCTTTGAATTATAGTTTATGCTCATTCATCAATTGAAATGCTTGCTACCCAAGCTGCAATGCTGCATTCATTGACGTATTCACTCTACGTAGAACCTTTGATGATAAATTGAGAATCAAAATTGTGATATCCATAACAAATATCTTGCTCAATACTCAACCATTGTGGCGGATGCTTCCGGTTTGGATACTGGTGAAGCCAAGTGAAAAAGAGCCCACCAAATCCATTGGAAGCCGGATAAATTTACCTTCACTTTTATTGTACTTTTTGTTACTCCCCCCCCCTTTTTTTTTCTGGGGAGGAAGGGGCAATGGCATTGATTAGGAGTTTTGGAGGATCCCAAAATGACCAAACATAGGATGATCACAATTCACATATCTATAAAAGAAAGACGACAGAGTTTGGAGAAATGCCAAAAAGGAAGAAGAAGCCTTTAGATTAAGGATGATCACTCCTTCCTTTATCCCCAGGACGATAACTTTCCTTGGGCTAATCTCTGGACACGTGTTGGATACAAAAACTTCTTTAAACAATTTGTTTTGTATGTATGTATCATTTGAGGGTATATTCCGTTAAGGTTTTATCTATAAAGAATGGTTCTTCTTTGACACCATTGTTTTTTGTGTTTACTTCCTCACTTAAAATTTGCTTCATTATCCTCACTGTAAAGAGGAATCAATCATGTCAGCCTTTGTTGGAAAGTATGCTGGTAAGCTTTCCTTTCCTTCCTCTCTAGCTACTTGTTCTTTTGTTTTTTCCCTTTGTTTGCATGCATGTCCTCTCTCTATAAGAGTAACATCCAAGGTGCTGTTTGTCACACGAGTCGTTTCTTACTTTCTTAGAATGTATGAGCAAGGATGAATGGTATCAACACTTAAAAAAGATTGAACCTCATTGCTCAACTGATTAAGGTTTTCCTTTGCTGATGAAAAACAGATGAGCTTATCAAGACAGCCAAATACATTGCCACGCCTGGAAAGGGAATTCTGGCAGCTGATGAGAGTACTGGAACAATTGGCAAACGTTTGGCCAGCATTAACGTAGAAAACATCGAATCAAACCGCCAGGCGCTTCGCGAACTCCTGTTCACCTCACCTGGGGCGTTAGCCTGTCTTTCGGGCGTAATCCTCTTCGAGGAAACACTTTACCAGAAAACAACAGACGGCAAGCCATTCGTGGAAGTTCTTCAGGAAAACAATGTTGTCCCTGGAATCAAAGTTGACAAGGGAATCGTGGAATTGGCTGGCACAAACGGCGAAACCACCACTCAGGGCTTTGATTCCCTCGGGGCGCGATGCGCTCAGTACTACAAGGCTGGCGCACGGTTCGCCAAGTGGCGCGCCGTGCTGAAAATCGGCCCGAATGAACCCTCAGAGCTTGCTATCCAGCAAAATGCTCAGGGATTGGCTCGTTATGCCATCATTTGTCAGGAAAATGGACTTGTCCCGATTGTTGAACCCGAAATCCTGACTGATGGAAGTCATGACATTGAGACATGTGCTGCTAAAACTGAAATTGTTCTTGCTGCAGTTTACAAGGCTCTGAATGATCATCATGTCCTTCTGGAAGGAACCCTCTTGAAGCCTAACATGGTCACCCCTGGCTCTGATAGCCCTAAGGTAAATTATCAATTATAAATGTCACATTAGTTACTATAAAAGTTCACTGGAAATTTGCTATAGCTATGAATACCAATTCTGGTTCCATGTAATTCAGATGGAAAGAAATCTTGTGCTAATTGTTGTTGTTTGATATAGGTTACACCAGAAGTGATCGCTGCGCACACAGTGACGGCATTGAGAAGAACGGTTCCGGCGGCCGTGCCAGGGATTGTGTTCTTATCAGGTGGACAAAGTGAGGAAGAGGCAACCAAAAACTTGGATGCAATGAACAAATTAGAAGTGTTGAAGCCATGGACACTGTCGTTCTCGTTCGGCCGAGCTCTGCAGCAAAGCACCCTCAAGACATGGGGTGGGAAGAAGGAGAATGTGGAGAAAGCTCAGCAGGCATTCCTGGAAAGATGCAAAGGGAATTCAGATGCCACATTGGGGAAGTATGCTGGTGGAAGTGCTGGTGGATTGGCTTCTGAGAGTTTGTATGTCAAAGACTACAAGTATTAGACCAAAGGATTGGAGAAGGTGGATGCAGGGGAATTTTATCTTTAACATCAAGTTTGGATTTGAACCTACAACAGAATGTGTAAAAAAGAAAAAATTAAGGTTCCTTACTTGTTCTGATCAAAGTTCCAAGTTTGTGAGTTGGCCCTTTTGTAACCAAGTTTGTACCTATACTCTTCACTTTGGACATACATCTTAATCTCTTTCTACTTGTTTCTTTGATTGACCTTATATAAAGTCTGTTCAAAAGATTTATATGTTCTATATATTTTCTTCTTCTTACAGACCTTACTTATAACATGATTACATGTAATTTCATAACACTTAATATATGCGCCAATAAAATGTCTAAACCAAATTACCTAATTCATGAACCTTTCTCTCGTCCTAGAAAAATTCCTTCCACACCAAGAAAATACATACAAAGAAAATGGCATGAATATGATCGAACAAAAAAATCTAACTCACTACTTGAGGTATTGTTTAATGTCTAGGATGGTCAATATGAGAGCGAGGGTTAGAATTTTCACATAAGAATTTGAGGCGTTGTTGCTCACCTTAGAGTCTAGAATGACTTGTGTGAGGTTATACGAGTTAGAATCCCTACAAAACAATCTCACTATTTAGTCAATTGTTATTTGGCTCGACCCTTAAATTCAGAAGGTTGTGAAAGATCAACCTCCACAGTTAGGTGCCTGAGACTTATGGGATAACAACCATATATACCTAGAATGAAGCACTGGGTAAGACTTCTATTTCCACCGAAAGTTGCTAAGAGAGTTTTGGCTACATACATAACACTTCAACATCAAGAAAGAAAAGATACTATGTTTTGGGAGAAGAATAAGCTAGTGGAATACACGGTTAAAAGTGGTTACTATGAAGCTTATAATTTGAAGTTCTCCAACACAGTAGCAGGTACCTCAGAAATCACAAATTTGAGGGCATCAAAGTTCCGGGTAAAGTCCATTGGATGATTTGGGGTGCAATTAACAAAGCATTACCGACTTATACAGTCTTACGCAGAAGAGGACTCCCAGTTGAAGCCAAATGTCCGCGTTGCCATCACTCGGAGGAGACAATAAAGCATCTATTTTTGGAATGCCAGACTTCCCAGATTATTTGGAAAACCTCCAGCCTTGGCTTTGAGTTCAATCAAGATTTGAACACATCTTTCTGTGAGTGGTTAGATAATTGGCTCACATCAACACCAGACAAAGACCTTATTCAACAGTCTTTCTACATCTTATGGAGTATCTGGCTTGCAAGAAATGAAACGGTTTGGAATGGCATCGACAAACATCCACTTCAAACCTTAGATTGGGCATCCAAGGAGCACAGAGCTTTCTTGCATTGTTTGGCCAAATGCAAAGAGGGAAGCAAGATGGAAATGAACTCTCTTCAAATCTGCATATCAAAATCTAACATGTCGGAACCAGATTACCTTGTCAGAGTAGACGGTGCTTACAATGAATCAGGCCAGAAAGGAGGAGCTGCATGGGAGATACTGGATTAGACAGGAAAACCGCTAGCATATGGAAGTCAAGCTTTCTACTCATACTCCCCGGAATACTCAAAAGCAATGGCATGTCTATGTGGATTAAAAGCAGCACAAGACCTCAACCTACACAAGTGTCAATTGCAAACGGATAGTTCGCTCTAAATTAACCCTAGGCCTATCGGACTAGGATTAGATTACTTGAAAATTAAACCACCGCCTAAACCTATTCCGCTAGGGTTTCAGGAAACAGGTAACACTATCTCTATATAAAGAAGTGGTGCCTCTCTCATAATTCATATTTTCTACCTATCTTCTACACCTTCTACACACGATACAGATTTCTCTCTATTCCTTTATTGACTTAAGCATCGGAGAGCCTACCCTCGGGAGACACCCGAAGCTCTGTCTTGCAGGTTTTAGGCAGTCCGCCGCCGCTTAGATCATCATCGCCGCCCGTCCTAGGCACCGTGCAGATCCATGCTTCATCAAGTGGCACGCCCAGTAGGACCGATTTGTTTGGTCCTTACAACCAAATAAATTTCTTAGCGAAGCACGAAATCTTTTGTATCTTTCGCAGCCACGGTGTTACGTTGCTCCGATTTGCAACTAGAATATCACGCAAAAAATTATCTTTGTTTGGCCAAGAAAACGTCAGCCGACAAGTAGAACAAAGAACCTTTCGATTTCACAGATAATTGAGGAGCTGCACTCGCTCCACAGCTGATCGAGAAGATCAATTAGCAAGGGGCAACCTCAAAAGTTGAAGTTTCGAGAGATACATCTCCTCGAAGGGGCAAGCATCCCTCGAGCACCTTACTACTACTCGAAGTGTTCGAGAAGACATGTCTCGACTTTTAGCTACTCAACTACTACCTTCTCGGAATCGAGGTAACACTTTCTCGAATAATCAATTTATTACGAGATCGAGATACTTCTAAAACCTTTTCATGCTTTAATATCTGATAACATTATCATATTACTATCATATCACGATATCTTTTTGAGCACGATCAAAGAAATCTTTCGAGAAACCAACCCTCTAGGGAAAAATCCCATCACCCTGCAATGAGGAAAATCACCTCGGGGTTGCCTTCAACGAGGAAAACATACTCGGGGCACAAACTGGAAAAAACCCTAGGGGCAAAGAACTTGAGAGATCGTCCTAACATCCTCTGCTTAAACGGATATTCCTTAGGTGCATCTTATTACTATATGTCATTATTATTTTGTATTGCATCTCAATGATCTACATACTCGCGGTCCACCGCGCAAACAAGGACACTCGCGGTCCACCACGCAAACAAGGATACTCGCGGTTCACCATGCAAACAAGGACATTCGCGGTCCACCGCGCAACCAAGGAACTCTCTAACAGAAAGACCTCCTCGAGCCATTCTATCTCTCTTTATCTTATATAGGTGACACTCGAGAACGAAAGAGTTCGAGAACTGGGACAACACTACGAAACTCGAGGAAACATTAACACTCGTAGCAACCCATATTCCTCTCATCAAGTCTCGAGAATATGGCTTACTAAGGGCACTTGACGAGTCATAACTTAACCCTAGGCCTATTGGGCCTAGGATTAGATTATTTGGAGATTAAGCCACCGCCTAAACCTATTCTACTAGGGTTTCAGGAAACCTCTATATAAAGAGGTGGTGCCTCTCTCATAATTCATATCTTCTACCTATTTTCTACACCTTCTACACATGATACAGATCCCTCTCTCTATTCCTTTATTGACTTAAGTATCGGAGAGTCTACCTTCGGGTGACACCCGAGGCTCTGTCTTGCAGGTTTTAGGCAGTCCACCACCGCCTAGATCATCATCGCCGCCCGTGCTAAGCACCGTGCATATCCATGCTTTGTTAGCAACCTCACTTAACAGCAAGAGTAGCTTCCCCCATGACATCCGTAAACTCAATTCCCAATTGTATTGTTAAGAAAGTAAGTAGAATGTTAGTTGAAAACGCCCACCGGATCGCCAAGGCAATGCTAGCATTGGCCAATCTCATGTACTCTCTCTGCCCCAAAATTATTATCCAGTTTATGATTTCACTTTTAGTATAATGTGAACTAAAAATGAAAATCTAAACTGGATAATAATTATGGGACGGAGAGAGTAATTGAGTTTCTTGTTTTGTTTTAATATAAAAATGCAGTTTCAAAAAAAAAAAAAAAGGTTGTTAACCATACCTTATTTCAAAAGACTTTCAGGTGGCTAAATGTTGCAATTTATAGTGGCGAGGATCATATTGTGATACACGAATAGTTTAGGTGTCAGTTTGGAATTTATGCTTCTTCTTTTCTCTTTTTCTTTGAATTATTCAATTTATGCTATGGTGTCTTCCTCATTTCCATTGCGCAACAAAAATATAACAAAATTTAAAAAATGACTTTTTGGTAATAAAGAAAGATAAAGAAGAACTCAAGCCTAATATATATGTTGCACTTGACCTCCTAATTGGTTGAAATTTGGCGAAATAAAATTTTGGGTTTATTATATGCATTTTCTTCCGCAATTAGGAACATGAAACTAAAATCAATCGTCCAAAAATCCACCACCTCAAGTCCCCCGTTTCGTCTTCATTTCCACAACTCCACCAAACCCTTCCTCCAATTTCTTCTTCACGATTCGACAATTAAACCCGAGAAGAAACCTAATTGTTGTGCTTCCATTCAATCCCCAAAACCCATGTCAAATTCTCATTCTTTTTGCTTATCCTCCGCAAAAATCCCACGTTCTCACCTGTATCATCCAGCCAGTTATTGCGCAGTTTTAGAACCCCAAAAGATTCCATCTTTTCCTCTGAAAAACCCCACAAATTATTTATTTCTTAGGTCTATAACATTTCAAAGAATACCCACTAAACAGATTGTTTGTTCATCACAAGCTCCCCGAGCCACTCTGCAACCAATTGAAGAACTGCCCCCAAAGCTTCAAGAAATCGTCAAATTATTCCAGGCAGTTGAAGAACCTAGGGCTAAGTATGAGCAGCTTTTGTTTTATGGGAGGAATTTGAAGCCTTTGGATGTTCAGTACAAGAGTGATGAGAATAAAGTTAAGGGTTGTGTTTCTCAGGTGTGGGTTAGAGCCTACTTTGACGATGATAAAAATGTGGTCTTTGAGGCAGATTCTGACTCTGTACTCACTAAAGGGTTAGCGGCTTTGCTTGTTCAAGGCCTATCTGGAAGGCCAGTTGAGGAAATTGTGAAAGTTTCGCCTGATTTTGCGCTTATGCTTGGATTGCAGCAGAGCCTTACGCCTTCTAGGAATAATGGGTTTTTGAACATGCTGAAGTTAATGCAGAAAAAGGCTTTGCAATTGTATGTGGAAGCTGAAAAAAAAGAGGGCAGTTCAATTGCTGAACCATCTGAGAAAGCGAAGTCAGATGATGATGAGAATGACAATTCAAATTCTGGTTTGGATGGGGATTTTAAGAACAGCGAAGATGGTGCTGTAAGCTCGAAAACATTAGCTTCTGGTAATGGTGGAGTTGGTTTGGGGAGTAGAGGGTTGAGAATTAGAGAAAAGTTGGAGAGTGAGTTGAATCCTATTGAAATAGAAGTTGAGGACATATCATATCAGCATGCTGGTCATGCTGGGGTTAGGAGCAATGGTAATGGGGAGACTCATTTTAATCTGAAAGTTGTGTCTGAGGAGTTTGAGGGTAAGAGTTTGGTAAAAAGGCATCGATTGATTTACAGTTTGTTGCAAGATGAGCTGCAAAATGGACTGCACGCATTGTCCATAGTGGCCAAGGCGCCATCTGAAATGAGTAGCTGATGGATCATCGTTGCTAAAAAGAGGTCCTTTTCAGTCCCTTTTCATGGATGTGTGTGAAAAAATACAGTTGTAGGCATCATACTCCATTTGGGATTTTTCCTAGAGATCTTATAGTAGTATTTTCTCTGTTTGACAAAACAAAATAAAGTTTTTCTGTTGAGGGAATTAAATACCCGACTTATGCAATTGCATGACGAATATTCCCCCGTTGTCCTGCTATGATCAATGCCTCCTTGGATTTTATGGATCTTGTTTGCTAGTTCAGTTGTGCGTGTATCTCTGCTTTAATGGACTTAATGGATCGAATCAACCCCCTAGAAATGGTGATAAAGTTGATTCTCGGTGCTGAAGTGAAAACTTATGTCTGGAATTCAGTTTAAATTGGCTGTAATTAGTTCTCTTAACTATGTCTCCTTTCTTAACTAGTTTTTTGTAGCATTTTGGCATGGTATCTCCTGTAAAAGGTGGAATCATCCATTGTGTACATCTGCCAGTTTCAAAAAATTTTGTGGTTCTTGTGTGGATTATCGTTGATGCTTTTCAACCATTTTAAGTAGGCTGAGAATCATCAGCAGAAACTAAATTCAGTTTTGATGAGCCTGTTCGTAAACTAATCATAGGAGTTGTCATCCATTTAAATTTTGAAATTTAGTTCCTAAATTATTCCATTTTCTAAAAGCAAATTAGTCAGGATGCTTGATAACTAGACAAAACTAAGGCTGTCTGTGTTAACCTGGAAAATATGTTATTGTGTTGCAACAACAATGTAGATGTATCATTTGGTTCTCTGTTTGACTTTGTAGCCTTTGAAGCTCATATATAATTTACTGCGATGTACTATGTCTTTCTTTTGCTGTCAGTGGTAAGGAACATATGTATTACTATAACACAGACCAGAGCCCAATGCCTTGTTGTTCTCATAAATAGGTATGAACAACCAGAAACCTTTTAACCTGTAATGGCAGCCTGGATATGTACACATAGGGCTTAATTGAGGTCTTCCGTAACCGAGGATAACTAGAAGCTCATCTATACCTTTTAGTACTGCAACTATGAGCTACCAAGACCCCGGTGGGTGGGCTTGTGAGCTCTAATTGGCATCTAGAATGCAACCAATATGAAAAATGAACTAGACCTAAACTAACCCTTACTCTAAAATTCCCTATAATATGATAAGTTATTCTGTTGTTCAGCACCTGTTTCTGCAGCTCAACAGCGTGATTTGGTGGGAAGTAAACCAAGCTTGATATCATCTGGATTGTTACCAACCGTGTCTGTCTTCGTGCTTGAGTGAAAGGTTCAAGAACTTGAGCTGCTATCAGTGTATCAAAAGAGTAGAGCTCGAACTTTAGATACTCGAACGTGATGTCGAGCTTTCGGTTGGGGTTGGAGAAGTTGGCCATGAATGTAAAATCGCTGTTTAGAAACTGCGCAGATTCGGCAGAGTCGATGTAGACTACCGTCAGGCTTGCACCGGGGGTGTCGAATAGGGGCGTTCTAGGCTTTAGGCCAACAAAGATGATCAAAGTTGCAATCCCAAACAAGATGAGCAAAATGCTGAATATCATGCAGAAGATTGCAAGACACCAGATTATTGGATTTGTCCGGTGAGAGTTCTGCAGCTTAGAATATCCTCCAAATTGTCTCTTGCTGCTGATGGGGAGTTCTGGTGGCAATAGATGTTGATCTGCAGCTTCCCTCTTGACATCGATCTGTTTGAACTGTTGAGGCAGTGGCGGACTTGGCGTTGGTGGGGGAGGCGGCAGTGGATACATTTTGCAGAATATGAAATGAAAAGGAAGAAACCCCTCTGAAAGAAGTTATAACTTATAATAGAGATGTCAAAATGATGGTTGGATGAGTGTTGCCACTACATTTAACTTGGAACAATGGATGATTAGGGAAAGTGAAGATGGGAAAAGGGGGTTGCTTTTGATTTGATTGGGAGAGTAGTAGGGACCAAGTTTTTAGTTTTAATATTCACAATCCTAAAAGTTAAAGTGGCACTTATTTGTTTGTGTTTGATTTTCGATTTGCCTTTTTTTGCTATCTGAACACAGATTACTTAGACTAGTAGCATGCACTGTGCAGATGTATGATGAAGGGCAGTGATTTATGGCCTGTTTAGGAGGTTGTTTGGCCACTTTATCCACTTTATTGAAGTTGTAATATATGTTTTTCTTTTTTGACCTGTCATTGATGAACACACCATTGCACATTTGCAATTGCTGTTTTTTTCTAGTGGTTCAGAAACCACTCACTTTTTTTGGACCTGTTATAATGCTTACCCATTAAGAAAGTGTTTTGAGGATAAAAGTGGTTCCAAATCAAAACCATGCTTCTGCTGTCCTCTAGAATTTTTTACCTTTTCCTTTCTTGTTACAGCAAAGATCTTTCTTGAGCAACGAGCTGAGGAGAGACATTCTGGCTTAAGATGAAAGGTTTAATCAAAAGCATCCGAAACTGAATTTCTTTTTATTTTCTCTTTTTTTTAAAAAAAAAAGAAAAAAAAGAAAGAGAGAAGAAGCTGAAGCTACCGTGTAGCAGCAGCATTTCTTCGATTTTTGTCGAAGGATTTTTTAAATCACATTCCGGACATTTTGTAGCATAAGTTAGGAGGGTAGATTATTGCATCATGGGCCTTCGGCATTGTTTATAAACCTGGTGAGAGATGTTAAGAATTACTATGGTCTAATAGGCCTTTTCTTTCGGCATGGAATCTGGGCTTGTTACTTAGCACTTGTAAGGTTTGCACCTAGACTATTGCTACTTAGCACTTGAATGCTACTTAGCACTTGTAAGGTTTTGGCTTCTCTTGTCCAGAGGGATTGCATATTTTGTCTACACCGTCGTCCGGAGTTAAGGATTATCTATTAGTAAATAAATTAGGATCATTCCATGACCATAGGGATATTTTGTAATCCAAGCATCATGCTTCCCTCGTATATCTACATAATATAAGAAATGGATGTCCCTTTTTGGCACGGTTAACTGCCCGTTGCCAGTTCTTTTCGCTGACGTGCCGACCATTTATTGGCTCTTTTGCAATTTTTGTCGCGTTCTTCCCTTTTAAGTTCTGTGCTTTCCATCCGGTTGCCAATCGGCCGTCGTATACTTCCTTCTCCTCTCTTTTAAGGTTGTTACCGAAACGCCTTCTCATCCATGGATTCGGAGTCGACTCCGTTTGGCAGTGGTCGGAGACGGTCAAAATCCTGGTGCTCCATTTCAACATCTATGTGCCGGACCTGGTTTTCTTCTGCGAATCGTACACGACCCAACCCAAAAAGGTCCGAATCGTTCCAGGCCCAGTGCGTGAAGCGGGTCATGGAGGCGAATTCGGTTTGGAAAATGAGCTTCGTCGGGATGAGTTACGGCGGGTTCGTGGCGTACAGTACGGAGGCGCAGTTCAAGGAATGTGTGGAAAGGTGGTGATTTGCTGCGCCGGGGTTTGTTTGGAGGAGAAGGACATTAAAAATGGGTTGTTTCCAGTGAATGACGTGGATGTAGCCGCCGACATCCTTCTGCCGGAGACGGCGGAGACGATGAGGGAGTTGTTGCGGTATGCTTTTGTAAAGCCGCCCAAAGCGTTGCCTTCTTGCTTGCTCAACGACTTTATCGACGTAAGTCTTCTTTATATTTTGTTGTAAATGAATTTTTGTTCGGTAAAAATAAAATAGAGGGGAAAAGATCACTTTATTCAAGCCATATAAGTTGTAAAAATGCTGGCTTTCATATTTCGATTTTGATTGATTAATGGAAGGAAATGGAGATTAATGGGATATCGGGGAGTGAAAACCAGTGAGGCTTCCCAGAAGGAGTGCTATTTGTGTATGGGGGATCTAATCAATCAAGCCAAACGAGTCGGAAAGGTAAGAGAAGAGTGTGAGGATTTGGCATGGCTGCCGCCAATGGTACAAGGATCAATGAAATCAATGTCAGACAAATGTAACCACCAAGATTTTTCCCTACCATATGAATGTTCAGATTTATAAGGAGCCAGCAAGCTTCAACAAGAGCAGAGTATGCCTTCATGAAATTTTTGGTTTCGGCTGAACCACAAAATATTGCAGACCACTGCAACCAATTCAACCACATCCCTCAGCAGTTGGTCAATGGATAATGATATCTACCAACAAGAGCTTCCAATTCCAAAGGCTTCTGCAGTTGATTGATGTCTCAGATTTCCGCTAGCCTCCAAACTTTAGATGAGAATGAACGTGTCCAAAAAAGGTGAGCAGTAGAGACGTTAGTTGAATTCCAGAAGGTGCAGGACCATTCTTGCATTAAGCCACACTTAATTAAGTTCTCTGGACCTCGCAGGGAGCTTGTACAACAAAACTTCCATATGAAATGCTTAATGCGAGGAGGGTTTCGAAGTTTCCAAATGTGCTTCCAAATATAATCTCTCCCTTAGGGAGCCAAAAATTTTTAAACATGATCTGTTGCCATGATTTTGGGTGGACTTGATTGAAAATTGTTGAATGGAGCAGAGACAAGGAAGAAAGTGCAGTTTAGTTTTGTCAGATTGTTATGCTATTTATTCTCCTTTTGTTGTACTCATACAAGTAAAGACCGAATAGTATATTTGATTCAATTTGATCATAGATGTGTTTGTTGTACATAAATTTAGATCGGTCTCGATTTGGAAAAGCTTAATGGTGGTAAGGGTGAACTTGGAAGCATAGTTAATAACTTAATATTAGAGTTTCATAAGCTAAAAACACCGAATTTTTACATTCGACTCAAATCTACTCAAAAATAATATTTTCAAAGATAGTCAATTACTTCACACTTCACAGTGTCACTCCTCCCTTAAAACAACACCTCCGGGTCACTGCTCCCCGAAAGACCGCACCTCGTGCGGTCCACCTCATCTAGTGTGTGTGTGTGTGTGTATATATATATATATATATATATATATATATATATATATATAAAAGATGCCAGTTTTGAGGAATTGGATGAGTTCGGCATTGATTATAACTTCAACTATATGCTTGCTCCGGACGAATGCCCAGGATCACCTTTATTACCTCTATTTTAAATTTGCCCATGAAAAAGGTGATTCACAATTCAAAAGAAATATATATATATATATATATATATTATAATAGGTATAATACAATAGAGGGGATTAGATGCCAGCATTTAAAAATTTTTAGGGGGGTTCCTGAGCCTAATATTACAAAATATTGGTTCCTAAATTAATGAAATCATTTGGTAACTTCGTAAAATCGTTCTTTGCCTATTGACAAAAGTTTCTACCCCGAAAGCAGCTAATACAACATCAAATTGTAGCCAAAAATGCAAGATTTATAGACTTTTTTACCACTTGGACACATTCTGCCAAGAAAAAATAACATTAGGCTAGCACTTCAATATTCCAAGATACAATATCTTCATTATTCTAGCATAGGGGCATTGAAAAGATCACCTTTGGTCATTCCGGCTTGTTGGGAACATAAGCAAGTATAATCCTAGGTTCCATTCTGATAAGGCAATCTCAAGCTGTTGCAAGTCCAAAAAATCACTATATTAAAACCAAACACAATATGCAACTTAAGTATGTTGTGTATTGACTCTCTAAGTTACAGATATTGTGTTACATATATAGTGTTCTGAGCAACTACACAGTGGACAGAAAACCCAAAATCAAACAGATAGAAGTCTACCTCATTGTCAAGATAAAGCAGCGTTTCATTTACAGTCATACCAAATTCAACGATCTGCAGCACAAATATGCTAAGTTACCTTTCCTGCATTTTAATGTAAACAATCATGAAGTAAACAAAAGAATCCAATGTAATCAGTTGTATTTAAAAGTATCAATAACTATTTCTTTCCCTATTTTAGAATAAACATGTCAACCCAAGCAGTTGTTGGAGCCTTCATTGCACATTTTATTATTTACTTTTGTAAGAAAATATGAAACCAAATTGAAAACATGGTAGACAAATCTAGTGTAGCAAGGTTTACTGAGCAACAAAATTAGCACATAACGATGAGGTGATTTGCAACTGTAACATCATTAGGAGAATTGGTTCCACCAGGATCTACATTTGCTGAAACAGAGAGGAGTCAATCATCGAAAATGAATAAGAAAATGGGCTTGCTGATAAACATGAAAGTACTATTACTGCTAGTGTACCATTATGTAGAAAACCAGATTAAATATCTCATCATCAAAAAAATGGTCAGCATAGTTGTTGGATTGAGGGCTGTTGTTCATAGCTCACTAAGTTTTTCATTCAATTTTTTAAGTGGAGATTCAAATGCCTAACAATAAATTCCCATTTGGACAAATACATATCTACCACAAAGAAACTAAAGTATTTATACCTTCTCTATTTCAGCACATTGATAGAAGTCCAACTATTCTATCTAAGGCTTCAGATTCCCTAAACTGCATCTACTATCGTGAGCTTCAAAACAAAGCCGGAGAAACTGTTGATGGACTACAAAGATGACTTGCACAACCAAACATCCAAACAGAGTTGACATCAAACACAATGAAGAGAGAATTTGACAAAAACCTTAAAACACTGAAAAGATAGAGACTTTTTAATATTCAAATCAAAATTCATTCTTTGTAAATGACACAAAATTGGTGCATTAAAACCCATCCTTCAAACTGATTTCTTAATTTAATATTGTAAAACAACCCAAAAATTGTAATATGAAGCTGAACATATGATCTCTTTAAATATGTCAAAATCACAATGCCATACAAATACTTACAGACAAAAAAGTCTCCCTATTAGAATATCTTGCTTTTTATACATCACATTTTGTTCATGCTTTTTATACATCGTTTTGTTCAATACAACACACATATAATTACAGGATAATAGAACCAAAAATACCTCGCTTCTCCATGATCCGAAGGCCAGTATTTTCTTGGTCATATTCTCATGCTTCCGAAAGATTAAATAAAGTTCCTAAGTGGTGCCAAGGCAACTAGGAAAAATGGATAGACTTACATTAAATAAAGTTGTTATAGAAGAATCCATAGCCTAAAAGTCATATACCCAGAAATTCTTTAAGTGGATAAATAAGAAACCTGAAAGCTATAGCAATATCATCCTCAAATTAGTAGCTAGTGCCCTGCGCATAATCTCGAGAGGTGATGCATTCTCAAGCTCCCCAGCCAATCCCTTTACAATTGTCATCCTCAACTTCATCTCCAACCTTTGTTAATCAGTCAAGTAAAGAATTAGATCAAATATAAAAATTAATAGATCCATGGATGAAAAAGCAAGAAAGAATAGTTACTGCAGAAAGAATTACAGAACCAGTTGTTATATTGAATGGATAAATGGATATAAATATCCTAAAGAAAAAAATGTCTAAAATAATATATTATACTGCTCTCTAAGAGAAAAGAACTCAATGCAATTATAAGGAACCAACCAAAACCAACATCAAGTAATTATTAATTTCACCTTTACCTCAACATTTTTGGAGGGTTAATTTAGCTCTAAACCCACGACCTAAACCAAAATTAGGACTTATACCATTTGGAAGTTTTGACCCTTTTTTAGAATTAAGCTTCAATTTCACTATATTCTGATCAATAAATATTTTTAGCCGAGATTCATTACTAGAAACATCGAGATTTCCGGACTCTTGATTTTATCCAGCAGTAGAAACAGTGGTTCCATTCTCCATAGCATCCATATTCTCAAAGAAAACCCAAGATGAGAAAAAACGGCCTACAGGGTAAGTAACTGACTGCTGCTTCTCGGCACGGTAGCGCTGACGTAGCTTCTCATCTTATGTCGGCACTGAGCAGATGTCTTAGCCGGAGAAGCATTTGGGCAACGGCTGCAGCCACAACATCCCAGACCACGTCCGAAGGTATCCCCGTCGAAAGGCATACCACCTCTCACGGTAGGCATCAATCAATGCCAAAGTCTCCTCTTGGATCCAACACGGATGTGAAAATTTTCGAACAGGCTTCTCAACGACCTCGACGGCAGTAGTATCCGGAGCTGTAGACGGTGAAACGGCGGCGATGGCGGTGGACATACTTAGAACCAAATTCCAAACAAAATTGAATCTTCATCGTCACCTTGCAAGCCCAAAAAAGATAATAATAAATAAATAAATAAAAATCAGAGTGTACTGCATAAACATAATAATGTCAGCATTTCTAAATCCACAAAGCAAAACCTTTTCAAATTGGTAGGTATCGAACAACCTCCAAAGGTCTCGTATGATAAGACATTGTAATCGAAACTCACCTCAATAAGAAATGCTACTCTAAGCACGAACAGTTCTCACCCAACCCTTAACCACTAAGGTCTCGTCCAACCGATTCAATCCCTCATCGAGGCCGCCTTTAATATCAACACTCCACAATCGTTTTTGAAACTCCCAACTTTTTCTCCAATTTTAATTCTCTTTATCAAAAAATTCGGTCTTTGTGGATTTGCCGGAGGAAAGGGCAGTTGAGACTATAGATCCGGCCCCGGTGAGATGTAGAGAGTGGTGTGGTGGGGGTGAGTAGTGAAGTGATGAGAGTGGAAGTGATTAATTTGGTGGTATAAAGTGGTTTCAGATGCTCTCCGGTGGAGAAGAAACGGATGGTGGAAAAGGGTTTTAGGCGGAGAAACAGAAGTAGACGGGGGCAGCGAACAAACTTTCCTAACCCTAATATTAGGATTGACATGAATACAGAGGAGAGCAGATATTATCTTCTCTGTTTGAAATTTAAATGAATACTGTGATTGAGAAAATTAATTTAGGATCAAAGCTTAGTAATAAACCGAGAAGATGATATCTGATGGTAGTTTTAAATGTAATATCAATGTAACAAATTAAAGAATGTAAAACCCTTAAATTGGGGAGTGTTTAAGGTGAACATTTATATTTGCAGAATGTAAATCCCTTAAATTGAGGAGTGTTTAACGTGATCATTTATATTTGCACAATTGTGGAGGATTGTTTTTTTTTTCCGGATGAACACAGGACACGTGGTATTATATTTTTGCAAAAGATGTATTTCTTTCGTTTTGGCGAGAAAAAAACCTTTGTGAAGTTGACACGTGTCCCAAGTATCATTTGCTTTCATAAAGTGGAAAGGGATTACTACAGATTTCTAAGTTATATATGAAGTGATGAACATTGACTGATAATCAAACGCCATGCTTAGTATTCTGTGTTAACATGTAAAAAAATCACGCTGTAAATAAAATCCATCCAAGATTATCAAAAACATTGTTACTATAAATTTTTTTGGCCTTCTATAATCCAATTTGATTCAGAGTAATTCAAATGATGGAGACCCTTTCATCCATTGATGTTCATAATGGAGCTAATGGTGAGAAAAGAATAAAGCATTACAGCAGTAATCAAAAGATCTTGCTGGTTGGGGAAGGGGATTTCTCGTTTGCTAAATGCTTAGCCAGAGCTTTTTTCTCTGCCACCAATTTGGTTGCCACCTCTCTTGATTCAGAAGGCATATATATATACATAGGATAAGATCATTCATTAGTCTAAAGCTATTTTGGTTTATTTACAATTGTTTACCTCAAACAATTTAAACTATTTGGTGTTAAGTTGAAGAGTGGATTATATGGCCTTAATTTAACCTACTTTTTTTAAAGAATTTATTTCCTTTGTGAATCAAAAGCTGAGTTGATTAGGAAGTATCCAAATGCAATGGAAAATGTGGACTCCCTCAAGGGACGAGGATACACTGTGATTCATGGAGTGGATGCCTCCACCATGAACCAACACCCTGCCTTCACTCACCAACTTTTCAATAGAATTGTATTCAATTTCCCTCTTGCTGGATTCCTGTGGCAAGAACGTTCATCCTACCAAATTAAGTGTCGTATGTTAGAGTATAATAAACATTCAAAAGAAGCGCTTACTGTATTCGTCGATTCATTACTAGTAATGTTATATTACTCGTCGATATATCCTTCCCATTTCTTTTTTTTTTTTGTTTTTACTTCCATTTCACTATGACAGGATGAAAAATCATTGACTCCATCTTATATTTATGTGTTATTTTAGGATTCACAGGGACGTAGTAAGGAAATTTTTTAGGAGTGCTGGAAGGATGATGGCGGCAGTTAATGGTGAAGAAGGATTGGGCCTGGTTGAGAAAGCCTGGTTTTCGATGTATGACTATCCAGGGTATACTAACAGAAAAAAAGGAGCTGGCCCGACCAGCGATGTGACTTTTCCAGTTGGATTATGCTACACATTCAAATTCGCTAGGCCCAACTAATTCTGTAGTGATGATGAAAATGTTTAATTGTACGGCTTTTGGTAATTAAAAGTTTAATTTGGTATTGAAACTTCAAACTTTTGATCGTTCTCTTCTCACTGGCCTTTTCTTTTTGAATAATGCATTTGTCCAATCAAAGTTATAGTTGTGTGTGACGGATGTTATGCATTTCAACCATGTATTGAGAACTTTATTCTTTTTTAAGTGTTAGCTATGTCGTGCTTAGAATTTGAATTCGTCATATTCAATTTCAACCTATTATTTGTTCTTGTTCATAAATATATTGAAAAGTGACTTCAAAATTTCTTGAACATACATAACATAGGTTCCAATGATCAAGAACCTGTTATTTGGGCAACTTACAAATTGGAAGTGAATAAAAGTAACTTTATTGGGGCCCTTATCTAAATCACCATGATTATGAAATGTTGTAATAATAAAGTTAAAAAACAACCAAGTTGGCTATGGCTTGTTGGAAAATGCTCCAATATTTCGTGCTCCACTCATGGTCTCATACCCAACTTGCTATTGAATTCTTCTTTGTTGCTCCCACAAGAATAATACCCATACCATGACTTCATTTTCAACGAATTTTCCCTTATTTTTTCCCCCCTTTTTATATTCATGATTCCTTAATTCTAATCAAACTACTCAAGAATAATGAAGGAAAAGGATTGCTTGCAACCTTGAAATGCTTAGATTCAAAAGGGATTCTGGAGTGGGGGATCGGAGGAATGTCCCCACCAATCAGATACCTTTCTTGTCAACTTGTATTATCTCCATTCATTTCATTCATTCATGCAAGAAAGCAAAAACTTTATAGAGATTTTTTTTAAAGGAAAATAAATAAAAAAAAATGTTTTGAAGATTCCAAAGTCTCCTAAATCAATCAAAGCTTCCACGCATACTCAACTAGTGAGGCTTTAACTTCAACCATAACTATTTTTTTTACCCATTATTGCTTTCTCCACAGCCAGAGTTCTTTTTTCTTTTTCCTTTTTTACCCTCCGGGGTGATCTCTACATTCGTGATTACAGTTTCACACAATGTTATTAGGCCCAATTTTGCCTCTTTTTTGCTTTTGTCATTGTGAAATACTACCTCCGTTTTTTTTTATCTGTCATTTTAGAGAGAATTCAAAGTGTTTTTTTATCTTGCGCACTTCATTTCCAATGTAACATTAAATACATTTTTTTCAATTTTATCCTTATCTCTTTCTACTTTTAATAACATATATAAATGACAATTGCTTACTCTTTTACTTCAATTTCAAATTTTTTAGAGTTCCAATACTTTTAATTAAGAGCAAGAAAGACAATACCCTTATAAGTTAAATTCTCAATTATTGTTTTGTTAATAGTTGTGCAAACCCTAAAGCGTCTGATAAAAAAAACGGAGGTAATACTAAAGGGAATTGGTTTCAACTTGGTAGACACTTTGTTTTAATTAATAACACAAAGTCGTCTCCAAGTTTTCTTCATTTAATTAATCAAAATGTGGGGTTTGTACAATTTTTTTTAAGAGGTCATTTCCCCCAATATATTTTAATGAGATAAATGTTTTAATTCTACACCAAAGAATAAACTACTTTTAGGGCTAAATATCTAACCGGATGTCAAATGCAGAAGGACGAAAATATGCGCATAAAGAAAAGAGAAGAAAATAGTGTTAATTGCAAGCGGCTGCCTTCCTTTGAACTCATATATCCCTAAGCTATGAAAGCCATGTAATAAAAATTCCCTCAGCTATTATCTGAAAAATTAAACGATCACATGAAGATGATCAATAATGCAGACTTTCACAGTATTAGTGATTCGCTCAATTGAATACACACTACTTAATTTGAAGAAAAATAAAATCCTACAGGTGGTTGTGTATTTTACAGCAAAAAAATGTGAAGTTTGAGAACATTTATTTATTTATAATTAACTCAATATCAAAGAAAATCCAAAAAAATACGGTTTGGTGAACAACCACAACAGCGGCTGAGCAGCCAGTACGTGTAAACTGCGAGGGTGCATCGTAAAAATATGGTCAGACTAGGCGTGCTATTCTTTACTGAAATTCCAAATCTAACTCTAAATTCTCATCATTTCTTTATTCTTAAATTTTTTTTTTCTCCCTCTATATCTTATTAACTTTTTATTGACAGCGACTCATTGTCCAAATATATATATATATATATATATTTTTGTAAATGTGGAAATTAAATTCCGGAACTAAAAATCATCTAATAGACCAACGAGCACTTTGGTGCTGCCTGGCTGGTGCAAGTATAAAATTTAGTGGACTAAATTAATTATGATCACTTCTTTTAAAAAATTGGGGGAAAAAAAAAACAAATAAAGACTACTATTAAATATGAACACGTTGGACTTGTTTGCATCTAGATGCAATAGTTGATTTAAATATATTTTTAAGCGCTTTCACTTTTAGATAGATATTTACTTCTCTTGGAAAAAAAAAATTGAACTCTCAAAATAATATGAAAAGAGAAAGAAAACATTGAGAACATGGATACAATATGTATATAAAATTGTTAAGAAATTCCTTGCCAACTAGTAGACAATTGATACAAAAAAAAAAAGTAACGAACAGGGAATAGAAGTTACCTTCGATCGCCATAATTATTCTTTTTAATTGAACAAAAAAAAAAAAAAAAGAAATGTCATTTTGCCCCTCAAATTCTAGAACGCTAGTTTCAGCGCTGTACTCGAGAATTCACAAATATATATGGAAAGAATACAAGTATATATAAATTTTTTTAAAAAAAAAGTAAAAGAAAAGAATTTCGCCACAAAAATGTAAACAAACTCGCAAGCATTTGATCAGAATTCAGAAAAGCAAAGAAGAAGAAAAAAAAAAAGAGAAATTTTATTATACTTTGCTTGAAAGCAACAAGATTAAAAATGCTGTTCCTGGCTAAGAAGCATTCATTCAAAGATACCCTAACTTCAATGTAATATAGACACAATAAACACCCAACATCTGTCCATCAAAAGTGATGATGATTAATACATTAAAAATCCATCAATCAGACCCTCTCCCCAATTCACACACACACATAGTATTTGGCAATATATATAAATAAACTCCCAACCCCTAAATGTAGGTTAATAAGAAGTGAATTAGAAGCCAACAAAAAAGAGACAAACAAATTCTTCCCCCTCCCCCCAAAAAAAAAAAAGTGTGCAAAAAACATCTCTTTATTTTTACTAAATTGAGTGATATTTTCATCTCCTTCATCAAAAAATTTTCAAAACTTGACCACACTCTTTCCCCTCACTGCAAAAATAACCAAACCAAACCAAAACATTTCACCATCAATGGCGTAAAGCAATATCAACCCAACAAAATAATGGCCTTGCGTGTCCCAAACCTTCACACAACAAATTAGCTTATTAGCTCATCATCCCTCCAACTAAGATCGGAAAAGAATCTGTATTAAAAAACCAAAAAAAAAAAGGGGGTATCCTAGTATATTGATTTTTAGTGAAGAGTGGGGGGGAATACTAATACTATATGAGTAAAAGGGGAAAGGAGGTTTGTATAGAAATAGGAAGCAAACCTGGGAAAGCCTGGAGAGCTGACGTTGGAAGGGTTGTTCGATTGCATCCATGAAATCACGTCGGCGCTGGTGTTCTGTGGTAGGATGACTGACTCTGCTTACCGGGTTGAAACCACTTCCCGCCTTGCTCAATGGCGGATCGACAACTTGGCTTCCTGTACTTACCGCAAGTCCGATCCTTTCAAGGTCGGCAAGTGGAATTGGTTAGTCCCATTATTTTCTTGTTTTATTAGTTTCTACATGTTTTTTGGTGGTGTGAAAATTGGGGAAAAAAACAGAGGAAGAAAGCAGGGGAAGGAGAGAGATATGTATGACTTGTTTAATGGAAGCTGTGATACCAGTGTAGTGTGTTCTTGGGTTTGGGTATTTGATCAATTGCTGGAAATTGATAATCCGTACAGAAATTGGGTTTGAAGGTCAGATTATTGTGTGAATTTCAGAGCTCGGATGTCCATGATTAGAGATGCTGAAAGACCAATAACAGGGGAGAGCTATAAAAGATCCGTCTCTGTTTTTTTCCATTTCTCAATAATCCGAATTATCTAAACCTTGTTTTGTTCGTTTACGAATTTAATTACAGAAGCCTGATTTATGGAGTTTCTCTGGATAGTTGATTTGTTCTTCATCCATATTATTGGTAGATTTTTTATCAGTGGTTGCGAATATGGAATTTCTGTTTTTATTTTCGCTTTAAAGTAAAGTGAAAAAAAAAAAGAAGTTACTGCTTTGGGAAGTCATGTCGTATAAAGGCATTTTTAAAGCAAGTAGGACGTAATATTGGTGATATTTACTAGTTGTTTTTTGTGATGAGATTCTGAACTTTTTTTTTGTTTTTGCTTTTTGGTGTTGAAGGCATTTAGCTGTGGAGAAAAATAGGACACTGTTCATAAAACTATATCCAGAGATATCAAATTTAACCAGAGAAAACCCTCCAATTGCTTCTTTCATCATTAGAATTGTATCTTCAGTGGGAGATCGCAAGATCTTGGTTCATCCAGGTGAGTTTTAAACTGGACATAAGTTGTATTAACTACTTTATCACCATTTATCATCAATATTAATGATTGATTTTGTCTTATATTAAAGTTATTATTTATATATATATATATATATGCAGAAATTACAGATAAACAGCTTAAGAACAGCGACGACTTTGTTTGGCCTGTTGAGGTTCCATTGACAGGAAAATTCATAATTGACCTTGAGTTCCTTGATTTGAAGGCTGCTTCACCCAACGTATGATTTCGCCTTCAATTTCCCTCTGTGTTCATCTTTCTTGTTTAATGAGCGAATGACAAAAAGATGCAAATATTTAGAAAGAATGACTTACATGCTAGTTATTCAATGCAAAATCTTCAGTTCATAATTTCTAAAATTTGACATGTTGAAAATTTCTTTAGGGTGGAGAAATTAGCTCAATCTGGACTCAGGAACTAACACGAAAACAATCGAATGCGACAGCTTTAGCATCATTAGGACGAATGTTGTCGGAAGGGATTCACACCGACATTGTAATCAACGCTTCTGATGGAAGCATCGGAGCTCATCGCGCAGTTCTTGCCGCAAGATCCCCGGTTTTCCAGAGAATGTTCGCACATGACCTAAAAGAAAAAGAGAATTCCACCATAGACCTTCCAGACATGTCAATTGAAGCCTGCCAAACATTCCTTAGTTACATTTATGGCAACATTCAGACTCAAGATTTCCTAACTCACCGGCTCGCCCTCATCCGGGCTGCTGATAAATACGACATCGCGGACTTGAAAGAAGCGTGCCACGAGAGTTTATTGGAAGACATTGACACCAAGAATGTGCTCGAGAGGTTACAAAGCGCCTCGCTTTATCAGTTGCCGAAGCTGAAGAACTGCTGTATGAGGTACCTTGTGAAGTTTGGTAAGGTGTTTGACATGCGAGATGAATTCGATGCGTTCCTGCAATGTGCAGATAGGGAACTGATTTCTGAAATTTTTCATGAAGTTCTTGCTGCCTGGAAAGGTTTCTGAATGGGAGAAAAACAGATGGTTGTTTATTATTAGCTTGTTTAAGCTCCCTCCATTGAATTTCACTAGGTTTGGAGAGAGATTCTTTCATTGATTGTTTGCCAATTGTTTGTGAATATGTACAGAAATTTGATTTCAGTTGGCTTGATATTGTTGGTCTTCGGGCAATTGATTGGATATGTAATATGATGTTCTACAATAGAACTAGTCAATGAACAGAATTTCCATCTATGAAAATATACATAATAATATTACTACTTTGTTTCCACTCAACTTGTTGAAGTTTTTTTGTACTTTTAAGCTAGTAATGTTGCAGAATCTACCTATCGGGGAGGGAGAAAAAAAAAACGTAATTTACAATACAAATGACAAATCTTTATGTTTGGGTAACACGAACAAGAATGTGAAAAAAAGTATTCTTTCCGTCTCAAAATTATTGTCCAATTTGATATTTTATTTTTAGTATAATTTGAATTAAAAATAAAAACTCAAACTGGACAATAATTTCGGGACGAATGTAGTATTATGGCATTTTAAAATGTGCAGAGTTCTTTTTTGGAGATTGAAATAAGATTGTTTACACAACACAAAAGATTATCATTAAATCTGCAAATAAAAGAACACGACTTGATTGTTAATGACATTTGTTGGATGTACTAACTCTGGCCATGGAAACCTAGAAAAAGGGGTAATAGATATTTTCAAGGAAACTTTTTTGTATTACCTTGGGAGTACAATGTCATGATGCTTATTTCATTGAAAGCAACATTTTTTTTTACTAATTAATGCAGACAGACTCCAAAGGATTAATGATTGGAGTCGTGATATGTTGGATCAAACGACCATCTACCTTGGAAACATTAAACAGCCACACTAAAACATTGATAAATCCAAAAATCACCTTGACTTTCTGGCGAGGAAAAGGCCAATTAGTATCATCAGTATGAAATGGTACACAATACACATTATTCAACCAAGCATCCTTTGCCAAATTGCCAAGTTGAGGAAAAAGAAAACATAGAAATAGAAATGAAAATGGAGATTTCCAATCAAAAAGTCTTTCTATTCTGTAGTTTGATTTTTTGTGAGAAGTGGTTGATGACTGGGTTTTTTTTTTTTTTCCCCCTTTCTTTTGAGGTAATTCCCTACCTAGAATCCAACAAGACCAAGTGTAGTCAATGACATTCAGGTTAAAAAGGCCAGGTGTTGTTCCATTGTTCAGTTTCTCTACTTGTGTCGCTTTAACCCTTTAACATCATGGAGAGAAATGGTTCAGCAGAAGTTGATTAGTAACCTATCATTTGCTTCAACAAAACACTTGTAATAGGTAGAGGGTGACCAATTACCTACGTCTCTTGTACTAAAAACAGACATTTCAATACTAGTCTAGACAATTATTTTAGAATAGAAGTAGTGTAATAACGTAAGATGTAGCCTAGCTACTCCAGTTAAGCTGCATTCTATGTCGAGAACTTATGGAGGTAATGATTTCTCAATGATTGTGTTAGTCATGAGACCTTGATAACAGGAAAGGTGGCTAACAAGGTACAATCATACATAGTTTACTTGGATTGTATGACACTAATGAATTCAACCATCATCAAGGCATTCGTGGCAAAATTTCTCCTCGTGTTAGTTTGACACTTAATTACTTGACACTCGTCAAGGGTCACCAAAAACATTATCAGCTACGGGCTACCTATGGGTCCCTTGATCCAATAAACGAAACTGAAATAATTTTCAATCAAAAATTAAGATTAAGAATTGTGACATGTCACCTAATTTGCGAAGTTTTTAAGTGGTAAGGAGGTCCAAATGGCTGAGTAGCCAGCCTCACAAGTCACAACATTGATTGTTGTCTCTCATCCTGCTAAGAAATCGAGTCCATTCGTAACAACACTGATCAAAGAAACAAACTCAGAATGACCCACTTAATTTAAAGACACAGGAAACAGGTGGTTTCTTTCTTTGCGAAAGTTGAAAAATAAGCCAGAGAATCAATTTCAACAAATACCGTGTGCAGTTTTCAAAGGGTTATTATCTGTGTTTTTTTGAAACTGGTTGATTTGGGTCACAACACTTTAGTCCAGCAGCATCTTTCTTTGTAATGAATGTTGCTGCAATGAAGAATCATCATACAATAAATAGGTGAGTACCTTTTTCAACACAATCTCAAAGCTCATTCCATTCTCTGAGATAAATTCTTTCCCCTTTATCAGCTAGCACAGTTTGCTCTTCTTCTTTCAGATCCTTGTCTTTCATTTCTTTCTATCTTTCAGTTAGCGAGACTCGAATTCCCGACTTTTTTAAAATGAGCGGCGCACCAAGCGCTAGCATTGTGTTTCTGTTATGCATATTCATAAGAAAGAAAAAGGTTGAGGGTTCAAAGACCAACTGAAGCACTGAACTTGGCCTTCTTTTTATAGACGGAATAATCCCACAAATTCCAAAGAATATTACTTGGATCTCCAATATATATCCATTCTTGGAGGGGAAAAAATGAGTGTCACCTTCTATAATTTAGTCGGACCCATTGGCACCGTCCATTATATTTTTTATGTGTGTTCTGCATCTCTACATTCCAGATTTTTTCTTGTTTTCTATTGGTTGGGCTGCTGCGAAAATTCGGTTAATGGTCGTCATGCTTTACTGCTACACTAAGAAAATGATCCACATTCCACACAACAAATAGTAATGGTACATAGTCCTTCATTACATTGCATCCGATGCAGGGTGTTCACTTAAGTTTTGTAAAGTTTCATGACAATCATTTGATCAAAACGGAGTCCGATATTAAACACAGAGTTGTAGTAAATCCCATATCCAAGAATCAAGGACCTCAAGGTCATGATATTAAAAAAAAAAAAAAAAGGTCATGTTATACAATTTATGGCACTTTTTGTACTATTTTATTTTATTTCGCGGAGAGGATACTTTGAAATAAATAGATGAAGAACCAGAGAAAACAGTGATCAGTCAATTAATATACCTATCAATGGTCCCACAAATGACGGAAACACCACAACTGTTGGTATGAGTCTCCTTCATAAATAATGACTGCAACAGTTTCTGTGCAGTTCTTCAAATGTCCAAATGGATGAATTGAAACAATGCACTAATGTTACAAAAGAAATCGGTATTGATATGGGAGGGGGGTAAAATCACAATTTCAGCCCCCAAACAGAAATCCAGCTGCTTGGTCTTCATTACCACTAGATAACTTCAACGCCTGAACCACGGCTTCCCTATCAAAGCCGAGCTCGATCAACCTCGTAACTTTGGCTTCAAAATCCTGTCCTTGTGAACTTCCTGGAGAACAAGAAACAGTAACAGTTGATTTCCCTTTAGATTCGAGACTAACGACACAACGATTAAGATAGGCATGATTTGATGGCATAATTTAAACTTCTGAAGTCTAACCTGAGGAACCACCTGTTGGTGTTTCATTTCTCTGTTCACTACCAGAGGGTACCTGGAAAACAAACAAGGCCCAGAACATTACATTAAATTCATGATCAACGGGAAAATAAACAAGTTGGCAACGGTAATTTAGTGCCAAAAAAAGGAAAATCTTGTATTACGTATAACCCTGAATAATCATACAACGCAAACTTGGGATGGAAAGCATCAGCAGAGTTCGGTTCACAGTGGCAAAACTTGAACTTTTGAATGTTCTTCAGGTCACAATACCAACAATCAAAGCAGAAATGCACGAGCTAAAGTGAAGTATGGCTCTACAAGTAATATACATAGATAAAGGGACTGGCACAAACGTATTGCAATGGATTAAGTCCAAAGTTTATCAAAAAAGAACAAATTTCTGCAAAGTAAAATAAAGGACATCACCTGTGCCTCAGAACTTGAAGCTTCCTTGGCAAACTTCCCCTCATCCAGAAAACGAGATGGAATGTCCTTTTCTATAAATCCAAAAATTATAATTAAAAAAAAAAAATCCAAAAATTTAAGTAGAACATGAGCAACAAGTTGATCTGAGAACTAATAGAAGTCTGAATAAAAGAATATACAATAACTTGCATACCTTGCAAAAACGGCACAGCAACCTCCCCTCCACCAACTCTCAACACATTGTCTTTCAAATCAATCATGCACTGTAGGCAGCAAGCAGCAACAAGTTTATTATGTTTATTCTCAATTTGTATCATATGAACCAGCTCAACATGAGTACACACATACCTGGTGCTTGCGGAGCATATCCAACCCAAAAAGGAATTCCATATTTGGTTGATCCAACACCATGAAGGAACAAGGGTAAAAATTGTTGCCAATCTACAGAGAGTTAAGTACACAGGTCATATAAATAAGGTTCATAAAGAAGCACTAAATGTTCCCTCAACAATGTTCAGAAACAAAAAGTTTCTGCGCATACACTACAATATATAGCTGCATTAGATTAGTGCCATACTTTGATTGGAGCAACGTGTATACGACCAAGGATCTCTGATTGACCAACACCCATTGCTATTCCCTTATACCGAGTATCTAAAAGTCTCAACAACCTGAAAGGGTATTCCGGCAGTATTAAGAATCATGAGGGAATGATGACAAATATACTTTGAAATTTGATTCAGCTTATTGATCACTTTGATGAATGAAGCACCCACTACCAAATGTGGACACCTTGAAGTTACGTGGATCAGAACCGCAAGCAAAATTTATCACAAGGGACAAGAATATAATAATATATGGTGAGGCTCATACCCACAACGTTCGGCACAGCTTTTAGATATAATTGTTGACTGAGCACCACTATCAACAAAGGCCTGAATGGGACAAAATATCACTTGAATAACCAAATAACAATAGAAAACCAAAAACAGGGCAGACAAACCCAATTATACCACTATGAAATCTGTTTTATAAAATGAAAGCATCCTAATGACATAAAAATTCTGTTATTCATCAATCACCACGACAAAACTGACATCAGACCAATAATAATTAAATAAATTTTTCAGAGAAAACTATAATAAATCGTTTCTGCAATCTATACCTTCAGTGGAACTCCATTTACTTCCATGTCAACGTACAGCATAACCTAAAATGGAAAGAATAAATAAAAATCAGGGTGCAACAAAGACAAAGAGAAATAAAAGGAAGACACTATAAGCACTGGTACATACCACCCTCGCAAAAGCTTCAGGATTATGCTCCAAGGCCGCAGCCCAGTTCTCATCTATACCTTTCTGGCGAATAGCAGCTTCAATTTTCTTCTGAGCCTCTACATCGAATGGATCAGCATGAAGGAGTGCCTGGATTTCCAAGAGAACAATAAATCAGTTTCTCATGAACAGCAAAGGGTCGCACTTTACTAAATTATATCTTCCACCACATGCACAAGTGCAACTAGCACAACAATTTGCATAAAGTTTAAAGGTTGAAAATTTGAATGACTCTTGATGAAATCAGCAAAACTTCACACACACAGCCAGGAAAAGAACTAACCAGCTCCTCCTCCTCTTGACGCCGTCGCTCGGCTATATGGCGATGACGAGCGCGCAATAGATCTTGCAAGAGGTTGAGATCATTTCCGAGAACAACTTGGGCTAGTTCGGGATCACTCTGCAAATTCAAACAGCAAAAATGAGATTAATAAAACAAAGATACAGTTACATGAGCAAACACAAAGAAGTTTAGTAATGTGTTCAATGACAGATTGACCTCCTCTCAGTTGTCAAAGAGAAGAAGGCAACTTTACCCGGAAAAGTTGCGCCATCATGTCAGCATCATTACGTATATGTTGCTGGAATGCGGAAGGGTTTACAGCAGAACCGTCTGGATTGAAGCCCAAATCATTGGCAGCCGTTCTAATTTACAAAACAATATTGTATTATTAGGAGACCGCAAGCTAGAAAGACATTATATAGCAAAAGGAATAAATATATAATCAAACAAGAAGACCGAATTTTCAACAGAACCTGAAGGGGTTCAACTTTTAGCAAATCCCAAGCTCAAACACCAATACTGTGATCAAATATATGATCAATATAAACGTATGTACATTTATGATTATACTCTATTGACTTTCTAGTTACCTGAGCCCAAATTCAGTAAAATGTCGGGCTTCAAGCAAAGAACAGACCCAAGCACCAGTTCATTGAAAATCAAGTTTACAGCTTTTTTCACTATGATCAGGAGAACCGATATGATAATATCATCATTTCAATTGTGCTCCAAAGACTTTGATTAACAGCAGGTAACCCATAAAGATAGAAACTTTGAGCAATGCACTAGTTCTGGAACATACACCACAGAAATACAAACAGCCAAGTGCAGACAAAAAGGTTACATTGAAGTTTTTGAACAGTTTACCTGGATGAGGGCACAGTGCTGGGGACCATCATTACTAAGTCTCCATCGTTCACACCAATTGCGCTCAGTTTCTCTGAATTCCTCATCTCCTTCCCATCAAACAAGAGCTGCTGTTGCTGGAGCGGCACTCGGGTCTGTCCCAACAAACAAATTCAACTCAATTTCTCATACATTAAATCAATAATTGGAAGAACGCCTCAAAAGAATATAGCTTTGGAAGAAAATTTTCAAACCTCAACTTCCAGCAGCGCTTTGAGATTCTCAACCTGGAATGAAAAAAGCAGAACTTTAGCCTATGACAACAAACAAAATTAAGAAAGAACATGGACGGATAACCGAAAATTGAAAATTAGGGTGAATTACAGATTCGTCGCGATCGACGTCCAAAGTTATGATTTGTTCGTCGGCAGTCATTACAGTGATCTTCATCTTGTCTCCGGTGAGATTGTGAGAAGGACTCTTCGCTGATTTTTTTTCCAATTAACCTGAACAGGGTGGAATACGGTGTAGTTTTGCTGGATATATATAAAACTTTTCCCTTTTCTTCCTTTTTCTTTTGGTATTCTGTTCTTTCTTTAATTTCTTTGGGGAAAAGTTATCTTCGAGTCGAGCCGGTTGACCGATTAATAAAGTAATCCGATTTTCGTATTGACGTCAGTGCCTCGAGTCCTTATTATAATTCATTTTGGTTTGTTATTCTATGTTTAACCTTGTACCTTTTGTTATTGGAAAAAAAATTAAAGTTTCATTATTGTGTTTTCCTAAATATCAGAAAATATGATTAAGATTTTTTTACAATTAAAAAATATAATAGGTTAAACCTATGATAAAATCAAAATACCTTAGAATAAGTATCGGAGAAAGTATTATTTTGCATAATACTTTTTTAAAAAAAATGAGTTGTCATTCTTTTTTCTTTCTATACAATTAAAGTTTTATTATAATATAATATTTATAGGGAAAGTTTTACGTACTTAACTCAAATTCAGATTTAGTAAGAGTAATGATTTCACACATCAGGTACATAATATTAAAAAAATAGAAAAAAGAGTCTTTATTATGTAGACATGCAATTTGGGGAGGGGGGGGGGGGAGTGGTTTGTTTTCCTATTATATTTCGACATAATGTTGTTTTGTCAGGCCTCCAATAGCAATATTCATGCACCACTGTCACATTTTAACAAATGACCGATTTCACGATATATGAAAGTAATTTTTAAATAGGTGACAGATTTTCTAGAAAATTTGAAGTAAAATCCTTGGCTTTTGTACTTGTAGCTTGGAATTTAAGAGTTCAGTTGAAGTTGGTGTAGAGCCTAGAGGAACATTTCTTTAATCAGGGATGTGTTCCATCATCATACCATTAACCAAACTCACACGATCTTGATTAAAAACATCAATTTTTATCCCGTGAATTTGTTTAACCACTCAAAAACATACGATTTATTTTGTTACATTAGTCCAAAATTGGTTCACATTCATAGGGTCCAATTGTGGAATTGATTGCGGATTTTTTATTTTTTATTTTTTATTTTTTCCGTTCGTTCTTTTTAGTCAGAGGCAATTCGAAAGGAAGGGGGAGGTATGAATGCTGCAGTGCAGAGTGCAGACTCTGGGGATTCCTGATTCGCAAATAGGAAAAAAGTCTCTGTTTCTTCAAGTTTCAGCTAATGCTAGTACAATGAAGGTTAATTCATCAATAAATTTTCTGATCCCGCCATTAAAATTTCTCGTCTGCCAACAACTACCCAACGTGTATTGATGGATTGATATTATCTAGATTTGTTCTTTGCCGCTCTCTCTATATATTGATTTGATCCAACTTCAACTCCACTACGATAAAGTTTTGTACTACTTTTCTTCTGTTTTCCCGCTTTCCCTTATCTTCTTCACTGGTATGCTTGAATTCGGTCGTAGAGCTTGGATATGCATAGCAAGGAATTGTAGACAGCTTAAAGATTGCAGAGTTAAAGTTGGCCTCACCCTTTATGCCCTGATATTTTAGCTGCTACAATTTCTTGCAATGTTTCTCCATGTTCTTCCATGTTGGCTGACCTCGGAGGAGGCGCCGGCGGTCTCATTTCTAGTGTTTGATGCCACATCCATTTTACTCGGTGTTTGTCAACTCCATTTATTATTCGGTTGATCTTTTTGCAGATGAAGAAAATAATTATGAAACTTTGAACTATCTCAATGACATTGGAAGCCAGAGAGTTGTTGACATTGCAAGAAAAAAAATATATATATATATATATATATATATATATTGGTGGAGGTAAACAGAGTACCAAAAGTTTATACAGATGCAAACTGAAAAACGAAAGAATGAATGGAGATGGAGCTATGTAAGGCATTAATTAAGTAACCCCCAATTGAGGTTTGCTTGGAACAATGTATGAATTTGTGTCTTTACGATATATATCATGAAGAAAGTATGCTGCAGAACAGAGCACTCTCTCTCTCTCTCTCTCTCTGGCTCAGGATTCGAAATCCCAACTCTGTTTCAAGTTTAAACATGGAGTTTTCGGCTTAATACAGCTCAATTCTTACATTTTCTGTTAAAAGGACAGATAGTAAGTACATTTGGTGTTGTTAAAATGAAGGACGGATGACCCCCTTCATCTGAATTTAAACTTTAAGTCATAAGTTTGTAATGATTTTACATGAAAAATCAAATGCTAAACTCCAGCAATATTATCGAAATTTCTCATTGCATGCAGTATACTTATGTAATGTACGTATCTCCTTTATTAATATATATTGGACAATTAACCTTTTTTTTTTGAAGACTAAGTATATCATCATGACTATATGCTGCTATCATTCTTCACAAATATCTCCCAGTGATCTTCAGTTCCATTGGTTAGGGAAAAAATTCACAATATTCGGTCCACAAAGCAGGTGGAATCTGCTCCGTACGTACGATGGCACGAAGATTGGACTCTTACAGGTTGCATGACTTTTAAGTCTTTCGCAACCAGCATGATGAGCATGATCAAGAGGCTGTTATATCTATCATGATCCACTAATTAATTTCTGTCGAATATTGAACAAACTTCATTTCCAACATTCACAGATTCCTCTTTCCTACATTATAGCCTATAAATACCCCTGTTCACCAATTAAGCACACAAAACAACTTTAGTTTTCTTTTGTTTCCAGTTAGTTGGTTTTCCAGTATTATATAATCAGTATAGTTTTCTAGCAGGAATTCTGATTATCAAGAGCCTGGATACACGTAGCTAGGAATTCAAGGGAGTTCAAATTCCCTCTCTACATATTATGAACTCCCTTAATTCCTACCTATGTTTCTTCATGTTCTTAATTTCCACGTGAGTTATCTCGACAGAGAAGATAGAACCATTCATTTTTTTCCCTTCAGATTTTCGTATTCAACAGGATGAGTGTACCTTTTCTTTTTTCTTTTTTTTCCCCCTTCCCATAAGAACTTGGGGGCGGGCTTCTTTTTAAACGTTTTTTCTTGAATTACAAACTATTTTATTTACTTACTTGGTTTTATACGCTTTTCTTGAGCTAAATGACGAATTTTTTCTTCATATTTTGAGTACATCTTTAGAAAAATGTCACTCTCGTGCATGGTTGTCAATGAAGAAGAAATATATGATCTGATAGATATTTTTGTTTTCACCTTATTCTAAACAAAAAAAAAAAAAAAAAAAAACGTAGTAATGTCATGTAATCCTCACGTCTTGTTGAACGACCTCTGTTTTCTTTGTTAATGCAAAACAAACCTATATTCATGTGGGTGTAGTACCAGTACTGATTTTATAGTATGGTTGGCTAAATTTTAGTGCTTGTAATGGATTTAATCGCAGAAGCATAAGGAATGAAGATAAGAAGATTGCAAAGAGATCTAGAGAGGACAAAGTAGCAATCTGTATAGTGATCACCAAAGTGCCAGCGGACCAAGAATTACGATGAAGAAAATTGCCTGTTTGAATTAAATTGATAAGATGATGTATTTTCATTAACCGTTTCATTTGAGAAATGTATAATCTCAATGTTTTTACCATAAAATTTGAGAAACTTCTTTTTTTAAAAAAAAAAATTGTGAGGGTCAAAACTTAAAACATATGATAATTCAAATTGTAAATCAACCTTGAGTTTTATAGTTATTATTATCTCAATTCCATGTGAATTATAATAATTAATGAGGGATAATTTGTTGTTGCCATTCCGACCAGAGCATTGACACTCTCTTTGAAGTACTACTCGTCAGCATGCATATGAGTAGTGGTACATGCATTGCATGTAATGTGAAAGTAATTTTAAGTTGTGCATATTGTAGCCACGTAATGCAAAATAAAATTAAAACGTGTATTGTACGTGAATTGCACATAATTAATACGAAATAAAATTACACGTATGTTGTACAATATAAAACTTATATTTCGCACCATAGATCTTGAATTGACGTTAGTTTAGTAGGGAAATGGTGTTTGATGCTAAAACTCGCGACAAAACTTAATATGATTAATTATTAACACGAACATCAATCCGCGTGATTGACATAAACCGGTTGTAGCGTATAAAATTGATTTAAACTCGATTTTTGTTTCACTAGTCCTGAATCGGGATGAATGCATGCATTGCACATCATTGCACAATTGAACTAAAATTGCACATACATTTTGCATGAATTGCACCCATTTAACTTATATCTTATACCTTAAAATAGACGAAAACTAATCTTTGCTCGAAATCCACGCCTACGTCGCCTTTGTAGGGTAAACAATGGTTGTTGGTCTCCCTCTCGAAGAACCAACATGCTGCAAACCCCAATCCGGACAATATTAATTATCATATTATGACAAAGATAATTATAACTTTATATGAAACTTGGGGAGTTTTTGTTTCAATAGAGAATTAAAGCACGTGAGTGACAAATGTTGCACCTCTATTACAGTTTACGAGATAATATTACTAAAATTTACACTTATAATGCACTTGAGTTGCACATATCAATGTAATTATGAGTTAAGTTATAAATGTTGTATGCATGACTTTTTTTCTATCATCATTATAACTTCTATTTGATTGTTTAATTCCCAATATATAGACTATAATAGTGATATGTTTATTCAATTCCTCCAATTGAATCACTTACAACACATTTTGGTCGGGAATGTTTTCCCACTGATAGATTATAAAGTGAAATGCTTCTCTTTTTTTCTTTTTCTTTTTTTTTTTTTCAGATTGAAAAAGAAACGCTAAATCCGAGGACCTATCGAGCAGTGATCATATTTATTATGATCCTACTCTCGATCGGTATAATCGTTTGTTTCGTCCTCTTAAATAAAGAGAGAAACAAACAATTAATGTTTGCCCTATCAGAGCAATGCCGCCGGAGTGGATTTTACGCCGAAATTCAGCACCACAGTGGCGATTATATGTAGTTTTTTCTGTTT